GTTTATCCTATTGACTTGCCATATCCTATCTTTACCCGATTTTCCATTTTTTTTTGGATGAATTATAGAAAAACGGGGCACATTCTGAAAATGCTTCCACCAAGTGGAATTTATCATGTTTATCCTATTGACTTGCCATATCCTATCTTTACCCGATTTTCCATTTTTTTTTTTCAGTAAATTCTAGAAAAACGGGGTACATTCTGAGAATTCACGCTACAACTGGATAATACCCTAAGTTCCCATATGCCATCTTTACCCCTATTTTCCATGACTTTTTTCAGCGGTGAAATTCTACGATTAGCGCTAATCGTTAGCCCCCAAAATAAAGCGATACGCAATAACTTAATTGTAATTAGGAGTTTTTATAACACCCACTTTCAGTTATTATTAACGTCCATAGAAATTCAAAACTTAGGCACAACAACATGCTATAAAATATATTCTTCCTCTTTAATTGTAGTTATTCCCCAATGAAGTCTCAATAAGAGACGAAACGCGTCCGAAATAAACGAGAAGCTTACAACTACAAAAAGCATTTCTTTGTGCGGCTCGCTAGTCTTAGTTAAAAATGAAAGATAGAAAAAATTACAAATTTTAAAAGAAGTTTATGTTCTTAGTGAATTCTAGAAAAGCGGGGTAAATTCTGAGAATTCTTCCTTCAAGTGGAATTGATCCTTGGGTGCCAAATCCAATCTTTAACCCGATTTTCCATTTTTTTTTCAATGAATTCCAGAAAAACGGTATGAATTTTAAGAATTCGTCCCCCAAGTGGCTAATACCCTCAGTTCCCATATGCCATATTCACCCCGATTTTCCATTTGATCGGTGAATTTTAGAAAAACGAGGTAAATTCTGAGCATTCATACTACAAGTGGATAATAGCCGAAGTACCCATACGCTATCTTTACCCCGATTTGTGATTCATTCCAGGACTTCTACTTTTTCTCGAGTTTGAAAAGGCCTTCGACACGGTAGAATGGTCTTTTCTTCCAAAAACTTTACAGTGTTACAATTTTGGGCAATCTGCTATCAACTGGAAGCTCTTTTACCATAACACAGAAAGCTGCATTCTTAACAACGGTTGGTCTAGCAACTTCTTCAAACTTGAAAGGGGGGTAAGGCAAGGCTGCCCTCTCTCTCCGTATCTCTTTATTCTCTGTGTAGAAATACTAGCCGAAACAATACGGCAAAATAAAAACATTAAGGGCATAAAAATAAAGGAACAAGAAGTAAAAATCAGTCAATACGCGGATGATACTACCCTTATTTTAGATCGATCGCCCGTCTCTCTAACAACCTCCTTACAAATATTAGACTTTTTCAGCGAGATTTCTGGTCTCCGATTGAATAGCAAGAAAACTGAAGCTTTGTGGATCGGTGCGAATATTCGAAACGAAACACATCTCAGACCCGACAAAGATTTTAAATTGGTAAAAGATAAGGTTAAGGCTCTAGGCGTATGGCTCTCCACCAACCCCAAAACCACTATAGAAGCTAATTACAACGAAAAACTAACCAAAATCAGAAACAGCTTAAGCTGCTGGGAACTGCGCCGTTTAACCTTATTAGGAAAAATTACAGTTTTAGAAAGCCTTATTGCCTCTCAACTGGTTTACATCCTGTCCCCTCTGCCGTCCAACCACAGCGCTCTAACAGAAATAAATAATGTTCTTCAATTTTGTATGGGATGGCAAGGGAGACAAGGTAAAAGCACGACATAATGATCAACGACTACGAGAACGGAGGGTTAAGGATGATTGATATCAAAATTTTCAACAAAGCTCTTAAATCAAGTTGGGTAAAAAAATATCTAGATCCGGAAAATCAAGGAAAATGGAAACTTTTGTTTGACTATGAATTACAAAATCTAGGTGGTGTCGAATTTTTTCGTACCAACCTTAATAAACAAGATCTGTTAAAAACTAAAAACTGCAGAGGCCTTTACTTCAGAAATACTCCACATCTGGTCAGAAATCTCACTTGAAACTAATGTCTCCTCCATTGATCAGCTAAAGGCGCAAAGTCTATGGCATAACTCTCTTATACGTGTCGGTAACAAACCTGTATACTATCGTTCATGGTCTGTAAAGGAGTTAAAACAGTGGGCCATTTGATGAATGATGCGAATAGTTTCCTATCTTTCTCTGATTTTAAAGAGCTTTACGACATTAAAACAAACTTCCTTACTTTTCAAGGCATCTTATCAGCTGTTAAGGCCTTACAAAAAAGCAATGAAGCTAACTTCAACAGCTGTAATACTGCATACGAAACTACCTTCGACACCTTCCTAAAGACGACAAAACCAAAAAGACTAACATATAAAATTCTGACGAGCAACAGAATGCATGCTCGAAACACCAGATAATGTCGACTGGAAGGCAGTTTACAGAACTCCTTTTCTGCGCACAAAAATCACAAAATTGATTGTTTTTCAATTTAAGCTACTGCACAGAAGACTAGCCACCAACACTTTTCTTACCAAGGTAAACCTCAGGGACAATGAGCAGTGCACTTTTTGTAAAAGTAATAAAGAGACTCTCATCCACCTATTTTGGACTTGTGATATATCCAACCGTTTCTGGCAAGGTCTTACACAATGGATAATTAACCTTGGAGAACCTTTCGCGGAAATTTTCAATCTATCGCCATTTATAGTACTAGGGCTTAAGCCACACAAAAACAAGAAACTAAACTTCCTTTTTTTGGTCGCTAGATATTTTGTATGGATATGCAGAATGCGCAACATCTCTCCGGAAATAAAAACTTCCCCCTCTTCTTCTCACATTATAATGCATAAATCATTATTATAAAGAAAAACCATGCTTAAAACAAGCACAACACGTATTTACTTAGTGTTTTCTTTAATTCTGTTTACATATAATTTGATGTTTGTATCCTTTTTTCCTGCACTTTTTTGTTTTCTTTTAAACTACCTTCTTTTCTATAAATTGTGAGTAGTGCACTCTGGCTGTAAACGCTTTTTTGTTTTTTTCTTTTCTTTTCTTTTAATATATAGTTATTTGTTTAGTCGCTCTTCAACCAGTATTGTTTTAAATATTGTATTGCACTGTAACGTACGTATTTGTAAAAAACAAAAAACGTAAGTAATGTAGCTATAGATGTAACTGTACTGTAAGTTATTTTCTGTAGCCGTGATATAAGTAATATAGCTGTAATTAAAGTAATATAGTTGTTTTTGTATTAAAAAATAAATTAAAAAATTTATAAAAAATAAATAAAAATATTGTGACAGTCAGATTAAAAAAAAAAATCTTTACCCCGATTTTCCATTTTTTTCAACAAATTCTAGAAAAACAGGATAAAATCTAAGAATTCATCATCCAAATTGAATAGATCCCAAGTTGCCATATCCAATCTTCAACCCGATTCTCCATTTTTTTCAATGAATTCTAGAGAAACGGGATTAATTCTGCGAATTCATCGGCAAGTGGCTAACACGTTAAGTTCCCATATGCCATCTTTACCCCGATTTACCATTTGATCAGTGAATTCGAGAAAAACGGGGTAAATTCTGAGCATTCATGTTACAAGTGAATAATCCCCGAATTTCCAATTTTTTTTTTTTTTTTCGAATTTGGCAAAAAACGGGGTAAAATCTGAGAATTCATCCTCCAAATAAAAAGGATCCTAAGTTACCATATCCAATCTTTAACCCGATTTTCCATTTTTTTCAACGAATTCTAGAAAAACGGGATAAATTCTACGAATTCATCCGCAAGTGGCCAACACGCTAAGTTCCCATATGCCATCTTTACTCAGATTTTCCATTTGATCAGCGAATTCTAGAAAAACGGGGTAAGTTCTGTGAAATTCATTCTTTAGGTGGAATATATCCTACTGACTTGCCATAGCCAACTTTACCCCGATTTTCGATTGGATCATTGTGTGAATTTGTCATAAACGGGGTAAATTATGACAAATCCACCCAAACGTGCAATAAATCCAACAATGATCTAGAAACAGTACTAAAAAAAAAGAACAGCTAAAATCAGCGGGACCGCAATAAATTAAAATCACATCACAATCTACTACTTCAAATTTTTTACGGAGGTCGATACAGCAAAAACCTACAATATTTAAAATAAACAACCAAAGGCCAAACTTCTGTGACTCAAGGAAGACTTCGTGACGCGACGCAGACAAATTATCACAACTTTGACCTCTCAGTCGATCTCACCTCCAGCAGATCAGCGAAGCGTCAAAATATATAATTTCATGCCGACGAACCATAATCTATGATCTTCAACTATTAAACAAAATAAAACAATTGTGATATGACGCCACATTGTGCTTTTGTCTTAGCTTGTGTGTAAAATGTTGTCAATGAAGTCGCAAGTCGAACAATGAGGACAGTAAATAAAGCAAGACTGCAAATAAAGCGTGAACAATAACGCATCTTTTGGTCGAAAGTCGCTTTGTTATTTACGTAGCAAGTTATTCTTCCACGTTTAGGCTATAACAACGATGCGATCACACGGCGCCAACGAAGGAACGATAGCACTTCAAAGAAAATAATGTGAGAGGCCAATGATCCGGTTCGCAGTGATCATGCGAACAGCATGTTTTCCTGAGATCAGTTACCGGAAAATACTGGTCAAATTTTCCACTTATCCCGACCCCCTCGAATAAGTACGTTTGCTTGAAGACATAACTACAACGGAGTCTCTTAACCAGTCCCAAGCCGCGTGTCGCTCGATAGATCACAGGATATGATTGGCCACTCTATCACATTACGTCAGAGGACATATCTGCAATGAGAGGACATAAGTGCAACGGTATACTCGTTTGCTTCTTCGACTCGATCTCCGGGGATTCCAGTGCTATTAAGAAGGAGTGGAGACTGGAAGGAGAGGGCAGAAATCGAAGACACTAGTTCCCAGGTTTTAGCCTTACCAGCGACGTGGCACAAAGGTTGTTGGCAATTTCTTGTTGAAACATTTCGTCTTAATGAAACTTGTGGTGAATTCCTTTCAAAAATGACTTCGTACCAGGACTTTATAACTCAGAACGAGGACCGTGATGGTGTTAGATTTAGCTGGAATGTTTGGCCCTCGAGTCGACTGGAAGCTACGCGAATGGTGGGTTGAGAAACATTCCACATAGTTATTCCTCTTTACGACTCAACTCAGGAATCTCATCACGATTTCCATTAGGTTGTTCCTGTTGGTTGTATGTACACACCGTTGAAAGAACGACCAGACCTTCCTCCAATCTGTTATGATCCTGTTTTGTGTACAAGGAACGCTTGTAGAGCAGTGTTGAACCCGTTTTGGTAAGTTAGTGAACGATGTATGTACGTACATGAAATTTGACATTTGGGAAGAAAATTTTGATTTGATAATGTATTGTATTTGATTTCTTTTATGTTTTTGTCAATAGTCAAGTGGACTATCGATCTAAAGTTTGGCACTGCAATTTTTGCTTCCAAAGAAATGCGGTAAGACTTGTTTACATGGGTATGGTGTATCACACTTAACATTTTTAGGACAACATAGTGCCCAAACGTAAAAAAGCTGTGATAGTAACAAGCTTGCTCAATGAGAATAACTTAATTAAAATTGTATACATGCGATTTGCACATTTGTCAGGATTAATTAATCAAATGATATTGTTGGGAATGAATAACTTTCAGTGAAATTTATATCACTTAGTACTACACAGGGTAAGGGTAGAGTCCAGTAAAGCTTTCTTTTGGTGGCTAATCTTGTATCAACCCTTGCCAAAGTCATCACTGAAAGGACATTTGACACCAGTCAGTCAATTTAAAAAAAGTGACAGAAAACCTAGGTCCGGAAGGTATTTTCAGTGATACACTCAAGAACACCACAACTAGCAATTTAGAGCAGTCACACACTTTACCAGCCTTAAAATATTGGTTCAAAATTAGCATGGGTACATCAAGGCATGGTTACACGCAGGAAGTAAAGAGAGTGCCAAGTACATCCATGACTTGATATATGCATATCAGAAAAACAAGGTTTGAAAACTTGTGGCTAAAATCTACAGAAACTTGCAGCTGAAGTAAAATTGCACATAGAGATTTACACCATAATAGCTCCTTAGGAATTAGAAAGGACCTGTGCCCTCAGTATGTTATGGTAACAGTGCAATCATGAAAGGTACACAGATTTGCATTGAACTGAAGAATCTTACCCCAATATAGATATCAAATCTAACATACAAACTCCACCTCTATACTGGTTTACTACCATGATTAATATAACTAATTTTTAAAGAGCAAATTTTTCACACACAAGCATTCAAACAACTCAGGTAGAATAAGAATAATAGTTATTGTGGTTGGTAGAAATGTGAGAGAACTTGAAGAAAAACCCTTGAAGGGATGCCGAGAACTCAGCTCACATATTGCACTACAGTGTGTAGCTTTTAGAATCCAACCATGTAGGTACTGTTGTGAAAGCAAGCACTGTTACCACGATGGCTTCCATGTGCACCATCACAGCAAGGCTTTGTTGCTATAGTTTACATGGTTACTAACTTTGTGATTTTCAAACTGGGCAATCCCTTCATACTCTTAGGTTGAAACAATTCAGTAAATTAGCTTGATATTACTTCTTAATAGGAAACGATACATTTATGTATGAATATATGTACAAACTGTAAACTATACATTTAAACTGATACAGTGTTCTTTGTCATTGACAGTTTCCTCCTCAGTATGCTGGAATATCAGAACAGCACCAACCTGCTGAACTTATTCCTCAGTTTTCAACCATTGAGTACACTCTACAGGTAAACTAATAGTTTGCATAATTAAAGCCATTAACTTTGTTTAGATTTATTAGAAAATCCCAGTATGACCTATCGCATGCATTTTGTGGGGACTTATTAATTAATTTATGTGAAACATCATTTTGATTTTGAGTGCAATTTGCTTAACACCTGTAGACAAGATTTGGTAGAGTCTCCATTCGCATCAGATACATTTCTCATAAGAATCTCATAGGAATGGGAGAAACTCTCTCTGACTTTATTGTTGCCTAATTACTTTGACTTTAAGTATAACCCTTCCTCCCTGTAGGGATTTGCTAGAAACCTTACTCTAGTTTTTGATCAACTCTCTTGTCCCAGAGGAAGCTTTCTTTTTTACCAAAATCCTCAAGTGCTGCCATAATATTGGACATCCTTATGAGGTGTGGGGTTGACAGCTGAAAGAGTAGCAAAAGATAAAGGATAAGAAAAGGAGAAATGAAAATATTTGTTCTTAGTTGTTGATTTCACTTATTCATTTGATGAATTGCTATACTTCAATTGGGTGGGTGGATAGTTTAGATTTCAAAGACAGACTTCTACATGCAGCAACCACTAAATTCACAACAACAGGCTCCCAACAAAACCTCTAACCTGGGGAATGCCAGATAGAAAAATATCCCAATCTATCTACCCTGAGGTATGCAATTTATCTCAGATCCCCTGAATTGTGTGGCCAGTCCCATCCATGGGGGAGGGGGGGGATGGGTGGTTGTGCTTTGACTCAAGTTCTATTTGTACATACATGTACAGATTCAAAACATTACTGGTGTATTTATTCTGCAACGTGATGTACCTGTTTTTTTCAGCGTGGAGGCACCTCTGGTCCATTGATATATCTGATAGTGTTAGACACGTGCATGGATGATGAAGACTTCCAGGCTGTGAAGGTCTGTTTTCATACTGTATACATTGGACTCTAAACTTAACTTTTGTGAAGTACACTTTAGAAATGGCATATTCCTAATTTGGTAGAAGATGTTGAGTATGGGTTGTATTACTATTCTTACTGTAGCATTATCAAAGTTTTGACCCATCTAATGTAGTGAATAAACAAATATGAAATCAAGGTAAACTGTTAAATCATTTTTGTGTATATTTCCACACATTTGTAAGTTTTCTACCACATGCATGCAACTACAGGTCCTTGAAGCCTGTGTACATTAATTCCTAGACATAATGTGCTCTTAAGGAATCAAGAGATATTGTGGTGAAACCACTGGGTCGTCCTCTTTCTGTTATCCAGGAGCCACCCTCAGAAGATGCTGATGTGCAATCCATGTCATTATACTCTCACAAACAGCTCCCCCTCAAAAAAATACTGCAAATAGCAATATGTGGGTCTTAACTTCTGTTTGGAAAAAGAATTATCAGAGAAAAAAACATAGGACAGGGTTGGGATAATTATGAGTTGTGAACTATAAATCTGCATTAAGGAATTGGACGTGAAATGCTTTTTTTTTGTATTGAAGGAATCTCTGCAAATGTCTCTGAGTCTAATGCCACCCAATGCATTGGTTGGTCTCATCACATTTGGTAAAATGGTAAGGAACTCTGTTATTTTGCTGTGTAGTAAATTACTCTATGATAATTAATTTTGTAGGTAATCAGTGCCATCAAGGTTTATTTGCATGTAATGTGAACAATTTTCAGTGTTTAAGTTGTAATGTGCTGATCAATTCAAAGCTTCAACATCCCCCCTCTTGCCACCACCCCCCTCCTTTTGAGGCAACCCACAACCATTTAACTGTTTAACTGTTGTTGAAGCCCTGGGGTGGGGAACTTGAACCTTGTCCTGGTGGGGTGGAGAATCTGAACCAGCTGAATACATGTTTTAATTTTGAATATGGAGGAGTTTTAGGATATAGAGTCCACTTTTATGAGCAAATGGCTTAGAAGAAAATATTCACACTGTACAATGATGCTTATAGATGGGAAAAAAAAAGCATCAACAACCAATTCCTTACTTCGTCAAATTATATGACAGTTGTTGACCATACAAGGAATGGTTCAGTATAACATTTTGGTCAAGTGGGGCATTCAAATGCAGTTTTTGCTATGGGGGTGGGGTGGGATTTTAAATGAACTAATCTTTTAAAGTTCAAATGTTTGTATGGAGTATAGTGTAGAGAAAAGATGTTGTGATCTTGGGAGTGAAAGGGTTAAACATTAAGAATTTAAAGGTATTTTTGAACAGGGTACGTAATATTAACGATGAAATTTAAAGAAGGTTGCAGACCATATCATCTTTCTGGTACTGTTTCAGGTTCATGTCCATGAGCTGGGATGTGAAGGTTGCTCCAAGAGTTATGTCTTCAGAGGAACAAAGGACCTTAATGCTAAACAAATACAGGTTTGTTTATGTGGAGAGTACATGTGTATGTTACATTACTGTTCTTGCAAGCAAGGAATGTTTCCTTAACAGAATGAAAAGGAAATTGGTCAGACTAGTTTTTTTCACTTTTTCCTTTTATGTTGATTATCCTTAACAGAAATGGTGCTTTGTCCATATTTCAGGATATGCTTGGCCTAGGAGGCAGTGGGCGAGGACAACAGCAGCAAATGAGAGGAGGACCTGTACCACCACAACAACAGTCCAATGAAACATTTAACAGGTGTTCATACTATAATTAGAACTAAGCACCACTACATAGCAGGTGTAGTTTAGAATTATACCAGGTTTGCTCCAAAACCAATTTCAATTAGTTTGAACTTTCTCTTCCTTGGTCGATTTTCCTCTGAATTCTGTAGGTTTCAGGTCAGTTCTTCAAGTTGAAGTTTGGGGAGTGAAATGTGTACACTTTAACATATATGCTCCATGTGGAAAAGTGTTTTTTCAATTTATTTGTACAATGTATGCCATGTACAGTTGATGTTCAAAGCAATGAAACCCCTGGTCACTGGGGGAATTTGGAGAGAAGTATAAAATTTGCTCCAACACTGGTTTATTCACAAAATTATATTGTAATGCATCACTGCAGTTCCTGTAGGAGCTGTTATGATGCAAAGCTTAAATAACTAGACAGTTTTTGTGTTTACTGTTTTATAGTATAACTCCATCTGTTCAGGTGACTCCCACTTAAGGTCAGGGGTAATCATAAATGCTTACATGCACATGTAAATGGGTACATGTACATTCATTGTTTGGTACTTCAAGTTGCTATTCTTGGGCATGACATTCCAAGGCCAGAGTATGATATATTATTATTTATTTATAGGTTTCTCCAACCAGTCCACAAATGTGATATGAGCCTTACTGATCTATTGGGAGAACTTCAGCGAGATCCTTGGCCTGTTCCAACTGGCAAAAGACCCCTAAGGTCAACTGGTGTGGCATTGTCCATTGCTATTGGTCTGCTTGAGGTATGGTCTCCCTTGTATATTAATTTATCAACAATAATATGTACATGAAGGTGTACATGTACTTGTAATATGTTTTGTTATAGTTTGAAACCCCCGCACAATGTTCTGAACTGTAATTTTGAAGAACTTATTTTTAAATGAAGGGTTTGCAATAATGAAGGATTCATAACTAATAAGAGCAATGAAACAGTTTGATTCCAAGTTTTTGTACTTTTTCCACTCTAAAAGACATCACTTTCTCAGGCAGCTGTTTAGCTTTCCCTGTCCTGTCCCAACCACTTCATGGTTTGAATTGTCAGGTGCAATGATGAAAACCTTTCTGGGGAAGATTAGAAAATGAATGTACTTATTCTAACTTCAAATCACTGACAGTGATAAATATCATGTAAATATTAAAATATACAACAGCTTAGAGGCAGTGTAACAGCTATTGTTTATTTTCTTTTAGTGCACATATCCTAACACTGGTGGTAGAATCATGTTGTTCATGGGAGGACCAGGAACACAGGTATATATCAAGGCTTGAGTTTTTTGTTAAAAAAATCAAACTCTGTCATACTTAACATACTTAGCATATTTTCTGCCGAGTGAGCTTCTTGTACTTACTTGTATTTCTGGATGAAGAGAGTTACTGAAATCCTCTATCACTTTTCTAAAAATGCATTTATCTCTACAAAATATGCAGCTATTTAAAACATGAAAATTGTTTTCACTTACTCTCTTGTAATCACCTTGAATGACCAAGGAGAGCATGCTTAGTTTCTCAGTTGTTTTAATAAATCCAGCTACTGTCCTAAAGACCAATGCATCTTGTAGATCTGTTGTAGCAATGTTGCATTAGACATGTACTGTTGACTCTTAGTAACTTGAATTGTCAAGGAAAATTATTTTAAAAGGTTTTTGTTATCAACAATTCAAGTTACAGAAGGATAAGAAGAAATGACTTAAGTCACTAAACATTGCAACTCTTTCTCAGTCACTAAACATTGCAACTCTTTCTCAGTCACTAAACATTGCAACTCTTTCTCAGTCACAAACACGATTAATACACTGTTTGAACAAGTACATTTGTATAATAATGAAACATGTATGAAAACGCTGTATTTTTCCAGTGAAGCAATGTGTACATGAATTTAAAAGGAATACTGCACAACACTTGGACAAAGAATTTTCAGTTCTTGAGGAATTGATTGTGGAGCCTTTAATTTTTTTTGTGAGAAGACTACAGGTGATTCTTTCATGTATTGTGCTCAACAGGGACCAGGTATGGTGGTTGATGAAGAGTTAAAAAATCCAATGCGATCACATCATGATCTTGAGAAAGACAATGCAAGACATGTCAGGAAAGCTATTAAGGTATCATATGTATATCACCTCAGTAAGAAATAAATAATCCTCAAATTGAAATGTTTGAAATCTGCCCCCTCAAACATTGCTCTGAAAAGTTTCCAGTAGCTTTCTAGCTACATCAGTAACCAACTTGTTTATATGACTTGCAGCATTATGAAGCATTGTCACGCCGTGCTGCAGAAAATGGGCATGTTGTGGATATATTTGCATGTCAGCTGGATCAGACAGGACTTCATGAAATCAAGAGTTTTCCTAATGTCACAGGGTATGTCATGAGACAGTGTTCTGCTAGACTAAATTCTGTTCAGCATGCAAAAGAAGTTAAAACACTTTTTGCCTTATTTATTTCTAGCTATACTTAGTCTAGTCAAGTTCACTAACCAGATTAACATTTGACTGGCCCATTTTTTTTATTACTTTTCCTAACCTTTTTTTTCTATTTGCAAAACTCTACTTTTAGATTTCAAAAGTGCTTGAGCTCAAGCTCTCATTCAAGGGAGCTTTTGAAATGATTGTTTTCTGAGTATGCTTGTGTTAATTGCAGAGTTTTATCAAGTTTTACTATTTTGTTTTAAGATATTACCATGCTTTGCTTAAGTATGGTGCTGCACCAAGCTGAAAAGTACTTATCTTTTGTTCTAGAGGCTACATGGTGATGGGAGATTCATTCAACACAGCACTTTTCAAACAGACATTTCAGAGAGTGTTTTCCAAAGATATGCGTGGAGAGTTTAAGATGGCTTTTTGTGCTACACTTGAAGTGAAGGTTGGTGGATTTTAAGTTTCTTGGGATACAGCAAAGTCCACCTTTTAATGCTTCTTTTGTAAATGTATATCAGCTTTAGAGTGTTCTTTCAAACCATCTGCAGCCCCTTCTCTCTCCCCTCATGTTGTCCTTGACTGAATTGGAGCATCTGAACTGCCAGACATATACAAAAATCCATAATCATATTCCTTTCACTACACTCATACTGGCTACGAACCTTATGTAAACATGTATGATCTGCTTGGGTTGTTAAGTTTTAATATTTATTATAGACATCAAGAGAGTTGAGAGTGTCAGGTGCCATTGGACCATGTATATCGTTGGACAGAAAAGGACCTAACGTTTCTGAAACAGTAAGACCTGTTTTCAGTTCTAGATGAACTGAGGGAAAATAAAGTTACTGGTATTTTAAGTGTACACTGCATATAGAACTAGGAAATAAAACGTCTAATTATAAGAAACAATTGAAAACCACATGTCATTACCTTTATGCAATAATTGTTGTTTTTAGGAAGTTAAAAAGTATTACCTACTTTTACTTAAGCGTGAATTTAAATGCTTAATTTAAGCAAGACCACTTCAGATAGATTGGTAAACATAAACGAAATGGAACTAGAGAAAGGAATTAAATTGTGCTCAATGTGGTGATTAGCGGTAAATGGCCATTTAAAATATTTATCTGTGATATGATTAAATTCCTTACAAAACTTAAAAAACGAAACATACATTTATTTAAGGAAATTGGAGTTGGTGGAACATGTGCATGGAAGATGTGTGGATTAGAGCCTCAGACAACACTTGGAGTTTTCTTTGAAATAGTTAACCAGGTTTGTCTCTTTTTTTCAAATTTAAATTGGTGTTTAGTAGCTTCAGTTGTACTATATGATATGAGATGGGTACTGTTCAATCCTTAAAGAATGCTTTTGATCTTTCTTCTTTACCTGATAAAGAAAACATTTCACTAATTGTCTGTTTCCAAATCACAGCACACAGCCCCAGTCCCCCAAGGAGGGCGTGGCTGCATACAGTTTATCACTCAGTATCAACATTCCAGTGGCCAGCGGAGAGTTCGAGTCACAACGTGCGCACGAAACTGGGTAGATGCATCAAATGTTCAACACATCGCTATGGGGTTCGACCAGGAGGCTGCAGCCGTTATGATGAGCAGAGTAGCTGTTTTCAGGTATAACGGTGAATTCAGTAAAGTTAACATTTTCTTTGAAAAACACTTTTGCGTGTAGAGAGTAAGTTATTTGAAAGCGTCGTTGTGGTCTGTTATAGAGCTGAAGGAGATGATGGACCTGATGTGTTGCGCTGGTTGGATCGCATGCTCATTCGACTATGTCAGAAGTTTGGTGAATACCATAAGGATGACCCAGGCTCTTTTCGTTTGGCAGATAACTTCTCACTTTATCCACAGGTACGATATTATGGCCTCAATATGCAGAATGTCCCAACTTTACCTGAGCAGGTGTCCGCCTCAGCCTTCCCCCTCTCCTCCCTCAGTACACGTTTCATGGTACTAGTCGTGATTATCATGAAGATTGAAGCTTTAAACGTATGAGGCAAACTGAATGTTCCACAGATCCATTAGAAATTCTAGTCTCCCCTTCAGGCCGCGCACTTTTTCTTTGAGTAAATGTAACTTATATTTTTCATCCATTATGTTGCAGTTTATGTTTCATCTTAGACGGTCACAATTCCTTCAAGTGTTCAACAACAGCCCTGACGAGACAGCCTACTACAGGTACAACGTTTGTTACTTGTTAATTTAACCCTTATACAAATGTTGAGAACATTTAGGGGAGGCCAATGTCAGTTGATGTATTTACCATATGATCAAAGTAGTTTACGCCAGTGTTTGTTAAACATTTACGGAAGGACGAATTTCTTTATCCATATGTCGTGTAAGTTGGAATTTCCTGATTCAGTGAACTGTGTTAGCCAAGGTGGACCCTCTCAAATGTTTCAGTCAGTGATAACTCTCCTTATCAGGCGGGATTTGTGTTTTTAAACAGTAACAGGTTTTGTGACTCATTCCATCAAATCTTTTCAGTACTATTAAAATCGCGCGAAAATTACAACTCTGTTGAACTAATTCACTCTTACGATATGCTTGTTAATTCTCCTCTTAAGGTGCGTCACATTTCCTTGTAAGTTAATTACGAGAATTTGACCGTGTTTTAATTTTATTTTGTTTTGCAACCTCGCGTCGTTATGGTACTTACTGGCTAGAAATGGATATTGAGCAGCGTAGCCAATCAGACTGCAGCATTTGCGACAATGCCAGTTGATGTATGCAAACAATAAGTAGTGATATGGAAAAAAAGGACGTTGCGATATGAGACACAGAGCGACACATCGTCGTTCGTCTCAGAAGACTTGGAAGGAAAAGTGAAATATACTGTAACCATCTTATTTTTGTTTTGCATTGCAGACACATTTTAAACCGTGAAGATGTAACAAACTCGTTGATTATGATTCAACCTATCCTGTACTCATATTCCTTTCACGGCCCCCCTGAGGTTAGTTCACGGTCAAAACTGAACCTGCATTGTGGTACTACGGGTTCTGTTCATAAAGCCAAGCAAGATACCAAAAGAAATAGGGGAGCATTTGAATAGTGAACCCAACCAATAAAAATTAGAGCGAACCGAAGTCGAATTATTATTTCAAAGTCATGGTGGATCGATTGTTTATTCAATGTACCAGTGTAACGATTTAAAGTGGTCTGACAGAAAAGAAAGCGCAAAAAAAAGACAATCTGCAACTTAGCAAACTTTGAATTTATGGTATCGTTATAAAAGACCATAAGACTGGTCAATTTTCCTGATGATTTTTCTTCCATTTGATCTTTTTCAGCCTGTGTTGTTAGACTCTAGCAGTATTTTAGTTGACAGAATTCTTCTCCTGGACACATTCTTTCAGATTCTTATTTTCCACGGAGAGGTATGTTGACAAACTATTTAGTATCATTTTTATATTGAAAAGTAATGATTCTCATTGGATTGTATTTCATTTTCTCTGAGTAGACAATAGCACAGTGGAAAAAAGCCGGTTATCAAAGTGATCCACAGTACGAGAGTTTCCGTCAGCTTCTTCAGGCTCCAGTAGATGACGCAGGTGAAATCCTACAGGTTCGCTTCCCCATGCCGCGTTACATCGAGACTGAACATGGGGGCTCTCAGGTAACATTTTGGGGTTTCGTATTTGTTTCAGTCGACTCCCAATAGCTCAGACTTCATGGGAAATTTAAAAAGATTTGAGTTATCGTTAGTTAAAAAAAAAATTTAAAAAAAGAGACCGGAACATGAATTATTTTGGGCGCTAGTGTAGTTAAGCAGCAATTCTTCATGGAAATACAGGCACTGTTGTTGTGCACTGGAAATACAGGCACTGTTATTGTGCCCTAACCCAGGAAAAACTGAACTGAGCGCGTTTTTTGTAATGCAAGAAAGGAAAAGTATAAAATGGCTGTTCAAATTAAATTACATATTTTTGATTGCAGTACACTGTTTGTTTTGATTTGTCACGTTCTGACAGACGTGGTTCGACGTGGTTCGATAGTTATCGTGGGTAAATTTATAGGGAATGACCTGTGTGGAAACGAAAATTGCTTCGAGTTAGCGGGAGGTTCGAGTTATTGGTGTAAGTAAGAGACTGTTTCGTTAAAAGGAAAGGTTGATTCAGAGAACCTTTTTTTTCTTGAAGGGGGGGGGGGCAGTTCAAGAAAAAACAAACAAACAAATAAAACAAAAATACGCAAAAAAATTTGGACTTAGCCGAACAGAAATACCGTGTCTCATGACGCTCTTGAAAATCAATTCAAACTCGTTGTTATACCCCTGGAAACACAATGGTCCTATCAGGAAGGCATGTCATACTAAAATGGTTTTACCGACTTGTTTGCGGTTCTAATTCTTCGCTTTGAGGTCCTATCCAGACTTTCAACGAGTCCAGCTTGCGTTAAATTTCAGTTGGAAACCAAGGTTGACTTGTGAAATAAACCCGGATTTTTTTTTTGTATCATTTCTAGTTCCTCTTCATAGATCAAGACAACTGATAATGCGTTGCGTAGGCGATGTGCGTTAATGGTTGTTCTTCTTATGTTTTTCTAGGCTCGTTTCTTGCTGTCCAAAGTAAACCCGTCTCAGACCCATAACAATATGTTTGCTTGGGGTCAAGATGCGGCTGGAGCTCCTGTGCTCACCGATGACGTCAGTTTGCAAGTGTTTATGGAACATCTCAAGAAACTCGCTGTGTCTAACACTTCCTAAGCAAAGAATTCCTTGGGGATACATCTAAGGAGCTTTCCATAGAGGAATCCTAGATATCCTATTGAAAGTACCTAGAGGGAACTACCTAAAAGAGATCTACCTAGTAATTTCAGAATAGTAAAAGTTTATGCTCGGTGAGGAATCTCACCGCTGGCCTTTTTCTCGATAATTAGTGGTGAATACACACAGACGTTTTGCCTTAAAGAAAAATCTTTAATTTGAGTTGAAAGTATATTCTAGCATACCAAACCCTTTATCTGTATTAAAGAACGTTAGAGAAGCAACATGTTTTTACCTTTTTTATGTCCTATAAATGATTTTCGGTGGAAAGCGAACACTTTGTCGTTCATTTTGCGGCTTGCATCCCAAGACCCACACGAGATCCTGATAACCTCTGGTTTGTGATGATGCGTTTTAATCCTGAAAGGACATGGCTCACCAAACTACAACAGCTCACTGGCAGTTAAATGTCGATGTGAAGCCTCAAGGCAGCTATATAAATCAGGATCTCATTTCCCTAGGGTTTCTTTTGGTGCAGTGCGCTTTGAGTGTTAGAGCATCATTAGAAGTTGGCGAGACTCCTTTCGATGAGAGAGCTCCGCTTCCTTTTTCAGAACGTAACTTTGTCACGAACTGGAAAGCCCAACCCAAAGGTGGACCTGGACTGATTGACGCACAAGAAGAACAGTACTTGACACGGACAAAGGCACGGCATGTGACTTTGTTGACTTGTTTTGCCGCAATATCACTAGTTTTTGTATTTTACAATTACAGAGGTGAAGGTAAACAGTGGTGGAAATTTACCGAGCCACAAAGCATTGGGGTTAATATCCATCACTTTCACCGACGTGCCAGACACAAACCGAAAATTTCTTTATTTCTGCCAATCTATCGAGAGTGGTTTATGGAAATTAACTTCTTGTCTCTTCGGCTGCTAAAAGCTGAATAGTTGTTTAAGCGTGCACTAAAGCAGGGAGATAATGTAGCACAGTAACAATGTCAACCATATTCGGAGTTTGTGTAGCCAATCATAGCTCGCCTTCAACGCTGTCCGCTGTTAGTATATACTAAAACTTGCTAATCATTACCAAACAAGCCAATCAACGCTCGCGAAAAGCACTATTCACCTGTGTGGCATATACTAAACTTATGTACTGTTGCAAATCTTAATCCTATAAGCAAGCTCCCCTTTGGTAATCTCCCTCACTTCGCGAGAGAGGTGGCTTGCAGGCAAACACATCCCACCTACTGTGACAAGCTGTGCAACTGTCCCTCAACTCTCTTATTTTTTTCTCTTACATTTTGGACAGGAGTCTTTGGATTAACGCCGGACATGCACCAGGTGTTCAATTCGCGAAGAGAGACATCATGTTAACGGCAGATCTGCGCCAAGTGAGGCGATGAGTCCTTGTTACTAACCTTTTCCATTCCATTCTTGCCTTGATCCTTCTGTTGTGAATTATTTAGGTACTTATGATTTAGCGCTTGGTTGTGGTTAGGATTTGAATTCCATAGTTACTTTAGTTTTTGCTATTGTAATGCGTTTCCTGATTTTGAATGTCTAGTTGTCGGATTCTTTAATCAGGTCAACCTTATTGTGACACAACAAATATCCTCCAACCCCACCTAAGCGAAAAAAAGACCGTTCCCTCAGAACTGTCTAGTTTTATCCAATTTTTTCATAGTTATTATGCGAATAGATTGATTTCGTGGTCAAGTGGCTTTTCCTTGGCCGTAGTTAAGACTGATTATCGAACAATGACGTTTGTCGACAGAAATTGCTTTGAACCTGCACTTGTTTTGGGCTTTCGTACCGAAATACCGAAGTGACCCGCGTGCCCACTTACGCCTAGTGATGGTTTATATGAAACGTAGACTATAGAGTTGGTAATTAAATAGAGGAGAAGTGAGAGAGGTAAAACTGCTGTTAGAAGAAGTTAGCAGTAATGGTTGGGCGATCAGAAAACTCAGCGATTAAATATTCAGAAAAACTGAAACGACAAGTCTAGATTCTTGGTCCCTTCCGCTAAGCTCGGGATGTCCTTCCAGCTATTGCTCTTGTCGACGTTCTAACACTTCGTGAAGTTTTGTTGAAACACCCCGCTCCCCTCCTTTTATCAAGACCGGCCGCTATGAAGAGCTCCGGCTTATTCCACTGAATGGTGACGGATGTTGAGCTAACGACAACTTCTTAGATGCCTGGACTAGTGAAAATGGGACAGGAATGACCAGATGATTGAAGAAATTAGACATTAAATATACAAGGTACCTTGAATAAGGACATAAGTTTCCAACTGTTAGCTTTAAAGAAGTTGTACATATATCAGAAAACTAATGACAAATAGTTTGACAAGCTATCATGTACTCGAAATAAGACTAGTTGACTCAAACAACCTATTCACACCAGTTAATATTAGATTTTCCGTTTGTCCCTTAATCCGCTCTGAACCATTCACACACGGCAGGTGATGTTTCATTATCAGCTGGTGACCATTCACATATCTTTCCCGTTTAAGTGGATTATTTGTTACGCGTGAAGAACTTAACACTGAAAACCACTTACACGAAGTGCTTCCACGGCCATGTCAATTCCACGCAGTTATTTTCAAAGGTAAAAATCTTGGTGTTGTGGATAACAACCGTAATTCTCCATGCAAGTGCTGCTTGTTTTAGGAGTCGTTTCGCTGTTTCTTTCCACTTCTGAAGGACTTGAAGCAAAGAAAGGTAAAATGAACTGCCGCTCCTGCATCCAATTGTAGACAAAAACGATGCTGTTCTTTGTTGACTGTACTCGACTGTACTCTAATCCTTATCAAATTACAATATCTAATTTCTAATTTCTCACCTCTCGCAATACACACGATTTAGTCTGCCTCGATACAATCATAACATGACAGATTTGAGAGAGAAAATTCAGGTCACCATTCTTCAAAATGTGAGATAATTGACAGCTATATCCTGTGTTAGATACCGCTTAGTACCTCTTTTAATCAATAGCGCAGTTAAAAATTTCCTTCACAACCCAACCCGGCTCCTTACATCCTTATCCTTAAACCGTTCCTCGGTGTACAGCGTTTATCTTAAACCGTTTCTTATAAGCCCGGGGCTTATACAACTTCGAAAGAGGTTTTAAGGGGGTTCATGAGCGGAGGAGCTTATATCCGAGGGGGGCTTATAACCTGAATAGAAAAGGGACTTTGAAACGAGCTATAGCAACGCTATACGTTTAGCATTTGCTGTTTTTTAATTAAACTTAAAAACATCATGATAAATCGGATTCTTTTAATACATTTGGAACAGAACTATAACTAACAACGTTAACAAAACTGGAACATAACGAAACAGAAGTCCATCAATGCTTTCCTATTAGTGAAATTTATATGTCTGATTCACACCGATTCACTATCCCTCAAAACAAGTTAAAGCTAGAGGAGGGCTCGTATAGGGGGATGGGGGGAATGTGATCAAATGTACTTTTCTGTTTACAGTTAGATAGGCCCACAACCGGAGGGGGGGGAGGAGGGAGTAGGGAGTAGGGGCTTATAGGCGGCAGTCTACGGTATCTCAACAAAGTATGTCAAATTAAGACATCTAAACGAAACTGATTAAATTGTTCAGTTTCCTTACGGATCGCTAATAGAAGTCTATCTGTTGGGAAGGGTAATGCGATGAATTTTGATGCGTTTTATGAGCACCTTTTGTTGTATGGAACAATTCAAGAATTTATTAAGATTATGTGTAAACAGGAAGACATACAGACTTTGTGGCTAGAAGCTGGATTGTAGATAGTGGGGTCTGTCCATAAGCTCACGGTACCTCCTTACTCAGGAATATGAATGGGTATCAGCGAGTTGTCAACGAAACTTAACGAGTCACCAGTAGCAACCCTGTAATGGACCAGCCTTCTCACCGAAATGAGGAAATACTTATTTTCATGCCAAACTATGAAAAAAGGGATAAGCTCTGGTACTCGTCGACCAATAGGCTTGCCATACTCACCTTCCCTGCCATAAAAGAGTTTGCAAAGTAACATAGCTAATAAATCAAATATTGATAGGTATACATTTATCAATTTTCTCAAATAATTCTTTCAGGACATCACAGGCACCGTCTTAAGGAATTAGGGAAGCAGAAAAATCTTCGAGGAAGCCTGAAGGAGGAAAAATTGCTTGCTAACGGCAAATATAAAGTTATCGGGCGGAACCCAAAAGCAAACCAGACTACCAGAGACGCTACCGAGAGAAGCTTTGCTTTACTGAGCAGAACGTACAGCCTAAAAATTAAAAAAAAGGAGGCAAGTATACACCATAAGCGTACAAACCACAATTTCCCAAGCAAGATTTCTCCGCAAATTTTTCAGAAAAGTCCTTTCATTAAGCAGGAAGTTAGAAACAGCCGCGCACCGAAAGCATCCTTTGTTAAAGTTCCGTCTAGTGCACCGAGAGATTCGTTTGAAATAGTGAGCGAAGGAAAAGGATCCACTCAGAGTAAGACGAAGGACGAGGTGTTGTTGGAGACCTTGATGCAAGCTGATACTGACTCGGATTCAAACCCACCAATCACAGATGATTCTGAACAGGATGAAAACGAGGATATTTCTGTCCCAAGAAGCAATCGCAATAGCGTACATCGTACTGATAATAAGGAGAGACCCGATGATACAGACGAAGTGAAGCTGCCACACACAGATGACCTTGAAACAAAGGAGCAATCTCGATATGACCATAATAATAATGTTGATGATGGAGACGATGATGATGAACCAGATGATGATAAAGAGGACGCTAATGAAGACGAAGATGACGCCAAAGAGAAGAAACCCGTGAAAATTGAAAATCAAGAATCACAATTGCAAAAGATAAAACATGATGAAAATCAAAACATTTCACCTTACGAGATATCGGATCAAATGAGCCAAGACTTGACGCGTATTCATGGGGGCATCGAGGATCCAACTGCCGCCCTTGCATATCAAGAACGTCATCTTAAGGCCATGAATGAGCTAAGGGCGTATTCCGCTCGGATAAGACAAAAAATGCTGCAGCGTTTACGATTCAGTTATGGAAACATTGTCAATCAAAACACTTTGTTGGTTCCGCAATATTACATTTCACAGCCCTTGACTGTTCCTGAGGTAGCAGTTAAAGTCCCTTCACTGGTAAGACCCTCAACCTCAGTTTTTCGAGCAGCCTTTTTGAAACCCATGCAAAGGACTTATTCACTTCCGCAATCAAACAATCAAGGATATAGTATCAATGTTAACGGCCTACGTGGAGTATTCTCTAAAACACCAGGTTATGTTGTACGATTTCATTCACCAGATAGTGAAGTCACAGTCGTCAAAAAACAGCATGTAACAGATCCAACGAGAGTAAGAGCACTAAAAAATGTATATTAGAACGAAGAATTTACTTAACTATGGCTGAGATGGATTGCTGTGTGCCTTTTCCCCTGTCATTAGATTCATTCAATTTTGTTGAAGGACAATAATGAATTTTGTGTGTCGACATAAAGTGTTTGTCGGGGGTAGACAAGGACAATAAATCCAGTTCGTTCATTTAGGTTCCTTTTCACCTTTCACTACTCAATCGATCAAGTGTACTGCTGTTTTTCCCCAAAGAACATTGATGAGAGAAAAAAAAAACAAAGAACCGGTTTTAATAGGAACGGAAAAGCCTCGAGAGTTCGTGGGTTAATCGTCGCATAAGTATCTAGATTAAGTTGCCTAACTAACATGGTAATCGCGCATATGGAGTTAAAAACTCCAATTCTGGCCTATTGCACACAGGTGCTTTGGTACTTTTTGGAGTTTTTAGTTCATTCAAGCTAATGCATGAGCGCGCAACAGGCCTATTAAAACTACTTCGTCCTCACCTTTAAAACTAACGAAGCTGATGCTAGCAAAAATTAGCGATGAAACAATCCGTGGTTCAGATGATGCCGCTAATGTTTTGGTAACAACAGACCTCCTTAGTGTTTCTTGGTCTGAGGCGAAACACGTAGCAACTTATGGGTAAATCAAACTCAGAGAATCTGAAGAACTTTCAGAAATCTATACTCTACAATTGATTAAGGCATTAGGGAGCGTTTAAAGCCAAGCAGTCACAGATATCAACTATGTATTTTAATACACAATTCTGCGTCTGCGCAGTCTCAAAGTTACACGCACTCAGACACTGATTTTTCTTCTTGGGGTCTGGAATCCACCCTATTTTCCAGAGCCCATCCTCCGGCCAAAGATTTGCGATTTAACTCGGTTCAGCCAGGCCTGTCAAAGGTATGAAAATAAAATGATAGGACAAAGTTCAGACAAGACTTCAATAATTCTTCAATCGATAAGTTGTTTAAACCTTGGCTGTCACAGTACGTGAGTACGGTACTCAAACGTATCAAACACGTGTCACTGGGGTATTATTCCAGGATGAACAAAACACTGTACCAGTGTTTTTCAAGTCAAAAACTAGATAAACCTCGTTAATTTTCGTAAGGAAAAACTAAGATATCTAAACTACTAGCTTTTACGGCATACGTCGTATTGATGTATAGTAGGAGTAAAGTCTGAAAATAAGTATCTGAAGAAGTCAAGTAAGAAATATGGCACTAAATTTCCAGAGCTATGAAAGACCTTAAAACCTAGTAGTAATTGTCGATCACTAGCTAAATTTCCTTTTAAAATATACCTAACCGACGACACTGTCTCCAATTGGTTGATTTACCTCTCAGTTCCATGAGCTAATCTCTTGAAAAAATAGTGCACGGATCCCTCCCACAAGCACACGCTTCTTTTATTGAACTATGTTCTCAGCCTCCATGCTACATTGCAGGACTCCATTCATGAACGGACACATTCTGTCTGGCCGGATAGGATACACGCGGTGTTTCACGCGCTGGTCGTGTTAAGCAGATAATAGTCATGAACACATGTTTAATCTTCTTTAGAAATTATGACGTTCTTTCACACTTTGTGGTATTTCAGATTGTATTGTACTCACGCGCTTGCGCACCACTCCATCCTTTGTCTCCAGGGTGACAGGTTTCTCTCGTCTCAGGGCAAATACACCTTGCTTTGTCGACACTTCTAGATCAGGTGATATGGGACCATTGGATACTAACGCGAACGTGACATTGGTGTCTTGCAATTCAAACTTCAGGGAGCAACCCAGATAGTGTAAACTCAAGGTTAATTTAGTCGTCCCGGGAGGAAGGGTAGAATTGAAGTACAGGCCATCACTTCTGATTCGGAAACCGCCATACCCGTAGATAACAGCCTGCAGAAATCCTCCAGCTCCTGTAATGAAGTTCACTGCTCCCTTACCATTTCGCCTTTCTGACCACACCTACAAAGACAAATTAATTTTGAATCCATATAAGAACAAAATGGCATTAAATACAGTGAAATAGCCATTAGAGAACTGGCAGCGAGTTTGAAACATTGTTTGGCTCCAAAATACCAAGGGTAAACTGTATAAGGTACTACCTTAAAGGGACCCTGGATGTTAGCATAGTTCTTGAAAAAGGCTGTTTCAGCTTTCTTTTCCTCGCCAGCCTCCAGCCAGCCAATAGCAAACATAGCATGAGTCATGGCGGGTCCTTCAGGATCTGTAAGCCTCTCATAAAAAGTCAAGTCGTTATATCGGACCTGAAGAAAACAAAAAGGAAAACAAAATGTTTTAAAATATTCATGCTTTACTTTATCAACTTTGGGATGCTCACATGTTGGAACAGGTTTGAAGTACACGGTATATATAAAATCATATGCGTGCATAATTTTTTCTATATCTTTATGTTATCTACACGCGTGTAACGGTCATTAGCTTGGACGAAGGCGGTGAATTCGGCCGAAATGTAGGTGAGGGATATCTTGCTTGACTCTTATTTTGTAATGGGCGTTAAGGCCACGCAAACGAGCAGCAGAGCTTTGTCTCTAGGAAATACGTGAAAAAAGCTAGCCACTCAAACTTTAAAAAGGATAGATACTTCTTCTGTTATCACCTACTGAGGGCTAAGTCATCATTATGTACAAATCCTTGTACATCTTACTTTCCATTGTCAGGAATTAATTGTAACAAAGGGTATTTCAAAAAGTAAGAATGGGTACTATAGAATATCTATTTTACTCCGTCAAATCCCCGTCTTGCTTATCAATTTGGCCTTAAAGCCACTCACTTGTTTATCCATTTGATACATCAAGGGAAAGCCCACCAGTATAACGTCTGCCTGTTTAACTATCACATTTGCAGCATATCCCTCAAACTCAGGGTGATAGTTATACTTGCTGTTAAAGGGGATGTAAATCTTTTCTGCAATGGTTGACCACACCTCGGGCACCTTCTTGCCCAGGATTTCGGCGGCTTCTTTAGCAAACAGCAAATTTATCTTAGCCACCACATTGGTGAAGAAGGAATTGTTAACTGGATAGTGATACTCGTCCGGTGGCATCACGTGATTGATGATGTATCTGTCTTTCTCAGGATCGTATTCCACCCGGCTGGCCCAGTACTCTGCAGTCTGGTACGTAAGGGGGAATCCAACCTCCCGCAACCAGTGAAGATCCTTAGTAGCATGCCATAACATCTTAGCGGCCAGGGCAATGTCTCCCGTGATGTGATTCTGATTCTTGGCGTATACTTCTCCTGGGGAGGTCTCTAAGCCAGTAAAGGAGCTCTCCCATGGAAACATTGCGCCTGTATGCGGTGCAATTCGAAAATCACGTAAGAAATCTACCATTTCTCAAAATTATTTTTACGCCAAACTGACAAAAACCAATCAAATACTAATAATTGGTTTTTGTACAATGTGCTGGTCTGTGCGTCCATATCTGCCGCTCCGTCACTCCACCTATGCGCTAAACTTCTGTTCTAAACTTTGCCATTTTGTTTGACCCACGAGAGATTTTTTTCTATCTTTTTGTCCCCAGATCTGTCTGTGAGCCTGTCTGTGAGCCTGTCTGTCCCTCTGTCCATTTGTGTGTTTTTGGGTATATACTCATTTTCCTACCTTTATAACCGTATTCCTTAGCAATTCTGCGGGCTGCGGGCAGCCGTTCCTTTCGATATCTCACAGAACTCCTCGCCAAGTCAGGGTGCAGCAGTACTAAAGGGGGGTACATCCATATGTCTTGATCCCAGAATGTGTGTCCCATGTACTCCTCTGAAGCCGGAAGTCCGCCGGGACTCAACCCGTACGGCCAGTCATGTCGAGTGGAACTCAGAATGTAATACATACTGCCGTACACAGCCTGGGCCATTTCTAGGTCCCCTTCGATTTCAATTCTGCCAGTATCCCACAATGCTTTCCAAGCAGCTTTATGCTCTGCAAGAAGCTTTTCCTTCACTCTAAACGAAGTGAACGTAAAAATAAGCATTTGTGTTGCAGGACAATTCGATTATTTCTCTTTACATGGACTACTTAGAGTCTAGCTCGTAAGTTCTTTCCAACAGTGTCAAAAAAGGATCAATTCATTGCCTAATTTTTTCTTCACGTTCTTCACATGCAAATGATTATAATCTTCTCCACTCAGACATTCTGGCGCCGTCATTCGTTGTTAGTGCCTCTTCATGTTTTTCTGTCATACCAACGAATTGTTTTAATTTAAAAGTCTTAAGGTTTTCAATTGACACATCCAAGCCTTCTCGGTTATAATGAAGTGAAAACAAAGTCACATAATGTAGATCCTTACAGCATAGCTTCATCCCACTGAAAGAGGGCTTCAGAGAGCGGGTTGAACTTGGTGTCCAGGTTTGTGGCTATTGAGGTGATGTAGTACCAGGTTTGCTCATCTGAGCTAGCCGTGATTGTCAATGGATGGCTAGAATCTAGGTACTTCCACACAATTGCCACGTTCGGGCGAACACTTCCATATTCCTCAGTCTGTTTTACCTACATTTATATTTGAATGAATGAGGGAATAAACAATAAGATCAGTACTTGGTGCATCCTCTGACAGTGCAGTTACACCGCTAGTCGTGTCATTTAAATCCGGTGATTGCCCTCCATTCAAAGAAGTCAATTTCGTTTGTTTCGTCTTCTGTCAATAATCCCCTCTGACCGCGGCTTCTTTAACTTTGTGTGGTTGCCGGTTTGCGTCCTTGACTGTTTAATTCTCTACAGCGAATATCATCTACTTAGCTTGATCCTCGCTGAGTGAAGGAGAAGGGCTGATGCGTGACATTTCGACAATCTGAGCGGAAGTCATCGTCAGGGTCAGGTTGTTTTCCTTCTACGCCCTGACTGTAGTCACAATTGTCTTTACGCGCTTAATAATCATATTTACCCGTAAACGAATCGAACGGACAAAGTGTGATGAAATAAGTTGAAGCAAAGCAATTGAAGCGATTCAATAAGTCGAAACGATTGTGACTGAATCACGCTGTCCTTCAATAGAAATAAACCTGAACTAAACTTCAACACACGCAAACTGAACCTGTACTAAGGAAAAATAATTGACTAAGCCGAAACAGACAAATAGCAAAGTAAAACCTAACATATGAAAGAAACGAAGCACAAAATATAGAACTAATTGACAAAATCTACGAGAAAGCAAAAAACTAAACTAAAGTAAAAGGCGAAGAACGTTTAAAGAGAAAATTACGTAATCGCTGATATACCTGGCGCCCACGCTGACGACTTCAGAAGCGTAGATATTCCAAAAAGTTATTAGGTAGAATTTTATTTCAGCAGCCACTGCACTGTATTTGTTTACCATCATAACTAACTTAATAGAGAAAAGGAAATTGTGAAATGGATAAGGCCCTTTAACAGAAAAAGCGAATTTTTATCATACAGCGGGGGAGTATGCTGAGGGAAAAAAGGCTAGGGGTGAAATATAACGAGAAATATTATTCGAGCCCGGATTGAGACAAGTACAAATCGTTCCTTACTGAAATGGCGACTTATAAGTTAGGAATAAGCCTGAAGGTGAGAACTTGGGAATATCATCGTTATCAGTTTACAAAAATATATTTGGCTTTGATGTCCCTTGTAATCTACAGCTCCGGAAATAAACAGACAATAGTCAATGGATATGTTTTGTCCATTGTTGTCCAAATTAATCGGCCAGGTCACGTCCACCCTCTCTCAACAATGCATTTATTTATATCTTAGAGCTGAAATAGTGCTATTAGATATGAAAACATGAATATAAAACATACCAAACCTACGCCAGCAAGAGCTTCAGCTCTGTTTGACTCTTTCATGTAAAAATCAATATCCTGTGTGATGTATCCCATGTTTGGAGTAAGGTCCATCAAAAATTCTCTTCCCGCGTTGTTCTTCGCCGTTAGTTCCACAATCAAGAGATTCTTCCTGGTTCTGTGCGCATAAATCCTTTGTTCCACAGTCAAATTAACCGCCTCAAACCACTTGTAAAAGACTCCCTCGTACACGTCCAGCGCATATGAGGTATTCCCAGGGGTCTTCCTGATCTTAAAATTAAGAGAAGCTGTCGAAGGAATGCGCGCTCTATGAGGATGTTCATACAGGTCTATTGGGTAGATCGGATACTTCTTCTGGTAAGCCTTGCCATTATAAACACCCGATACATGCACTGTATCGCTGTAAATCACTGTGCCTACATAGCCGTTCGCAACAGAAGCCATGAAGTTTCCATTCCTGCTTGATAGCAAAGTTGATGGGCTGTTTTGTTCTGGCAGTTTGTCGGTGACGAAGCGAGTTGGTGTTCCAACTGCCGGAATAGAGTATACTGTTGGCACAGCACCCACTAAAAGTAAGGCAAGCGCTACACTACAGCCACTGAGGTTCATCTTGTAACTGAAGCACACTCAAAGAGATGTCCTCAGTCTTACCTACAGTATTGGCAGCAGATGGCTACATTCTGACTAACAGGAAAGATTGGGTTACGTTATGATCTCATTGGCGAATGAATCATTAAAAAATAACAACGGTGATGATTGATAGAGAGAGTGCACTAAACCGTAACAAAATACAATTGTTCTCTTTACTCACACAATAAAAATCATTGTCTCAAAAACCGAGGATGAAAGAAGTACTTAACAGCTTGTGCAATTCATAACATGGCTATTTTTTTGTCCATTAGCTGAATACGATTACATTTCGACCGCGATTGAATAGTGATGCCAAAGATTACCTTGTCTCGTCACGCAACGTTCTCCGCTTAGTTTCCTTCATAACTGTTGTTTGGTCTCGTTACGCTGAGAAAGTTGCGTGACGAGATCAAACAACGGCTGCAAAGGAGACCAAACAGTGGCGGATCTAGGGAAGGGGCCCGGGAGGCGCGGGCCTCCCGTATTTTAGGTGAAAAAAAAAAAAAAAAAAGCCGGGAGGGCAAGCGACAAAAAAACGCCGCCTCCCCCCCTCCCCCATTAGCTTAAGGTCTGGATCCACCACTGCTAAGGACCGCTTGGAGTCTTTAAAAGTGCGATAAGCGTTCGCGAAAAGTCTAAGAGGTTAGGGAACCCTAACCATTACACACTTTTCGGTAGAACTCTCAGCTTTCCTTCGTCCTTGTCTGCTACTTTCTTCATCCATCACACAATATTTGTGACTGGATTAGAGAGGTTTTCTAAACAGTTTAAGAACAGCAGCTTTAGTTCGATTTATTTCTGTATCCATCGATTTATGATCTATTAATTATTGATTTATTAAAAAAGCAAAACGGTTGGTTTTATTACAATTGTGGAATCAAAAGTAATAACGGGATATTTGCTCACGAAATAGGGGATGGTAAAAAACTTAATTGTATCCTCATCCTCGCAAAATGTGAGAAGGAAATAAGGGACAAACGAACTATCGAAAAGAATCCCTTTCGATGTTTATTATCAATGATGGCAGAGATATAGAAAAGTGCTAGTTAACAGCAATAAGCCAATGTGAATAGGTTTGTGATGAGAAACCTTACTTGAACTGTGTGCATGGCTTTGCCTGTCGAACGCTAATAATACCCTTGGCTCTGTCCACTGTGACTGGAAAATCTCGCTCGAGGCTAAATACACCTTTTAATGTTATGACATCAAGGCCAGGAGAAATTGGACCTGAGAAGAGTAGTGTAAATGTTATTGCTTCTTCAGTTACTGCAACATCCATAACACTTCCCAGATAATGCACGGTGGTTGTCATCTTTGTGACGTTTGGGGGCAAAGAAGGATTGAACGCCAATCCAGAGCTTTTCAGCCGGAATCCTCCATAACCATAGATTATAGTCTGTAAAAAACCACCAGCTCCAGTGATGAAATTGACAGCGCCCCAGATGTCGCGACGCTCAGTCCACACCTACAGAAACATACAGAACAGATCTTTGGTTATCTGACTAAAACAATATAAAAGAAAAATAGGAGTTTTTACTGAAAATGTCAGAGTTTTTTGGATAAATAGAATAAACACTCCCGGTAAAAGTCTAAAAAATAGGTACCAGAAATTGTAACTCGTAATCAAAATGACACTACGGTGCACTCGTGGTTAAACTGTGTAGAATATAATTAAAATATACAGGGATTGTCCCAAAAGCCAGTGATCCTGTGATTCCAAGAAACAGAATTGAGCCATCATCCCCACAAAAGTCCTCCTCAGTAAAATACACCATATTTACTAATCGGTCTGCCATCTTTCAAAGACTCCTAAGGCCGAGCCAACACCACGAATGTCACATTACTCGTTCCTATGCTTCGATCGTTGGTTAGTGAAAAGGATAATGAATAGCAAACTGAATGCCTTTGATGGTCTCCTTTCACAGATTGAGGGTTTTACCTTAAATGGTCCTCGGATATTAGCGTAATTCTTTAGGAAAGGTTTCACAGCTTTCGTATTCTCTCCCAGATCTAGCCAGCCAATGGCAAACATGGAATGTGTCATGGCCGGTCCATCGGGATCAGTGCGTTCTTCGTAAAGTTTAAGGTCGTTATATCGAACCTACGTAATAACAGAAGGTAATTTTGTGTTACTGTGTAGCCCAGTTCACTGTTATCTTAAAAGTAAGTAAGATCGATAATGGTTGCTGCTGGAAATTGTGTGTATTCGTTGTTTCTTTAACATGCTAAACACAACATGCTCAAACGCTTCGTGATTCTTTCTAAGCACTAGGTTCTATCAGGAATCGGCGTTTATTGTTTATTTTTTACAAACGACATCAAGGGAAGTGAAAGGCAAGAGACTTAAAATCTTCACTTTCCGCGTATTAAACGCGAAACAGGAATGCTTAAAATTGAGTACTCAAAATATTTCCAGAAATGACGTTGGTTTTGCACAAAGTGGTTTTTCTTCAAGCCAGACTATACCTTCACTACGCTGTCTTTAACACACACCTACAACACGATGGGAAAAAAAACCCACCTTTCTGTCCATTTCGTACATCAGTGGATAACCAATCAGGATCGTGTCAGCCTGTTTCACTTCTTTGTCCAAGGTGTACCCTTCATATTCTGGGTGGTAACTATTTTCACTATCAAAAGGAATGTACATCTTTTCAGCAATCGTCAGCCACTCTTTCGGAACTTCTTTCCCCAAGATGTCAGCGGCTTCTTTAGCAAACAAAAGGTTAATTTTCGCCACTACATTAGTGTAGACAGAGTTATTGACAGGGTAGTGATATTCATCCGGTGGCATCACGTGATTAATTATATATCTGTCGTTGACAACGTCATTTTCTACTCTACTAGCCCAGTACTCCGCCGTTTGGTAAAGAAGTGGATAGCCAACCTCCCGCAACCAGTTCACGTCTTTACTCGCCCTCCAAAACTGAATGACAGCAAAAGCAATGTCGCCATTGATATGAATCTGGTTTTTGCCGTACCTAGCCCCAGGGGAAGTCTCCAGGCCTGTGTAAGAACTTTCCCAAGGAAACATTGCGCCTGAAAAGTACAAAGAAGTTAAGTTTACATGCAAAAAGAATTACTGTCTTATGAGATCGGCAGAAGATACTGTTCTGTGGCATTTTAAAGACCATGAAGTCACTAATTCTACGGAAGGAGAAAAGAAAAATAACCTGGTACCTTATAATTGCAGAGGGTATACCAATTCTTACCAACTTTCCGGATTCAGACTTTGGCAGCTTAAAAATAACATCAGACTAGTTCATTATTTTGTTGTTCATGCTAAAAGTGATGTATCAATCCATTCTCAATCCATGACTCGAAAAATGCTCAATGAAAGCCTATTAGATCATAACGGTTATTATGCCTTTCTGCTTTTACATCCATTTTATTTCATGTTTTATTACCTTTGTATCCAAACTCCTTGGCGATTCTGCGGGCTGCGGGTAACCGTTCGCTTCGATATCTCAGAGAACTCCTCGCCAAATCTGGGTGCAGCAGCACTAGAGGGGGGTACATCCATATGTCCTGATCCCAGAATGTATGTCCCATATACTCCTCTGCAGCCGGAAGTCCGCCGGGACTCAACCCGTACGGCCAGTCGTGTCGCGTGGAGCTCAAAATGTAATACAAACTGCCGTACACAGCCTGCGCCATTTCTAGATCCCCCTCAATTTCAATCCGACCAGTATCCCACAATGCTTTCCAGGCAGCTTTGTGTTCTTCTAGTAAATGCTCTTTGACTCTGAAAGTGACACATCAAAGCGGTCAGTCGTTGTTTGAGCTGAACATAACCTGAGAAAGATGTTTCTTCCTCTGAGTCATCTACATGCTTAAGAGAACTCTTCAAAACACGTGTATTCCATCGGAAAGGCACGACAGGTCCGGTTCAAATTCTCCACTTACCCAGCCAAGGTACAGATTCCCCACACCCCGCGGGCGCGGACGATAGTCAAATGCCCGTGGGTTGCCTTGCTTTTCGTATTCATCAGCTCAAACCTTTACTTTAATTCGCTATGATTGGGCGTGTGATGAATTTAATTTCGGCAAATCGCGAGACAAAATGCGCCTTAGACTTTAGTTCATGTCAAGGCTTGATTAACAAACTAATGCTTACAGCACAGCTTCGTCCCACTGAAAGAGGGCTTCAGAAAGCGGGTTGAACTTGGTGTCCAGGTTTGTGGCTATTGAGGTGATGTAGTACCAGGTCTGCTCCTCCGAAGTGGCTTTTATGGTCAGTGGTTTGTTAACTTCAAGTTCACTCCAAACCATTGCTAAATTAGCCCGCATGCTCCCTGCCTCCTCTGTCTCGTTGACCTGATAAAAGTCAATGCAAGAACAAGATTTCGAAAATGGTTAAATGGTCACGAAGCGAAGAAGAATCGTTGGCCTGTCTGTTAAAATATCTACTCAGGGTATTATTAATATTCTGAACGGTACGTGTAAGTAGAAACTGTCGGAAACCAAAAGTATAGGAGTATTTGTTTCTACCCGATGTTGAATAAACACATTTGCTTAAACGCGAAGGCAAAAATCAACGGTGAATTATAACAAGGGACCATAGCTAATCAGGCAAAATTATGCGAAAAAATAATCTAACAGAACGTAGTAACCTTGGGCAAAAATGACCATGAAACAAACGAAAATGTGACATATACATAACGATAATTGTGTGATGTTTTTCTCTGGGAATGCGGCGGCAATTGAACGCTTTTTACAGTAGTAGGTTAGATGGAGGGTAACAGCACAATTACCTCCCTAGAAAGGCAAGCTCTTCGTTAAGTACATCTGTATTATAATGTTACTATAAAAAAAACACTTTCCCCATAGAGAAATTCTATATTTCTACTTTTGTTAGTGTAAATAATATACTTTTACTCGGAGCTTGGGTCATCTGCGGAGCTTAGGTCACCTGCGGTACTTCTACACTGACTTTTCAAGAGGAATATGACACCGATAACCAAAGTAACACAGCCGACATGTTTCTTGTTTACGGTAGAGTTTTAGGACGTACCAAAACCTCGCAACCTACAGAAGTGTGTGCATTTACTTTCGATCATGCCCGATAATTGCAAATAATAAATATAATGAATCATGCAGTACCATTCCAACTGCTGCCAGAGCTCCAGGTCTGTTTGAACCAGCCGTTTTAAACCCGATATCAACTGAAGAAGCCCCTTGATTTGAAGATAGGCTCATCATGAACTCTCTACCAGCGTTGTTCTTTGTAGATATCTCGACGATCAATAAATTCTTCCGGGATCGATGCGCGTAGATTCTCTGTTCCACATACAAACTATCGGCTGTTAACCATTTGTAAAACACGCCTTCAAGCACATCTAGGGCGTACGAAGTTTTACCTTGAACTCCTTCGACGGTAAAGTCGATAGAAGTAGTGGAAGGAATACGAGCGCGGTGAGCGTGTTGGTAGAAATACAGTGGATAAACATCCTTCTCCTTCGGATAAGCTTTACCATTGAATACCCCAGAAACATGTACCGTGTCACTGTAGATCACCGTTCCAATGTATCCATTGGCTACTGAAGGCATAAAAGTACCATTTTTGCTCTGAAGAACGGTGACCCTCCGATGATCTGTGGGCAGTGTGTCCGTAACAAAGCGCGTCGGAGAGCTCGCCGTCATGTTAGAACGAACAGTCACTTCAAACCGCACAACCAAGAGCGGAAAGGATGATTCCGTGACAGTTAACAATCATCCTTAATTTAGGCTTAGACACCTCCATACTCTCTATAAAAAGCAATGGACCAGTACTTGTCGAGATTTTTTAAAAGTGAGGATATGTGGAGGCGTGTTTGCCTGGTATATGTGGGAGCTTCCTCCTCCTCGTCGGAATATTTGAAGGAGATATAGGTGAATGGAGGTATCACGCAACGCTCATCGTGACGAACACACCATTTGCGAAAAGTTATACGGGAGGGTTGGATTTGTTTTTTTTTGGAAGCCGGTTTTTTTTCATTGTTGTCTTCTTATTTATTTATTTATTTATTTATTATTTAGCTATTTATTTATTATTTATCTATTTATTTTTGGGGGGAGGGGTGGGTAGGCAGAAATCCTTGCGCATATTTTTAAACTATATATAAGCTTTTTTTTTTTTTGCCCACCCTCCCCCTCCTAACCACTGTTGTACTTTTTCTTCATCATGGCAGCCGGAGGACCGTTCTTTCTCATGCGCCTTGTGTCTTCGTCTGTCGCTGTGGCTAATCGAGCCGGTGGAATTATCCGTAACATACTTAAAACAGGCAGCCTTGGCGTTGTAGACAAGGTTTGTGTATTTATTATAAAATACTGTCAGAAAGTGGGGCAATTTGATTTAATATTAAAAGGTGGATCGAACCGATCCGCTGATGAAACGAATGAAGCAAAATAATATTATTATTTGCCTCTTCCACCAAGGGTCTTAAAATTCTGGCGAACGGTTATGTCCAATCGTCTCTTATTTCTTTATGAATTTGTTGAATGAGTGAAAATCTCTATGGTTCTACCCTGATAGCTAGTTTTTTTACTGCACCTGACGTGTTTGTGTAAACCATTTATAATCATTAAAAATTTATTCATGGATGATTTGGAAAAGTACACCAGCTGCTACGCGTGAAAAGTCACAGTTGACCTTCTCTTTTATCGAGTTACTGAAAGCCAGTATACCAAGGTTTTTATCCAACTTGTTTTCTTCTTGTCTACCTTTTAGTTTTGTTTTTGTTTTTGTTTTCTCTGTGTTATGTAAATCATATTTGAAATGTAAAGCAAGAAGGTAGATTTCTTGAGTTTGAAGTTAGTATCATCCTGCAGGTTTATTCTATCTCTTGACCTCTGGGAGGAATCGTTATTGAATTTGTGTTAGGTGCTCAAGTTTGTTTAGCGGGAAGAATACTTGTAAATGCAGAAGATAACCTCAGTGCTGGGCTTACCTTGTTAGAAGGTGACACTGCCATTGAAAAACTTTGACTGCTTAAATAAACATATGGGAGTGCTTCCTACTCTGTGTAAAATAATCTGCAACAACCATGGAGAATTGCAACATTCACAGAAGAACAAAACTGTCCATTAGCTTAATGAAATAATGTGCATATGTAATATGTACCTCACCAAACAAAATGACTTTTCATGCTTCAGGGAGGCAATGGAGAATATGACCCACAAACTGAAGCAGATCGTGCATCTCAGAAGTGTATAATTGCCTCACTCTTGAGAACATATCCAACTGTGCAAATTATTGGAGAGGAAGAGGTGTGTTGATTTGAATCAAACCTATAGCTGGATGCTTGACCAAATTAGCAACAGAAAAATAATGAGTGAGTCAAGCCCTATACATGGCTCCCATGTGACAATTGTTCTGTTGATGATATGTATGTGAGTAGCAGCAGGGTTGAAATAACCCTGCTGGGTGTTAGAAAGACACTCTTTTTGATTTTAGTAAAATTGTTTTTAGTTTTGTGTAGCAAGCTTGTGGCTTGTGGAAAAGATCTGAGCCCAGTTGTATATAGGGCGGATAAAGCTATCCAATGGATAAGTCACTATCTAGCAGAAGTGTTTGAAAATGTAAAGCAGTGTTGACATATAGCGATTTATTCAGTGGATAACGTTATCCAACCTTCGAACAATCAAGGCCTGTATACTATATACTAGGATACTATAGATGAGTGATTGTGCTGTGTATCCACAATAAAAACTTGTATTTTATCTTTTCAGAATATTCATTTAGAAGACATGGAAGAAGAGTTTATTGAAATATCTCAAGATGAAGCAGTTCTTTCTAAAGCTTGTCCAGAAGATCTCATTGCAGTCAAGCCAGAGGAAGTGAGTTACTATTGCTTCATAGTTATACATTATTTATCAATATTATTGATTGTATACCAAGGTTTGATAATTTATTGTACAAATTGAAGTATTTTTGTTAGTCCATGAGAATCATGATAATTAATGATCAGCATGATTTTAGGCTACAACCAAACCTATTATTCCTGGCTTAGTCTGCTGTGCCAGTCACTAAAGTCAGGATGAACTTAAGAAGTTTGCAGCACTCAAGTGAAGTCATGCATGTTATTACAACATCAGTTGCTCTGCTTACACAATCTATGTGAAGCTTTTAGGTCTTCATCTATAACTGTCTTGCATTTATACAGGTTACCATCTGGGTGGATCCACTAGATGGAACAAAAGAATTTACAGAGGGTACGAGAATTTGTGTTGAACTAACAGTAAATGCCTGTATTGTGAAAAGGTCACTTTCCTTCCTTAGAATTCTTTCTACCCTACCCTTCCTCTTGCCAAATACTGTCGTACTGCCATTCAGATGGACCATTATAAGATACACATGTTTATCTTAGACACTTGTGATACTATTTCCCTTTTTTTTCTTTGTTTTTGTAAGCAACACTATAAACACATCGTTTATTAAAGCTTGGTGAGTTGAAAAACAAGTCTTGACTCATAAGTTTTTATTACCCCCCCCTTTCTCTGAGCCCCCTACCTGAAATCTTTGAAATTGACATCTTGGGAAATTTCTAGAGCATTTACATTTAGGTATGACTGGCTGGCTCTGAGTTCAGGTTTACAAATAAGAGGATTTTTTTCTGAAATAGGAAGCAATAGGTATCATGGTTGGTATGATACATGCTTGTTAAAATTAATCTTTAGGTAACCCCTGGCTATTTGTATTTAGTTGTAATCTGCCTTCTGTGCAGTTGAATTAATTTATATTTAATTTAGTACAAAATTGATTTGACTTTCTTATGTCAAACAGGTCTTTATGACCACGTCACAGTTCTTATAGGTATTTCATTAAATGGCACGCCTATAGCAGGAGTCATCCACCAGCCATTTTATGGTCATGAAAATGAAACTCAAGGAATTAAACTTGGAAGGACTATGTGGGGTGTAAGAGGTCTTGGCACCTTTGGTTTTACCCACATCCCCCCTCCCCCAGGACGATGTGTCATCACCACAACTCGCTCTCACTCCAATGGGTTGGTAATGGAAGCAATAGAAGCAATGAAACCTGACAAGATATTAAAGGCTGGTGGAGCAGGTTATAAAGTGTTGTTGCTGCTTGAAGGGACTGCTGATGCCTATGTGTTTGCTAGCCCAGGGTGCAAACGTTGGGATACCTGTGCATGCGAGGCTCTCCTTGAGTCAGTAGGTGGTACTCTGACAGACGTGTGTGGAGAGCATGTCACATATGATCCTAAAGCAGATAGCTATGTGAATAAAACTGGTGTGCTGGGATCGCTAAAGGACCATAAGTTTTATGTAGACATGATCCCAGAATCTATTAAAAGTAATCTGCGTGGAAAATTGTAATTTACTATTTAATGAAATGATTCACAAATTAAACTTACTCACTCACACTGAAGAATTCCTAGTTTTTATTTTTGAAATCCCATCTATGTTAATTTTGCCACCTACCATTCTCCATTTGCTATCTACTTTCAACCTTATTGACAACCCTGACTCTCATAGGTTGATGTGCCTAGGTGAGGCCATGTAGACACAGATTAAGTCTTCTATCGCTTTATTGTAATACAGTGAAGCATAAGTCACAAGGCTTACTAAAAAAAAGCAAGATCAAAGAAGATCAAAATCATGCCCTATGTACTTTGAAAATAATCTATTAATAACAGCACAAGATATGTAGAATTGTTTTATGTCTAAAAATTATATCTTGTTTCTCAGCAGTGTTTGATGTAAAGGGATTTTCCAAAATAATTCGTGAAGAACATTTTGTTACCTTATCTTACAATATACATGTACTAAATCAATGCATGAACCCTATGTGGTGTGATTATTTTATTTCCTATTTTGTGAATGATGAATGTTTCTTCTGCAACCAGATCTTGTCTTCCTTCGAATCAGTCTTTTATCAGAAAAAAGGTTGGGTGATTTACTTTTACGACTTCTCAGTGCCATGGGGGTCTTTCTTTCAAACACATTGTTTGAACCATCAGCACCTTTTCTTTTCTTTTGTATAGACTGAGACTTAGGAACAACCTGACATATTCTGCAACACAAGAGAAAAATAGTCAGAACTACAAACTTGTAGAAAAGATCAAATAGAAAGCTGCAAGGCAGGAGACCCAATATTTATGTACACCTGCTCCTGGAAACATAGCAGGCCATATCTAACCTTATCATTTGCTTACTTTTCTACCAAATGGCTACATAACAGTCTGCTGAACCATTTAACTCCCAGAAGTAATGAACATGTAACTTCTCCTTATAACCTATACACTGTTCAACAAACAGGTAACAAGAATGCTCAAACTTATCAAATAGAAGTTATTACTTGATTGTACACCAAATGTTTGTTACAGGGAAATTTATAGCAACAAAGGGGAGAATTAACTATTAGATCTTAAAGGGTTAAAAAGACCAATGGCAACTGCGACAAAGGTTAGGTCATACTATAAAAGTAAGGAACATACCAGTATTGACAAATTTGTATACCTTTAAACAGTAAGTTGTGGCTAGTGGGTTCCCAAAAATATTCTTAAGTCAACAGTTATGTTAAGTCATCTTTTTGTAAATCACTCTGAAAAACATGTCTGAGATTTCTGTGATGATCAGTGATCACTGGAGATATATGAAAACTCCTACTTTTACTGTCTCAGACTTTGGTGATAGTTTGAGCTCACTACCAATCCTCTTATTGCTTGATGAATAATGAGGTAAGTTTCTAAAGAAACTGTGGTGCCGCATTGGTGGGAGAGTATAGCAGGTAATTTAGTGTTAACAACTGAATTGAAAACATAAATTAGCCACTGTAAAGGGTAAAAAAGCTGATGTTTCGAGCATAAGCCCCTCGTCCGAGTGATTGATGAAGGGTTAACGCTCGAAACGTCAGCTTTTTTATCCTTTATGATGGCTAATTTATGTTTTCAACTCGGTTGTTAACACTAAATTACCTCTTATTGCTCGGCTCCACTCATAAATAAAAGGTTCCTGCGGTCCATAAAGACAAAAGTCTGGTGATCTCCTAAATGAATATAGGCAAAATCTGGGACCAAAGGGAAACATTGAAATTGCTGATTGTGTGCAATTTTCCCAGCATATGAACACTACATGTAGCCCTTGGGGTTTCCTTCATTATTTATTTGAGTGGAGTGCATGGATAAAAAAGAAGTGAAACAATGGGTTTTAAGTCTTCCTATGAAAAAGATATAACTGATTTCCAAACCCTTTACCTCAAATGAGACCCAAAACCAATTGAAGAATAGGAAATCCAGAGTCAAAAGATGCCAATAAAGGCAATCTCCATCTTTAAAATAATGATATCACGAGTGTAATCTAATGTGATGATCTCTTATTTTTCGGTATTTTTGCTCAAATTTCAAAAGTCAGTAATCAGGGCCTAGGACTACAAATGGCGAAGTTATGGGATGAGGCTTCTGCATACAGGGAAGGTACCCTACCTTAACAAAGGCTTTCATAAGGTTCCTTTGTTTCTAGGAAATGAGATGCTCTGATCGTACCAACCCATAAATAGTTAAGACGAAAATATTAACTCACGATGAAAAGTAAAGAAAGAACGTGAACGTAAAAACATCAATACAGCAGCTGTACTTCGAGCTAGAGAGTAAAACGGACGTATTTCTGAGGCCTTTGTAAGTGAAACTAGACCAAAACCCACTTCGATTTACTTACGATTCAAAAACAGTATTATTGTTCTGTTTACGCTTGAATTTGAACCAGCGATGAAGGATCGACCCTCCTATTCATCTGGGCTGTTGTTCGAAGGCCGGTTAGCGACTAATTCAATCTACGTTTCTTTATTTATCTGCTCAAAAGCCTCTTTGAGAAAAAAATTCCTGCCTTTTTAGAACATCCAATCATCAAATTGATCGTCAAAAAGATTAAAACTGAGTTTTTCAGATCTGAAATCAAATTTCACACTAACCCTGGCCCTGCTCATGATGTGGAAGATTGCGAAACGAATAATCTGGCGTGTTGACATACAGTCACGGAAGTTAAAAAGCAAGGAAACTCACTCTAAATGATCGGGTATCTCCCAGTGCCACATCTGCAAGTTACAACGACCATTTGGACACTTTCTCACTCCTAGATGAGCTTGAATTTCAACATTATCCTCGGGTATATCTGGTTTTGTCAGCGGGAAGGTATTCTCTCGTTGGCAGGTAGGACATCTTTCTAGCCCGACTTTCCTGTTACCTAGTTTGTCGTATAAGCAATTCTCACACAAACGATGCTGACAAGATCCATAAATCATCCTAAGGTTCGGAGCCCAGCAGATGAGGCAGTTGAACCGTTGTTCAAACGAAATTGTGAAAGGAAACTGCGTTAACGCACGGTCCGCCATGCTATCAGCCGACTTTCCCGCCGTTGTTTTTCGTAACCATGTGAGGAACGTCATGATTGGCCGGTCAGATGATCGGCCACTTAAGTTACCCTCGTAAGAGAAGAATCTGGAAACAAGATTTACTCTGCGCCAGATTTCGTTACCGGTGGATTTGCATCCTCTGCGTAACAGACAATAGTTTTTTTTCTTTGTGCCGCTGGAGGACTAAAACAATTTTAGCTTTAATGCATGGCTGATTTTGCTTTCAATTTGTTCTCCTTGCTCTACTTTTCATATTAGGAGTCACGCAACGTCGAGGGATGTGCATATCTTCGTATGTTTAGAGGGTCGGGGGTTTCATGGGCGTTTGTACAATGTCGAGGGTCGAGGGTACCTTTTTTCCCATTTTTTTTTTAATCACCAAAGAAAAATTAAACCAAATTTGACTAAAGTAATAAAAGAAAAAAATTTCAAGATACGTATTGCATGTGGACATTAGATCTTTTTATACGTGGACATCGCCCCAAAAAATAGCGAGTGAGGGAGGAGTGAGATGGTGAAAAGCACATGGACATCCCAGTTCGTTTTTCAAAACCTGATTAGTTTTCAGATAATTAAATTAAGAACCCACCGAAAGCTCATATTCGATCATAAATCTGGTTAGATTTCCCGTGATACTGTAACATCACGAAGCGAAGAAATGTGAAAAAAAAAATGCCAAGAAAAAGCGCGATGTCTTTATAAATAGTTTCACAACATGGAGTGTAATCCAGCTGTCAAGGAAACTCTCCTGACATGTCCAAGCTCCAGACAATAAAATTCCCCTTGCAGAATCGGTCACATTTACTGACTTCTCGTTTTGCCGACGGAAAATATCGGCAAGCAACAGTAGCCACTATAGTTCCACTTATACAATACAATACAATATTTATTTGCCATATACGACATTTACACATGGAAAAAAAAAAATGAAGAAAATTGATGACAGAAAATAAATGGCGAGAAAACCTGAAAGAAACCACGAGGCTTATAACAAGTCAGGCTTTCTCACTTAAAATAACTAATCTTATATTAGAATTACCTTATGGTAATTAACTTTGACCGCGCACACGTACACACACACACACACACACACACACATTTTGTTAGTTAAGAATTTTTACAGAAGCTAATACTTAGAGAGAAGAAATTCCTTAAGCTTTCTTTTGAAAGAAGGGAGGAGGGAGAACTAGTTATGTCAGAATTTAACGAATTATAAAAGTTTGGACCTTGAAAGTTTGAAAACTTCCTGGTGTTCGTTCTGCACAGTGGCAAACGGAAGGACTGAGCATTCCTAGTATTATAATTGTGGATTTGACTATTCAGTAAAAAAAAGTTATTGAATTTGGAAGGGAGTGTAGAGTTCTTGAATGAAAACATAAAAGTACCTAATTGAAACGAATGGATATCATGAAATTTTAAGAGTTTAAGTTCCTTTAAAATAGGGCCACTTCGCAAGTTTTGTAGATTTTTACGCAAGAAGTGATTGGCAGCGGCCTGGGCAAATTCGAAAACAAACCTAAGACCACCTGGTCGCGATTTCCGGTGTCGGTGATTAACTTCTTTGTTTATGAAACAGATAAAATCGATATTTGCTCTTTCCCATATTGCAAGTACAGCTCCTTTATGTCTGGTTGTGTCAGTGTTTTTGTTCGATTCGAGAACATGGATTCCTCTTCGAATCCACGAAAAAAGAAAAGCACGATGTTTTTATAACTGGCTTCACAAAATGGAGTGTACTCCAACTGTCAAGATCCAACAACTACAACGCGACGGAAATTGCTGTGGTTCTTTAGGTGTATACATCGCTATCTTTTAAGCCGACGTCCACGCATACAAAGATCTATGTCCATGTGCAATCCGTACCTTGAAATTTTTTTCTTTAATTATTTTAATTATTTTAGTTAAATTTGGTTTAATTTTTCTTTATTAATTAAAAAAAAAAAAAAGGGAAAAAAAGGTATCGCCCTCGACATGAAACCCCCGACCCACTACCCTCAACAAAAAGATAAACTCGAAGTGACGTGACTTGGTTGACTAAGACGATTTCATTGGTGACGTGACGAATTAACATGGCGAATTCCGGGATAAGAAAGAGAGAAAGCTTGGAGGCTATACCGGCCGGCGAACAATCGTTTGTGAGAAGAACTGTAAAAAACTTAGTTTCTGGAACATTTAGTGGTATAGCTGTTTGCCTCGTTGGTCATCCATTCGATACCCTCAAGGTTCGTCTCCAAACACAACCCGTTGACAAACCGGTGTACAAAGGACTTTTGGATTGTTTTGTGAAAACCATGAAATGGGAAGGAATTGGAGGACTGTACAAAGGAGTTGGTGAGAAGTCTATGTGTTTTGCTTTTTTTCCAGTGTCTCAATAAACTTTTTTCATATGTCCCAAGTTTTGCAAGGGTGAAGAGATCTATGCTATATTTAGATTTACCGGTATTTAAGGAACTTGAATCTATTCCTACCGCAAAATACCGAGGGAACATAAGCCTAACAACTTTAAAAGAAACCACAGTTTCATACTCATGATTAAATTATTGGACTCCTACTTCACAGTCTTTCAGTTTTGCTAATCACTTGAATGATTGCAGACGAAATTGAACTCCGCTCATTCTTATTACCAATTGCAAGCAATTATCAAATTTGGACAACTACAAAGCAGGATGACTAGTAACTGTCTTATTACAGGTGCCCAATTTCAACCAACTGTCCCATTATACTTTCAGATTACAACCCTCCAGAACTGAAGTGATAAGTGTTTCAAGCAGTTTATCCACCAATGGTTTTTAAAAGGAGGATCTTTGATCCTTTTTTTCAGTGACTGATTACACTATATTTTTATAGTTTTTACCAGAACGCAAGTCAAATAAATTTTTAAAACATATTCATTTGTTGAATAATCATGCTTCAAATCACTGTTTTCTCTCCAGGCTCACCCATTGTGGGTCAGATGTTTTTCAGAGCAACTCTCTTTACATCCTATTATCAGGCAAGTGGAACAAATTAGTAATGAAATTTATTATGCATTGCTACATTATGTGTCTATACAAGTGCTACTCTATTTTTAAAAAAAGAGAGAATAATAAAAGGGTTTGTACAGTCTTGAAATAGCTTTAATTAAGAGAAGTGAAGCTCTTTCCATTGATTCTTACAGAGTGAAATGTTTGTCAGCACAATGGATTTCTGATAAAGTTTTTTTGGTCATCAAGAAACTTCAAACAACATCTTGACTTGAACAATTTGAAGTCAAAGAATGTCATGCCATATACTGGCAGTAATAGTGGTGTGTCTTTGATTATATGCTAACTTCAAACCCTTGTGGCTGCAGTCTCTCAAAAGTGTTTTAAAAAGTGTGGACGAGAAAAGATCCATCCTTTGAATGAACACCTTGAAGAAAGTTGTAGATTAGAAAGGTTGCTTTTTGCTATCTACCACTGCTTTACAGAGACAGGAAATACTGACTATTGTAAGATGTTTTTTATCTGTATAAGGCACATGTAGCACACATAGTGAAAAAAAATTCACCAGTCCAATTTATTGATATTTAAGATGACTTTTTTTTTACTCCACAGATAACTGCATTTTTTGCTGGAAAAGATCGTCTTGGTCAGCGCCTCACAGTTCCAGAGTACTTTCTATGTGGTATGTTTACAGGTGCTGTTGCTGCTTTGGTTGAAGGACCCATTGATTTGGTGAGTGTTTATTTCTCATTAAAACTAGATTCAGCTTTGGAAACTTAGTGATAGTTAATCTCCAAACACAATGAAAATAACTAAACGGCAACCACAATTTGTTAATTTTACATAATAATATTGCTTTTTTTTCTCTGAGGCCTTATTTGGGATGATCTTACATTTGGTGGAAGCATCATATAGTGCTTGAAATTAATGGGTTTTATATATTCTATATACATTGTTTTTATCCTTTACAGGTGAATGACAAACTCACATAATGACTACCTTACAGTTTAGTTGACCTTCATAGCGCAGTTGGTAAAGGTAGTGCACCAATATCCAAAAATAATTAAATATAAATTCAAAGTCCTGTTCTGACCTAAATTTATTCTATCATTATTTAACAACTCTCTAAGTTATCAAAGCGAGTGGGATGATCTAACAGGGTAATTATTGAAACTGATATTTTGCAGGTTAATTGTTTGATTTTCAGATATTCACTCAGATGTTCATATGTGGGTTATTTATAAAACATCTTGTTTTTTTATTTAAAGATGACCTAACTGAATCCCTTCTTTTCTCAGTGGAGCATAGGTTCATGGAATTTTTGCTGCCTATTGGTCTGTCCAGCCTTACTCAACCCATTGCCCATACTTAGGGACAACCTTGACTCCCCTTTCTTTGAAAGTCCCACTGTTGAGACCAGCTACCTTTCCATTCTTTAGATGCTTGATGGCCCTCTAGATCTCTGCTGCACATAGCCTGTACCAACTGACCTGCAAAGTATCTCACTTAGTAGGTAGATCCCTTAAGGGCTCTGCCCAACTTTTTCATACTCTTCTTGATCAGTGACCAACTGTCTGCTTTTGCCTCTGATAGGTCTGTCATCAATCTTTCTAGCACCTGCCAGTGTTCTTGTGATGGAATGTAGCCTTTTTTTGATTGCCTCTGTATGATCCTTCCCCCTTCCACAAAGTTCATTCAGGTTGTTCCTGATGTGTCACTGAACCTCCTTGTTGGTGTCAATGTATCAGATACAGCCTCTATCTTTCTGCTGTGGTGCAGTGTCTCCTTCAACTGGCTTTTGTTGTATTCAAAGTCTTATGCTGTTTGCACTTTCTTTCCTAGCATGTCTTGAAAGATATCCTTTAGTTGTCATGTCCTGTCCCACTTAGGAGCACATAGGAATATACCTCATCATCCTTATGGCATATTTGTGGCTTATTTTCTTCATGTTAATATCGCTCTTCAGCTTCAGGGTGATGGTATTGTGGAGCAACACTGACCCCTCTGTTTTCTCTGACATCAAATAATGACATTGTTGTGAACTTGAAAAATGTTTAGATGTGGTCAATTGTGGGTCCTGCAACACTCAACCCCTTATGTTTTCTCTGACATCAAAATCTAATGAAGGAACAAAAGTTGAACTTTATCCTACAATTTCTTTAGCCCTTGCTTTCTGGATTTTCTATATCTGCTCCTGTTTGTATGACAGGTTTGGGATGGGAGAATTCCAGAGAGTTTCACAAATCCTTGAGTGCATTTCTTTCTCCATACATTCAAGCCGCCTCATGTTTTATATTGAAAATGAAATAACGTTAAGAGTTCCTTTAAAAATTTGGATATAATTCAAAGTTCATTAGACTGGTATGAAATCAATATTTTTCTTTGGATTCCTGTTGCATTAGTTAGTCCTAGATAATAGCTAGATTTCTTGTGTAAAATAAGGTTGAGCGATGCTTCTGAGGATGAGCTAGTAAAGGCCAAGGGTGAACCTACCTCCTTCCACTACTAACATTTTAGTCTTCTCATCAAATTCAATCCAATGTACCTAGGTAACCTCATATCCAGACTTCTTTAACTGCTAAATTTTGAAGTAGAGGTTACAGGGAAGTCCACAAACTAGTTTAAAAGGAGTGTAAAATCATACAGTCATTGCTTTCAGTGCTGACAAAACGTTAGAGTTCAATTTGTTACTTTGAAATATCTAACAAAATACACTGTTTGGTCTTCTTTAGTTCAAGTCAAAGATGCAAATCCAAATAATACGAGCGAAATCTGGAGAGTCAGTCATGTATAGGAATGTGTTCCATGCAGCTTATGTTATTGTAAAAAAACATGGAATCCGAGGAGCTTACCAAGGTCTGCCTGCTACGTGGCTAAGGAATATTCCAGCTAATTCAGCTTTCTTTGGTGAGTTTAAACAAAACCTCGAATTAGTTTATCTATGGGATAGGGTTCAATTTTAAATCTGAGCTAATCAAACCCGAAACTTAGTATTGATCCACGGATTTTGCGAACGAATAAGTGCTTCTTTGAAATTTTTTTCCTTGAAAGAAAAACTAGCGAGAAACACTGTGAAGTCCAGTGCGTATTGTTTGACTAACGCAGACTTCTGCAGGGCGTCGTGGTGGCACTACAACACAAGGAGTCTGTCTACATACCATGATCAGAAAGTATGCCTTAATTAGAAGAAACAGAAAAAACATGTTGAAGTATGTTTTCAGCGTTTTAAAGCTGTAATTTGCAGTGTTGCTCACTAACTTAGCTTTCATATGACAAACCTATGATTGTCTTCTTATTCTTCCAGGTTTCTATGAATTATGTCGCACTCTGTCGATACCCGAGGGAGGTACGGTATTTGACTTATCCCCCATGGCATTACTTGCCTCTGGGGGAACCGGGGGATTTCTATATTGGTTCCTTACATACCCTACGGATGTTATCAAGTCTACTATGCAAGCCGATGATTCTGTGGTGGAGAAAAGACGATTTAAAAGCATTAGGGACTGTGTAAAAAAACTTTATAACGACGAAGGAGGATGGAGGCGATTCTACAGAGGCTTTACCCCGTGTTTAATGCGATCCATTCCAGCAAATGCTACTTTGTTCTTTGTTGTTGAAACAATCAGAAAGTATCTTCCGATATAGGCCTGACAAGGTTTTAAGACCGAGACTCTCCTAGTTAAAGAATTATGAGAAATTTTGTGACCAAAAACTGGTTACGAAACACATCGCAGCAATATCAACAATATCGACAACTTTCAATCTTAAAATAAGCAGCTAGTCTATGGCCCGTTTCTAGAAGATCCTAGTAACTTAGCGGGCCCGTAAAGCTGCTCTGTTTTCATTTAAGATGGGGGTTTAGAGGGTTAAATTAAAATATAAAACTTTCATATAAAGAAACAAGAACGATTGGCTAAGGTGCAAGAACCTGCCTCGCAATTCTTTAACTTCTGATTCTATGGCTTGGGGCCCGTTCAGTTACTTGGACCATCTAGAAAAAGCCCTCCCCTCCCCAGCTCGCAGATAGCTAGTGCTATTCTAGGCGGGATAATCTTCAAAATCTAATCAAGGATTCCTAGATTACCATACATTAATATTGACATAGCTATGGCTGTTTCAACAACTCGGGGAATTCTCACATCAAATGTCTTGGTTCTAATTGAATTAAATATTGCCGGCAAAAAACGGTTATTAGCCACCAAAAGATGGATCACCACGTGCGAAGTGCAATTATATTCTTATTATCGTAATTTAGGGATATATGGGGAATCTTATATTTTTATTTTAAAGGCTTCTGAAGCGATTTCCTCAAGCTAGACCAGTAATACTTATACTTCATTCTTTGGACTTTCAGCCAACATGAAAGTGATTATCTATTACAAGAATCTTACGATATAATAAACTACTTATTAATAAACAGTTCCTTGACATATCGTGACGGTTTTTGTATTATAAGTGCTGATTTGTTCGCTGTATGTTTATTGCCAATAGTTCATGAACATTCAAGTAAGTTTCGCAGTTACTTGGTCTCAAGATTGATTAACTCAACTTTTCACTTAATGTAGCTTGAGAAATTCCCGTAGGAGGCATAAGAGAGGGGAATAGAAATCCCCACGGAAGTAAGGCGTATAATTCCAAATTTAATACAGTATTTAGTGGGGTAAGTTTCTAAAGAAACTGTGGTGCTGCGTCGGTGGGGGAGTGTGGCAAGATTATTTTTGTTTTATCAACTGAGTTGATAATGTAAACCGGCCACCGTAAAGTGTTTCGAGGCTGACATTTCGAGCATTTTTCGCTCTGACGAAGGGTTAACGCTCGAAACGTCAGCCTTGAATCACTTTACGGTGGCCAATTTACATTGTCAACTCAGTTGATTAAACCAAAATTATATTGTAACGAAAATATTAGGTAATTTACCAAACCTGAGTTATTGTCCATCATTCCTTTATGGGCTTTACATTAGATAGTGAATCCAATTAAATTTTTCCCTCGAGGCGACGTGCAATATTTTACTAATGTAAAAGTCTATTTTCTAGCCCTGCAACTTGACCAAACTTTTTACAAATTCGACGATATTCAATCCTAAATCCAAATGTCCTCATGCTGAGAAATGTACTTCCGAAGGGAAAAGGAAGAGATTGAAAGATTCAAGATGAAGAACGATTTAAAAAATAACATTCGACATAAACTTCTTTGCGAAAGTACGTAAGAAAGGTCTAAATTGTTTCCGACGAACTTTCGCAAATTTTACTTAATTTTCAATCTTTTTCGATAGAGTTCTTTTTGCCCTTCCATTAGATTACTTGACTGTTTAGCCAATGATATATAAACCGCAGTCGTTTTCTTTGGACTGAGATCAATACTAAATTACATGGTAGTGCGTAAATTTCATTTTCAAACAAAATCAATTGTGGGCCAGTCTGTAAAAAATAAGTGCATAAATGCATCCGGTTCATTTCATGGACATGGCGAAAAGCGTTATTTTGAACTCCATGACAAATTGATATTGGTATTGCAATGTGAAGTGTTCCATTCTCGATCACATACAGTATTCAAATGATCTTTGTGAGGCACTCCATATCACAAACTGGAAACATCACAAACTGGAAATAGATAATAGCACAGAGAAAACGTTTCTTTTAATTGTATGTAAGGACAGAAATATTACTTTAAGGAGCATATGGCTCCATTACTTCTGTATTCTACAATAATTCTTAAATCAAGTTAGTTATAAAATAACCTCAATTTGTTCATTCTATTTGTGACTCTAAGGAGAGAGAAAATAAAAAGAATCCTTTGTCCTGATTGGCCACCTGAATTTTTGCCAGCTTGGAACTGCCAGCTATGATTTTTTGAAAGCTAAATTCTGTCATATAATCTTTAGCTTATGTTACAAATACTTTGTTTGATCTAGCTTGATATTGGCCTTGATACCAAGTCAGTCTCCATAAAAAAGAGATAACAAAATAATAATAAAAAATACTAGTCTAATATCCAGCAATCTTAACCAAACATTCTTGGTTTATGATCAATATTTAATAAATTGTTCTTACTCTTGATCCCTCAACATTAAGCAAACATTCAAGATAAGCCACTAACACTAGACAACACAAAAAAATATTAAACGGTTAAGAATATATGAAAGTCATATATTTGAACTGTGGATAAAGACGTGAATGAAAGTGATCCTCGCAGTAATTTTAATAATAATATTATTAACAGTAATAATATTATTAAGGTGCAAACAAAAATTTCTATCTATTGAAAAATAATAATAAACAATGGAGAAAACTCTATCTCTATTACATGTTACCTTTTAAAGAAATTCAAATTTCTTATGATAAGCACACCCATCCTTATCACAGATTAAGCTTGCTTGCTTGCTTCTTTATTGCATTTTAATATGAGCATGTTGATGAACAGTGCCTCACATAAAATAGACAAATATTACTAAAAATAAAATTATGTCAATACACAGCTATTGACAGAAGAAACACGTTCATTTGTTGGTCAGTTGGTTTGGTTAATTTTTTTTGTGATCTTAAATGGAGATGGGTCGAAAAAAAACAAGATACAAACAGAAACTTTCTCCCTGGTTTCTTTCCTTTCCTATTTAAACAACATAAATGAACGTATTTCATTTTGCTGATGGGGATAAAATTTAACAAACAAACAACAAGACAGCAAGAACGCAGTTTACTTTATAATTTAACACGCATGGCAGAGAAATGTTCGTAAAAAGCATACTTTTTATTTCACAAGGGAATAAGAAAGATTTAAAAGTTTTTTCCAGTTGGTTAATCACATATAGTTCACCTAAATCATCTCTTTCATAAAAAAAAAAGACTATTCAATTATTGAATGACTTCTAATTTAATTCATTTAGCTTAATCTAGCTCTCTGTCATTCTTAGCTGATCCCCATCTTAAATAATTTTTGAAGATGACAGTGATCACAAACTGACTTTCATTTTTCCTTCCTATTTCAGTAAAATGCTTAAATGATTACTGTTAAATAGATCTATGTGTCCAATGGAAGCCATAATTAAAATTGTTTTTCTTTACATTTTAGTAAACTTACAGATATACTAATTTGATGAGGGGAACATAACAAGATTCTTGTTTGTATCTGATCTAATACATCTGTTTTAAAATTGTTTCAAAATGAAGCCTGTGACAGTAAGGTAAGCATTCAAACATGAACTATGTAATGTAACAAAAAAACCCAAAATAACTCTATTTTCAGATATGTCTAGGATTCATAGACTTGATGAACTTGATCAATTACACTTCTGCAGACTGGGCATTGTTTGGAGTTCCTCTGTATCTCTCTGGCACAAGCCATGCACAATCCCAGATGGCCACATGGAATCAGCACGCTGTTTGGTTCCTTACTCATACATATAATACACTCCTTTTTGCTTTCTGTAAAAGTAAACATAATTTATTTTAAAAAATATTATTAAATTTCAATTATTCACAGTCAAACCAAGTCTAGACAAACTCCAACTGTTTTAAGCTACAAAATTCTCCCAACTAATTGCTACTGGTATCCATTTGTCCACAAGTTAGTTCTGGTTAAAACAATATCACTCAGTTGATAACTCAATCAATTCTCATCACATGCCTGTTTGTCAGCTGTATTACAATGATAAGGAGATGTTAATCACTAATCATTCTCCACAGTAACTGGCTGAAAATTACCTGCACACTAATCTACCTAGTGTAATAATTAGCAAATATTTACCAAAGAGGAGGTAAATAGTGGTGGATAGTTACAAAGCAGCAGAGCAACAAGATAAATCAAGGTAATATTCAACAATTTTACTGACAATGGGGTGAATGACTATAATAGCTAATAGCATATACCACACAGAAATTAAAAAAAAATAAGTAGTTTCTTCAGTCAAAATACCAAAAAGTGGTTGAAATATAACTCTTATGTCTTGATTTTGTCTCTTTCACTGATTGGAGGTGAATGGTGCTTGCAAATCATTTCCACACTAGCCAATCAGCTTGTATGAAAAGCACTTTTCATCTCTGTGGTATTTATTAAGGAAAACTATTCTCCATCAGCACATACTAAGATTAACAAAACATACACTCACACCTACCCTTGGTAAACTATCATTATATTCAATATCACCTGAGGCTGTAACTTAACTGTGTGGTGGACAATAATGCAGCCAAAACAATTACCCTCGTGTCACCGAAACAAGAAGGCCAGTTGCAACATGATGATAAATTAATACAAAGGCTGATGTTTTATAAGTAAGTTTTGATTATATGGTCTTAGCTTCTGTTAACCCTTTGACCCCTAAGAGTGACTAGCATCTACTTTCCCCTCACAATATCACCCCTGAATCACACGCTAAGGTTATGAGAATAAAAGAAAGGATCACCAATTGAGGAAGCTCTTGATTGAGACAACAGGAAGGTCAACATATCTAAATTTGCATGTTCAGATCCGATGAAATGCACCATGTCATTGATGAAACAGCATGCTTTATCAGAGTGCAAAATATGGAGCTGAGCCAAAGCTGTTGAAAAATATGCCAATTTGTACTAATTGTCCAACCATTTCTGAGACTTCTCTCTAGCTTTTTTTGGTAATTGAAAGTGAAATTCCCGAGAAATCTTTTCATCTTTTGTTTATTCATAAAATATCCTGAGCAGTTTGTTTACTTATTATCATGTAAAAAAACTTGTGTTTTTATGAGCCACAATTTGGCCAGATTTTATTGAACATTTCACTTTCGGATTCTGCAAGACAACAAAAAAATTTAACACAAAGTGTCAATTTCAACCATCAAACTATTTCAGTTTGTGAACAATTGGACATCGCAAACTTTGATGGTTTGACAATTTTGAGAGCTTTAGTCGTGTTCAATCAATCACATTATTTATACTATTCTAATAAGTATTCTGATTGGCTTAATGTGGTGTGCTTTATGAGAGTATAGAGCACGCTGATGACACTGTTGTCTGCTTTGGAAATTAAGTTTGTTCTGAAAATTGAAAGTAATGTGTGTGGAATTTAACAGATTCTCTAATATAAAACAAATTGAGAAACCTTGTGTTTCTCCCTACACTTCTTTCATACTCTAGCCACTTCCTAAGTACTTTACTACAGCACCAAGCAGGGTCAAGGCTCCTCTATTGGTTAATTACTACAAATGCTAACAAATAAAGAACCCACCATCACTTTTGGAGCCTTGAGCTGGGGGATCCTGACACAAGGACCCTGATGGCCTGGCATCTTGATGACTGTTACCCTGAGATTGTTGGGAGATTGAATTGCTTGGTCCCCTTGAGATTGTATATACTGGTGGATTCTGTGTAAAAATTCTACACAGTTCTTGAAGTAATGTATTGATATTACTTGATTTCTGAAAAAAAATTAAAGTGGTATGAAAAGCAGAAATTACTTGGAGAACTATGGCCAGATTGCGCAATCAAGGGTGGAATCCTACATCCATCCTTGACAATTCAATGTTCATCTGTGGTAATGTGTTGTCAGCTTTTCAGTGGTCATAAATTACATCAAAAATCTCTGCCAAAGCCTAGATGGCCAGATGTTGCTTCAATGTAACATCAGTTTTAATTTAAATGTTACTCTGTACAACATCTTGAGATCAATGTTTATCTTCATTTTCAACATCTTTCTTCTCTTGCCTTAACAGTGAAGGTGGTGGGGTTTTTGAAGTGGAGGAAGAGGGCAAGAGTAGAGAGACCCTGTAATTACCATTGAATAATCTTTTTGATATGGTGGCTTCCAAGCATGAACTCAGTTGGCAAGAAACTGAATCCTAGCTGTTTTCCTTTTTGAACTATTGATATCATTTCATGTACATAGATGTTGTAAGAATATTTATTACTCTTTCCAAATTTGGTGAATGGTGTCAGAATATTTAATGCCTCGAGAAACCTTTATATTATACCACTACTCTCTTTGTTTTTTGGTAGTACAAGTTTTTACATACATAATTCCATTTATGAAGGTAGGGATGATAAACTTTGCCATTTGCATCAACATAAGGTGAAACTTTGATTGCCATTGAGCTTGTTGGTCTGACATACACCAGAGGCACAACTTCAGGATGACCCTCTTGTAGCAGAACACAAACTGGAATATTGTAAGTAACACCTGCAACAGAACTTTGACATCAATCTGCTTTTGGCTGATAGTGTGATTATTTCAGAAAAAAAATTAACACAATTTTGTTGTCCCACAGGATTTGCTTGTCTACAATTTAACATTTACTTTAAATTTCTTTTCCAGCACCAACACTTCTATACTCGTCATTGTTGTTAATAATAAGAAACTGTGGGAATGGAAAGTATAATGCAAGATAAACAGAGGTTCTGATTTGCAAGATGAAGAATAACCATAAATTTACCATTAACTAAAATAAGAAGTAAACAAGACAATAACAAAATTAATAACTGCATAATTAGGTATGTTGATTACTTAAGAACTGATTTATTTGTTACAGGTTAAAAGATAATACAAAACTTAAATTATTTAGTATAATTTTGTTGCTTTGTCCAACTGTCTTGGTCTGTTATTAACATGAGATTAAGAAGCCATCAAAACCAAACTTGAGGTGAGATGAAAGATAATTCACAGATTATGTTGTTTACCTTTTATTTTGATGGGAATTGTCCCCTCCATGGCAAATAACTCTGTTTGTCTTCCATTTTCATATGCTTTTAGTAATAAACACAAGTTACAGATTTTTAAATGATGTAAAAAGTAAAGGATAATTGTTGGATCATTAAAATGTAGACCACAGTTTAACTCCAGGATAACTTTCCTTACCAGGCTACTCTCCACTGCAGCTATATTAAGTTTCAACATGCAATGTGCTTACAGTGAGAAGTAGAATTTTTGAAGGGCCAGATTCCTAGAAAATAGGGCAGGAATCCTGAAAGGTCTGTGAGGCGATTTAGTACTACTTCTTAATAGACAGTTAGCAATGAGCAATACATAAACAAAGCTGAAAACCAGGCCTTTGTCAATCTCAGTGAGATTTTTCATTTAAAACAAACTATAACTCACAAATTGTCATGACCAGACTCTATCATAACAATGGTATGAGTAGACTTGTAGATCTTGGATGTGAAATGTGTAAACTTACTATATTCTTGTATTCCTGGCCTAAGACCATGAAAATACTTCAACACCTGCTCAACATCTTTAACACAAGAATTTGCTTTTTTCTGTCAATGGAGAAAAATAATCTTGAACATCTATTTATTTATTTATTCAACTTTCACTGAGTACATAACATAAATATGATAAATAATAGTTAGATGACAGTTAATGTAAATTGGTAAAAGAAGAAGAAGAAAAAAAACAAAAATAACAATAATGAAGAGAAAAACTCAGTGAGGGACAGTCATGACAGAGCAAGCTCCAACTAGGTGAAAGCCCAATAAACATCACTATAACCGTGAACAAATTTCCATGATATCAACATGGTTACCTTCCATTATTTGACAAAGTTGTGAACATTCATAGCCAAAAATTTCAAATGTAAAAAAAGTCAAGATTTAAGCCTACAATCAGGAAGGAATTCTTTATCCTATAGCTGAATTTCCTCACACACTTCCCTGGCTGGTTCTGCAATGACCCTGCAGGGAAGTGGAGGACACTTTATGACAGTTCAATCAACATGCCAATAGGATGGCTTCATAAGTATACAGATGTTCAAGAAAGGTTTCAGAAAAAAAAGCCTGAAAATGCATGCTACCACCCCGAAACGTGTTGTGGGTTGTTTTCAAGTCACAGTTCCTTGACCTCAGGATTTCAAGGAAATCTGCAAAACTTCATTGTAAACATGACATAGAGTGGGTTCGATAAATAAACTCATTTATTTGTCTAATTAAAATTCATTAATTACAGGATATCCACATTGCCTTTCAAAGATTGTTGCATGCAATCTTGTCCTTTTTTTTTATCCAGCTATCATGATCAAACAATCTTGATCAACAAAGGATTTACTAACAAACAAGAAAACAAACAAAATATTGATAAAGACCTTCCAAATACAGTAAAAAAACTCAGGATTGATGTTTCTTGACTGACATGTCTTAGCTGACCTCAAAATATGCTTTAGGATTCCATTTCTGTAAAACCCTTGGAAAAAGAACTCTTGTAACAGGCAGAGTTCCCCAGATATTTCAATCACATTTAAGGAACTTGTTTATGTGATCAAAATGGGCAATGCTGAGCGAGAAAACAGCCAATAGGAACACAGGATTGAAAGGAGCTCTTTAAAATTCTGGGGCTGTGATCTTTACATCTTTATATCTTATTTTCAAGAGAATCCAATTTAATTCTACAGTAAGGTCCTGTTTACTTTTTCTTGTAAGAAAATTAAATTTGACCACTGAAATTTACTTTAGACATTTCATTTAAGTATCACCTACATGACTGGCTTCAATATTTCCCTATGACTTCAGATACTATTTATTAAACGTTTTTGAGCATCAATACTTATGCACAAGCTGTCCAATTGCATCCGCCAATATAGGAAGTGGAAAGACTTCTGTTCAAACATCCTACTAATGTAAACAAAGTCTTAGTCACGAAGGCTATCTATTGTTTTCGCCATTGTTTTCCTTACGTAAGAATTGTATTCAAAATGAAGTATGGGGTTGTGCGAAGATCTTGCCAAGAAGGTTTTTTTCAAGTCTATATGTTCAAATGGTAGCACATGTTAAAACCAAGTACTAGGAGCTAATTCAGCTTGAAAGATTGCTGGTAATGAAACGTACAAAATACGTTTCGTTACGCGACGAAACTGAATAGTTTACTTCCGTTTACTTGGCCCTGAGGGCTGACGCTTATCTAATAAACAGCTAACTTAGAGCAACCTCGAATCCGTCTTACATGGATATTGGATATCCACATCAGTGTTATGCTCACCTTAGTCTTTTTGATGAGTGCCGACCGCCACGACGCGGCCATTTGCCCACATCGAAACAGGTTTGAGCAATATGGTACCCAGGTTTCGCTCGCTACTATGTGCCGGAAGTAGATGATAGGTCATACGAACTAGCAGGCTGCATTGGTCTGTACTCTTGCCTTTGGATGATAATTAGGGAAATATTGAACATACAATACAAAACTCGGGCCCGTGCCTCCACGATTTGATCTAGTTCAGTGCTACCACAGTGAGGATCAGTCAACTTGTTGTTAAAGCATACTGGAGTGCGTCTCATTATACTCCTACACGCGGCAATATTGTGTTTACCTATTTTACACCTCAGAGAGGGTAATTTTTCCCCTTTCTATTAAAACAGAGTCATGGTCTCAAGTATCTAGTGGAGTTTTATATCCCATAATCGATCATGTACCTCCGACCTATTGGCGTGGATGGCCGGAACGGGGATTTTTCCTAAACATCTACCCTTGATAGAGTGGCATCAAAGTACTTTATCATACATATCAGCAAACCTCTAGCCACATAAAAAGAATAAGAACGAAAAATACTTCTCATTTGGGGTTTTCATATAATAAAAATACTGGACATCTTATAGTTTCAGACAACATACCCTTCTCGAGGGCCACTTAGCCTCAATTCATGACCAATGCTTCCCAATATCCTTCTGAATTCCCGATAAAGTGGATAATGATATAGACCAAGAGCATTAAGGGAAAGACAGGCTGACCCGAAGGGTGCATTGGCGGATGGCAAACGTTTCTGGCGGGGAAAGGAGGAATGGGGCCTATTCATGTCTGCTTGCTATCATCAACTTAGATAGGGACAAAACCATCAGCCAGAGTGCAGTTAAGGCCGTCTATTCTAGTTCAAGGGGAGTAGGACCGGTATGAAAACTATTGCTCGAGTTCAATTACACATTGGAGATGATTTTAAAGTACTGAAAATAATAATTGTTATGCAACGTCAACTTCTGTTGATAAGCGTCGTTCACGCATCGTACGACAGATAGAGGCAGTTCACTCTCTAACATCGCAAGAAATTAACAGTTCATGAAACTTCAATATGACAAGAACTCTGCTGATGCCCCACTTGAGGTTGGACAACGTGTCTGGATTCACGCGTCGAAAGTGAGACTTGCCCTAATTAACTGACCATTTTCAATACTTTGTCGGTGCGGCGCTTGCTAGTGCCTCCACACATAGTAAGTAATTAGGTGAGAATAGTTGTTCTGTGTTATTTGGTATCCAGGGTATGCAAAAAAACTATTATAAAAACCAACTGCCCCTGAATCGTTTAATCGCCTTCTATAACGTAAATAAATTGCCCTAAAGGCTTCCTAATTATATCTAACAATGCACGTTCATCAGAAGAGACGATTATTCCGATGAATTGTTTGAGCAATGAAACCACAGTCAGCTGCAGTCATTATTACTTTTGGACCAGCAACTGTGGTAACATTTTGACATGATTTCTGTTGATGTATCATAGACTCCTTCCATCCATATGGCGTGAATCTGATATAAATATATTATATTTCAAAATTGATTTAATTTCTTGTTACCATTAGTCGATGTCAAAAGCGAACCAAAGTTTGAAATCTCCCTCTTTTTGGTTATGGTATTAAAAAAATATATCAACTTTGTCAAATCCAAAGTTTTATTTCACAGTCTATTAGGTGCAAGGGAAAAAGCTTCATTGGAAGGCTAGGAACGTCGAGGGTGACTTTTTTCCCATATCTTTCAGAAACGAAGTCATCTGATTGTCATCGTTATTAGGATTCATTTCTTCCGCTACTGTCTGATCGTGGTGCTGCATCAGATACAGGTCGTGGCTTATCACTATTCACTGCATTTTAACAGCTCCAAGCTTCATTGGTCCTTTCCCTCCTGTGGCTCGCTTATCCTTTTGAGCCTGCAGTCGCTGCCGCCTTTCCTCTCTCCTCTTTTTCAAGAGTTCCGCTTTACTGGACTTGTCTTGGCTCCAGTCCGGCGCATCCTTCTCACCCTGACCCCACTCATCACCCAGGGCGCTTTTAGTATTTGACTGTGTACCAGGTGCACTGCTGGTAGGTTCTTCAAATGATCCCCAGTCCCCTACATCCCACGCATCTCCTTCAGCCTCTGTAAGCTGAGCAGGGTTGTCAGTATTGCACTTCGCTTTGCTTCGTTGAGACGACTTCAAAGCACTTTGAACAGCTTTACTTTTAATCTGCAAAGAGCAAAAATATATTGTGAGGTGTGATGTTTCGCAAAGTATTAAGGCCTACTAAAGCCACTGTTAGTGAGAGGGGAACTTTTAAGCGCTGACGTCTTTGAAGAAGAGAACGGCGACAGGAAGGGGAATATCATATCTGAAGCAATTAATCAGCCAATCAACCAGAAAACCCATGTTTTACCACTAAATTAGACGCTACAGAAAAAAACTGTAGCAATTCCTAAAGAAAAGGATCATCACTCTATCCCATTTTTAAGGCTACCTTTGGAGCACGCGTATCACCAACGCAGTCGGGGGCTGCAGCTGGCACCTGACCGGAATTTTCGTCCAGCATTTCTAATAATGAGGTTTCTTGATCAAAGCGCGAAGGCTTCTGCAGCGTTGATTTTGCTCTTGCTTGCTGAACAGCCTGTCAAATCATAATCACAAATCAGTTCAATATAAATAAACAGAAAACGTCCCCAATGAGAAGGTGACCTTATGTGTTAAAATTACTGTACCTTTTTGTTTTCAGGTCTACTCAGGGAGGATTTACTTGTAAAGGAAGATGGCGGAGAAAAACTGTCAACTGACCAATCATCATTCTCTCCCCAGTCACCATAGTCGCTTCCACTTTCCGCTCCGTCGTCTTCCGCCGCAAGATTTGCAGGGCGTCTGAGATACTAGACACAAAGTAAAAGAATTTGAAGTAGAAGAACGAACGGAAGTCGGATTTTACGACTGAATCTTACCGACAGCTCTTTTGCATTCTGCAAAGCTGCAATTTCCTCTTTCGCAGCTAGTAGATCACTCTTTAGATCGCCCATATCAGGTTCCTACAAAGAACGGTATTGTGAATTAAAAATATCAATGCTGGGCACACGGCCGGGACAGAGACCTCACTGTAATTAACATATCTATCCTAAAATTTCCCAACCAATTTTCACTCACTCCTTTGTTATCGATAATTTTTTTTTCTTTTGAAAGCAAAGGTAGTGCATTAAGAGGAATAATTGCTGAATACAGACCACGCTTCAATGACATTAAACCAAACAATCTACCATTCCTGAGAAGTCCCCAGGAACAACATATTCATGAAAGAGGCACACTACCTTACTTCAGCAAACTCTAAAGACAACAAACCCTCAACCCCGCTAATACATCGAGTAAAGGCCCTAAAGTATTTCACTCCGTTAGTGGTAAAATGTGAATATGAAAGAGATCTTCGCAGTAATGAACACTTCTTAAGTAGTAGTGAAAATAAGGCCTGAAAAAGTTCAGGCCTGTACGGGATTTGAACCCATGACCTCTGCGATACCAGTGCCGTACTCTACCAACCGAGCTAACAAGCCAACTGGGAGCTGGTCATTATGTTGGTACCAAATATACCCGTGAAGTGGTGAATAAACAAATGTGAATATATGAAAGTCATATATTTGAACTGCGGATAAAGACGTGAATATGAAAGAGATCTTCGCAATAATGAACACTACTTGAGCAGTAGTGAAAATAAGGCCTGAAAAAAATTCAGGCCTGTACGGGAATTTTCGTCTTTATCCACAGTTCAAATATATGACTTTCATATTTTCACATTGGTAGTAAAATGGGAGGCAAAGAATTCTGAAAATCACCGGTCACAATAGTCAAAACCTATTTCCCTAATATCCTCGTAGTTGCGAGGGTTAAATGCTTTGCTTGCAACATGATATCATATTTTCAGTTCCACGATGCTAATGTGGCTTTACCCTGCCGTTGACTTTAACTAACACGGCTTTAACTAGGAAACAAAGAGCACAAAGAAAATATCTCGAACCTGTCCATCATTCCAATCGCGCCCATTCCACTCGTTCCCACTCCACTTGCCACTAGAGTCACTCCCTGAGTCCTCATCTTTATCATCGCCTGTTGCCTGTTTCACACCTGGACGAATTTCCTTTCTCATTTTACTGTCATCTGTTTCCCCAACTGAGAAAAGAGTCAAAATTCTCCTTGTGAGTTTTCGAAGCAGAGTTATCGGGCATCAAAGTTGTGTTTCGCGCCTGGTTTCACTCATAACCGGAGCAGTCGGAGTTTTTTCAACTGGTATGGTGCTTAAAGAGGCTGACCAACACCACACCAAATGGTGATACGATAATCCCTAAACTATACAGTATCTCCGCTTTCAAGGGTAGGACGAGGAGCTTCGAAGTGGAGTAGAAAGCAGCGCCGCCACAAACCGAGTCAGTGTTTGTACATACCTGGGTGGGTACCTTTTCCAGGCTCACTCTTGTCTGCAGGTTCAGTGATTCCTCCCGAGGCACTTCCTCCTCGGTACAGCTTTGATGTTAGGGAGCTGACAGCCCAGCCAGTCCAGGAGCTGCCTGCAGCTGTTGACTCTGGGGTTTGTTCAGCTTCTGAACAACAAACAATATGAGATATTGAAACTGGATAACGTGAACATGGATGAAGAAAAAATCTGATTCCCCCACGAGCAATAGATCAACCGACCTTCGGATTTCACAAGGCGACGCTCTACCACTCAATTCTTTCTCGATTTAATAACGCAGTCCACCTTGTTGGTTGCAATTTAAGCCGTGCGTCTGAATCATGTTATTCTTCTGTTTGACGTCATGAGTCCAATGTAAATGCCCGTGTCAAATTTTTTTTAAAAAAGAAGAATAAGCAATCAAACCAGTGTAAATCTTTTATAGCGGAACCCATAACAAGCCGTTACCAACTCAAGTGCTGATTTTTTTCTTTCCATGTCTACTGTAAAAAAACTTGTTGAACACGGACATTTTTCTATCAACTGGGCCCAACGCTTAAATTAAGCGCTTCTGTTAAACGGAAGCACTTTTAAAAGAACTTTTCAAGAGGGTGTTACCGTATAAAATATATCTATATATGCTGTGCTCAGTTAATGCCATTCAATAAAGCACAACATAACAGTTAAAGATTTGTCATTAATCCATGTTGAGACAGACAGGACATCTCCTCTTGCAAGTTACAAACTACTTGTTCTTCAAATGTACTTGAAATCAATTTTTTTTAAAGTAATCCGCCAAACGAGAGTACACTTTACAAAAGAAGATCACTCCCGACGCTGAACCATCCCGAAAGTTAAGGTTATCATCGTCGCGAAATTGACTTAACACGTATTAGTCGGACACAATCCGGACACACTACATTAAGGAGACACGAAAGAGTGTGCACGTCTGTGACAGGTTTGTCTTGGGACCAAAACAAAATAAGTGGGAGTCTGATTGGTTGGTATGCATGGTGTGTAAGGACATGAGTTCACTAAAATTTCCACCCTAACATTGTGATTTCCACACCCTCAGTTAAATTGGCTGGGTATAAGATTACATTACTCACCAGCCTGATTCATAGTAGATTCTGGATCCTCTGAAGCTTTTTCAATCTTTGTCAGAAACACCTTGATAACTTTAAAAACCTGTAAAAAGAGTACAATTAAGACACTCTTTGATAGCGCTTACGATATTAATAACACCTGGTTACGGTTTCAGGAGGACATTAATAAACTTACTGATATTCTAAAAAAAAATAATCTTTTCCTTGCTCGTTTAATCGAGAAGATTATAAACCGTTACATCACTGGGCCCCAAAGCAATCATCATCCCCGGGGTTCCCTTCCTACCACTTCACCTACGTTCTACTTTAAGCTACCCTACATACGCCACTTTTCTGCCATTTTATTAAGCGCTATTGCAATGACTTGGATATTAAACTGGTTTTCTCTTCCTTCAAAATCGGTAACTTGTTTGGTGTGAAAGACCCTGTCCCTGACGGGCTCCATTCACGTGTGGTTTATAAGTTTGTATATGCTGGCTGTAATGCCTGTTACGTCGGTGAAACCTGCTAGCATTTTTCCACCGAGTTAGAGAGCACTTAGTCAGTGACAAGGCCTCTCACATTTTCAAGTATCTGAAAGATTCTCCACATTGTCGCGCTTTGTGTTCAGAAGATAACTTCCATGTTTTAGATCACGCCTCTACCGGCTTTCAACTTAAGATAAAAGAGGCTATTCATATTCAAAAAGAACAACCATCCTTGAATCAACAATTACACCATATAAATCTAAAACTATCCTTTTAATTCTCACACTTTCATGCTTTACCTCTTTTCTTGTTGTCACTATTTATCATAATTAGCATTGTTCTACTTACTATATAATTCAACTGCCAACGCTTTGTACAGTAATTAACTCAAGATGACAGAAGTTTCTGTCGAAACATGTATTACAGACTCAAAAGTTTTGTCGCTTTCTTTAAATTCTTGACTTGCCTGCTAATATCAAGACCCTTTGAAAAATAATGTAAGCATTTAACAAGAACTATACTATGACTTCCTCGCCCTAATTAGCTCTTTATGTTATGACATGCTATTTTTCTTGGTGTAGTGGTGTTAAGTAATCCACGTACATTCCACGTACATTAATACATGAACAACTAGCTAGGGCCGGTGATACAAAAATATAAACAAATAAATATCACAGAGCAATGCTATCCGAGAAAGCTCAACCATAGAAGACGGAAAAAAGTGCATGAACGTAAAGAATTCCTGTGAAACATTTCTCCTCATTTAACTGATAGGCAAAGGTTCTCCTACTATATAATTATCCCCGCCAGTTTAACTCTACCTGATCTCTGACTTTCCGTTCTGGGTCCACAGTTAGAGTACACAAAGCTGGTAAGATCTTGAGTGCACTCTCCTTTAAACTGAAATACTCAGCTGAGGCAAAGAAACCCATCACACCAGCTATACGAGCAGGAGGAAAAGGATCCCGTAAGGCACGCAAGAATGCTGGAATCAGTACCTTTTGCCGTGTCTGGAAATTAAAATCTTGAAACTCACCATCATGACATTATCACTCCCACTATACAATTCATATGTGACACAAAAACGCTGTTGTGTTACCCAAGACCTCTACAAGATTCCTCGTCATGTATGCTTCTCATCCGTCTGATTTGAAGGTGTCCATGAGATTGTTACAAGGAGAATCTTAGTACTAATTGTCAATTTGTTCCAGGTGCTTAACGTTAGGTAAACTGATGTAAAACAGCTAGGGGAACAAAAGCAAGTTTTGAAGAGCACTTTCTTGGAACCAGCTTTTTAAATTTGGATTAATGTTACAGAATTTAGGAACATCCCCAGAATCTGAAATTACATGTACTTTGTTACATTATTTAGTATGTTATGTGGCAACTGCAAACTCAGAATGTTCTTGCAGATGGAAATTTGTAAGCTAGTATACATTTGTCAAACTGAAAACGTGAATACATACAGCTAGTGGGAGGTGCACTGCAATTTTTCCCAGACAAACTGTGGTGTTTGTTCTGATGCCAGGCTGGAAGAAAAATTAGTAAGTTCAGGGGTCTCTCTATTTTTCACATCTCAAGACTCATTAATCAAAATTGTGAAATACGAGAGAAGAGAACTGGCAAATTCATACTTTTCATTCCTACCTCTTGATCCATTTGAAGTTTTGCAAAATATTTCAACAGCTGATTATTAATTGTCTTTTCACTTAATTTTGAAGCAAGAAGCAACATGGACTGCAAAAGAGAAGTGAAAAATGAAAATCTTTGAAACAAATGATTGGAAAAAGTAACCAAGGAAAAAACATTTCTAACAAACAAAAGAGGAAATACTTAAATGCATTAATCAGCATACAGATGTTCAGATAAATTATCAAACTTTAAGAAATCAAAATAGTCAAACCAAAAGTCAGAGACTGTGAACCTCAAATCTGATAGAGGTTATGAAACATCAGTTCTCCTGCTACAACAATGCCACTCACATAGAAGTCTTACATTTAGTTTCCTAAATGTGATCCTCTGGTTAAGTTTTATAAAAGCGGCAAACAAAAAAATTCAGGAACATCATTTAGAAGCTCCAGTTCTCCTACCAGATAACCTGCCAGCAGAGTTGCCTTTGATATTCCCAAAAAATTAGTGTGGGGTGTGAGATAGTCTTTAGTATTCCCAACTTCTTTGGGAAGGTCAAAGGTGACTCTCCGTGCCAAGAAACTGTCTTTTAATGGGGAACAAATTGCATTTACCTTGACTGTCTGCTCTCTCATGGCTGGAATAGTGTCACCAAATCCCAAAGCAACATGAGGAAAGATCTGCTCATCCACTGTAGATGGCTTCAAGTGTTGTACAAAATTATCAAGCTGAAATTATCAAGAACTCATGGTCAATGTGCAGAATTGTTGACAGAAGAAGATTGTGTTAGCTAAGCCTTGCTAGTTTAATTAACAGTCCTTGAATAGACCAGATGAAATTCAATCCAATTTGAGTGAAAAATAAATCAGCCCATCCAAGTACTTCTACTAATTGTAACCACTATACAATTTGGACAGTTGCATCAGTCAATCACACTGAGTATACTTAAATGAATTCTCCAATCACAGAAATGAACAGAACGTTTACTGCATTGATTTTGTTTATCACTCGTGATTACAGATCAAATTACACTCCACTCAGTCCATTACCATTACCATAGTAATGATCCCTCTTCTTACCTGTTGTAATAAGTGGATGCGTGTTGCCCTATCCGTGGATGAAAACAGTTTGACCACACATGGCACAATTTTCTGTTGATATTCATCTGTATCCAAGAGTTTACCAACCTGTATCGTATTGTATAAGAAGTCAGAATAAAAATATTTCTACCATTGGCAGAGTTCTTAAAAAAAAAAAATAGTCATCTGGGTTTGAATTCTGCCATTTGGTCCAAGATGAATTATATACACTTCATAGAGTATTACAAACCAATATAATGACCAGCTCCCAGTTAGCTTGTTAGCTCAGTTGGTAGAGCACTGCACCTGTATTGTGGAAGTCATGCACAGGCCTGAATTTTTTTTCAGGCCTTATTTTCACTACTGCTCAAGTAGTGTTCATTGCTGTGAAGATCGCTTTCATATCAATTTCTTACACTGCAGTTCACATATATGATTTTCATCTTTTCAAAGCCATCTATATCAACCCCTGACTGAGATTTTTTGATTCTCAATTGCAATTGAACAGAAATCTATTAACCATTATGGTGACTACACTTAGACTTTTACATGCTGGAGCTGACAAGAAGGAAATATTGGTAGCACTGGCACCTCCATCTGTTATAATTTTAAAATTGTGCCTACACTTCATATGATTGAAACAAACATTTGCCAAATATTCTCTGCACATGTGTACACATTACATAGAAATGAAGTAGTCTATGTTTGTCATCTATAGGAGAGGAATTATGAGAAAAGAACTACAACATACTTAATTTAAAGATGGCAATGGTAAGAAAGCAAATCTTACTTTGAACAGTGGCCCCAAGACAGCAGAACCAGCTGATCCATATTCATAAGCATTCAGCAATTGAGGAAGAATTCTGTGCTTGCAATATTGTTGAGGAAACAAGTCTAATGATGAGCTGAGAGATTGAAAGAATTGCTTCTGTTCTTTTTGCTCCTTTATCTAAACAACAAAAAGCAACAACTTAGGTATACATCATGAAACAGCCATTCAATTAAAAGCTTATATTCATTGAAACAGAAGAAAGTACATCAGGTATTTGAATAGTTATTATTCTCTATTTATTTATCTTATAATTTATCTAATTATCTGTAATCAAAACACCATATCATATGGTTTCTCTTATCACTTATAATGGTAATTGGACTGAGTGGAGTGCAATTTGGGTACAAATCATACATGTGATTTTAAAATCAAACAAGCGTGCAGCGCAAGTTTGATTTGAAATCACAAGTATGATTTCAGACCAAAATTGCACAACACGAGGTTCAATTACCACTTTATTACATCCATTTTGAAATCACCCAAATACAGGACTTGGTCAGTTCAAATATTTTATTGATGTAGTACTGAGCCAGTCTGAAATTAAATTCATCCATTTTTGGGGGGAAAAAAGTAAGGGTTTTGGAAACAAAAGTTGCAAAATTTGCCACATGATACTCTTTGTCTTCCATTTTCCTGCAATTTGATTGGTTACTTTAAACAAGCCTTGAAATCTGATTGGTTGTTTTGTTTTTAGTATAGCCTTCTCATTGGCTGGGAAAAAGAGGTGATTTAAAGCCAAAAAATGGTGCAATTTGGGAATAAATTGCATCAATTAGAGCCAATCAGATTACAGGGAAGACCAGTGATTTCAAAATGGGCGTATTAAATCTATTAATTTAATCAAGTTTCAAAGGTCATCTTACTTTTAAAAAATCTGGAGGAGCTATGTAGATATTATACAATTCTTTTAATTTTTAACATATCTTAGTGATAGATAGTAGAATGAAGCAGTTATTAGCCATCAGATTTTAGCACTGGTCTTAAATTCTGCAAATGATTGTAAAGCACTCAGAACAGAATGTATCAGCACTGTAGAGGTGATTTTATTATCATCATCATCATCATTATTATTTGTTATGCTTCACTTCACTGATAATCAGAACTGTTTAGGAACTACAATAAAGCAATATTCATGACATGGAAATGTCTAACAAAGTTCCAGATTAACTCAAATAAACTTCATTTGATGTATAATAGTGAAACTTACAAAGTTTTACAAGAAAATAAAATACAAACACAACTCACATAAGAGCTAACATCAACATCAAAAGTATAACATCAAAAGCAAACCTGCAATTCTTGTAAGAACAAATTAGCGTCAACAAAGCTGTTTTTAAGGTAATGGCCTTGAGTTCGACATTCCTGTAGAAATTTTGCTGGGTTTGGTCTGCTCTTAGGATTAGCACCTACAAGTTGTACATAGTCTGTAACCAAGTTCTTTGGAATCTTTCCAACAGACTTCAAGGCACCTGTTCTGGACAACGGACCATTGAACACTTCCCAGATCAGACATCCAAGACCCCACATATCTGCTGACCTGCAAAGTATGTATCAAATAATAACTAAAAAAAATTCAAAGGATTGACATCTAAATCAGAGTTTAATGCATGATAAAAGTTGTTTTTTTACTTGCTATAAGGGTCATTGTGAGATTCACATGTGACTTTTTAGAGGGAAGTCTGCCACTATGCATTGGATGAATCAAAACTACTGGGACAACTGTAAGCAAATTGACATGCTCACAGGTATAGCCTATGCCTAAAACCATCAAAAAAGTCCCTTTTTAAAACCCCAATACATCAGCAACTTTTCTTCATAAAACAGATAACACATGCCAGTGTTATCACATGTTTTGATACATCTAATGATGCTGCATCTGGTTATCAACATCTAGACAACTTAATGTTCCATTAAGCAAACCTTATTTTGAAGCCTCACCATTTTTCAGCCTTCTTGTTGCCTTTACTATATTTTCTTCCCTCTGGAGGTTCATAAACTTGTAAAACTGGCAGTCTAGGTAGATCAGGTTCTTCAGTGTTTGATGGTGGATCAACAGGTTTAAGGTAATCAACGCCACCAAGCTTCCACTCGCCTGCAATATCTACAAACACTGATGCCATGCACACATTACCATGAATCAAACTGCAATCATTTATCAGAAAACTGAGACCAGCCTAAAAAGGAAAAGAAACATGGTATATGAGGAACTAAAGCAGGTAAAACCAGCTTTAAGGAAATTAAATTATTGATCAGCATAAATGATATCATAATTCAGACTAAAAGGAGAGGATGCTTAAAGGACCACCTGCTAAAGAATTTGCAAAATGTTGACAGAAACAACTGATGTTCAATTTTGGACAGTAATGCTCCCCTTGAGAAACAGCTTTAAAGGGCTGCATTTCCAAACTTGAATGTATTCAATAATACACCATACTGTGAGTGCACATACTGTTATTTGATGCAATCCCCAAGAAATGGCAAAATCAGCCTTTGAGTTCTCATCTTCGCTTAGTAGTACTTCCAGTGGTTGAACAGGCTCTGTCACCAGATAAATAACTGTATCAGACTGTAAAGTAAACAGAGATGAAAACATGAATAATAATGTCTGAATCTTACATCTATGATCTACCTAAGAATTCATTAGCTTGTATTGGTAATACATGATTTTGAGTCCAATTTGAGATAAAACAGTTTTTGAAAAATTTCCAAGTGATGATTTATCCCATATCACACATGAAAAAACATGTGATTACTTGTTGACAATAACCACCATATCTAGCATACAAATAAGTTCCCATCTCCTAGTGCCTGATACATTTGTTTCTAATTCTTACTAGTTTACAAAATGTGTGACTTTTTGAGTTTCTGCTGTAATTAATGCTCTTAAATTGTATGTAAATTTCACAGTATTAAAGAACTTAAGTGTACTGATGTCAACAAATATCAATTCCTTGTGAATTTTTTTGAGTAAAAGTTCTGTATTTGAGTTATAACTCCCAGATAACCTTTGACTGGTACCATACTTTAAGTTAATACCTGGAAAAAATTGGTACTGAATAACAGTCTGCAGTAATACTCACCTCAAGACCATCAATATACCTCACAATATTAGGATGTCGAAGAGTTTTCAGTCTTCTGAGGGCTAACTTGGCTGTTTGAACCTTAACAAATGAAAGAAATCTTAAGATAGGTTGCAAGAAAAAGAAGAAAATTTATGTTAAAGACAGTTTCTGTGATGGAGAATTAAATATTTTGGGTACAATTTACCGTAATTTTAAGACAGTACCAGGAACTAATACTGTGACAGCTAACATCGCAATAGTAGTTACTGTACTAATCACACTGGCTAATTACAAGTACACCCCAATTAATCAGTTCAAAATGAAAACTTGTCTAGGATTTTGATGCTGGGCACAAAGTGAAGGAAAATAAAATTCAAGCTGGTTTGAAGAACAGGAAACGAAGGCTTAGTTAAACCACGATAGATGTGCATGTACAGGTAAGGTTTGCGGTACCTTGTCCTCTGAAGATGACTTGACATCGTGAATAAACACAGACACAGCTTCTCCAGTACCCTTGAGACAAAGCAAAAAGTTCCTTTTCATACCTCTACCTAGACAACCACATAAAGACACGCTGATGACTGATCGACAACCTACTTTTTTTTTCCCTTCATGTAGTGTCCACACAGACTTGTCCGCTAGGCTCCCTGCTTTTTCACCAATCTCGTAGGGAAAATTTTGAGCAGCACCAGTGCCAATCTTTCCTATTAAGCTCCATAGCCCCTGCATTTTATATTAGTAACATAACCACTCCGACTGAAAATAAAGGAAAATTGTCACCCCATATCTGAAACGACATCAATCGGTTCTTGTCTTCGTGGCTAACTAGCACCCAGTTTTTCCTTACGAAAGCTTGCCGCTAACCCTAAACAGCGGCGGCTCAAAAGTGCTTTGAATCATCATGTTTCCAGCTCTAAAGGAAAGGTCCTGTTTGTGAGAACCATCAACATATACTTATAGAACAGAGAACAAGCAAAGAAATATGATGCATCAACTTGGACAACAGGTACTATTTCATTCAAATTGCCATTGCGTTGAAAATCTTACATAACCTGCTTTGTAATGTGTAAAAGGAAAGAAGGCGTCGTTTGTTGTTTTTGATTCGTTTTCGTTTCACTGTAAAACGTTTGCTTTTACCTACGTTATTTCGCCAAACAATCTTTCTTTCTGTGTCTCAGGTCGGTTGAAATTGTATAAAAATGTGAGCCTTTTTAAGTTTGGTTTTATGATGAAATTTTAGTCTTTAAAATCAGAGCAAGCGAGTAATGGAGGCTGACAACTATTTACACTTGTTTTCCTTTGATGTAGATATAGTTAAGCATGATCACCTATCTAAACGTTTACAATCTGTTGGAAGAATTTGCAGAATATATAGTCTCTGTAGAATTCTCGCGAGTTATATAGTTATTTTTTCAAAGTTTGGAAATGTAAGGATCACTTCCCCGGGAACATTGCCAGACAGCAATCGCAGAATACCAGAACATCATAATGATCAATATTTCCTCTTTCCACTCTCTACGTCAATGATAATGAGTACAGAAGAAACTTAATCACTCTTTTGTAATCCTAGGACACACTATGTAATATGCAAATAATCTTATATGATGTTTGATAGTAAAACAAATCATCTGCAGATCTATGTAAAGGGAGTAAGTAAAGTAACCCATATTAAATTTTCTACAATTTAGTCTCTCCAAGAACGTTTGTGACTTCATGTGCTTCAGTATTTACCCTGGCCATATAAAGTAATGAAACATAAATGATAACTGCAGTATTTTGTTTGGAGAAAAGACAAGAACTTTTTGACTTGCGTATTAAAAAATGTCTTAGAAAAGTGGAAAATGTTAGTGTTAGTAGTAGTTATTTAAATAACCATAGCAGTTATAAGAGCAAAACAAGAAAAGATCCAGTGATCATCTAGCTGCCATATTTGACCTTTAAAACAAGGATCTCATTTACACTTGTTATTTTGTACCTTAATATCTCACTGACTGTGACAGAGTATACATTTAGAAATTTCCAAAAGCATTATTTTTAAGGATGCCCATGGTCATGAAAACAACCTACATTGTAAAATATAGCAGATAGGTGAGGCAAAAGGAAAAGAATTAGAAGTACATCATGGTTCTTTCATCATAGACTTCAGAGTTTTCCACCAAAATACAGAAATCTTGAGAAAGTGTTTCTGTGAGTTGAGATATATATACCTGAGATATATATATGGTATTTCATCTGCATATGTAGGTAGAATAACACCCTTGTTGTAACTTAAAGTGCTTGCAATTTGATCAACCATTTTTTTTGCTAATTTACAGCGAGGATTTCCTCACAGCCATCCTACACAGGCTTCAAACTTGTCTGAAATGGAAAGAGAGAAAATTTATACTTGGGTTCTTGAGCTGTCTAGTCCTGATACAAGAGAGCATGCACTGCTGGAGCTCAGGTATATGTTTTAATTTGAACTGATTTCAAGTTGATTTTGTTCAACAATTCAACTATTTGACTGAAAGAAGAAATTGTCATGTAATTTCTCTCTCTGGAAATATCAATACATTTTCCATTGAGCAGTTATGAAGACTAAACAAATTTCAAGGGTTGCAGTAAGGGGTGGAAACCAGTACAATTTGCCATCTGCCTTAATTTTTCTGAAATATATTACATTAAAGTGAAGATCAAACCTCGTTTAGCCACCTACTTTGCAGTTTTTACCATCTACATGTACTTCAAAAGTTATTGAAACCCCTGAATTTACAATTGTACTAGTAGATAACATCTTGGAATGCATACATGCTTATTCTAAAGAGTTCTAGGTCATTCACAACATCTCAAGTTTTTTGTGAACATCTAGTTTTGTCATGTATGGTTATCATACGCCCCTTTTTGTGCCAAATGAGCTTGCAGGCGAGAAAAGAGCCTATGTTTATGTTATAAATCATCCCTAAGTGGTATTATGCACAGTAGAGGATGAACACTGTTGAAATTATTTTTACTTGAAAATATTGATAACATTAGAACTGTAACACCTCTCTACAGTTACTGGTAACTTAGAGGGTTGAATATTGTCCTTCATAGGTAGTAATGCTTCTATCAGTTTAAAGCTTCAATATCTTCCCCCTCTCCATGGGCAAACTCCTGGGCATTTGAACTTTTCCATAGCCAAAATTGTGTTAAATGCTCGACTGAAGTGCTGGATTTGAACATCATTTTGTCCAAGGCAAGATTAGCGATGGTGTCTTTTTAGTAGACCTTTCCTTCTGACCCATCTGCTCACAAAAATGAACTTTTTACCTTAAACTTCTCAGTCTATACTAAAAGATAAAACACATTTATTTTGCTGGAAAGACTTGTCAGTTCCCAGCTCAAATTCCCCACCCCAACCAGAGAAGGTTCAAAATCCCACCCTCCAGGCATGGATGAGAGTAAAATGCCTGTGGGCTGGCATAGGGGATGTTAAGGGTTTGAACTGATTACAGAATCCAATATTTAGTCAATAATGCCACTTACAGAAGCATTAAATAATTATTAGAAGTATCTTGCTTAGTAAGTGCAGCAATTTAAGATCACTCAATTAAGAATTGACCACTTCATGGATACCTTTCCAATCTTTCAATAATACTTTGGCCCTATGCAATATTTTATAATTAATTCTGTTTGTGCACCTTCAACAATCTGATGTATGATTTAGACAGTCTTGCAAAATGCATTTTTTCCTCTAAGTAAACTTTAATCAATTAACTTTTATCATTTTCTGTGAGTCAGCAAAAAAAGGGAAGTTGTTCCTGATTTAGCACCTATGCTGTGGCATTCATTTGGTAAGTTGGACAAGTAATTTTTTTGTGATTCTTTTTATGATAAAATTTCTTCTAGAAGCTAAATGTACATTGTGTAAAATAATGCTACATGTGCATGTTAATGGTTCAAAATTTTATTATAATTACTCTGTTTTTGTGTTACAGGAACCATTGCAGCATTGTTGCAGGAAATAGTTAACATTTATCCAGTTATAAACCCTCCAAATCTCACGGTAAGTAATTTATGGTTGATGAAAAACTATAGAATGACATACTAAGCTTCTTGTTTATTTTTATTTCAAATATGTTAATCTAAGTGTTGCAAAAATTCAGTTATGTACTTTATTACTTTATTCAGGCCCATCAGTCTAACCGTGTTTGTAATGCTCTGGCTCTTCTACAATGTGTTGCCTCTCATCCTGAAACTAGGTCAGCATTTTTACAAGGTAGGATGTTTTGTGGCTTGTAAAGATTTTTACGATAAGTCAGTCATTCAAACATCAGAGGGAAAGTGGAGATACTTTGGGACACAACTGTTGTGGGGGAAAAAAAAAAACAGATGCACAAATCAACTTGTACACATGTGCAAGAAGAATTATATCAAGCATGTATAATGGGTACATAACACTCACATATTAGATGAGTTCTAATTACTGATTTACACAAACATATGTGCATATGGGTATTTGATTACATGCAGGTGCATTAGTGAGGTGCAATGTTTGTGTTTCACCCAAGCAGTGCGTGGCAATTGCATGTGCATCTAGAGCATGTAATGCTACGGTACATGCAAGCAGTGCTACTCAAAAAGCCCTTTATTATAATAACTTAGAGGAAAATAAACAAGTCAAAATGAAATGAACTTCTCACAATTACAGTAGACTTATGTTAATAATTCAGAGGAAAATAAACAAGTCAGATAAAATGAACTCTTTTCAATAACAGTGGACTCCTGGTAAATTGACAGGAAATAGAAATCATGTTTTTCTTGCTTGGTTTATAACTGTTCAAACAGTGTATTGAGTCAGCTTTAGAACAAAGGGGCTTCACTTATTGAATGTTAAAATCACTTTGAGACAGTGGAATTTTGATTCATTCAATTTTTATGGTTTGATTCATCAAGTGTAAAATGAAAGTAGATCATTAAGTATGTACAGTTTGGTGCTAATCCTGGAGATCAAACTTGATATGAGTAACAAGGAGTTAGCTGTAATAAATTAATTTATGATCACCCTTTTTTATTGCCTTGTGTGTTGATAAGTGAGGTAATTACTGTGTTGATGTCAATGAGAAAAATATTATTACCAGTTTTTACACTTTAGGATGTGATCTACATTTCTCGATTTGCTTAGAAACTTGTTTTATAAAATTAATAACTCTTGTACTTTCATGGTATTTTATACTTATTTTGCTCTACAGCACACATCCCCTTGTTCCTTTATCCTTTCCTTCACACCACAAGTAAAACAAGGCCATTTGAGTATCTGAGATTAACTAGCCTTGGAGTTGTAGGAGCTCTAGTAAAGGTATGTTATCTGATTAGCATAATAAAATAAGATCTTTCTCTGTGGGAAAGTTATTAATAATCTAATAAGTATTATTATGATTGTTTTTCAGACTGATGAAGCTGAAGTTATCAATTTCCTCCTCACAACAGAAATAATTCCTTTGTGCTTAAGAATCATGGAATCTGGTAGTGAACTGTCAAAGACTGTAAGTGATTGTCACACCTTCCTTTGACGAACCCATGGAACCAGGGTGCTTTTGTCTCCCATTGTAACATTATATACCATAACTTATTTAGAGTTCTTTACAAAGACTTTTTAATGTATCAATAGCATTTTTAATTGGTGTTTCTTTACCCTGCAACTGCCAAAATAGGGTTAATAGTTGTCTCTTGTAATGAAGGTTAAAAATTATTTAATTGTAACAAATAAGGTAAGAGATTAGACATTGTAGCTGACAGGGTACTCAATTTTCAGCAGCTATCTGCCTTTATAATGTACTTGATTCTGTTTGCTCAATCAACCCTTTAACTCTTAATGTGCATACATTACCCACCAAACAGGTGGTGAGAATATTCAAACTTATCAGTTAGAGCTTGTTGTCTTGATCTAACACTGACTTCTTTAACTAATTTACAATGTGTAGCAGCAAGAGGGGAGAGTTAACAATTAGATTTAATTTGGATTTTGATTTGACTCAAACAGTTAAATTTGTCTCTCTTTTGTCTCAGGTAGCAACATTTATATTGCAAAAAATTCTTCTTGATGAGACAGGGCTATCATATATTTGCCAAACATATGAGAGGTTTTCTCATGTGGCCATGATCTTGGTAAGTAAAATTCTAGGCACTGATTGTATAGTACTACATATTTGAATCTTCTTTGTTGTCTGTAAGGAAGTTTTTTTCGAATAGGAACTAATACTGCTTTGGAACTTGTTGGATTACATTGATGGAGAGAATGCTTTGCTTTTGCTCATTAATGTGTATTCATCTGTCCCACTGAATATTTCATTAGATGTTATGATGAAGGTTGAAGTTAGCTCTTGGTCACTTGGTTTGTGCCACTATGGGTTGAGAAAGAATGAAGCATTTAACAAATATAAAATTATATGATTTATGATTGGGTTTCAGGGGAAGATGGTGTTAGCTTTAGCTAAGGACCAGTCAGCAAGGCTACTGAAACATGTGGTTAGGTGTTACCTTCGCCTCTCAGACAATCCCAGGTGTGTTAGCATTTGATACATGATGATTGAAAGTTTAGAATCTGATTTTCCTTTTGTCAGGTAACCACTAAGGTAGCTATTGTGGTTCTGCCTTTACTATCTCAAAATTCTTACTTCAGTAATGTTATTAGAGGCTTTCTAAGATAAGTAGACTCTGGGAACATCATTTATCTTTGCAGAGCCTTCTCGAGTGCATTTTTTCTAGAAGCTGCTAAACAAAAATGCGTTTTCAGTTTCAGCCTCTCCTGAACTGCAATAGTTCTGTCAAGTGGAGATATACTTAACCGTACAATTTCTTTTAATTTGATGTTGCCATATATTTAGGGCCCGTGAAGCTCTTAGACAGTGTCTACCTGATCAACTGAAAGATGGTACATTTTCTAACTGTCTGAAGGATGATGCATCTACCAAACGATGGCTCAGCCAGCTTATGAAGAACTTACAAGATCCCAGCTTATCTGACCCAAGGGGAATACCTCTGCCCCCTTAAAATCGACCTATTGAAAAAAATCAAACCTTTGTAAATATACCTTTCTTTGTTTTGGAAATCTCTGTACCATGGTATTTTTGTAGACCAATATCAGTAAAGTCTAATTTGTACAGGGGTTATTTTGGATATGGTTACTTCTTCATAAAGTCTGAAGTAATAAATATAATCAAAACTTCGATTCAAAGCAACTGATCCTAGCTTGTTGTTGTTTTAAGTACTGACTTTCTGATTTTGAGTTTGACAGCCTTTTTAAGCAGCTAGACATTGAACTGGGTCATTGTTAGCAAGGGAAAGAGATTCTGGAATACTGGTAAACGTTTTCATCAACAATTTGTATTTTCAAACAGGGATTAGTACATTTCAAAGTGTGGTGGCAATTAAGCCTGCTTGTTTTGATTGCTGTCCAAAGTGTCTTCCATACCCTTGTCCTTTGATTTGTTTAGGCAGATGGCTGGGAGATGGAAAAAAGAATTTGAAGCCTTGATGTGTCCTTGGGAAAGTAGCCTGGTTGCTTTGCAAGGTGTCAAACATCTAGGCTTCAATAGTCTCTTTTTAATGTTCTAACCATCTGCCTCTCTGGAATCTCAAAGCTGTGGCTGTGTCATAGTTTCACATATATTTTTTTAATGGTGGTGGTAAGAAATGTACGGCCTCTGGAGAAAATCTCTCTTAAGTCCTGATTTCTTTATTTTGGAAGATAGATTAAAGGCTAATCAATGAGGGGGGAGGGGGTGCTTCAATAAAATTTTAGAAGGGGATCAATACATGATGTAGACTTGCCACCTCCCAGAATCATTTGCAGTCTCACCATTAGTTCTCTGTGAAAAATGGCCAGAAAATAAACTAATTATCTTGAAAATTTTGAATAGAATGAACAGCTTGGATGGTTCCCTTGATCAATAAACTCTATTACACAATATTTCTGTATGGATTGAAATAACCAGACAGTCTCAAATTTTACATTATAGGATAATTTAATGCATTTATATTAGTCAAAGTAATCTTCAATATCAATTTCAGGGTTAAGCAAAATATCTTTGATGGCACTTAAATCTGTCTGATTCAAAATTAAGTTTTCAAAGGTCTCCTCTAGATCTGTTTCACCAATAAGAACAGCTCCACACATTTTGTCTTCATGCAAAACAACTTTCACATACTCATCACCCTTTGCACATCTCAAAAGTAGTTCATAATCATTTCCCAGTCCTTGGGCATTAAATTTTCCTAGCAAAACAACTTTATATCCAAAAAACTGAGTTACATGAGTAAACAATTCAAAACAGAAGTCCAAAGGTATTTTTTCATTTGAAAAATGAGCTGCAATACACTTTGCTGCAAACATTCCCATTTGCCGTGCCTGGCTCCACAATCTCATTTGCAACCAGTGAGGTGCAGGATCCCATCCAAAGGTGCAAACATCCCCAGCAGCATAAATGTCTACAAGATTAGTTTGCATATTTGAGTTCACCAATAGACCACCATCCTCTGCTGTGTCAAATGGAGCACATGATACAAATGATTGTGTGTTTGGAACGACACCTGTTGCTGATACTATGAAGTCACAGCCATATATTTTTCCATTTGAAAGTTGGATATACACTGGCCAATCAGCAGAATCTAATAAACTGTCATTTATTGATGGAAAGGGTGACTCTTTCTCACCACACCTTTTTAATTCTTCAGGGTTAAGTAGTTGTTTAAATTCACATTTGTATTCCACATGAACCTGTCTGTAACCTTTCTCTTTGCTGCTGGCACCACAGAGAGAGAAGTCTGAACACCAGTCAGGTCCCAAAGCTCCACCACTCAAAGTGTTGGAGGGATTTCCATGATAACAGGCTTCTGACAAAAATTAAAGTAAACCAAAGCAAGCAATACCAGTAAATAAAAAACCCCATATAAAAGAAGCCTAATTAAATCTCAGTTCCAGCAAGGATAAATAATTTCTTGTAACAAATCAGCATTACAAAAATGCCTTTTTTCAGTATTTCAATAAATTCCTGCAACCTTAACCTTTATTCAGTTTAACACTTTAAGGTGTTTTCGTCAAAGAAAACTGGGCAGGGGTTAGAGGCTGTCACTAGTTATTACCCACATGTTTCCACAATACAAAGGCTACATGTATCTACATGATTAACAACAGTGATATTGGCATGCACCACATTTCCTTGAATAAGCCCCTAGGCCTTATCTAAAATTTTAGCTGAAAAGGAGGGGCACTTGCACTGTATTGCAGGGTTGTTTAATTGAGGGGGATGCTTTATATTTAAAAGGGGTAAGTTTCTAAAGAAACTGTGGTGCTGCATCAGTGGGGGAGTATAACAAGATAATTTGGTTTTATCAACTGAGTTAATGTAAATTGGCCAGTGTAAAGAGTTTTAAAGCTGATGTTTCGAGAGTTAGCCCTTCATCAGACAAAGAAGCTCAGTTGATAAAACCAAATTATCTCGCTTATTATTAGTTGAAGCTTAAAAAGTTATAAATATAGTGGCAATAGAAACAGGTTTTCCTTGAATCCCTACTGTTTAAGAAAGTGAGGGAGGATGGGTGATGCTTGTTTGACACTATGGCCCTGGGGATGGGTGTTTATTTGGGAGGGGATGCTTATTGGGGCATGGGTGCTTAATCTAGGAAATACTGGTACACTATGTCAATACACCACAAACTTGGGTCTTTGTGGGTCCCTGGATTAAGTGAAATTTCAGTAAGCTTTGGAAAAGACAAAAATACTAACCATGCTTATTATTCTCAACAGTCTCTATACCATACTTCATTCTCTTCACAGTATGCGTCATAAACTTCTTTTTTTCTTTCCAAACTTGTTGGTTGGTTTCAATGTGGGGAAGAAAGAAAGTGGCTGCTCCCTCATCAAAGAATGCATTTCCGATGGTTTCATCTTTAATGGCCCACAATACCTGGCAATCATACATCTCATACCTATGAAGAGAAATGTGCTTTATGTTGCAGTGATGTAATGTGAAATAATCAGAATCACTAATTCACCTTAAACTGGATCATTTCCACACTTCAAAAACCAAAGCAACACAGTAAACATTTGAAATTTTTTCCCACACATTACCCTACAAAAAAAGTGGTGATGCTGATTATATGTGGCCTAGTTTTATTCCAATTTTATTCTTTCAATCAAGTCTGGACAAAAACGACTTCTGATTTTGGGGGAATTACTTCAACTAAACTAAATACATATGTTAACAATCACAGACCAGCTTGTTTTTTTAACAGGTTGTACTTGCCAAAATGTGTGTTACAGCACGAAGTTTGTATGTTGATGGATCTATATCATGATCTTGTCTAAGAAAAAACATGTTTTGTCTTGAGAAAAATTCAGGGAATGACAGGGCTCAGCTGTGAAAATCTACAAATCTGACAGCCAGATTTTGTTAACCACCTTTAAAGAGCTCCTTCTTGAATTTGCTGGGGAGAAATAATTTTGGTGAGGAAAAACTTATAGAATGCAAAGTTCCACTGGGATGAAACCTCTATAGGCCACTGGAAAGAGAAGAGAGATTGAATGCAAAACTCAGTACTTGAAGCTAACTAACAATGACGAAAACTTAAAAATTATGAGGATGACTCATGAGTAATAATTATACATTAATTTCAAAGCCAAAAGAGTAAAATTGTAGATCTTTCAACTAACTTACACAAGTTCTAAAGCTATTCCCCCATTTCCAACAATAGCTACTCGACGAGCCTGAGAAAGCTTACTCTTTAACTGTAATACACTCTCTGTATCTCTAATGCCAATAACACAAGGATGTCTGGTGATAAGGTTGGGTGTTCCTCCTGTACAGATGCACAGCTTCTTGTAGTAATACTTGTTACCACTCTCTGTTATAATACTGTGCTCTAAAGTTAATAAATACAATCAGAAATAAAATAAATTTTAACAGCATAGCAATTTGAGCTGAAATTAGTAACACTTCAATGAAATGTTTATATAGAGTACCTACAAAAAGTCTCATTTCAAAAGGACAAAAAAAGGGAATCTTTCTCTTTTTTGACAAACTCTCTATCACAGATCCCTATGAGGGTAAAGTCAATCTTGTTAGTTTTAGGCTATGTTAACTGAGCGTATTTTCATTGAGTAAAAACTGTTAGATCATTAAACAACAGAGTTCATTCAACCTGACACATTAACATGCAAGTCATAAATGAAGGGATTTGAAAGAGTGTGCATTTTATTGGTAGTCAATTAAACAAGGATTGACCTAAAATGACCTAAAATGACTTAAAATGACCTTGAGTGATTTCTAAAATGACATAAAATAACCTAATACGACCCTGAGTTATGTGGACAATGCAGTGTCGACAAAATCTAGATTGGACCAGACAGGATTGGATTTAATTGTTCATTTCCATTTGCAGATTTTACCTGGTTTAGCATTTGGTTTTTGGGTTTCGTCAAAAATTCAGACGGTTTTTCAAAATTTTTCCTAATTTGTCTTTGATCTGAGCAGCAATTAGGAGGTCTAGCATCTCAAATAGCACCCAAGACTTGAGTTTGCAATGTGGAGTACTAAGGTCAACCAATTTGTGAACTACAGCTTCAAACATGCCTCACGCGCCAGCAATAGAGGAAGCCCGAGGACCTGCCTCAACTGTGGAAGCAAATGATAAAATGATACATACCTCTTGGACCTCATCCATGGTGGCACTAACTGTGGATTTTATTTAACATGTTTTTTGAAAAGCGAAAAATTTACCTTAATGATAAAATGATACATACCTCTTGCATGCCTTCATCCATGGTGGCACTACAAAACACTCCTTGACACAGCTGTGAAAGTGACTAAATGGGGGTTTTGGGTGAAAAAAAACTCCCAGAGGGACCGACACTCTATTTTGTCACACAGAATTTATTTTGACTTGTCACGCAAAAATTCTAATTTTATTTTACATTTTATTTTACAATCCATGATCCAAGATCAGATCTGTGATCTGGTCCATGATCTGATTCGTGATCTAGTCTGAGATCTCATCCATGATCCAATCCCGTCCAATCCAGTCCGATCCAGATTTTGTCAGCACCGCAAAGTCAAGGTCATTTTAGGTCGTTTTGGGACATTTTAGAGGTCCCCAAAGGTCATTTTTAGTCGTTTTAGGTCATTTAGGGTCATTCCTTGTTTTAGTAACTGAAAACCGCGTTTTATCCTATCACCTCAAAATTCAAACCAACAGGGAAACCCACGAATAAACGAACAGCAAACTTGTTCTATTACTTGGTCTTCCTTAATTAATGTTAAGGATAGAAATAGAGCTGTTTAAAAATTACATGTGGCTGGGACTGAAACGTTAAATTAAGTACACGTTTTACTGTAATGCACATAGAAGGTAGATATATTTTCTAATATCACCTTACATACGCACCTTGAGGGTGAACACCAACGACAACTGACTGTATGCTTACAACATTAGGACTCTGTTCAAACAGTAAAGAAGCTGATCTCTCCTCCACATCGAATTCCTCTAGTGTTCTGCCGAACTTCTTAAGGTTGCAAGTCGCTTTGACTATATCTGTAGCTGTTATAAGAGCGATTGTTTCTTCTGAACATAACGATGACAAGTATTCTACACATGACACTCCAGAGATGCCTCCTCCAATAATCACAAAGGTAAAATCTTTCCTGGTGTCGCAGGAGGCCATTCGTAAACCCGAGAAGAGATGAAGAGAATGATACTTTATGTAAGACTATTTGGGTTACTGACGAGAAAGTCTGGGCCTGAGTGAAAAAGAACTGAAGCTTCGTGAGAGTCATGGGAATCATTTCGTTCTCAAACAGAAATCATATAAACATCACTTGGGCGAATTTGTTTTACAAAAATCTAGGCAAGAATACGTAGTTCGTTTTAATTAGTGGGAATGACTTCATTGAAAGGTTTCCTTCCTCCAGCCGGGAGTGCTTTATGGAGAAAGGATCGTGGACGACTGAGGTCTGAAAGCGAAAGTGACTCGTCTCCTTCAATCAAACATGTCGTCATTAGGGAAGTATGGCAAAGAACACATCCCTCACCTCATGCACTGTACAAAATCGATGTAATGACTAAATCCAATCACTGGTTCGTGTTTCGGAGGTACAGAGAATTTGATGAACTCCACAAAAAACTGGTAAAACTTTACGGCATCCCTAAGGATATGTTACCACCGAAAAAGCTTATATCAAATATGGCATTGTCGGTTCTTGAGAAGAGGAAAGCAGCATTAGAACATTACCTGCAGCGACTAGTGAACAGTAGTACCTACGTGTCGAGTTCTCCTGAAATTGTTGAGTTCTTAGAGGTCCAAAGGCACGATGTCATGGCCGTGACAAATGCCCTAGCGAAGGATTTGTCTCAAAGGGGTGAGGAAGTGTTGGCCAAGGGAGAAAGTTTCACTTTTGTACCTACTCAGCTTTACTGTTTAACACGGCAGCTAAAGTTACCGAAGCCGACTAATGCAGTGGACGAGGCAGATTCTGGAGATCTAGGAAATCTATATGATTTTATATATCAGCTGAAATCACTGTGTGTTAGTAGTATTTTGAACAAGGCTACAAGTTCACAAGAGCTTTCTAGTCATCTGGAATTTGATATTTCCTTGTTTAGGTCTCTAAGCAGTCTGATAATTGATGGCTGCCCATTGACACTTATAAACAATATGTCAAAAGTTCAAGCACAGATTACAAATCTGACAACCAGATACTGTTTGACCACCTTAAAAGAGCTCCTTGTAGACTGTGCCACTGAGAAGCGTCTAGCACCCAAAATAAAAGGTCCTGCAGAGTCATGGAGAAGTGTTACAACAGCAAGGTTGATGCAAAACCGAATAGTTGTTCAACCATGGTGTCAGCTTACGACTCTCACTGTAACACACAATAAACTGGCAGCATTGGATGCCTCTCTTAAACTCTTGCCTGTCTTACAAAATCTAGATGTCAGCTATAACGAATTTGTTCATCTGGATGTACAACAGTTATGTTGCCCAAGTCTTGTATATCTGAATATGTCTCACAACAACATCCACTTCATCACAGGAATGCCAAGAGAACTGTCAAACCTCAAGTCACTTGATATCAGCTACAACAATCTTGAGACAGTCAATGGATTAGACTGTCTCATTGGACTCATTGAATTGAATCTGAGTCACAATCAAATCCATGTTGTGAGGGAAATTTCTAAGTTATGTTTGATTTCCCATCTGAAGTACCTGACAGTTGCTGGAAACCCTTTTACGAGAGTGAAGCCCTACAGGATTGTTGTCCTGTCTTACTTTAAAGGTAAGAAGCTGATCCTCGATAAGAGACCCATCACACAGAAGGAAACTGCCAAACTCAACTCATACCCTATCAAGTCACGTGCAAGTAGCAGTCCTGAAAATCTCCAGGGTGATAGTAACCTGAGCAAAGATGTGCCTTATGGGCGATCCCACAGCTTCAATGTGTTTTGCCTTCCTGAAAGTGATGACGATTCTGGTATAGGAGGAGCCCCAAGCCTCAGGAGCAACAGTGTGATTTTTGATCCAGATGAAAGTGAGTTTACTGGCAGAGACCTTCTTTTTAATTGGGAATACTACAGTGGGGAAGATAGATATCTGAGCAGCAAAATCCAACAGCTTTCATGCAAGCCCTCTGAAGCAGAGCAAGTGGAAACAGGTCCTTCTAATCATTGCTACACTGATCCAAAGAAGACAGAAAATGTTAACTGGCATGACATTGAAGTTTTGCCAAATGATCATGATTCTGACAAACCAGCAGTGTCTCAAGTATCAGAGAAAACCACAGTAAAGAATTCTACTTCCTTTCCTTCCCAAGAAGCTGATTTTTCAGATGAGCAATTTGAATACAAAGAGGAACTTTTCCAAAATTCATTAAAAGTTCCTGATGGGAATGACTTTTGTTTGTTACAGGAAGAGTTAAACAACAAGTCTTTGTCAGCAGGAGAGGAAAGTTCACAGACTGAGGGAAAAACTCAACCCTCCTAGGCTAACACACATTGTTGAGAGCAATCAGTAAATCATCACAAGCCAATAATACAGAGAGATCAGATTGATTGTGGACTTAACTATCTTGCCAAAGCAATGAATCCTCCAAATGGTGATAGTGACAATAATCAGTAGGAAATTTAGTTTGAAACACTTAAGAAGAAGAAGAACCTCTGTTAAGGTAATAATTCATTCCTTCAAGTTTACAGTAACTACTAGGTAAGACTTAGGAGAATGTTATACTATGATAATGCATATTGGCCATTGACAAATTTATGACATAAAGCTGACAGCATAAAATAAAGCATAAATAACTTTAAAATAAGTCAGAGATGCAGTTTACCCTTTGTATTATTGAAATAAAAAATTAAATAATTTATTGCATATTGATATAAATGTATTCTGAAATGAAATGTGTATTTAAGACTTATTTAACACTTTAAGACCAAATTTTTGTGCATATATTAGTTTAAATTCAGTCTGTGTTCGTAGCTATTATATTTACCTTAGATGTTTTGGTGTGTAGTATTGCTGAGTATTTTTATGAGCTGTGCCATAATAACCAACAACATTCAAATATCACGTCTTAGTTTATACCACACAGGTGAATAGTGCCTTTCATGTACACTGATTGTGCTTGTTAATTACTATTTACCTTTGAGTTGCTGATGAGACAAAATCATGAGTCAAGAGTTTAATTACCATTTTTTTTGGTATATTGAAAGAAAGAAACTCAAGTGGTATGTAATAAAATAATTTTTCACCTCGTTGTTGTCAAAAGTGGTGGAGATTTATCTAGCTGCAAAATGGTATGCAAAATGTCCACCACTTTGGTAAATATCCTCCACTTCAGTGAATAGTTGTGTATCATTGTACTCTATATGCGGGTTATTTATTTCTACTTGGTGAAGTTGAATAATAAATATAGTCATTATATGTGATATTCAGAAAGTTATTCAAAGGTTTTATCTCCTTAAAAGTGCATTGCAAATAGCCTTTGTACAGCCACCTCCTACTCTCCGTCACAATTTTTTTATTTTGGAGGATGGGGGCAGCAGTACATAGGCTAATTACAAAGGATGCATAAACTGTAAGAGGTGCTGCCCCCGTGTACTTAGACAGGTCAACTGGGTTCATTTTAGGCCCTTGATGAAAAAAAAAATAGCCCGTAAAAATGATCAGGAGAGTGTCAAATATATTCCCCAATTTTGTTAGCTTTCCTCTCACAGCTTGGTTCATTTTTTTCTCGACTTCCCATTCAACGCTTCAAAGCACATACAAAATTGCTTTGTGTACAGGAAGGCTTCTGTGCAATGTGCCTTTGTCATTATGAATTTACCCAGGACACTATTTCAGTATTTTCAGTAATTGTTCAGTTTTTATTGAATTTGATGAAGACAACCATCACCTAGAACCACATGGATGCACGCCAATGCAATATTGAAATCGTCCGCCCACCCCCTATACTAATGGCTCAGATAGCTGTTGATCTTTTGGCGCGTTCCGCCCTTTCTCCCTTTTGCAGACTACGGGAATGAATTAGAGACTGTCCGACTGGAAGTTTAATTATGACGTTCATCAACCCTTCTCTTCTCATATTAACTTAAAGACTTTTTCTTCACAATGGTTTAACATGAGCCCAAGTCTGTCTGACACCATAAGTTTTAATTTCTAGTTCTTGAGTGTAACATATAAGTTGACTGACATTCCATTTTTGACAGAATTTCTTCCATGAACCTTGGGTTCAATAATCCCTTTTTTTGCCTTTTTTGCTTATTTCTCTTGGTTTCTATATATTAGACACGAGATAATTGACAAACCGCAGGTACTAAGGATCTTACATGCGTGATGTTGGAAGAGCTGTGAGTGGCAGTGATGCTCGTGCCCTGGCTTAGTACGAGGTGATTGGGAACCCACTTTTTTTAAAGCTGAAAGTAATACGTGCTAGATAATAAACTGACTGAATTTGGTCAGGCTTGGGCCATCATAGATCGTGTTATTAAAAGTAACATAGTTTGACATTGCAAAATTGAAAAGAGACTTGAAATAAAATCAATCTTAGAGACAAAGCAAGTCATACCTCTGATAATGGTCCCTTCTAAAACTAAAAATATGCTCATTATGCTTGCAGTGATACTTTTATTTAAAGTGCAAAAATTGAGCTCGTTTTTCCAAATTATGCTAAAAATTATGCCAGCACAATCTAAAAGGGCCTAGTCGGGCCAAACGTGAAAATATTTGACCTCACCGTCAATAGGCAGGAACCGCACTGCCTTCAATCCTTACATGACCGTAAGCCGAACATTTTGTCATCCGGCCCTCCCACTCAGTCTATAAGTAATTATTCCGCCCCTTTTAGTGCCATCGCGTAAAGCCCTTAAAAGGGTCCTTTGATTCAATAAAATCCATACTTTACTTTATTTACACACATACTTTATTTATTCTAGAAGCAAACTATATATACTAATTAAAAACTAAGGAAAAAAGGTACTTCTAGAAAAGGAAGTTTGGAGGTTAACCCTATGTAAAAACTCCCTTAAAATAAAATAAATAAGTAAATAAAAATAAAATAAAAATCAAGATCTATGCAGTTAAATATTGAGATACAATTTAAGTTTAGATTTAAAATGCTGAAAGCTATCAGCTTCCACTATATCACCCGATAAGGTACCGGCGTAAAACTGTTTTTTAATCATCTTTTTAAATGGTTTGTCTCTGATTAATTGTGAAATACTATTCCAAAAGAATCTTCCGATAACGCTCGGGCAGAATCTCCTGAGATAAGTTCGAAATGAGGGTATGACCGTAGACAGCTGGCAAATGATTGTTAATTTCACACAACAAATTGTCAAGATCACTTCCAGAAGCTGTTAAAGATGTATCGTCTGCATATAATCCAGTAGCACCTGCTTCCTGTTATTTAAGTAAGATTGGAGCTTATTATTTTCGCTTTGTTTTAATTCGGCCGTAATACTTAAATTTATTTAATAATATTTGATGATTTACTGTGTCGAAGGCTTTACGTAGGTCTAAGAATAAAGAAAGCACTTAGTGTCCTTGATCAAGAGGAGAAGTCATTTCTTCAATAAGATTAATTAGACAGTCAGAGGTTGTATAACCTGATCTAAATCCATATTGTTTTGAGGAAATCATGTTTTCATTCGTAAGATAGGACATAAGCTGATTAAAAATACATCTCTCAAATATTTTTACTTGTGGAAGAGAGAACTGAAAAAGGAAGATACTTGTTACAGGTACAACGAGAGCCTTCTTTGAAAACTGGAACAACTTTTGCCAGTTTCATACTACCTGGAAAAATACCTTGGTTGTTAGAAAGATTAAAAATATAAGTTAAAGGACGGCATATTTGCGGTGCTGCGGTTTTTAATAAAAATGGATGAGTCTTGTCAATCCCAAATGATTTCTTCGTATCAAGACTTTGTAGCAATAGAAATACCTGTATTGCAGACACTTGTGAGAAGCAAAATGTTTTTGTTTCTGGGAAAGATAAGATGTTGCACTCCTATCAGTTAGTGTAAGAGGGACATTACAGAAAAATTTGTTGAGGCAGTTGGAGATGGTAAAAGGTTGTTCGCATTCAGTTTATTTTCTACTTATAGCTTTTCTATATGAGAACTTGGCCGCTTATTATTTATCAATAAATTAATATTGTCCACATCTTTTTTTTTATGTTGTCTGATTTGGTTAAGATGACATTGTAAAAGCCGTCTCGATATATCTTATTAATGGAGGCAATTTTTATCTCAACATCGTGATTCTTCATCTCTAGCTTGTACACTGTTATCTCGTCAACGACCTTTGCTCTAGAGCTCAATACGTGGAATCCATAACACAGGGATGATAACATAGATCACTTAAGTGAAATATTTCCGGTTTTGCAATTCATCAAAGCAGATCGAATTGTTTTTATTTGATTTTCTATTCTTTGATTGTGGCATCATTTTCTTAGCTTTGACTTAACTGAACTGAATCAGAAGTCTTCAAAGTTTTAGTATGCTACATGACAAAGCTTTCTCATTTGAAAAGAACCGAGCGGAAAAAGTTCGGCATGATGTATAAAATTCATGAACTATGTTGTTGACTGAATTATGCGCGCTCTGTATATTGATAATTGTGATATTTGACCGTTTGCATTGCATCGTTCGCATCTCTGTGTTGGCATCGATTACTCTCTAAAGTATCCCGTCCATTTTGATAATCGATGGAGCAGGTTGATAAGTGGTGCATGGAATCGTCATGCGCTGTAACGTTTCTTCGCGGTGGACTTCCCTCGACAAGCACGCGAATTCTTACTTTGAACGGGCGAAAGATCATGTAATTAGGGGCCTTGAGAGCTCTTAAAATCCTTAATTTTTTAACCTTGGTAATTAGTTTTATCATTGTTGAATTGTATATATTGTAATTTCTTTGTTAACTTGTCGATGACAACAATAATCATTTAGTTAAGCTAATGTTTGGGGTCATTTTGCCATATTTGAATTATTTATCTTCAGGATCTGTATAATTAGCATCTTCTTGGCTAATCCCTTAACCAAGGTTTGGAAAGTACATGGAAAAAGGAAAATAAAATTTATCTCATAACGGCTATTTCATATGAATTCAATTTGTAGTCGGGCATCTAAGGTGTCAGAATGCGCTTAAGTCTTACACACAAATAACGATTAACTTATCAAAGGAGCAAATTCGTGCCCTTGAGGTATCTAACATTTACTAATATTTGTTTAAAGAGTCATGCCTAAAATAGACTGTCAACACTATATTTGCTTTGTTCTTCGCCAAAGTGTTCAAAACAGATTTCGCTCACGATACCACTATCTCCAGACCTTGAAAAATTAACGCTATACCAAATGCAACGTTGAATAGGAGGGAACTTCATCTTTGGGGTGACTTCTACCAATGTGGACATATGTGGCTTCAAAAAAAATTGTTTTGCGTTTTATTCGATGTCAACATAGAAAAATCTTAGGAATGCCAACTCTTTGTGAATAATTAAGATTTATTTTCGTCTGGAAAAGTCTTATAGCTTATGCTGAACGGAATGTGTGAACAGAGTCGAAAATAACCTACTGATAAGTTAGAAGGAGTGAGCACGAATTTCGTGGAGTATGATAAATAAAGGGGTCGTTTTCTCTTCTGGTCGGTTTCCAAGATGGGTGCCGTTGTAGTCTTTTTATTTATTCGCCTTTAAAAACAATAAAATCAAGTCAAAATTTCGAGAGTTTTCCAAGCCTTTTCAAGGTAACATGTTATACTGTATCTTGTGGAATTTCGCCTAACTGAGCAGGACAAAGTCGTTGGATGTTTTCCATTTTTAGTTTTTGTTGTGGTTATGTGGCGGCAATGAATTCTGTATTGATCCGTCCAACAGTAAACCACATTTTGATATTCAATAATTCAATGGTGAATTTCGTACATCCATAGCAGAAAAAGCGCTCGAGCTGCTGAGAGGCGTTTAAAAGCACCACCATTATGGTCCTACAGTAAAATTTAACACTACTACACAGCAGAGTGATTGTTTACAATTTTGTTATTGTTTGGAAGAGTCAACTGTCTAAAAAATTACTTGCTTCTAATGAGAATGAAAATCTTGCCAAAACAAATCCAAAGGTTTCCTTCGTTACATATTTCATGCCACTCGTAAAAAACATTTTGATGTTATCTTTGAGAGGCGATTGGGGTTTCTGAATGTTTCAGTGCAATAAGTCCCTGCAGGTGGTTTATAAACAATTCCAACGCTTAATCACGTTTACAATATACGATCAACGTGCACTTTTTTTCTGGATATTTAGTTTGAAATTTCTAGCTTTCCTCTTTTTCATAAAGAATTATTGCGCAATTGGTGGTTGTTTACCTCGGATTCTAATATTAAGAAAACCTACTTACGCTTCAGATTAGTCTCATAAGCGTGCAACATTGGGAAATATTCCAAACATTCAACAATTAATTTTATTGTAAGAAAAAGTCAGCGAAGCAGTAACGCCCATCAACCAATGAACTGTCAGTGTAGCTCTTTAATTGACATCTTCAATCAACTCATTTGAATCGGCTTTTCTACTCATAAATAGTTTGCATCTCAAGGGACTTCAGACGATTATTTTGGCGTACGCTCCGATGGTGGACAAACTTGGAACAGTGATCGCAAATTTAATGGCGCAAGTTTGTTAATCTTTCAAAAAAAAAAACAGCATGGTTATTAAAAGCACTCTGTTAGTGTGCTTGATCATCTGTTGCCAAAGTAGTCATGTTAGAGCTGCGTCAGAGTGTACGGGCGCTATAGTCGCTTCAGTGTTTGGTACAATAGGTGTGATTCTTCTTATCGCAGGTATTGCGATACTGGTTTGGTGTTGTCGCCAAAAAAGATCAGGTAATGATAGTTTATTTGCCTAGATGTTAACTTGTTTCAGTTTATTCTATTGAATTTCTATTTCAAAAGGCGCTGCTCACATTTGAGTTCTTTTGCTGCAGGAAAACTCTCGTCAAGGTCTTCAATAGAAACCGCCAGTGAACCAGAAATTTCTCTCGGCACAAAAGCCAAAGGTGGTCAGATTGGTTTAAATGGTCATGGAACTCCGGTAACTTTTTCACATCACTACAAAGAAGAAGCACCATCTGCTGGTAAGAAAAATGGGAATAGTGGATACAATCCTGTCCGTACCATTTCAGTTTATATCGAATCATCTGCATACTTAAAATTGCTATGATACGCGTCCAAACTTGTCAGTTTTCTCTTTCTAGTTTAAGAGTGCCTCTTAAGCTCGAGTTTTAGCTGCTTGCAACAGTCGTGTATTTCGAAGAAAGTAAGGCGTAGCTATTTTATCATTATTACTATTATTATTATTTTTATTATTATTATTATTATTATTATTATCATCATTTTTGTCGTGATTTAGGCATAAGTATGCCTTGTATTGGCTTCCATACTCGTGAATTCACTGAGGTGATTGTCTACAGCACTTTTCAAACGATGAAATGATCATTTTTTAATCACTGCATCAACTACGTTCACAATCACTTTTTTCAACTGAGTGAAGTTCCTTTAGTAAGAAGTTGACAATGTTACAAAAGACGGTGACTGAATATTTCAGATGCTCGATGAGAATATGACAGCAAAGAATATTTTCTCTGTGCAGCACTGAAGCATGTCGAAATTGGAGCTGTGCTTTAACCCAGTTCGTTCTATTTCAGAACTTATAAGTTACCAACCGTTCAATTGAAACCTTGGCACTCTGCAACTAGGATGTCTTTGTGTTAAAATGTCTTTCCTTGTTTCAACAACAAACCCTCACCTACGTTGTCACCGAAGTGTTCATTGTCCTTTAGCTCATTTCCATAAATGTCATTATCTTTTTCGAGATTACTCGAGCACTGAAAGTTTGAAGAATCTAGAAAGCCCTCGCTCTATGGCTTGTTATTTCACTGATTGATCATGTCACGTATATAACAAACGCTTGGATAACGCTATTTTAAAAAAATACTAAGTTATAAGAGTTTTGTATATATTTGCTCATGATTTTCGACTTTTTGAGGAAAGAATAGTCATTACATCGCTTGGCGGTGAATATTTGTATAATGTTGGTTGCCCAGAGTTCCATAGAAGGTGACAGAAGTTTACAGATACATCGAAACGTCTTGCACACCGCATGACAGTCATACTTTGCGCATTGCGTCAGTTTAAAATGCATAGATACAGATTGATCTGGAGATTTCAGGGATGAGACCTTCTTAATGTGGAGCTTACAAAACTTTAAATTACCTAACCTAACACACAAGGTCATTCAAAAGAAAGAGGTCATAAGGAATGAAAAGTATCTCCTGAATAATCCAGACGCAACCTCATCCTCCGACATTCAATCGCACGAGATTTAGGAACACCCATCGGCAAAAATACACAACAGCCTAAGCCACGACATATTCAGAACAATACTATAACTTAATAAAATCGCTGCAACATTTTTCCATCTCCCGTCTGTTTCAATGGAAAATTTTTTCTATTGTTCGATGCTTTGTTTCTTTTGAAATTGGTTCCACTCGGTGAGCTTCAGGAGTCTTTTAATTTTGTTGACACTCGCTGTTTTTGTAGTCAGGATTCAAATTTAACGTTTCTTTATAAGTGTCTATTTAGAACCCAGGTCGGAGAGATCTGTAGTGAAATTGAAGCTTCTCTCCGAAGATTATCTGCGTTATTTGTGTAAAATGAAATAGCCGCATGACCATGTAATAAGTGGAACTGTAATTATTGGTTTGTGCCCTACGTTATTAGATATACTATTTAAACAAATAAGACTGGTTTTTTTCGTTAGTAGTGTTTTGCTTGGAAAGTAATGCATCTTGTGTGAATAATAGATTGATTGCATTAGGAAGGTTTATAATGTTTAATCTTATTTAAATATGCTTCAGATTTTTCTCAATTTGTGTGACGTAGTTTCTTTCTGAACGTTGATGTTCCTTTTTTATTTGACAACTACTTCGCTTGTCTACATTCGGCAACGATCCTTTAAATTTTGGCTAATGGCTAAATAACCCACGATTGTGATTTTGTTTGTTTGTTTGCTTGTTTGTTTCGAACAGCGTACAACACAAGGGGAGTTGTTAATCCAGCATTTGGTGGGCAGCGAGAAGTACTGATTGAAATGCCTTCTAGAGACGATGGCGAAGTCAAAATTGACATGGATGGAGATGGTAAATTCAAACTTCCTTCTTGTAACGAAGGGGAGGTAAAAATTGATATGGGCGGAGATCCAGACAAGGAAATTCCTACTGTAAATCTTGACATGGACACCGATCTTGGCATGAATGTGGCAAATGGAAGCAGCCTCAAAATGTCTCCAAGAGATGCTCAGCTCTCGGATGTTGAGTTCCAACATAACAAACCATCAGGAACAGGTTTTCCGGGCGGGAATATTCCTGGTTCAGACGTTGATATTGCCTTTGAGGGCTCCTCCAAACCAACCTTTAACGTGGACGCACCAAGGAATATGGTTAGCGATGTTCTTTAAGTTTTGAATTAAGTCCATATCAGTTTCTACGTATTTGACCGCACTCCTCAAGATTCAATTCTTCTGTTTCGTTAATGTAGAGCCATAGCTATACTTGCAATACGAAGTCGGTATGTCCACAGCAAAGTTAACTTAACTCGGGGCCATAGTTATAAGTCACTTTGCAGAGAAAAATTATCGCCTAAAATGTTTTACTTTCTTTTTTCCTTATGGTTAAATAAAACCACACAAAACGTCTGTTGCATAGGAGTTTTGAAAAAAAATAAATATAAGCAGTCTCACTCTTTCATCCAATATTTAGCGCTTTCCGCCTTTCGAACATCTTAGCCCGTATGGACGTATGGAAATTTTCAGTTACCGAAAAAACTAGAATAAAAAGATAGGAATAAAATTGATCAGAGCGCTTTTGCTTATTCAATAAATACTTCAAGTCTAGTCTATTGTGGGCATAAAAATGACCTGCATTATCCAAGATAGATCTCTCACCCTTATAAGAGCCAAATGCTGTCGCTCTTATATAATAGTTGAATAATGTACTTGCTAATTGCTATTATCAATATTTGTCAACATCATTATAGTTTTTATTGCAGTTGTCATTATCATTATTAATGTTATAAGCATTACCAGTATAAATGACTCTCTTTCCTGAGAAACACACATCAGCTTTAATCTTCACCCCCAAAAAGACTTTTTTATATATATCTCTTGCTTATCCGTCGTTTTCGACAGGAAACCATTGATGTTGATCTCGACCGACCTGAAAGTGGTGGCTTTGGACTCTTGATTGCGAGGGACAAGACTTTGCCACCTCCTGCTTTATTCGTAAGAGAAGTAACACCCGGTGGTGTTGCTGCGAGAACAGGTCTCCTGGATAAAGGTAACGACACTGTACGTTATATTTACGTATGTTACACAAGGATGATCGTAAACATTTCACCTCAGAAATTTTACGCGGTAACAGAGCGACACCATAATTGACGAATTTTAATTCATGGTGAACATGGCAATTTCTCGCCAAAAAAAAAAACCTGAAACATCTTCAGAGACCTCGCTGCAATTTGAAAAGATATTCTTTTTCTCAAATTTGTTTGATATGATAAATTGTCATAATTCAAGGTACTCTATTTTGAAGATTTTATTCGCAAAACACGTAGTACTTAATGAAAACTAACTAGAAAGCAGACCAAAAGTCATCAATATTCCTCCAGAAAAGGTCACCCTTCTAATTTGTTATCTCCAAGGTGATAAGATCATTGGTATCAATGGAACTCCGATCGAGGGCCTAGCTCATGACAAAGCAATGCACCTTCTTCGCAATGATGACAAACCAAGGCTAAGACTGACACTGTTGAAAAACCTCTCGCCAGGACAAAATGGTAGGTAGTCTGTTTAGCCTCATGGTATTTAAGTTATTCTACAACAGGAATTCGCGAGAAATAGGCGTCGAAAACCAAATTATGCGTGTTAACATTTTCACGTTGACTCTATGCTAGAAGTTGGCATATTATTTGTATTTGAGAATTGAGAATGAATTGAAATGATAAAGCGAAATGATAAAGTTTGTAATATAAAGAACTGACACGATTCCATAAAATAGAATGCACCATAATGCCATTATATCTCTTCTCACCGATAGGTTCACTGGACTTATCGGAGAGATCGCGGGATCTATCCAAGACGATTGACGAATCCTGTGCAATTGACTTGGAACCGGGACTAGAGGCAGGGAGCCCCTCCCTTGATGTCGAAGGATTGCAAGGCAGTGCAGATTTAGGAGAGACGGAGACTTCACTGAGTAAACCAGAATTCGAGGGGGATATACCACAGGCGCGTATTGCTGGGCCGAATATGAAACCACACAATCTTCAAGGTTCACCTTCAAACCTGAGCTTGCCTTCACCTAAGACTAAGCGTGCGAAATGTTTCTCCTGTGTATCCAAAGGAGACAAAGGGGAGCCTTACACCAGAGGGAAGACAAGTAATAGAATGGATTGGGACAGACCGAGTGATGATTGCTCTGTTGATATTAATGAGGGTGGTAAATTTACAGATAATTTGAGAGTCAGAGAACCTGGCATTTCTATTCCGGCCAAAAATGTCACGGGAGAAATTACGGGACCATCGCTTGACGAAGAGCAAAGGGATTTAGGATCCAATGTACAGCTAGATAGCTATTCGCCAAATATCAAAACGTCGCAAGGTAGACTAAAAACACAGCTATCTGGGCCAAGTGTCGATGCTTCATCTGGGGTGCTCAAGGGCTCAAAGGAAAATGTTAACGTTCCTGCCGCTGGTGGGTTGAATTTGCCTTCCTCAAAGAAAAAGCGTGGTAATTGTTTCTCGTGTGCAGGAGACGGAAATAAAGAAGACCCATACAGAAAGACTAAGGGAAATGTTGGCTTCGACCTGAGCGGCCCTGATGGATCACCAGAAATGGTGGAACCCAGAAAAATGGACATAACCGCTTCTGCACCTGAGTTTCATGAACTTGGAGAAACCAACGACCTGGACCTCAGAACAACTGGACCAGACTTTCATATCGAGGGACCAAACAAAGGAATCTCAACGAGACTGCCAGAGGTTTCCCTCCAAGCAAAAGACCCAAGAACAAATACCCCAGATGTATCGCTTCCATCAGGAAGCACTACTATCGGCCTCTCTGGATCGGGGAACATGTCTTCAGAACGCCCTAAAGTTGAAATAGATGCTAATTCCCCAGAAATAGATGGTCCAAAAGGAAGATTCGATACAGAAATTTCGGCCCCACATGCTGATATATCACATGGTAAACCGGGAGGCCCTGAGGCAAAAGTTACCGCACCTTCTGGACAGTTGAATTTGCCATCTTCAAAGAGAAAGCGAGGTACTTGTTTGTCGTGTGCAGGAGACGCGGATAAAGACGACCCGTACAGAAAGACTCAAACTCAAGGAAGTGTCGGCTATAACCTTAGCGGTCCTGATGGATCACTAGAGATGGAAAAACCTAGCAAAATGGACATAAGTGCCTCTGCACCAGACTTCCAAGGACACGAAGAAACGAAAGACTTGAGCTTCAAAACAACTGCACCAGATTTTGACATCGAAGGACCAAACAAAGGCATTTCTACGGGGCCGCCAGAAATTTCACTGCATACAAAAGATCCAAGTATAAATACCCCAGATGTATCTATTCCATCAGGAAGTACTGATATCGGCCTCTCTGGGACAGGAGACATTACTTCAAAACGACCCAGAGTTCAAGCAGAAGCCAATTCCCCAGACATCGATGGTCCAAAAGGAAGATTCGATACAGACATATCAGCCCCAAATGCTGATATATCACAGGGTAAACTGAGAGGCCCTAGTGCACAAGTTGACGCTCCTTCCGGAAAGTTGAATGTGCCTTCTATCAAGAAAAAGCGCGTTAATTGTTTGTCTTGTGCGGGAGATGATGACAAAGACGGCCCTTACGGAAAGACAAGAGGAAATGTTGGCTATGACTTCAGCGGCCCTGATGGATCAATGGAGATGGAAAAACGTAGCAAAGTGGCCCTAAATACTTCCAGGCCTGATTTTCAAGGACATGCAGTAACGAAAGACATAGGTCTCAAAACAAGTGGACCAGACTTTGATATCGAAGGACCAAACAAGCAAATCTCAACGGGACCGACAGAAATTTCCCTTCACGCAAAAGATCCGAGTATTAATGCCCCAGATGTATCTTTTCCGTCGGGAAACACTCATATTGGCCTTTCTGGAGAAGGGGAAATTTCTACAGAACGACCTAGATTTGAAATAGAAGCAAATTCCCCAGATATCAATGGCCCGAAAGGAGGATTCGATACAGACATATCAGCCCTAGGCGCTGATATATCACATGGTAAAATGAGGGGCCCTAAAGCACAAGGTAACGCACCTTCTGGAGAGCTGAATTTGCCTTCTACTAAAAGAAAGGGTGTAAATTGTTTATCGTGTGCGGGAGATGGGGATAAAGACGACCCTTACAAAAAGAGTAAGGGAAATGTTGGCTTCGATGATCTGAACGGCCCTGATGGATCACTAGTGATGGAAAAGCCTAGAAAAGTGGACATAAGTGCTTCTGCACCTGATTTTCAAGGCCATGAAGAAACAACTGACTTGGGATTCAAAACAACTCGACCAGACATTGATATGGAAAGACCGAACAAAAGAATCTTAACAGGGCTGCCAGAAGTTTCCGTCCACGCAACAGATCCAAGTGAAAATGCCGCAGATGTATCTATACCATACGGAAGCACTGATATCGGTCTTTCTGGAGAAGGGAACATTTCTAAAAAACGATCAAGCGCTAAAAAAGACGCCAATTACCCAGGCATCGATGGTCCAGAAGGAAGACTCGGTACAGACATTTCAGCCCCAGATGCTAACGTATCACACGGTAAACTGAGAGGCCCTACAGTACAAGGTAATGCTCCTTCTGGGGAGCTAAATTTGCATTCTACTAAGAGAAAGGGCGTAAATTGTTTGTCTTGTGCTGGAGATGGGGACAAGGACGACCCGTACAAAAAGAGTAAGGGAAATGTTGGTTTCGACCTGAGGGGCCCTGATGAATCACTGGAGATGAAAAAACGTATTCCATCAGGCAGCACTAATATCGGCCTCTCTGGAACGGAAGACATTTCTTCAAAACAACCTAAAGTTGAAATTCAAGCCAGTTCCCCAGATATCGATGGTCGAAAAGGAAGATTCAATACAGACACTTCAGACTTTGATATTGAAGGAGAAAACAAACGAATCTCAACGGGACCGCCAGAAATTTGCCTCCCCGAAGAAGATCCAAGTATAAATACCCCAGATAAAACTTTTCCACCAGGAAGCACTAATATCGGTCTCTCTAGAACAGGAGACATTTCTTCAAAACGACCGAAAGCTAAAATAGATACCAATCCCATAGACATCGATGCTTCATCTGGGGTGCTCAAGGGCTCAAAGGAAAATGTTAACGTTCCTGCCGCTGGTGGGTTGAATTTTCCTTCCTCAAAGAAAAAGCGTGGTAATTGTTTCTCGTGTGCAGGAGACGGAAATAAAGAAGACCCATACAGAAAGACTAAGGGAAATGTTGGCTTCGACCTGAGCGGCCCTGATGGATCACCAGAAATGGTGGAACCCAGAAAAATGGACATAACCGCTTCTGCACCTGAGTTTCATGAACTTGGAGAAACCAACGACCTGGACCTCAGAACAACTGGACCAGACTTTCATATCGAGGGACCAAACAAAGGAATCTCAACGAGACTGCCAGAGGTTTCCCTCCAAGCAAAAGACCCAAGAACAAATACCCCAGATGTATCGCTTCCATCAGGAAGCACTACTATCGGCCTCTCTGGATCGGGGAACATTTCTTCAGAACGCCCTAAAGTTGAAATAGATGCTAATTCCCCAGAAATAGATGGTCCAAAAGGAAGATTCGATACAGAAATTTCAGCCCCACATGCTGATATATCACATGGTAAACCGGGAGGCCCTGAGGCAAAAGTTACCGCACCTTCTGGACAGTTGAATTTGCCATCTTCAAAGAGAAAGCGAGGTACTTGTTTGTCGTGTGCAGGAGACGCGGATAAAGACGACCCGTACAGAAAGACTCAAACTCAAGGAAGTGTCGGCTATAACCTTAGCGGTCCTGATGGATCACTAGAGATGGAAAAACCTAGCAAAATGGACATAAGTGCCTCTGCACCAGACTTCCAAGGACACGAAGAAACGAAAGACTTGAGCTTCAAAACAACTGCACCAGATTTTGACATCGAAGGACCAAACAAAGGCATTTCTACGGGGCCGCCAGAAATTTCACTACATACAAAAGATCCAAGTATAAATACCCCAGATGTATCTATTCCATCAGAAAGTACTGATATCGGCCTCTCTGGGACAGAAGACATTACTTCAAAACGACCCAGAGTTCAAGCAGAAGCCAATTCCCCAGACATCGATGGTCCAAAAGGAAGATTCGATACAGACATATCAGCCCCAAATGCTGATATATCACAGGGTAGACTGAGAGGCCCTAGAGCACAAGTTGACGCTCCTTCCGTAGAGTTGAATGTGCCTTCTACAAAAAGAAAGGGCGTTAATTGTCTCTCGTGCGCGGGAGATGGGGATAAAGCTGACCCATACAGGAAGACTAAGGGAAATGTTGGCTATAACTTCGGCGGCCCTGATGGATCACTAGAGATGGTGCAACCCAGCAAAATTGACACAACTGCTTCTACGCCTGATGTCGATAGACCTGCAGCAACAAAAGAACTCGAACTCAGAACAGCTGAACCAGACCTTGATTTCCATGGACAAATCAAGGGAATCTCCACAGGAACGCCGGAGATTTCACTTCATGGAAAGGATCCAAGTATAAATACCCCTGATGTATCTATGCCATCGGGAGACACAGGTTTCAACCTTTCTAGAACAGGAAACGTTTCGTCTGAAAGACCAAGCGTTGAAGTACAAGGCAATTCCCCAGGCATTGATGGACCAGAAGGAAGATTTGAAAGAGACATTTCAGGCCCGGATGTTGATGTATCAGATGGTAAACTACAAGGCCATAGAGCAACAGTTAACGCACCTTCAGGAGAGTTGAATTTGTCATCTTCAAAGAAAAGGCGCGTTAATTGTTTGGCTTGTGCAGGAGATGGGGACGAAGAGGACCCATATAGAAAGACTAAGGGGAGTGTCGGCTACAACATCAGCGGCCCTGATGGATCACTGGAGATGGAAAAACCTAGCAAAGTGGACATAAGTACTTCTGGGCTTGATTTTGATGGACGTAAAACGACTGAAGGGCTAGAACTCAGTACAATTGTACCAGATGTTGACTCTCAAGGGCCGAAGAAAGGAATATCTTTGGAGCCTCCCGACATCTCAGACAACTTTACAGATACAGATCCATCTGCTGAAAAATCAAAGATTTGCTTGAATTCCCCTGTATTATATGATCCAAGCATCGGAGGTTCAGGATTTGATGCACCTAAAAATTCATATGAGACGTCAACGATTTCGGGGTCCTCGCTAGGGAGAATTTTTGATAACACTGATATACAAAGGTCCAAGTTTGACCTAGATGCTTTAAATATTGAAAAACCAGACTTTGGATCGGAACCACCCAGTAGAGGTGCAGGAATACAAGATATAAAAGGACCAGACTTCTCACATGAAAAGCATGACTTATCTGGACCATCAATGGGCAGAGTAGAGAACGATATTGGAATTGATGGGTTCGACCCAAGCATGAATTCGTCAAGAGTCTCTGTTGAGAGGCCAGATATATCTGGGCCCTCGTTTGACACCACAGCTAGTGATATTGATCTCGGAGTAGCAGACAAACCAAGCACTGACTCAGATGGATTTGACATACCTAAACCTAGAGGCAAAGAAATGCACAGAACTAAATCAGATATCTTCATGCCATCAGCAGGCGGAATAAGTGTTCATGCTCCAGCTGTAGACCTACGGCAACAATTAGAGGCTGACATGAAGGGATTAGATGTTGATGCACCGGAATTAGATTTCACTGTATCATCACCAAATAAAAAACGAGCATCGTTAGAACCAGTTGACATGAAAGGTCTTAGAGGGAAGAGTTTTGAAGGTGATGTTGATTGGGGTATCAGTACCTCAACACCCAAAGATTCTGGTGGCATAGACTTTGACGCAAATCCGGTCGAAGGCGATGTAGAATTCGCAAGTACCTACGATAACATCGAACTCCACAGTAAACCAGAGTCTCTCCCCTCGGTAGCGTACGAAGAACCACACAGTCTTCAACGTTACGATGAAATACGACCAGAAATGGAACTGAGACTGTTGTCACCAAATCAACCCAACGAATCTGATCTAAACTTCGATGCAGACATCTCAGATGCAAACCTTCATGTGGATAATTGGAAGCCAGGTGAAATGAACCTGGTAAAAGTCGAAGAAAACGTAACAGTTTGTTCAGCATCAGTCCAGGAGCCTTCTTCTCCAAGCAGAATATTAACTCTAGATCGCGAAATTAAGCAAAGAATTGAACTTGAACTCCCGGGCCATGAAGGTACAGATACACCATCTTCATTAAAGAGAAAAAGTAATTCATCTTCATCATCCTCCTCATCCTCTTCTGATGCCGAGGATGACAAGGAAAAGAAGTCAAAACGAAAAAAGAAGTCCAAACTACCACAGGTGTTCCGAAAGAGTTCAAACAGCTCAGCATCGTCCAAGGAGAGTGGTTCCTCGTCCAAAAAGAAAGCGAGCGAACGGAAATCCTCAACAAGTTCTTCTTCATCAGATGACGATAACGAAGATCAAAACCGTCCCGCAGCTGATTTTGTTTCAGGATTGAATTTGAAAAAGCAAAAACCGAAAACAAGCTCATCTTCTTCGTCCTCCGATGAAGGTTCCTTTGGCCTTAATCATCAAGACTTACTTAAAAGAAAGAAATCGAGGCGTTCATCATCATCTGATGAAGCGAAAGAAAATGACAAGAAAAAGCAGACCTACAAAGTGGATGACAGAACATTTACCTCAGTGGCTGATGAAATAAAGGAACCAGGAAAGTCAGGATCGATAACATTTGATATTCAAGAAGAAGTAACTCATGACTCGTTGATGCTAAGCGGCAAAATATCATCAAAAGAGCAGAAACCTACGAGTTCCTCGTCTTCGTCGGATGAAGAGATCTCAAGTTACAACGTCAGCGAGTTGAATGATCTACCCAAGGCAAAAGATCAAGCAACCACAGAAACGAAACGGGAAGAAGATGACCTTCCTTCTTCATTGGACCTATCACTCCATCAGTACAAAGCAGTGGACTATGTTGTAACTCATAATTACGCATCCGAAACACAAGATACAAATCCCTCAGGTGTAGAAGAGGATCCTTTTGTAGTTGTATCTCGCTCCCTTAAAAGACCATATCAAGACACTGAACACGAGGATGAATTGACAGTAAGTTCTATAGAACTTCAATTTAACGAGCCACCAGGAGAGGTTTCCAATCATCTGGACTATCCTTGCCGAGTCGCTCAGGTTGAAGAGGACGATGGCGCATTCGTGCAAGAAGAAGGCGTTGTCCCATTGTTTAAGTTTCGGTCATTGGACTACGATGTCCCAGATGTGTCGGTTCTATCGAAGCCTTCTAAGGAAAGTGATGCACCAAATTTGTTATCACCTAACCAAAGGGACCGCGTGTCTCCTACATGGGACATACAAGCCCATACTTTTGAGGATGTATCTCATGTAACAATTCAAGATGACCTGCCAACGGGGGATGAAAATCATGAGATCCGTGAACAATCGCTTATTATAGTGACACGCTCTCTTAAGAGGACGTCACCTGTTATTGAAGACGCAGATGACATCAGGGAGGAAAAATCTCCAAATTTCTCTAACTCTATGGAGATTCAAGCTACTGAACCTAGCCATGACTTCTACCTTGAATATCCGCAAAATAATAAAGTATTCTTACTCGATGAACAGAATGGCCATCTGACAGATGAAGAACAAATCTCACAGCACACAAAGGAAAGAGAAATACCAGACATTTCAGCGCAGCTAGCCGCATTAAATTATACTGAAGATGAACCTCGATTAAAAAGCGATTCACCCACAAAAGCTGAAGACAATGTCAAATCGCCAAGGGAGAAAAGCCCTAAAGAAATTTCGAGGCGAGGTTCCAACTCTCGTCTTTGGGATTTAATGCAAGGTTATCTAATTGAGCAGCCTATACTCAGCGATAATGACACAAATTCGGAATCAAGATCAAAGAACACGGAAGAACACAACGAAGAGGGAGAACAGGTTTTTTACGAAACCAAGCCCATAGAAATTATAGACAGCAGCATTTCGGAAAAAACTCAAGAATCCCTTAATGTGGTGACCTACCAAATCCACATCGACGACCACGAACATCCTAAAGAAAGAAGTGGTGTTTTAGAAGATGGAGACACAGCGCTAAAGGCTTCCAAACCTGATCTCGTTTCTTTTGATGCGAAACCTGTCGAAGACAGTCGTGCTACCACAAGCTACAGCACATCAATAACAAAGGTGGAAAGCAGTTTTGCCTATGTTAACTTGACACCCGTAATGACCGAGACGGATTCTGAATTGGGCGCTGTTGATCGATTAGACACGGCGAAAGATGAACACCATACATCAGTTACAGACGTTAAAAGCAGTGTTCAGGAAGTAACGGTCATATCAAATTCGTCTCAAATTGAACCCATTTCTCTACAAGTGGATATTGGTGCGATAAAACCTGTTTCCAAATACCAAACTACTTCATGGAAAAAGGAAGTTTCTGTTCCTGCCGATGTGGATGACAAGAATGACGATCCCTGGATGAGGCATTATTCCAGAGGATTACAACAAGGCACCCTCTACCAGCCACTGTATGCAAAATCACCAGAGAGAGACCCATATCTTGGTGAAAGACGTGGCGTAAGTTTGTCCAAAGTACCACATGTTAAAGGTGTCAAGACGTCAGGCGAAAAAGAGCGTGAAAGATCGAGGTATTCCATCGAGGGCCGAACTAGCATCCAATCAGCGTCCTACCAAGTAAGTACAGATGGTAAATCTATGCTTCGAGGATTGGAAGCAGTTCCCAGAGTGCGAACACCCGAGAGTCTCTTTTCTAGCCGAGATGACAGAGAGCAATCGCAAAAGAGCCAACCTGAGAGTGTTGGAGGAGACCCGTCAACAGGAGCGTCCACAAGTGGCCCTTCCGTACAAAGTTTGCGTTCCTTTTGGGATAAATGAATTGAAGTCCACCTTATCGTGGCTTTACATCTCTTAATACAAACGAAATGTACATTAGTTACTACTCTTTCCCGACTGATTTACAAAAAAGAAAAATGGGCAATGAGTTAGACCCCTTCACTCAGCTTAAATAGCTTTACATGCTTACATCGAGAAAGTGTCGTTAGAAAAAGTCAGTTATTGTTATATACTAATAGCAATTGACACTGCTTAGGCGCTAATGTATGGAGAATGTGCCGGGCGAAAGATAAAAATACATTATCTCTAGTGTCAGAGGAAGATTTTTAAGCATTTTTCACACAAGATAGATTCTGTTGCTTTTACGCTGATCTTTAAGAAATGGAAAGGAATCGCCCGAAGAAGAGAATCCAAGAAACAGAAATTACGCTGTCAAAAAGGCTTAAAAGTTGAGCCTTCTTCTCACTAAGTTTTCCAATAATTTTAATTCATCTTATTACCCAAAAAAACATTATCATTAAGCAAGAATTATAATTTTATAAAGCTGAGACCTTTCAAATATTATCATTACAATTATTCAATGGAATTATTTGTAAATAAATGTTCAGTCTCATTAGTCAACCTGCTTTCGCCTCTACTACGGACTCCATATTTTAACTTTTACAAATCATGAGTGACACAGTCAGCTGAGTGACACAGTCGGCTTTTTGCTTCTTGTTATGTAAAACGGATTCCAAGAAGAATTTGGGGCTAGTATTGGCTGCACCTCGTGCAACTGTTAGGTTACTCCTGTGTTCACCCAACTTTCTGCGTACATTCATTTGAGCTATAGACCGCACTTCCTATCGGTTTACCGGCGTAATATCACACCCGGAATGTTGACCAATCAGAGCGCACGTTGTATCTCAGTTATTTCATAAACCTCGATAAAACCATATCAGTTTTCGCGAGAAATAATATAACTCACAACATTCACATAACCAGGAGCCCATTACCCACTAGTAGTGGACTCCTGAGATAACTTCGTACTTGATACCCCATAAGGTTTCACATATAAACAATAGCCTCCATTTTGCGCGCAAATATGCAAGGTTATTTGTCCGCTGACATTATCTGTTCGGAGAGGCGAACAATTTTCCGAAAGCAAAGCTGAGCTTCGGGAAACAGATAATTTCCAAGAAATATCCGTGTATTTTATTTCACCGAATGGAGGCTATTATGTTTATTATCCTTCAAAGATTTTTGCAATGTGCGGGAAAAATGCTTACGAACAGCTTACAGTTTTTTGCGTAGGATGTTTACTTTTCCGTGTTCTCTGGTTCAAATGTAAAAACAAACAAATACGTACCCATAATGAGTTTTAATAAACAATGAAATGGATCGTGGTGATTCGACGCTGAAGGGGTGGGGTAACGATAGTTTTTAATCAGACATTCTCTCTAACCCCCCTCCCTTCCCTCCAACGGTAAAAAATTTTAAGATTTCTACGAAGAACGTGCATCAACACGGGGTTAACCTAGACAGATTTTTTTATTGAGACCAAAGAACACAGAGTATGTTCTTGACCCTATAATATTCTAACATTTCTAACATGTAAGGATTTAAGCTGCCATACAATGTAAATTAGCACAAAGATGATATGGAACAGAATTGAGGTTTATCTAACTGTAATATCAGTAACAATTTCCATCCGCGGATGCCCAATCTGCACAACTTGTCTGTTCTAGTTACACATAGAGGAAGAAAAAGGAGAAACCAGCTCCCTAACATCTGATATTCCACCTCAATTGTTAACACAGGGAGGGCAAACAGAACAGCTGATAAATCAGTCTACTCAGAGACGGTCCTAACGTCCTGCAATTAGGTGACATTCGAAATTATTAGACTGGTACATTGCTATAAGATTTTCATAGGCCTAGGAAATAAAGGTCATGAAAGACAAACATTAATAATAGTAGTAAAAATATAAACAAATTGACCACTGCAAACAAATTGAAGAAAACATTGTAAATAAACCCAGTGTTTAAAAATCCCAACTGGCCGGGGACAGACTAATTGGCTATATACAAGGTGCAGCCAAGGCGTTGAACTCGGGGCAACCGAGAGCAAATCTTGTGAGTAGCAAGGTGGAGAGCTTAGAAAAAACAAAAACAAAAACAAAAACAAAAACAAAAACAAACAAACAAACAAACAAAATAAGAAAGTGTAAATGAAAGGGATAAAAAGCCGAGTATATCAAAGAACCACTGATGTATCACACTGAACCGCACTATTTAATATGTCTTGTCTGCCGTAAAAATTAGAAAAAGGAATTCTGATGGTTCAGTAACAAAAGCAAATCATGCGAAGATGTATCTATACCTGCAGTTTCAATATTTGTAGTATTCATAATGATTTTACATTTTTATATTTCATACCTCCACCCTGCAATACTACTAACACGTTCATTCTGATTGTTGTGTAAGAACGTCCGTCCCATGTTTTGTCATTTTTACATTTTTATATTTCATACCTCCACCCTACAATACTACTAACACGTTCATTCTGATTGTTGTGTAAGAACGTCCGTCACATGTTTTGTCAGATGATTTATCATTTACCTTTGATTTTCACCGCATTTCAGCACAGAGAGGAGCAATTCCTTGTCTTCCACACTCTTCTGTACCTTGTATGCATTAAACAAACTAAAAATCGGAATACGATGTTGCGTTACATTTTTTGTAGCTTCTTTTCAATGCCACACTTGGGAAAACTTTGTTCCATAATACTCGAGAACTCCATTATTTTATCCATCAAGGCTTATCTCTTACACGCATTTCTGTAAAAAGGATCTTTCCAAATGAAACCTCTTGCTTACTGATAGAGGGCTTGAGCACAATTTAAGAGTTTCAGAGAGTGCCAAGTCATTCCACATGCATCACCTTTTAGGCGTGGGATACTTGTCCAGTATTGCAGCAGCCTTGTCAGGAGACACTCCACTCAGCTGCATAAGCTGCTTGGCAAACACTTCACTCACTGTCATCACCTGAAGTAAGCACGGGGAAAGCCAACTCACCTACACATAACATCTATTTGTATGTAAATAACGATATTAGAAACGCAAAATTTTGTCCCTTTATCATTACACCCTCGACCATACTCGCTTTCTGCAGTAAGACTGGCAGTAACCTTCTCTATAATTTTTTGTTTGCTTTTATCTCTTTATAAAGACCGAATATAGTCTAAAGAGGTTAGTCTAATGGAAATGAAGATGATTCTTGTTACCTTATTTTTGACAGTTGAATCATTGAACACGGGGAAATTCATGAGGTACATTTTAGTTCCTTCCTTATCGTTGTTTAAACGCGCTTCCTCCAGGCCTCCTGGATGACAGCTGACAAGAGTTTTATTCTGAAGAGAAAATGAACGACATAGGCTAATGGAGAAAAATAGAATTGCATAACTCGGACTGCACTATCTAAGACTGGATCCTAAATTCGTATCCGCGTCAAAAGCGTGAAAACAGTTTCAACTGTTGCATAAAATATACTGAAATAAATTATTTGTTCTCGTTGGGTGCATCTACAAGCGCTAACGGGTGACACGTAAATGTTCTCGACCAATCTCTGTTGCACAAACTACAATAAAAAAGATAAGTCACCGTGCTTGCTGAAAAGATATGGGCTAATCTTACTAAAATTTGTAACTGTTGTGGTACTGATCACGCACCTTATATCATCATTGTACATTCTGCGGTAACTACAACCAGGGGCTTTTAAAATATTTTGATAGATAGAAAGTCTTGAGCTAATAACACAAGTTGATTTATAACTTGTGGAAAAATCACTCAAAATTTTCTTTGAGTCGTTGCTTTTAAGATTGTGATTTACATCCTCATGTAAGAGCCTCGTGCACGCTTTTAGCCATATCTCTTTTCCTTCCGATAACCATATTTAAATTTTTTTTTATTTAAAGGGGATAATTTGCACACCTCGTCCAAACAAAACAAAACAAAACAATACCATGTTCTCGCTCATTAGCCTCATTACATGCTGTACAGGATGCGCAGTGCGGTACTGAGGAATCACCTTCTAAGATCAATCCTTGTCGTTGTGTTTCTGATTTTTTTCGTAATTTTTTACTTTCTTTAACATTCAAATAACACAGTTCAATATGCTAACACATCTTTTTTCTAACAACACATCTCCCATGTTCTATGCACATAAGGTAATAGTTTTTCCCATTATTTTTGTAGTGCTTATAAAGTTTATCACTCTTGGTTGCAATTTTTTTCTCAACGCACTTTTAATCTTTACTAAAAAATTTCTACTGATGGATTATTTTTATCAAATTTACAATTATAGGTAAAAAAACTTACCCATAATTACCAAACGGTTCAAAATTGAGAAATCTTCACTGTTATCAAATACACCGAATAAAATATGAATGTGTTGAAGTTTCCTTGCATATTTTTTGATTTATTTGTAAAGAAGAGGGAGCTCGCCAAACCTCTTGATATGTCCCAGTGAAAAAATTAAATGCTCCAGGGATCCAACCTCCTTCTAACTAAAGGTGCATATAGGCGACACAATCATTTTAAAACAGAATAACTTCTCAGCTGCGAAAATTGCATCATTTAATAACTTGTGCTGTAACTCTCTAATCTTTGATTCAACAGAGAAATTAAATTTTAGAGTAGATCAAGTCTACTGAAAGAGTCTACTAGAGGAATTTTTTTGTTTTTTTTGTTTTAAATTCTCTATGAAGTAGTTTTGAAGATCAGTTTTAGCCGTTTCAAAACTGATACACACTGCAGTTGTGTTTCTGATGCTAAACTGGCCGAGGGAGCGAGGTAAAGTTGGTACTTACTGTGTAAAATTTTTGCAGATAGCGAGTCATGACTGTTAAATATGCAACACTCTCTTTCAAATCACGTGTCCGCTTCACAAAAAAGCCATCTACCACCTAAAGAGAGATAGTATCCTCATAAATAATACCTAGATACTTTTAAGATAAATAATAAAGTGTATAATCATTATCATTATTACAGTTATGATGACGATGATAATCACAGCAACGTTCACAAACCAAGTTTATAGCTAGTTTATAACACTTGACAGCTTGTAATTCCTCACTAGACTATGATGACTCAGGTTGTCACAACAACAGTCACTGTCACTGACACCTGTAGGGTACATCAGTCACTGTTATCTTTGGGTTCAAACAAGTGATTTTGTTACAAACCTGCGTGTTAACAATAGCTTGAAGCAATGTGCTCTCCGGTAGACTCATGTGCTGAATTGAGCCAAAATCCTCCACCAGGTAAATTGGGTGTCTGAGACCACAATGGCGAAGTCGAAACTAAAACAGTCAAGAGAGAAAAATTCATTTTTCACGATACCTTAGAGGTGAAGATTACGTTTAAGCTTAATTACCTTTTGCTCGTGGAAACGACCGTCGATGATACTTCCACAGAGATCATCCATTCTTTTCCTTTCCACAATGTAATCCAGGATAAGTTCTCGAGCCACAGGTACTGACAAACAACCTTGAATTTCGCAGCAAAACGCAAATATAAGAGATGTATTCATCCATTGTCGAGGAACATTAAGAAAAGCTGTTTTACACATACCTGGTGTTGGAACAGTTCTTTCACGAGCCACCCAGAGGAAGTCTCCGAGCTGCAGTTTGCGCACATCAAACTGTACTCCTGAGGAAAAAATTCAAATTTCTATCGTTAAATACTCACTTTTAGAAATAGAGTGGCGAGTTGTTTCAAAGAAACTCGTTCAAGCAATTTAACAAGTATGCTGAAGATGCTAAACATGCTCTTAAGCCGTTGAGATATGAACACGTCTTCGACAGCTTTTGGGCGCTGCGTGTCCCTGACTTATACTCGTCAAGGTTTCTGTAGACTGTATTACACCTTTTTAACCAATTATTATTCATCTCTCTCTCTCTCTTTTTCTGCGAAACACTTCATGCGAGCCAATCTTAAAAGAGTGATACACCGCAAGATAAAATAGGATCAAGTACCATTGTTCTTAAGTTCCGGAATAAGAGCATCTTTTCTCGACTTGGCTTCTCCTGACGTTGTCTCATTCACATCTACACACAATATAACATCGAACGTTCCTACGAAAACAAAATCAATTAAAGAATAAAGTTTAATTCATTACTCATTTTAACGATTTAGTTGCTTCATTTCTTTATTAACAACTTTCCTTGTAAATTTGGTAAATCAGTGGAAATGTAATATGGTCTGGAGTTTGTAGTTTTCTCGCTTGATGCTAATTATTAATTATACAGCATGTCGCCTTAAAATAACTAATTGCCTTAACCCTTTAGACCCAATCATCAATATGCATATTCTCCATACTGATCTCTATACATTTCCTAAGGTGCAGACCAGGAAACTTTGTTAAAAACTTCAGTTGGTAATCATTTCCTTTATTTTCGTCACCTTAATGAGTGATTCAGGGCTGATATTGTGAAGAGACATAAGATGCTAGTCATTCTCAGGCGTCAAAGAGTCAATACCATTTCTTTGATCTCTTCTATCATTTAAGCAGCACACCACTTGTTGTACTTTGACAAACATTTCTTGTGAAACAAACCTGGTCTTAGCACAAAACCTGGATCAAGGTTGAAGTCAGCCTTAGCAAGTCTGTGAAAGAGACCAGGGATGAAAGGGACCAGTTACATTGAAAGCTTTTAATTTTTTTTTTTAACTCATCCCACTTATGTCAAGGTACATCAAATACAACCTGTATCAAGAGAAATATGTTTTTCGTCTCAAGTTACCTAATTGATACTCAAAATATATATCATATCCAAAATCTATACTGACAGCTTTTTTCAATGTTTCCATTGTCATTATTTTTGCTATTTATCATGTTGATTATTCTTGATGAATAATCCAAAAGAAATTTGTCAAAGGAAAAAGTGTTTTGCATGCCTATGTTTTTTACAGAATGAAAATTTTCACCATGCAAATACAAGAGAAGTCTATTATTACCTATTTCTGCAGCAGTGAGGAAGATATCATGCAAAGTAAATCAAATGGATTTTACTGATTCTCTAGTCAACAAAACAAATTGCATAACAGTCCCTAATGCAATGCCAGCAAAAATTCACAGTAACACTGTATGCTGATTGAGTAATTGTAAGTAAAAAGTTTGAAACATGGCAAACCACAAATAATTTATGGTTCCAAGGTAAGCCTTGCTGAATTGACATACCTCTTGGGATTTAATTCCTTTTTTTCAACTATGCTTGTAAATCCTTCAAGGCCCCTTGCAGAAGCAGCACAGAGGTCTATTTGTTTGCACTCAACATTTGGCTTTGATGTTGATACAACACTTCTGATGGATGCACTTAGTTTATTGCCAGATTTTGTGTCAACTAAAGCAGAAGAGGCTAATTTAGAAGTAATACTTGCAGTGAAGTGCGATGACACCATTGACAACCTGTCACCGTTCACCCTCTCCAACTTCTGGGCTAGAATGCAGCCCTGATCAGTGATGGAATATCTACAAATGTACCAGAAAAGAAAGCATGCCTCATTATCATTACAGAGTATGTAATGAAAGTCAGATTTTAGTGTCATGCTTATCAAAAACACCAAAGTTTGGATTTTTCCAAGTAACTGAAGCACATGTGTGGTTCACAGTATTCTGTTATGCCCAAGACTACTTCAATAGATGTCGAACATGAAAATACATACAACTCTTAGCAGGACAAAAACACTTCTCAAAAGTTTTTCACAAGGTTGTGTATAGCATGACACATCAGGTTCTTACCTGGCAGGATTGCTTGTCTTGGTAATAAAACCTTTTTTGATCAGTGTTGACATAGAAGACCATGCTGTGTAATGACTGCCCGGGTCAGGCTAGAGTAAATTCATTTTACACACTTCAGATTTAGAATCTTACTACACATTTTTTTTTAAGATAACCAGAGGAGATACTATTTATGATCTGTGCATTGTGGTTTTGTGTGCTGTTGAGTTATGGAGTTTTTGTTTTAAAATGAAGGTGTCTATAGTCAAAGTTTTAGCACCTTTAAATACAACTGACGAAAGGTAAATCTTATAGTCTTGGTATAGGACCTATCCTTTTATTTTTGGGAATATCAATCTCTATTAACATGAATCTAGAAATCAGTAACTGAGAGGTCTAGACTGGGTACAAGCAGTTTACATATTAGTCCTTTCCTTAAGATCGAGCAATTTGTTCAGCATACAAGTCACAAGACTTGGATATAGCTTGGATATGCACCACGTTGATGCTTGTTAATTGCCAAATTACTTAAGTATATTACTGCTCAGGCATCTGCACACATGTAACTTGCAATTAAGCAAGCATGTAACCAGTTTATTTCTGCTTCTGAGGTAGATTTAGTTTCCCTCCCACCCACACCATAGACATTTGTAATATTTTCTATATTTCATTTGTGACTGTAAATATATGAAAATCATATATGTGAACAGGCTGAATTTTTTTCAGGTCTTATTTTCACAACTGTTTAAGCAGTGTTCATTTCTGAGAAGATTGCTTTCAAATTCATTTTTCATTAGTTATTGTCATTTTTCTTGATCACTGGACAGTTGTTTTAGTGTATCCATCACACACCTTTGATGTAATAATCTAGTCTTTTATTTACGTAGGATATGTACATTGAATAAACTGTCTGATCCCAAAACAAGCCTCTGTCTGTTGTGTTGCTTTGCCAGCTTGTTCTCCAAAACATGATTCATATTTAAAGCATTATTTGCAGAAAACACATTCTTTGGGAATATTAAATACCAAGAGTAAATCATTTAAAGTTTCCTGAGCTCTTAGCCTGTGGATATTTTCCAAATAACAGCCTTGTGTTGGAGTCTTTGCTTTTTTTTATGACCAGATACATCTTTTATTATAATTGGGATAGAGGTTGAGCTTCTGCAGATCAAAAAAGAGTCATCCACACTTATTTTATTTTCCTTTCCATAGATGGACTCTCCATTTACAGAGTTCTCTGATCTGATTTTTGTTGTAAGTCGGTTGCTGACAATCCTTAATATGTTTGACTTTGTGCTAACAAATTGAATTGTAGCACTTTCAGTGTACATCTTTTATAACAAAATAATATTTTGTTGTAAAAGATGTTTGTCATCTGTTGAGAACATACAAAGTTGTAGAACAAAACGCAAAGTTTTACAAAAAGAATTTACACATCACTTTGACTACCCCAAAACAAACTCTTGGTTATGCTACAAAAAACAGAGCTTTTGGTGCACTAGGAAAAAGTATTTTACCTTTGTAAAGGAAGCATCACAGAGTGACTGTGCTTCCCTCTGAAGCTCAGCTCTTGTCATGTATCCTGGATTGTTAAGTCTCTAAACATAAAATGGAGCAAGAATCAGCTTGAATAAATGCAAAAACAGCCTTTGTCTCTTGACTGTGCATCAATCCAAACATATTGCACTTAAATAAGGCTAACCAGTCGCAGAGAGAGTAACCAAAGTAGTGTACAAACTGCTTCTTGTTACATGTTTAGAACATCATTCCAGGAAATTTGACACCACTATGGGAAATTCAAACTTATCTCATATGGAAAGTTTCTATTACAGTTCATTCCACCTTGAAGTAGACTAACTGAGGAAAATGTTCTAACTGGCTGCATAGCTATTTTGAATTTTCTGGAATTATTTAGGTTTACTTGGTCATTGTTTGTCCTTGTGCAGGAGAGCCCTGAGAGCCACACATTCAAACAGTTTTAATCTCAAAGTGGTTTATATTTTTCCATTGCCACGAGTTGATTACCTAAAGATAACTTCCATATGTAGACATGCTCAGTTTGTCTATTGACCTTACCTTAAACCCACAATTAAGCCCTTGCTTGGTTTTCACAATCAAAAATTGATTGTTTGATAAGTGGCAACATTAAGTATGTTGCTGTTCATTTGTGACATTCTCATAAAAGTGTGCTTAAAAAAAACATTCCTTTTTTGGATTAGTGTCATTCTTTACATGATAGCCCTTTATACACAGTCATTACAAGAATATTATCACCTGATTATGTTGATATAATGTCACAATCAAAGCATAAGGTCCTGATCTGAAGGCTGGCACATATTCATTAGTAACTTTTCTCTTAGGTTCTTTTCTCTGAAACAGATTGGCATAAAAGGATGTAGCAATGGATAATTTGCTACTTAGCATTTACATTAACATTAAGGAAAATATTGTGAGTTACAATGTTAGGCAGTAGAGAGGTCACACAAATTTTCCATATCAATAATCCTAACAATGACTGGGTATTGAATCTACACCTCTTTACTGGGAGCAAACTCATCAGACATGTAACTAGTTTTGGGTAAAATCAAACCTATAAGAAAATTCCAGAATGTGATTGGCTATTACCAGTCTAATTTGAGCACTAATAGGACAGCATACATGTATGCATCATGCTTGTAATTGGACAGTCAAATTGGACAGCATAAGCATCATGCCTGTAATTGGATGGTGTAATTGAACAGTTTACATGTCATGCATATGTAATAGGACAGTACATCTTATGAAAATGTATAAACAATGGCTAGTTTGTTTCTCAAATTTTGTCATAGTTTTTAATAATTAGTGACAAGATTTTGTGTTGTCCAATTCTGTCTCAAAATTATACTCATGATTAGCAAATCCGGGTCCCAGTTTCCAGTTGTCTGATTTCATGAATCATTTTTATGATTACAGACTGAATTGGACTCTTCTCAGTTCTATTTCCATTACAAATCCTGGAGAACAAAAACAAAGTAGCTAGTATGTATTAAATGTGTATCATTTGAAATAAATGATACCTTTTTAAGTCCTTCTTCAAGAATATCATCATTTAACTCAACTGATGGTGGAGTATGTACACTGAGTGAGTCTAGCACCGGATCTGTTGTGTATTCATCTTCCAAATCATGATTTGCAAACACCTCTGAAATTAAAATTAATTTGGTAAAAATACAATGCATACCATGATAACTACATGCATTATGTAATGTCACCGGAAATTTGTATTTCACTTGTTTTAGTTTCCAAATTATGAGTATCACAATTGATGGTGAGGTGGCAACTCTGATTTTTATAATTCTGGACCAATCACAGCATTGACATTTCTTAAATCTCTCAGGCAATTTAACTTGAATGATATAACCTACCTGTTTCAATTATTACAAACCTTGGTGATTATTGACAGAATGCTTTACCATGGCTTCGTCAAGTCTTCTTGCAATCATAGCACCTGATTGCAATGAAAAAAAATCCTTTTTAGGAAGTTTGAGTAAAACTTTCAAGTGATCGCCCCAATTCTAATTTCACCAAAGTGACTTTGCACTTTCAGTTTTCCCCAAAAAAGTCCTTCAAGTCCTACTGCCGAGCACAATGGCTAACAAATCTAGCTGTCCTATATCTATTAATATGTCAGATTGACATCTAATAGTAAAATTATGAAAACAGATATGCATATAAATACAAGGTCTATTCTCTTGCTGGAAGTTTCTGAGTGGAGTCCACAATCCAGTTAATTTGTTTGACTTGCACTTTGTCTTTTTTTTTTCAGTACTATTCTGAGGCTCCTCTGGCCCCCTTTTTTTTTTTCATTGTAATGTTCAACCCATGGTCAGTCAGAGTCAAGGAACTCATTCAATCAATGCTGAATGGCTTGGTTTCAACATATTTTCACCTATTGACTTACATGTAACTGGAAGACACATACTTGCAGGAGGTTTCCTAGTGCAGTTTTTTTCCCCCAACATTAAAAAGAAAATTCATCAAGAATGAAAGCTAATTTGTGATAGCCCCCACTCAGGAGGAGTTTCTTTGTAAGTGTCTTGTTCTAATGAAATATAACTCTGTAATGTGTATTATGTGATAACTTGCAGCAAGTTTCCATTTAAATGTATTCATGACAAGAACTTATAGCAGTAAATAGCTTGTTGTATTCAAAAGAAGTTTATTCCTGATCTTCAGCAGAGTACTTCTAAGTTGTCTCCATTATAACAGTGCTTTTCTACAAAATTCACCCACCATGATACCCAGAGAAAGAGTAGTTTAAAGTTTTTATTGCTGAAATAGATTCCCAAAAGTTAATAATAACTAGATTGTAATAAGGTATACTTTTGAAAGCTTTTCATGAAAGTTACATGATTTAGATCTTCATAAAATTGTTCTATGTAGGCATCTAAAGGTAGCAATTCATAAAAAAGTTTCCTATTCTAAAGCTTGTTCTCAGAGACAGTAAACTCAAACTGTTTCCAAAAATACATCAATTGAGAAAGTGTGCTGGACAGCTGACTGCCCATGCATGTAACATATAGTTGAAGTTACTCCTTTCCCTCCCCAAGTTGTGGAAAGCACTGTTCGCAAGGGTTGCTCCTTCTTAGCACAAGTTTTTCTATTCTATGAAATGACTTGAAGCAATGTTATTTAATGTCAAATAAATAAAAAAAAACTTGCCTATGTTATCAAGAATCATTGCCTCCTTTCCACAGCTAAGAGGTAATGGATACTTCTTCATAGCAGCAGCAGCCTTGAGAAAAAAACAAAGTTCTTCAACAAAGATATTAATCCTCTTGATTGATTAACTGCAGAGTTAATCCACACGCCAAAAGTCATGTAAATATATTTTTCTTAATAGCCAACCGTGATGTGATCTTAAATTCATTTTGCTATAATAGTGGATTATTACCATAGTAGAATTACCTCAAGTCTAACACACACAATTATCTATTTACATTTATTGGAGGAAATATTGCTGGTATGTGTGAGGCAAATTTTTTTAAATCATGAAATAATGACAAAGGACTTTTTTTAATCATAAGATAAACACTGACTTGTTGTACCAATGTGTTAATAATAGCCAGGCAGGTTGATATTTCATGTTTTACCATTTATGTCATATATTTTGGAATAACTGAAGATCTTTGTGATCTCATAGGCTCTCAGAAGTTTGATTTAATCATGGATCATGCCAGTTTTCTCTAAGTCATATGTTTTTCCTAGCCAATAAGAAAGCAACACTAAAACAAAACAGCCAATAAAATTTTTAAGGCTTTTTCTAAACAACCAACCAAACTGCTGGAAAAAGAGAGAAAGACAAAGAATCCATAAAAGAACGTAACAACATTTTTCCCCAAAACTTCTCTCTTTTTCCAAAAAAAATAAAGAAATATTAACAATTGTTTTTACTATTCCTATTTACTAAAACGGATGTAATGAAGTGGTATTGAACCAAACTGCACTCCATTCAATTCGACTACCAACATAAATTAACGGTTTCATCGAAGTTATAGCTCATAATAATACATAATAAGGCAAATAATTATTTAATTAACTTATTATAAACTGCTTGGGAAATTTCATTTTGGCAAGTTGAAATGACTTTCGTGCTAGTACATGCTGGTTACACCCTTATAGTTATTATGATTGTTACGTAAATCAGGGATAAGCTGTATTGAAAGAGGTTATGCCAATGTTATTGAGTAAACCAGTGCAGTTGGAAGATTCATATAATTATGTTGGTCTAAGGAATAAAAAGAAACTGTACCTCCGCCTTCAATTAATTGAGAAAGAGATGTTATAAAAGGTAGGAAATTCAAAAAAATAAAACCAATCTGTAAAACAAAACGAGGTCCCGTGGTTCCCGTTCCATGTATGTTTCCGCTTTCTACGCTGGAGATCGACGTGTTTTGCTGTTATCTTTTGCGTTATGTTTGTGGTCTAACCTTGGCGTACGTGTGCTGCAGCTTGGAGTTCCTCTGTTTCGCTTCATCCCGCCAATCCTCCAGACACTTCAAGAAAAGGGGGTTGGGACATTTCTGTTGCTTTTTACGATGCATGGCACGAGGTCAGTCGTTCTGACTTATTTTTTTAAGCGGATGAATGAAGGACACGAACGTCCGTGATAGTTTATCAGATCAATTTCCCCGCCATTGGGGAGCGAGTGCTACCGCTGACGTCAAGCTCAAGGTGTCATGTAAGAATACATGACTAGTATTTTTTTCAGGCTTTCACTGTAAATTCCAAGTGCGCGATTCTCCACGCCTTTGATGTTTATCTACGATCCTTGTTTACCGGATTTAAAACTTGACGTCTGCGTTATGGGAGTTGGATGACAGCGTGTAGGTGGTTGAAATGGCGTTCAAATCTTAACCGACTCACACCCTCAGATTGCGTACTGTGAATTGTTGATGAAGAAACCACAGATGTCAGACTGAAATTCGTCCTTTCTTTTGTACGCAGAAATATTTTAGCACTATCCTTCATGATCTATTTTCTTTATCAATGGACGCAAACGGTGACTTTTCAAGATACCGAGCGATTTGCATTTGAATAGGCATACAGGAGTGACAGCCAGCCAATCAACAAATGGTTCCCCTTCTTTTACGTTATTTCTTCCCACAATCACCGGAGCCAATGCTTTTAAATTTTAAATAGGTCTGTGAGGATTTACCATTATGCACTGTAAGTCTATTGGTTCTTGCAACTAATTATGTATTCGTGGAGCATATTTATTCCGGAACTAAAAGCGGATACGGGGTGTTTGGACTGAATAATGAACGTTTGATTCGGGTGGAAAACTTTCATTTGGCAGATCTAGCATCACCGCTTTGGTAAATTCCGTCAACCGCCTGTTTTAAAGTCGTCGCTTGAAAACAGATTCTGGTGATCATCGTGTTGTTGAGTAATCGCCCCCGTTCATACAGCTCGTTGTTGCTATATGAACATGTCTGTTGGTCGAATGAATTTTGTGTATTCTTGTTCCACTGTTTCATGCCAATAATGGGACGCACAAGTCTATCCGGGCGCGAAGAAGATGAAAATGGCTGCCGCACTCATATCGTTGTTCGCCGATCCGAACGGACTACTCTCCATGGGAGGTACGATCACGTTGTTGATTTTTGTGTAAGAAAAATGGAACTTCTTCTGTACAGAGAGATCGGATAAATTTTTAACTAAAATTGTTCAGAATGTGGGTTTAATAGAGTAATGTTAGTCAGTTATTGTTGTAAGGTTACATTGCCTTAGAGAGGAATTTTAGCCGGTGACAAGTTTAATGAATACCACAGTGATGGTAAAATATCTTGAAACTTTTCAATGAAAAGAAAAGTTTGGAAAATGGTATAAATTTTTAATTTTACTCACAAGGCCCCACGTTGTCGTGAAGTGTTCAAGAAAGAAATCGAATTAAGATTGTGCATCAAATGGGCTTGTCATTTTCTCCCTGTTTGGCGTTAAAGTAATATGCTTTTGTCATGGGAAGGTCGCTTACTTTTCCTTAAAATTGAGGGCTTTTCGAAGCCGTGTTTATTGATAAAACTATAGAATACAGGCGAACAGCACTGAAGAGGAGAATTGTCGATTCGTTGAAGATTCTTTAGTGAGTCTCTTTTTGTGATAAATGTGTTATTTTCATTAAGTTTAACATTGGTGCCATCAGAGCGTAAAGAGGGGGCTTTTAGGAGCGCTTGAAATCAGCAAAAGGTTTTAAAATACTGATCTTGCTCTCGCTAACACTGTTTTTGGATTAGTTTTACGACCCATCAGGTACGTACAAATGTCAACAATGAATTATTTATCCTATCTTGTACTGTATCGCATATGTGGATGTGTTTTATGCCTTATACAAATGTGCATGTGCTTTTCTTTCGAGGCGGTATTCAAGAAGCCAGGTCATTGTCTCTTTTTTTTTTTTTTCGAATGAAGTTTCTTTTAACGTATTTACTATCTCCTTTTTGGTAAGAAGCTATGTCAAAATCATGAGATCCTCTTGTTAATTCCAACTTTTTTTTTTTCAATAATACACATAGGTTACCTAAAGTTGAAAGAGGCGAAAAAGAGACATTTTGAAAGCCAGTTATCTTTTGAAGAAGCGTTAAAAAAACTTCATTTTTTTCTTGCTATCAATGAAAAATGATAGAGAGATTCTTTACTTTAGAAATGTCACTGTGTTGAGCAGGTGTAATATGAAGACCACAAGTCACATTTTTAGTTCCCAGCTGCAGAAATCCCTTGCAGATTAGAATCATTGCTAAAAATAATGAAAAAAGAATAAGCAATACTTAAATCGTTGTTGGAAGTCACCTGAATTATTTTGTAAAATAACGCTGAGGTGTATATTTGAAAATTCAAAAATAGTGGAAGAAGGCTAAACCAGTTTGACCCCTTTCTTGCAATCTTGTCTGAGATTTGTCATATGTTTGATTTAGGAGCAGCCACTAAATGTACAGTCATTGAACATCAATGAATGTTTCATTTACCTCCTGATCATTTGAAAATTCTCTGGTAAGTGTACCATGAATCACCAAAGTTTCTATTCACTGCAGAGAGATAATTTCTTAATTTATTTCGAATGGGTTATTACTTAACTAAATTAAACTTGTAACAATCAGTGTATTTCATTTCTTCCATCTGAATGTTTGATGTACAGATTTGTGTTTCTCAGATATTGACAAATCTTTTAGCTTTTCCTTCTTCTTCAAATATATATTAGGAATAGTCCTAATTTTGCATAATAGCAAAAATAGCAGGTGGAGGATTAATTATCCCTTTCTTCCTAATTGGCTTTAGATTATTGTGGAAAATCAAAAACTGAGTCACACAACATGTTAGTATGACTAAAAAACCCCTTAATTTATCATGACTAAAAATCACATTTTTAAAGGAAATTTAGAACTATAAGCTGTTGAATTCCACAACTTTATTTTCCTGTTTTGTCACTTGTCCAAGCTGACTGGCTGTGGTGTATATTTTTCTGAGCATTAAAGTAACAGTATGCAGTAAAGAATCTTGTTTTTTGTGAATGTTTGAGAGGTGCTTTTTTTTTCGGAAAATCATTACTTTCAGTGGCAATTGTTGATTTCTTCTGAACCTATTTTACAAAGAATCAAGACATTGTTAATATGTTAAATTGAATGGAAGTAGAAAATCATTCATGTGGTGCAGTGTTTCTTCTTGAATGAAGTAGAAAAAAATTTGAAAATGAATGCAAGACTTGGTTGAGAGAATAGCAGAACAATCTAAGAGAATACTAACACAAAGAAGATTCAGGTGGTGAATTGCACCCCTGTGAAGAGGTTTTGTATTTGAAAGAATAAATGATTATGACAATGTTTTATCTCAGCCACTTAATGCTTAACTTTTTTAGTCATTATGCATGCGTATTAGTAGTCAATCTTGATAAATAATCCTGATGTCAGGCCTTAAATCTCTACTAATTGTCGGACTTAGTGATTCTATTGAAGTGTCAAAGGGTTGTGAAAGGATTGGATGAATATCGGCAAGGTTTGTAGAAAATAATCTGAGTGAGTGTATTCTAAGTGTCACTTGTCACAGACAAGTGCAAGTTTCAAAAATTAATTTTCTAGCACTGGGTAATTTTTCTATGGTGTTGAAACAATTTTTTCCTCTTTGCCAGTAGTGTCTGTCTGAGAAAATTTGTGCCAATTCCCTTTATCTGGATGTGTTTTGTACATACTAGGTTAAAATGACTGTAAACTAAGGTAACATTCCAAAATTTAGTCAAGTTTTTTCCAATCATCTAGCAGCAACTAACCTGATCATGATGGCCAAAATCACACTTTCAGATAAGGCATGCATTAAGTAAATGTTACAATCATGATTTACATATGTACCAGAATAATAAAAGAAAACTGGAAAGGAATTGAACATTACAATAGAGGAGAAATTTTGAGTTCATAAATTATGCCAATGTGCACATGCACATGCACATGCCTATCAACCTGTTAGACACTCTTTTAGACACTTTGTTTCTTCATCAAACATAAGGCCAGATCAAAGCTTTAGTGAGACAGAAAGCCCACAGAGCGAGGCATTTTGGAACTGGCTTACAGCCTTGAATTCTTCATAAATCATCATTTTTGGGCTTGAAATGAGGGCCCATTTCAAGACTGAAAGAAATTGTAAAGAAATATTGAAGTAATCTGGCCAATTAAAAGGAAAGTGACCTTACTAAAAAGAAAGTGTGGGAATTATGAAAATTAAAAGAGAGCATAGCTATTTTGTTCATGATTGTTATGTTTCTCTAGTATTCCTTTTGTTTCAACACTTCCTGTATAAAGACAAAAAAATTAGTAGATGAGTATGTTGTGTTAGTGCCATTCAGTTGTTAACTTAACTACAAATTAAATATTGGGAATTTTATTCCCAAAAAGATACTAATAAGATTTATAATCATGTTAGCATGAACTAGTCAACGACTATCTTTTGTTGTTCATTACTAATAGTGTTTTCAAATGGAAATAGTTTGTCAGCATGGGTGCCTGATGTCTTACTTTATTGCCTATCAATAATGTGACCTTGAAGGTTCTAGGCCAAACTTCAGATTTTGTTTTGCTACTCTCAATTGCAACAGATATCTGAAGGCAGAAACAGACAAAATTGATTGAAATTCTCCAATCACAACTCTGACCTGTAATCTTTTTAATCCTCTGAAGCAGTGTACATGTTTTTTGGTGAGATCTGCGAGATGATGTAGGCAAATTTCATTTTAGTTGTGCTTCTTATTAAGGAGCATAGAACACTGCCAACTTCACTTCCCTGACATATCAATTTGAATTGTTTTTTCTTTGTCTTATAGTGTTCAATAGCAAGTTTGTAAAACTGAACTACGCTGCTAATGTTGCCCTTGAATAATGATCATGAATAACTCAGGTAAGATTCTATGATTTATGATAGTAAAGGTCAATGAACCATGAAACAATTACATGTAGCGCTAATGAAGGGTAAATTGAAGGATATTTGATTGTCTGTAATAAAACACTTACCAGATAAATATGAGCTTTTAATTTGATAATGATAGATAAACTACCACAGAGGAAGAAAAGCTGTGTCTAGAACTGTTTTGTTACTGAGCACAGTTTTTGCCCTCTCATTAGGATACAATAAAATAAGCTGTACATTTCTTCATGCTCAAAGGGCAACTTGAAATAAGGATAATATTAGGGCTTAGAATTAGTCTTTGATTTACAATCTTACTGCAGACTAGTTCATATCTTTCAACACCACCTCATGATAGTTTTTTTGCCAAGCCTTAATTAACCAGGATATTTGACATGTGCTAAAATGTTTTTTGTCACATGTAATGCTGTTGAAAAAAAAATTATTCTGAGCCTACTTTGTACCTATTATGTATTTCTTTTGCATTTAGTGGCCTTGGTGGCTGGCTTAGCAACAGGGATCCCTGTAGTTGTTCTTGTGTCAATTTACATGGTGTATTGCTGCTGTCGGCGGAAGCAGCAAGATCTGCAAGAACCTCGTTTGTGGAGGATCAAAGATACTTCCCATGATCCATATATTCCACCTTTTGTACCAAGAATTGTACAGAAATTTGTCCAACATTCTCATCAAGGAACTCGTAATAGTAGTAGTGCAACGTCTGCTCAGACTTCACCTTTAGAAGACAAATCATTTTTCAGTGAGGATTCTGGCTCATATCGAACAGCACCTGATGATGCTGGAATTCCAGAAAAGAGACATAGTTTGGGTAGTTTTGAGGCACTTAATGTGCCCACAATTCGACGATCATCCCTTCTTCAACTTACTACCTCAAGTGGAGACAGTTCAGAAAGCATTTATGAGCAAAGAAAGAGCTCAGATGTCAAATCTCCTAAGAGTTTTCCTAAAAGCAGCAGCAAGTCTTTTGAATTTGTGAGGCCAATTCCAGTTAAACCACTCATAACAATTACCAGAGTAGAATCTAAGGATGACATGAGCACTAAAGTGCTTGTAGGTGATGTAGATCCAAATGGCCAGAGTCATTCAGACTCACAAGTCCTGCCTGTTAGGAAGCCACCTAAACCTTCTCGTAGTTTGGATAATGTCTCTGTTCCATCAAGGGCAAGCAAAGAGAGGAAGGGAAGTACTGATAGGAATTTGGCAGAAGGGAGAAAAGCAAGTGGTGACACTGAAGGGGAAGTAAAAGTTAAACAAGGAACTCTTGCCAAGATTCCTGTGAACATTCCATCCCAAGTCATTCATTCACATAAAGAGACGAGAAGAAGGAGCTCACACAGTGGTCTAGGAAGATTAAATGTGTCATTACAATACAAACAGACCACCTGTGACCTATTTATAAAGGTAATCCTTACTCTTTGTGTTACTAGACCACAAACAGCAACATGTTTACTTTGTGGTTTTGAGGGTTTCTCATGTGAGCTGAACTTAATTGTGACTGGTTAGTATATAATTGACCTGTCAGAATCAAATCAAAGTGTTGAGGGGTTTTCTGGCTGAAAACATGTTAAATTCCTGCTCAGGCAGATCTCTTAGGTGGCTTGGTCATGATAGCAAGTGATACAGTGCCCTCATTGTTTCATTGAGGTACTTAAACATTGTGGCACAAATTGGAATGGAGATGGGGGTATGCTATATGCTGTAATGCTAGAGATTGACAGATTTTAGGTTTCCAATTAAGAATGCCCATAGAAAGAGTTGTTTCCCTAAGACATAGTATTGGTGCAAGTGTGAAATGCTTGTGCCTTCTGATGCTGAACAACTATTTTTTTGGAACACAATAACTTATTCATCAAAGGTGTACTTTATCAGTCCTCTCCTTATAGCTAGTTATGTTTACCAAACATAATGTTTTGTGTATATTTTTTTTGTAGAAGTTGGGTGTTGTTGTGACAGTAATTATTATTAATAAAGTCCTTCAATCTTTGTACTCTGTTTATTTATACTTTGCTCATAGATCCTCCAAGCAAGAGAACTTCCTGCTAAAGACCTACGTAACAACACATCTTCCCCATATGTTAGGGTCTATGCACTCCCAACACGGAGACATAACCACAGAACAACAGTTATTGAAAAGAACCTGCATCCAGTATGGAATGAATTGTTTATTATCAGTGGACTCACTCTATCTGAAATTCGACAACTTGCATTACATTTTCTAGTCATACATCACCAGCCAGTGTCACGCAATGTTGTTATTGGAGAGGTGATGATGACATTAGGTGGGTTGGACCTAACTGGAGGAGAAGTGAATGTTTGGAGAGAAATCAGACCTCATCAGTTTCAAAATGTAAGACTATTAGCTAGGTTTGATTGAAAGAAATTTAATAAATAACCACTGCTGTAATCCACAGTATATATGAACTCATTTCCCTCAAGTTTGATCAAGTTGATTTTCCAAAATTCCGAGTGATGATTATCATCAAGAAAAAGAGCAACTTTGTAGAAAATTGTAGTTTACAGAGAAAAAAGCAATCCTAAAATCTCAGAAAAACAGTGTAACAAACTTGCTGTCTTGAAGTAATTTAACCTTCGTAGAAATTCTGTTTTTACAGTTTTGTCTTAGGGATTAGAGACTTTTTCAATTAAGTGTGTCAAAAATACTCCATGATTTCTTCAGTTTTGCTGAACTTCACTCCATAATTAGTCCAGAATACCCTATTCTCAATCAATTAGATTCAAAACTAACCAGCTCCAATTGTCTGTTACTATTTGTTTGATATTGGTTTTTTTAAAATCCAAATGAATATCGCTCTAATTACCAAGTAATCCATGATAATAAGTGAGGAGTTCCTCATGTTTTCTACCATAATTACATAATTTGGTTTTTTATTCTCTTAGTAATACTTATTACACATTATTTTGCCTTTTAAACAGATTCTTGGTGATTTGCATGTGTCTGTTTGTCATCAACCACTGTCAAGTAAACTGTCCGTAACTGTGTTAGAAGCAAAAAACCTGCCAAAAATTAGCAGTCTCAACATAGGAGGTAGGATGTGCACAGGATTGGTTTAGTTTGCATTTTAAAATTCAGGAAAAATTTTGAAATCTCCACAATTTTAAAATTCAAATTTTGTGGGAGGGTTAAAACTCCCAAAGTTGATATTTTGAGTGTCTGGTTGAGAGAGAAATATTTCATTGATAGCAATGTACACCCCTAAAAATGGTAATTGTCTATAAATTTATGTCTAGATCCATATGTCAAGGTAGAATTGTTCTCTTCAAACCGCCGTGTTGCTAAGAAGAAAACGCGTGTGAAAAAGAAAACAGTAAACCCAAAGTTTGCTCAGACCTTTACATTTGACCTGGGAGGAAAGATGGCACTTGATCACATGACCATGATGTTTACTGTACTAGTTCAGGATTCAAGTGGATGCCATGAACGGATTGGCCAAGTGGTGTTGAGCACAGCAGCAGGTGATGGGCCAGAGTTTGATCACTGGAGTCAGGTGATTTGTAATCCACACTGCCCTATTGACCAGTGGCATATGATACATGAATAGTTCATCTGCAATCTGTGTAAAAATGTTGGTATAAATTATCAAGAGTTACATTGAAGACACAGATTCCCACAATACTGTAGCTCATAACTTATTCAGTAATGTAACGGAATTGCACTTAAAGTATAAAAACTTTATTATTAAGTCTAAGACACTGGAGGCTTTCAGGATAGATGGATATTATTATCTAGTGGATAAATGCCAACATGAAAAACTTAGCTTTTCACTAGTTAGTGATTTATGTTGTGCAAATGGATATTGTCCACGCTTCAAATAACCATACAGGATAATGTGTTGTGGTAATCTGTGCATTATTTGTTATATTCTTCATTTCTCCCATTATGTCTTAAATGTTGTTAACTGAACCAAATTGTTGTTCTTGTGATAACAATTGAGCCGTTTTCAACCAGATCTATACTTCAATTCTTGATCAGCATACTCTAGTGTTGTCTCGAAATAACCGCAGTGTTGAGTACTACGTTGCATTTACCAGGAGGGGTTCTAGTTTATATCTCTTTGTCCTATGAGAACTATGGAAAAATATCAAGCAATGCGTCACTTGCCCTTTAAAAACCAGTGAGAACTCTCCTCTAATGAATTAGATTCCTTTACCTCACTTTATTTTTTGATGTCATACCTAATAGTAGGTTCTTTTGGATTAACAGTTTTAATTACTCTTCTAACACTCTGCAGCTATTGTGGAATAGTTACTTTGATAAAGTCAGAGGTATTATTCGGTATTTTTTAATGACTTCTGGGTGACTACACGGCCTTACATTTCAGTTTGCTCAGAAGTTTGCTAGTTTAAACATCGATCTTTTGTGAAAATGTCTCTGAACTATCATGCTTTATATTAGAGAGAAGCATTCCTCATAACTGTTCGATGCTTTAAACAAACAAGAAATACATCTCTCTCATCTTGTTACCTAAGACCTCGAGAGGACGGAATTTAGTGTTTTGTCACCCTAAGACGATTTTATCCGTTTTCAAACGTGCAAACTCCAAGTTACACTTTCATGTGATTTACCCAGTTGAACATTAAAGGATTTATGAAAAAAATTGCTCCTCTCGACGCTAGACCTGCGAAATTGGTGTATGAAGGAGTTATTGGGTGCTCTTAAACATATCTGGTATGACTGTCTTGCTCGTATGAGATGTAGGCTATCATTGCTATTCAATGATTACGTTCTAAATTTTACACGCTTCTGATAAAAGCCCCTCTTCTCTTAGTACTTGAGGTGGGTAGAAAATACGTTACAGGGAATGAAGAGTTTCCCTTTTTGATGCTGTAGGTATCGACATACAAAGTACAAATTCTGGGCAAACACATTACTTGAGAACAAACCCGTGATGGAAGAAATAAACAGATTATTTATTTTGAAATAAATTTGAAAGTCGTCATTTTAATGAGATAAAGGTATATAAGTAGTTATTTATTAGTAAGACACTATTCAATATCTTATTTAGTTTATTAAACTGATGGAACGAAGTTGATATATTGTGGATGAAATAAATTTATTTGGCGTTATATGTTGGTTTTTAGTTGATATTGTTAAATAAGTGTTTTTTCGACTGGAAAAATTTCCTTTTCCCATTCGTCCTGGGCGATATTGGTGAACCAGACCATTCCTTTGGAACTGATTTTTTTTAAAGCTATACTTTCTGTGAATGAATAAACAACATTAACGAAGGGTTATGCACGCGAAAATGCTCTATCTGGGTGCAGAAGGTAATCAACTTCAAATGTTGCCTTCACGATGAATTTGTCTGACAATGCACCGACACTTTGGGGATCTGACCAAACCAGCCGACCGCTGCTATGTTCCTTCTTTACCTGAACCCTGGGCTTTCAGGATCACGGCCTTCCCTACGAGGTTCGTCGTATGGCAGGAAGTGGTGATCAAGAGATAGGAATGATTACGGAAAGGCTTCGGAAATCCACTTCTTGGTGGTCCAGTCCATTCATTAGAAAAAGAGCAGTTGCCCCTCACCTTTTCTACACAGGAAAGTGTAATTTACCCCTTTCTTTCGAACTTTTGCAATCGAAAGAAACTGCGTACTAAAATGCAGACTTGTGCTCGAATAGAGGGAGCGGAGTTTTCGAGCCAGGATACAGCCCAGTGATGGCGGGAGATTGAACTCTTCGATCAAAGAGCACAAAAGTATGCTTGGGAAGATCAAAAGTATGCTTGGGAAGATAAACAGGGTAGTAAAAGCCTTGAAAGAACATGATTCTAAGCTTTTCCAGTCTGATGGGCTAACCTTAGAGCGAGAAGAATTTGCTCACGTCTATCGTCATGTAGAGTAGATCTATAGTGACGAGGCCAAGGGAATAAGGTGTGAAAGGTAACGAAGAATAGAGCAGCGAAAAGTCTGCTGAAAGAGAAAAAAGTTGACAAAAATAAAGTTGATGTTATCGCGCTGCATGTAACTCAGGGATTGATCGTAGTCCACACGGGCGATGAGGAAGAGCTTGACAATGATGACGAAGAAGAAGATGAGCAGAGAGAGGTTGTACAGGACTAACCTGATAAAATGTCTTTCCATAAGAATATCTCGGCTTTGAAAATTGTTATCGTGGAAACACTATCATATAAACGCTGGAGTAAAGTGGTTGTTAAGGCAGAAGAAAAGTTTCTGTTACATTTATATACCTTTTGTCTGTTTTGTGTGTGTAGTTTTATTTAAATAATGAATCATCATTTCAACTCTACAAATGCTGAAATATTTCGGTTGACCACCGCTTCCCTCTATTTTTCTTGGTATGGCCCTCCCTTTGAAGCCATTTTTCGCTTTCTCTCTCTTTCCCCCCCCTCCCCCCAAAAGAGATCTCACCTGCAGCCCTCCACCCTGTAAAAATGCAGACTCTTGCATGTTTATAAATAGTTTTTGACTGGACAATTTTTGTAATTACAAATAACCCTCTGAATTTAATTTCGTGACGTAGTGAAGCGAAATGGGATAGCTTAAAAATTTAATTAGCTGGCTTGAAATCAAGCTTTTCCGACTGATTTAGAGAATTCTCTGGGCAACTGACTATTATTTTGTACAGGTTAGATATATAAGAGGAACCTATTTAGTGAAGTTTCATCGCATTGAATTTTAAGAGCTTCCATTTTGGGCCGGCTTAGCCAAAAATATGTGCCATTAGTATTTTATTAGCTTTTTTTACGTCATCTAGATTCCTTGTCACGGCCGGATATTCTCTCATAAGAGTTTCTGGATAGTCTTTGCCTGTCAGGCGATGACGGTGAACTTCCGCTACTCGATATCGAATATCGCGGACGCAATTTGATTGCTGAAGCCGAAATGTCCTCCTCGTCCTCCTGGAGGAATGGTTTGTGACAAGAGAAAAGCATACCGGGATGGTCGTCCGGAATTTTGGCGCAAAGCTCTAATATGAGGAGCAAGAATGTGAGTCCAGTGATGAAGAAAAACACACAGCAGACTTTATAAAGTGAGCGGTATTCACTCCTCCGCCACTTCGGGTCATCACCAGGAACAAAGTCTCCAAGTCCTATGGTAGTTAAGGAAATAAAACAGAAATACAACGCTTCAAAGTAGCTCCAGTCTTCGAGGAACATGAAAAAGAAGGCTGGAATTATCATGACTAGTGTGATAGCGCCGCACATGATCAGTGACAAATGAAGGAAGCGCAAATAAGCGGTTGGAACACCACGTACGGTACAAGTACTGCACAGAAACTTTTCCAATACTTCGGTTAACTGAAGGAGTCGTTCTACTATGGCTGTCAACATGATAGCTGTCATGGGAATACCAAACACTGCGAACACCATACAAAATACCTTTCCACCATCCGACAAAGGGGCAATGTTCCCGTATCCTGAAAAACAAAGTTGCATATCAGATCCCGGGCGTATTGTAAAAACAAAACCAGTAAATATCAGTCAATATCTGATAACAAGATTTTTGCATATATCATCGCAGTATATACTAAGTAGGAATGAAGGTGCACTTTGATTGGCTACTCAGAATCCGAATATCCCTTCCTCCGAGCTACTTGCGCAGGATTTGCGCCCGAAATAATTGTACTCGTTGCAGAAATAAACAAGTTAAAATCGTCCTCTTTTGACATATTATCTTTCTGTTTTTATATATATTAAAGCGACTATTCACTTCATCGGTGGCTTGTGGAGAAATGTCTAACGCTGGCCACCTCCACTTCGGTGGATAGTTGTTCATAGTTGTCATCCTTTGTTCATAGTTGTTATCTGTTAGCAAAACTGATTAATTTTCTCTTGCGGAAGAAGCTGTGGTTAGTTAAGAAGGGAATAACATTACAACAGGCATTAAGGCAAATGATCATATGACTCGTCCGGCCCAGCTTGTGTAGTGCCATAGAAAACCATCGTAAAAGCTGACGTGTGTAGGGCAGGACTGGTTAACGTGAGCCGGTCCGGAAAAAGCCGTCCTGCCCTAGTGCACTTGTACGGCTTTGTTACGAAAAAAAAAGAAGGAAAAGAAGAAAGAACACTGTTCTCTGTTATTGCAAAGTTAAGTGAGAGCAGTGAACAGAAGTGACAAAATAAGTCACGTTTTGATGAATTGTGAGTTTCTTGTTCTCACTCCGAAAAACAAAGGAGAAGTTTTAATTGCTGAATCTTTTTTATGGCTTTCCCGCGCGCGCCAGTCTATCGCGTCCTATTAAAATTAAATAAAACCTTTCGAATTTTCAAAAAATTGTAGGTGGACATGTGATAAAATGGTTATTGACTGAGTAGGGTCGGACCGGACGGGAAAATATTTAGCTCTAGTTCATGACACGCGAACCTCACTGCGCTTGCTAGGAACGTCATGACCTCGAGCCAAATATTTTCCCGTCCGGCCCTCCCACTCAGTCAACAGGTACATACTAATTCTGCGAGTACCCCGAAAACCATTCATACTACTGTTTTTGATTGGTACTGCTGCATAAACTTGTAGAAAACCGAAAAACTGCGTGCTCCATAAAGCGGCTGCCAGGGCGCAGATTAAAGGCAAAATAACACATGCTTTCAAACATAGTCGACAACATTTTTGCATAGTTTTCTTTTTTTTCCCTTTCTTTTTTTGAATGAATTCCTTAAAGATCCTCGACTAATTGTAATCTTGCGAGTGACCTTTCAGTGTTTAGTTTTGCTTTATTAAAATGTCTATAATTTTTTTCAATACGCTGGTGGAAGAATCATTGATGACATTTCGAAAATTAAATATTGAAAAATATCTGAAAAGAGAACGATCAGTATTTTCGCAGCGATAAGAAACACGGAAAGATGTAGAAATTTGACCTTGTGGTTCTCTTTCTTAGAGATCCCGTATCTGCTGATAAAAAGGGACACCACCTCGCAGAGAAATTGAGAAATTTCAAGAAATCCAAGTTGAAAAGTTGTTTTCCTTTCAACTGTAACAATCGTTTTCATCGAAATATTTTTAATCCTTCTGTTCCTTTGGCAACTTTCAAAGGTCAATCATGCCCAAGAGCTGTGGTTATTGCAATTGTTTTGTGACTAATCAGATGCAAGATGTTTTACATGAAAAAACGAAACCATGACTTCAAACGTAAATGTTATCCAAGACAGCGCACGCACGTAACTTCTGAATGAAATAAATGGTCCAATTCCATCAAAGATACCTTGTAAGATGAAAAGTTTTGTCGGCCCACGGTATTTTCAAAGAGATGTTATCACTATGCTTAATAGTTACCAGCTCTCACAGACTGTTTATTGGTCCTTGCAACGTATTACTTGTGAAGACTAAATTCCTAGGGAACAACTTTTCACGAATAATATGGTAGACTTTGCCTTTGCCTATGAAGGGCCCTGCCGGTCGAAAGAAACGCATAACTGACAAGTAAAAGTGCACGCAATCGAAAGCCTAAGCCGGAATAATCTTGTACATTAATTAGCGGTTTAACCTCACTTAGGTGGGAATAAAGCTATTTTATTTCAGTAACGGGTAAATACGGGTTCTATTAGACCTGCCACTCGGTCACCTGCTTTTAGCAATTTGCATTGACTTACCAATTGTGGTTACGACAGTACCGGCAAAGAAGAACGAACTACCAAATCCCCAACTCCTTTTATCGCTTGCGTTACCGAGTGGCGGTATTCCCATGTCTTGAGCCGCCACAACATGCTTCACAAAGTTTTCAAGTTCTTTGTCAGTAACACAAGGATGTTTCGCAAGAAAATCATCTCTTTTTCGTCTCAGATCTGACAGAATGCGTTGCTCGTAAGGTCCCTCGATCGACGAGAAAATCGCAGCTCCCACAGACAAGTAGAATATATACACGATCACTAGGGCTATCAGACGAATGTTGGCACGTTCCATGAACGAAATCTCTTTTCAAATGATCAGATGCAAGAGGCAACACGATTTCTTAACTGTCGATTCCTCGAAATGTGGTCGCCCCGAACAGGGTTTTATGTTATCCGATCACATCTATATTTAGGCTGTTACCAGCCTGAGCGTCAACACGAAACCCGCTTATCACTTCCTTGCGTTCAATTGATCGTTGTGGAGATTTTTTCACTTTTGAAAGATTCTAAATGTCATAATCATCTCATACATTAACATAACAATAGTCTTAGAGAAAACGAATATTGCGAGTTCACACAAAATCAACTACTTAAACTAGGAATATATTTGCATTCGTTGCCCTCTTATTCCGTGTAGAAGCACTAAAAATAGGGTGAAATAAAAATCACTGCAAAAAATCAAGTCGCATTCATCCCAGTTTGAAGCGGTGAAACATGGAAATAATGAGTTGATACGTCTATACAAATATTACCATCATCATTTGCATAATACTAATCAGAAGTGCTTCGATGATATGAACACATCACTCGCAAACTGACCACTCTCAAGCCAAACATTGAAGAAGAAATGGGGGTGCAATTTTGACTAAACATCCTCTTAAGAGGGAGCTAACAGGAGAACCTTTGGTTAACTTAGCTTCCTAGTTCACAATGTAACAATACAACTTTGATACTAGTTAATAATTTAATCAATCTACAATATTATAAAATCAAAGAATAATGATTTAATTGACTTATTATAAGTCAATAAAACGTTGTTGTCGTTGTTAGTCTAAAGTCAAAAATTAATTTTTCTGAGCTCCTCTGGTTTCAAAGTATTCACGGTGCGATATTTCGCAGCAATTAGTCCGTAAAAAGTGCTCTACCAATTGGAAAATTTTTCCTTGAAGTCATAGAAATAAGTTCCAACCGGAAATTTAATATCAATAGACAACAAAATCAAGAATGTAATATGTGGCAACTCAGTTGCCTATCACATCCTTTATCTGTTCGACACAATCTACACTTTCACACCTAGGGTTACTCTTCTAAGTACTTGTTAAGTGCAGCAATGACACAGTTCATACGCGTCCAATCTTGACAACTGACTCCAAAGGATCGGCGAATTGGCTGATATTCATTTTTTCTCACCGGATATCAGATATGAGTCGGTCAATTCTCAGCCTCTGCATCCCCTTGGGCAACCCCCCCGGATATTTGAACTTTTGAAAATTGGTTTGTTGAAATTGTTCCCCCTTCCTAAGAACCTAGACCATGAAGACCTCTTCTTTTGAGCTAATCACTCCCACCCTAGCCAGGCAAGGTTAAAATTCCCTACACCCCAGACACAGACAACGGTAAAATGCCTGTAGATTGCCCGGAAAGGGGGATGTTAAAGCTTCGAATCGATCGGCGCCTAACTCAATTCCTATTTTGCGCACGCAACTAAAATTGGGCTTTAATTTAATCGTCCGAGAGATTTGAAATTTTGTTCAGCGCCACATGATCTTCAATAGAATCGAGACTTTACGGTGACTGAGGTATTCAATATTCTGAATTGAGCCGCTTCTTACTAAATCAACTTTATCCTTGTATTTGCCATTCAAGTTTTACTTATAATGCTAAATATTTGTTAAAAAACCGACTTGTGATCACAAAATGCCGTAATATAAATTTTAACTTATTTCCCATCCAAAGGGGGAACTACCTAAATGCATATCAAGTACAAGGGTTATTCATAAGTCTATTTCTTTGTTAAATTAGCCATATTTTGGAATTTTTCCTGATTTTGACCAAAAAGAAAGCAACGTAGCTTTCTGGGAGGTTGCTGCTGACTGCTGTCTTTTTCTTTTTCCTCTGGAGGTTCCCCTATCCACACCAGAGCCACTTCTAGAACTACACACAACGTTATCATCTTTTAATGATCGTCCTGGATTTTTCTCTGACGCTATTTCCTTTATAGTGGCCTTATTAAGGCACAAGTCTATGTGTCTGTTAAATTCAGTGATAACGTCTTCACCACTCTTAAACTTTTGTTCTTGTTGGCATACAGGACAAAACACAGTAGAATGATTTGTATTATCAGAATATTCACTCAAGAAAATGGAACCTGAAGTTGAGGCAGAACCAGATAGTGACGATGATTCCTCTGAAATTGAATTTAAATCAATACCTTCAGATGAGAAAGAAATAGGGCAGGAACCAAGCTGGTCAGTCATCTGACAAGCGTACGCTCCTGACATGACGTCACCTTCTTTTGGACAGCATTGACTCGGTGAAGTAAGGCCAGAATGTTCTCCTGAGTTCAATTGTTGGGCGGTTGGAAAAGAAACTGGCATTCCCTGGGACCTTACATTTTGCTTTTGTTTCAAAAAACCTGTTATCGTGTTCTGCTTTGCTTCTTTTGACGAGTTTGCGCTTGTATCCTCAAGATTTGATAAACGGACTCCCATGAGGCGCAGCTTCAGAGGATCAGGAAAACACGCACTCATTTCATGTTTCAGAAGCTCTTTTGCAACTAATGAAATTTCCTCGTACGTCGAAACGGGATAAACAGTGGATGAAGACCGAGATTTTATTTCAAAGGTCACTGTTTTAAGCTTTATCGTGACAGTCTTTCCTTTAAGTTTTTGCTTTTTTATATCTTGTGCCACTGATTGACAAAGCTTGTCACACATATCCAGTAGCTCAGTGGGTTTGCTAATCTCTGAGAAGGTTTCTTCTGTTCCTATACTTTTCCTTTTCGATTCTGTCGCAAGTGAGGTAGGTCCCAAACCAAGAGAAACTTCTATCAAGAATTTGAAGCTGATTGGTGAATGTAGAAGATAGAGCAAGTCTCGTTTAGTGTATAAATCTTCGCATGTCTCAATTCCAAGAGCTTTCAACATCTGTTCACTGACTCGCCCAATTCCGCTCACTTTTCTGATTGGAAGGCTGCGCATAAATTCCATGATATCACCACGACTTGGTTTTAAATAAAACTGTCCGTTGGGCTTGTTACGATCTGAGCAGATCTTTGCTAGCATGGCATTTGGTGCTATTCCTGCGCTAGCTGTTAGTCTTGTCTTCTGCTCAATTCGAAAACGCAGCTCCCTGACAGCTTCTTCCGCATCAGTACCAAACTCAACAATTTCTCCCTCCATCTGTTTAGGGTTTGGATGCACTTCGTTCTTTACCTTTCCAATAGTCTGGTATTTAGATGTCAAGAACCTCCTCTTTTCTTGACATTTGTGTCTCTCACTGAGATGCTCTGTGAGATCCAAGTATGCTTCATCTAAACTTGCCATCACAAAATTAGGGTCATACTCCGCTAAAATATCTTGCACCTGGCGGCTGTATTCCTTGTATGTTTCATAGTGTGGTGGAACGATGATAAGTTCAGGACACAATTTCTTGGCGATAAACCCTGGCATGGCTGCCCTTACGCCATAACGTCTAGCTGGATAGTTTGACGTAGACAACATCGAGTTACCACCCACAGCCATAGGTTTGTCACGCAATTCAGGATTGTCCAAGATTTCCACTGCAGCATAAAAAGCGTCCATATCGATATGAACAAAGGTACGGCTTAAATCACGCTTCTTCTCCAACTCTTCCACAATAAGGTTGATGGCCTGTAAAGCCTCTTTTCTTTGCGGCTGGGTGAGTTTCCCAAGGGACGTGCTCTGTTTAGCGATCCGTTCAGCCACTTGCTTTTCTTTCTTTAATTCATTTTCATAGAACTTGGAGCCTCTACTCGCTTCAAATATGATCTGGTTAATTTTTTGTTTATCTAAACCTACCATGCCTGCCTTATGATCATTAAGCTCCATCCTGGAGAGGCTTTTTTCTTTGTTGTCATTCTCGTAAACATCTTCTTTACCTCGCTGGAGATTTTCATTCCTCAAATTCTTCTCCGTTTGTGTATTTTTCTCTGAAGGATCGTTGTCATAATTTATCAACTGATTTTCTCCCCCAATAAACGTTTCAGCCCAATCGTTGGATTCATCTTCGTCCTCCAAATCATCGAAATTGTCCCCATTAAAGAGGTTCCACTTGCCATCCGCCATATTGGTTTTAGTAACCAGGCCAAATTGTGTTTCCCGCCTACTAGCATAATTTTGGCTTAAGTGATTCCGCATGATGAATTTACGATTGAAATTTTTTTTTCACTTAAATGAACAATTGAAAAATCATCGACCAAATTGCATAAGAAGACTAATGATTGTGCTTCCGAGAAGTAGGTTATTTTTACAAATGTAGGCCGTGGATTGGAAAATAAAGGTAAGAGACCTGCACTGGAGCTCATTTAGATGCCAAGATTTATTTCTCGGTTTCATTAATTAGTAGATATACAAACTACGTAGGCATTATGTCAAATCTCTCTTGTGTATACCCCCCCTAGCCCCCAGAGTCATCAACGCATAATAAGTATTTCTTATTTTAAATTGGACATTAAGTTTATTGATTTGTGTTCTTTATGTTTAACAAATAGATTCCAAGTTGCCGTGCGTCTGTTCAGTAATAGATCACAGAGGACGTCAAAATGTGGTAAGAGTTGCAGACCTTGAAAGTAATAGCGATAGTCTTTAATCACACATCGGCAATTTCGATTACTTGGACAATAAAACCTGTTTCTTATACCTGTTTTGTGCTGCGAAGTTAGGCGCGCAAATTTTTTCAATTTAATGCAAATTTGTGGGTGCGAGATAAGCTTCTAATTAAAAACCTCCAAACAATATCCCCAGGTGTTTCCTTTTCTTATTCTGCTCGGGGTTTCACTTCAGTATCAACTTGAGGTAAATCTGCGGCTTTCATGGTTAACTTAGCCTATGTTGGGCTTGTTGTTGGCTGACAAGGGATGCTTAGGAAATCTAGTTTTGCTGTGGCGTGTTGTTGTTCACTGGAAAAATGGCGCAGTCTTCCTTAAATTGAAACAAATTAAGAGCAAGTAGAAGTCTCAAGTTCCTTTTAACTTTAGTCATTTAGAAAAACCAGAAATTTTCAAAAATTTCAACCAAAGAACTTAGTCTACCTTTTACTCCTGCCCTGCGGTCTTCAGTCTGCATTTCACTCTCAGTCTTCATTTTACCCTTAGTCTGCCTTTTACCCTCAGTCTGCATTTTACCCCCGGTCTGCAGTCTGCAGTCTGTTTTACACTGACTGCTTTAAGTATGATGCTCAATGAGGGTGCTTATTAATTTGGAAATGTATCTTACGAGTCTTTTGGCCAAGAAAAACACTGCACATACCAGCCACAAATAATTTATTCACAAGTACCAAATTTGGCGATTAGTAATCTAAATAATATTAAAATTATAAACTATGCTAATAGGCACTTAACAAATGTACACGAAATGAAATTTTTGGGCACCTAGAGTAGTTTTTGTTAAGTAGGGGTGGGGACTACAGCTGTTTAATATGATACTTTTTGCTCTGTATTAGTGAGTTTGAACACTGAGACACTGGGGTCATTTTTGAGAACAGTTGACTCTTTGGATATTGGCTTTACTGGGACTGTTTGATGAGTTACATTTTGTTAAACAGAAAAATAGAGTGTCAACATTTTCCTTTTCTTTATCGGGTTGGAAGCAAAATATTACTTCCTACCATGAGGGATTTAGTCACAACAGTGACGTGAGTTATTTTACACCCTATAGAGAGTGGTGGAGTCTATTCATAGTATTCTAACATTTAAATTTAATATGCTTTATAAGTGTTATACAGAGAGGTGTCTATTTATGTCTATTTAAGTCCATAAAATTTAGCAAGAAATTATTGTAAATGCATATAAATGAGAGGTTTGTTTCTGCTTTGGGCATCTTCATTTATTGTTGATTGCTTCACACACAATTGACACCATAATACCAGATTAAATTTCCACAAATATTCCCTAGCTTCATTCATTTAGTTAACAGTACACCATTAACTTTTGAAACTGAAAATTAAGTCAACAATTTCCTGAAGGCTGGCCTCCAAGTCAACCATGATTTGTGAGAGTTCACTTGGACTATTACCAGTAAGTAAATCTGTGTGGTTTTTCTGTAAGAGACAAAAAAATACAACAATGATTATCTTGATTAATTCTCAAGGGGATCACAGTCAAACCTTTCTACTGTAGATACTGAACTGAAGGACAGAGCAAAGTGTTTGTATTGGGGAGGTTTCAGTGTTATAAAGGTCACTACCATGACATCACTTTTAAGATGCTATAGTTACAAAAACTAACTACAGTGCAATGCCACATCTAAAAAAGTAATTTTTAAGTTTCTGTAAATGATCTCAAATCCTTTAAACCCTAAGAGAGCCCACATCTAATTTCTCCCTACAGTAATACTGCTGAATGATTATTAAGATCATATGAGAATGAAGGAAATGATTGCCAACCTAAGGAGGTTTAATGTAAAACAAATTCTCCTTGTCAGTACCAAGGGAAATGGAGAAGACGAATGCTGATGTTAGGATGTAAAGGTTTAATATCTTATAAATACAATGAACATTAGTTAAAGTAAAATTCAATGGATTTTTCTGCCTTCAAAAGAAAGTCTGTAGTGTTGTTCAGGCAGCTTTTACAATTCTTAATTGACAAAAAATAAATGATAATTACTCTTTTTAAGGATGACAAAAACTGTCATGGCTCTTATTTGGTATCCTTTTCACTGTCAGTGATTAAAAATGACAATTAACAGTCAACTGAATCAACTATTGCTGTAGTGTTTTCCCCTGTGAAGTAGCATCTGAATAATTGAAGTTTTGTGAAAATAGATATAACTGGTAAATGAAAAAAGGGCCAGGCAGAAAACTGTCCATAATTGAGGAGAGTAGGAGAGGTGTTGATAGGAAGGGGTTCAATTATTTTGAAAACGTTATCTTTTATCTTTCTATCCATCACTAGAGCACAGGATGGTTGCTCATTGCTTGAGAGAAAACTTTTCTTAGTCATATGAAACTCCAATTCACTTACTTTGGCCTTTGTGATAAGCTGCTTGAGAGTAAGTTTAGCTGACGATAAAAGCTGTACTGCTTCAGTTTTATTCTCCTTGCAATGAGTCACTTGAATGTAAACTGCAAAAAATTTACCACCAAAAAAATTAGTTGAAACACAAAGGTATTGAGTCGAGTTTCCACTTCAAACAGTTAGTTGCAACTGGAAGTGCGGAGATGGTTTTCAGTTATTAGGTGAATTGTTTGTGGCTAGCTTCAGCCAAAACATAAAATTTGAGGACAGATTCACCCTGGAAACTGAGAGCAACTGAAAAGAAGGAATGACGGAGCACTCAAAAGTGTGTCCAAAAGTGAACCTCCATGTGTTCCTTATGCTAGGGTCATTATCCTACACTGACCTACATTCTCTCTTGGTTGGTTAGGTGACACCTTAGCTATCACATCAATAGAAGAGTTTAAAATTTTGGCTCACCTTGACTGAGCTTAAGAGTGAGTTCTGCTACTGCTTTAAACTGACTTACGTCAATCTCCCAGCCTGAAGCCTGGGTTCTGGTACGATGAGCCTTCACAAGGAAGTTTAGCGCCTGAGAAAATAAATTTAAATACATTATTAACCTCTGGAGCTTCGAAGCAATTATTACAACATTAGAGGGCAGAAGAGACATCTTAAAAATGTTTGCTTTTACTGATCCCTTTTTTATTCCAATTTTGCTGCCTGGATTTAGCTTCTGCTCCCAGCTTCTTTCACTTGGTGCCACAGTAATTCATCAAGAATGAATTCACCATTCAGTTTGTTCACTGCTGTTTGACCCTTTGAGTGACTTGGTGATCTCATGGTCTACTCATGTTTTACCCTCCTCCTTCTTTTAATTCTCAAAAGATGTTTCCCCAAAGGTGAAAACTATTTCTAAAGCAAACTGTACAGGAACAAGTTCAATTGCAAGATGCCCTCAATCAATTTTACATTGTAGAGTTTTCACAGACCTTCTCTTTCTCTTCCTGAGACTCGCCATTCCAGTAGAGGTCAGAGTAGAGCTTCCACAATTCAGAATTGTTGGTTACCTTGGGCAGAACAAACCAGTGATCTATTAGATCAACAAACCCTTAAAGATCACCTTAAGAACAGTTTTTGACCTGATTATCAAATCGAGACAAATACTCTTGCTACCTGAGATGTTTGTCTTCCCATTAGTTCGAGCAGCTTCAGTTTAAGACAAGATGCTGAAAGTGAAACAATCATAGCTTATCGTGTGTTCTTTGTTACTTTCCTCTTTTGTATCTACAGTAGGGAATTAGGGGCAGAACATCTAGAATCACATACAATTGAAAAGGAGTGACACAGTTGAAAGTTTGGATTCTTTGGATTTCTAAGTGCACCACACAAAGTAGCTTAACCAAAACCTGCATGCTAGATAGTAGAAAGAGACAGTGGGATTGAATCACATTCATTCATTCATGTGCATCACTAATTAGATGGCAAGGTATTTTGGTAGTGTTTTGCAATTAGAAACCTTGGAGTAGAGGTTCAATCAGAAGACGTGCTATTGACAAAGGGTCCAAATGTTTTTTTTAATTGGAAATAAGGGTTTCACAGAGGGTCTTTACCCACTGCAATGGCTGGAGGATGTTCTTGGTGGTAAAGAGGGTAAGCATCACAAGGTCCTGTCTTGAGCCTAGTCTGGTTATCCTGGTTAGTTACTAGTTACTACCATAGTTTACCTGTGTTTGATTGTAATATGAGACATCATGGTAAACACAACAATTACATCTGCAAGGAAAAAATTCCAGAAAGTAAAGATTATTACCTGGTTTTTCATGATTGTCCAAAGTTCCCTGGTTCACAGCATTCACCAGAATGCCCAATATCTAAAACAAAGACAAAACTAAAGTTAAAACCTCACCTTAGCATCTACCTTGGGGACAGAGTCCTAAATGAAACCTTTATTTGGACAGAGAGGTCTAATTTGATACATTTTTTCAAATGCTAAAACATTTTTAAAATTCTTAGCAGGCCATTGTAGAGACTGAGGTCATTTTGGGAAAATTTATAGGCCAATTTTATGTGAGAAATTGAAATGAAGGATGTGTGGACCATCTGCTGGACAAAATACAGCTGGCTGTTCATGGAGGTTTGATTGTATAGTATTGCTGAACACATTAATTGACCAAAAACTGAAATTTTTAGGCCTACTTAGAGGAGATTCCACACTAACCTCTGTATCACAGTACTTATCCCGCAGATCCATCATACGATGATATGCTGAAATTGCATCATTAAATGCACCAATGTCAACACTAACCTAAAACAGAAGTACATAACCTTGTGTATCTTTTGCTTCTCTTGTTCATTTACTCTAGAGGGACTTACACATTACTTCTCTTTTAAAAATGAGTTTTTTGCATGTTCTTCACTAAGCATTTTTGCATGCATCAAAAGTTAAGTATGACAGTTCTTTGAGCAAAAATGCAAAACTAAAAAAAAAGAACAAAACATTGTAACTATGACAAACTGAGCAAATGAGACAGACTAAGATAGAGTGAAATAAACCTTCAAATGGTGAAGCATTAGGAAGAGTACATCTTTGCTCACTTAAAGTACATGTACTGTCATCACAGGTTTGTTAATGTATCAAAGAGTACTGTAGTTTTGTTGTTATTGTTTTAAATGCATTTAGCAAAGGAAGGACAAAGAAAACAACAAAATAAAAAAAAGAAAGGAAAAGAAAAGAAAAATAGAGGGACAGAAATGTTCAATTAATTTACCACTAAGAAATTTTCCCACATGTGCCAGCTCTCATAATTCACTTTCAGACCTTCCTTGAGAGCAAGATGTGCTGGTGGTCTACATGCAATTACAAAAAAAAATTCAATCATGACATGATAGATTCACTATTAACTGTTATATTGTTCTTAATAATTGTAACATGTGAAATGGCCTTCCAAAGTCTCAATCCATCAAACCTTTCTCTCTCTTAATTATACCTAATTATAATTATTTTTCGGTTGTTTGTTAACTTATAGTCATTGGTTGGAAACAAGAATTGATGTGGCCTCCAAGGAGTGGCTTAATCGTACTGACCCCATGCAGTCTGCACTGCATTATAAAGGGATTATGGAGACCACAGGCTGACATGTGGCTTAACCTACATTTTTAAGGCTCTACATCTCATGTTGTTTTTGATGTTTCATGATTCTTATCAAGTGTTCACATCACTTACAATATCACAAAGCAAACAAAATTTCTTAACTTACTTCTGGCCTCTTTTGATGTAAACATTGGCAAGATTATTCCATGCCTCCCCATTCTGTGTAGATAATTTCCTTAGTAGATATACTTAGAAGCACAATTCAACTGCAACATAAAGCTATTTGAAAATGAAAAATGACTTTCTATTGGTAATCTCAAACATACCCCACCATCAAGTGACACACAACGATGGAATGCTTTGGAAGCGAGTTCTAAATTTTCTGCAGCCATTGCAGCACAACCAAGGGAAAACCATACTCCTTCCTAATTAGAGACAAATTAAAATGTTATTGATCACAACTATATTGGTTTCTGTTGCTAAAAGCAAACAAACTGTTATTTGCTTCACCACAAAGCACTCCCTACACTTAGATGTATTCCACTTGAAGAAATAAGCACCCTGATTGGTTAAAAAACCTACATTTATCATACTGGTAAACACACAGTTTATTTCATAAAAGCAATAGACTGCATTTTTTATCTGTGGCATTGGTTAAAGCTTCCCACAAAAAATAGTGTAATTAACTTGCAACCTACCTGTAATGAGTTGATTGCCAGTGACTTCTGGAAGCATGGTATTGATTTGCAGTACTGAAAGTGTGACACACAACACTTCTATTAATTTACACCTCATGTTAATTCCTCTGGTCCATCTGTGTTTTTCATCTGAGCAAATCACACTTGAAAACATGACTAAAAGTATTCCAAAGAAACAGAGTAGGCTGGTTTACTAATGCTTTTTTTTTTTAAAGATCATTGTTATTCCTCCTCTTTCTCTGTGCCTGTGAGATAAAACTAATGCATTTAACTGCTCCTACATGTTGAGAGAAGAGAGAACTGCAAGGAAACATTTTAAGAATAATTAAGTATCAACCTCTTTAGCTCTTAAATGTAGATATCCCAGAGATCTTTGAGCTCTAGAATTGTGGTGCCCTGATAGTTCCCAGGCTTTCTCATAGCAAGTAGCATCCTGCAATGATAGATGTGATACAACACCTTCAAAAATTTCTGTTGACACACAAGTTTAGGCCTTTCACGACCCATCCATAAACAGGTTTTCCCATTAAACCAAGCATGTTTTGGCCACAACTTTGGAAATTATCCCCCTTACATTGACATAAGTTTAGTGCACTGTAACTATTGACATTGGAGGTATGTGCGAAGGGCTGCTAGTTAAAACCAGATGCTTTGGATCTACACTCAGTCTCACAAGGTTGCTTTGAGTGTGCACTGAGATTCAAATTTATCAGTATTTACCTCATTCTTTTGAGATCTCATGCTTTTCAAAGCACTGCTTGTGTTTTGTGTTGTATTTTTTTTCTTATCAAACTTTAAAAATAAAGGTAAATTACCATCATATCAGCTAGTACCAGACAAAATCCCCAAATAAACTATAATTTGCACATATTAAAAAAAAGATAAATTGAAAGAAAATGAGGAAGGCCAAACAAAAGACGGATAAGAATTTCAGGGCCACCATGGAATAAAATGGATATCAAAGCCCAAGATCAGAAGAAGTGACTGTGGACGCCCACCCTAGCTGTGCTCCTTAGAGGAGTAAAAGGGGATAAGGAAAGAGTAAGCTCTACTTATGGCTAACAAGGCAAAAGTGACATATCCAAACTGCTGAATAAAATTGACAATACCACTATTACTATAATTACAAGTATTCTGTATTATTTCTGTGTTACTGTACCTTTAATATATCACCTAAAACACACCATAACAGTGCAGTTTCCTTTACTTTAAGCTGATCTTTGATAAGAGTTTCTGCCTAGCAAGAAGGGCAAAGCAAAATATCAAATAATAAAAAGCACGACCCTGCTGAAATAGTAAGCAGCCAAGCAAAAACATAGTACCTTGAAAAGTTTTAAAGTATGTTTGTCAGCAGAGCTCATGCAATACCGATGTAGGTTCCTATATTAAGGTGCACAATAAATATTCCTTACCTTTGCATACCACCCTAAGTTCTGATAACAAAAAACAACATTCTCCCAAGAATGCAATCGTTGAAAAATTTCCAGCGCACTTTTCACCACGCCCATATCAAGAAGTATTTGTGCCAAGTCTTTCTGAAGAAAGGAATTAGAAATAAATTTATTTACAAAGGTCAACTCCAAACCTTTTCTTTTGGTGGTATAAAAGTTTTTCACACTAAATTAGACCAGAGACATATAACCTAGAATGTGTGCTTCTGTTGTCGAGGTAAACATGAAAAGCTAGAGCCCATTTACTCCACCTGATGCACCTGTAGATTTTTGCCAACACAACAAAGAGTAAACGAGGAAGAAAGTGAGGTCCACCATATTTTAACATGTCAGTCGCCCAGCATCTATTTAATCTTCTGGTATGATATTTGCATTGTCACAGCTTTAGTGCATCAAGGAACATGGCTGGTTTACTATCATGCTACACTGTATTAGTATCTAGACAAAATCCTTTCACCTGAAAATTCCACTTGGATGGAAAAGGCACACAATAAAACAAAGATTGCCTCTCCACAACCTGAAATGTTGGATGATCAATTACCAATAATATAACATGTAAACGAACTACCATGCTGGATAAGACCATGGGAAAAAAATCAATTTACATCATGACAAGCATTAAAAATTGCCATTTTCAGGGCAGTATCATATCAAGTTCCAAGCAAAATAGAGGGAACATAACATCTATCTTAAAATATGTCGGGTGGTTCTATTGTGTTAAAAAGAAAAAATGAAGGGTGCTGTCATTGACTGGGTGTACAGAAACAAGATGTAAACACTCAAAGAATATTGACTGACCTTTGGAGAGGGATTTTCGATGGCGTCGACAAGAGTCTACATGAAAGAAAGTAAATATCAGTGTATTTAATCTTAAGTCATCCTTAATTTGAATACCCTGGCAGTAAATATGACACCGTATATATGACACCTACTCACCTGTAACTGCATCATGGACCTCTCTATTCTCCTTTTAGAGTCCTTTTCCAATTTGCTTCTCATCAGTAATGCTGTCATCTGTACACACCAAGCCTTGGGATCCCAGGTGACTGCCTACACAACAGAAAATAACCTATTGTAATTAATTTGCAAAATTTTCACTAAAATAATTTGAAATTATAGAGCTTATATGGGATCAGTTGAGTTTTCCAACAGTTACCCCTACATTGAATAATTTCAATACAATTATGATTACATGTATATATTGCAGTTGGCTGAAAAGGACATCTACAGTTTCTAAGATTAATTTCTGCTCTCTATCAGGAACTCAACCTACTAACAACTTCCCATAAATGGAGTGTGTAGGGTGTCATGTGCCAGACACTCTGTGAGCTCTTATTAGAGCTTCCACTGTAATAAATTTTCAGTTAACGAGGGCAGTGTCCCTTCTTTATTATAATTTATTCTTAATGATAGAGACATTTTTTTATCCAAAAAAAATAATGATACTCCCTTCTTCTATATTTCTTTTGCCTCTTTCAGAAAAATAGGCAGCAGAGAGAAGTAAAAGTTCACCTCCAAATATGCCAGTAAGGTTTCCTTGTCAAGTCTTTGAACAGCCTGACTCTTTTCATGTTCATAACTACAAATAATAACCACAAGGCAAGGCACTATATAAGTCTCAGTCAGTTGACGAGTTTAGGCCCTATTTCCTCAGCTCTTTCTTTTTATACTCCAACAATAAAAATTGCTCACTTGTTTGTGAAAAGAAATGTGATGTGGTTCAACACTAGGGTTTGAAATAACTAACAAGAAAGCAACACGAAATATAGTCTTGCTTGAATCATTTTTGGCTAGTCAATTCTCCTGCACTACTTATCATACAATGCATTAAGTTTGACTCCATAAGAAATGAATATTAAGTGTGTTTTTAATTTTGTTGTTTGCAGCTTGTAACACCATCACTCTTCTATGAGGCATGCGGGAAAGACAACTTCTCAATCTAACACCTTCCATGCTCCAAGCACCATTTTAAGCTGCAGAGACCATTAAATTAAAGCTGGTTTTACACTTCTGCATTTTTTTAAAGTGAGATCATGGCCTGAATCTTCTTAGGTTTGGAGCTTTGGTTCAGCTCTTTCATTTGTGCCCAACAATGCAAGTGAACATGATATTCTCAGCAACCAGCCCTTGTAAAGAATAATGGGGACCATGTCACTCTTCAATAGCAGAAGAATTAGAAGCTCCCATTCTAAACTTTGCTGCATTTACATATTATTGACATTTCCAATGCATTTAGAAAGGTTCCCTTGCCCAGACTAAAGCATTCATCATCACCCTGCTTTATGGGAATTCACAAAACAATATCCACACTAAAGAATTTAATGACATGAAGTTACTTCTTAATTTTGTTAATACTGGCTGTGATGTCAAGCCATAACCAATTCAGGAATCACACTTATGCCTCTTACTGGCACACTGCTTGATAAAGACTCTGTTCCAAGCTAATAAAATTGGCCACAAGATTGACCCTTGGATCAAAGACAAAGTAGGCTCTTTAGAATCAACGTATAAAGAAGACATGTTACGTCAGTCCCAAAATGGCAGCCTGATCCAGTGGACTGAGAACAGTTCCATTCTTATTTCGAAGATCTTCATCTTTGAGTTGGATTTTATTCAGAATGGTATCATCAGCCAATGGAACATCCTGAAAGGAAAAAAAGGAAGCATTAGTCAATGGAAAGACTTGCTAAAGAAATCTTAGTCAACAAGTTGTACTTGAAAAAAATCTTATTTGACTTTGATTTGATAATGATTAAAAAACTCATCTCAAAGGTAAACTGCAATTAACATACAGTCATTAATGCCACATAAATGAAAAATTGAAGTTTTAATTAAAAAAGGCTTAACACTTTAAAATGCAAGTTTACAACAAACAGTGTGGCTTAAAGTTAGTAACTCTTCATATTGGTACTATCTCCTCTTACTAGGAACCCTGATTACAATCTGGCTGAAATTCCCAAATGTCTTTTTTTTCTCGGGGAATTTCATGTTAGATGAAAGAATGCAATACCCAGCAACTGTTCCCACTTACTCTAGGAAGGTTTTCTTTATAACACATATCTGTAGATTTATCTGCAAGAATAAAATGTAAACTTTAAGTTTTGGTTAGTAATTAAAAAGTGCTACATGTTCTGTTTTAAGTTAGAAAAGTGAGTTCTGAAAAAAAGTAACTACACTGGAGAGCTATTGTATAATATGTAGTAACATGACCCAAGCACTAACAAAAAAACATGCTTGTTTTCTTATTACAGACTAGTAATACTTAATTTTCACCATATCTTCTTTTCCCTCACTTTTCAATAATATAAATCTTTGATTATAGAAGAAAGAACTCTAATAAGTTTGGAGAAGGAGACTTTTTCGGGTAACTTGTAGGTTAAAATGAAATGTTATTAAAAAAAGATCTTTACTGCTGGCCTTCAAAGCAGGGTGTGTTTGGCAGCCAGGAGATGGCTCCTTAGCTTCAGAGGTAACATACCAAGCTATACTTTTTTTTCTTCAAAAAAGTTTTCATTATTCAGTTATTAAATGACATTCATTTTTGTTATTCAGCGCAGAAACATGATATGGGAACACTTGGTATCCAGTTTCATCTTTACAATTTGTTATGAAATAAATTTTATTTGACCTGCAGATTGAAAATCAACTTGAGCCATGATCCTTGCAAGTGAGATGCAATTTAATGATCTTGAAATTGATTTCCTAACAAATTTTATCATATTCCTCTACAGGAAAGAAGCCCCCTCTTAAGTGTGCCCCCCTTCCACCATGTGGCTTTGCTTTTTTTCCCCTCACTATATGAACAAATTTTCTTTCCTTAGGTTTCTTCTTCTCTTCCGTATACCAGTATATATGTGCATGCAGGCACTACTATAATGTCTCCTAGGCCAGAAACCCTGTGATGGCGATTATTTCCCACTGGGAATTCAGACAAAATAACTTGTGAATTAATCACCAGTCATACCTGAATCTGGGACTTTCCTAAGTCTGTATGCAAGTTTAAGGCAAAATTCAGTCATGCCTTACAGTACCTGTTGGAATGCCAGTGATGCTCTCATCTTTATGAACCAACACAATTAATTGAGAACAATCTTTTTCTTGAAATCTTGTCCTTTTTCCAAGGGCACCTGATACAAAATAATGAAAATGCTAAAGATTCTTCTCCCTGATCATCAATTTAAAACAATCCACAAAAATGACATAGCAGTACTGTTGCATGTACCTGTAAGCTCAACTTGTAAACCTAAAATGGACTGAGCAGCTGTGAAATGTTCCTTGGATAAATGTGATATAGAAAAGAGGAGAAATTGTGGCAACTAAGTAAAATACTAATAATAAGTTAAGTTGTTTAATCTAGTTCACAAAACCCTGTGTTTGTAGAATATGAAACAATGGACACTCTGAATGTCAATTGAAGCATTCATCCACATTAAATACAGAAGCATCCATTATGTATACATAGGTGAGTGGTAAATAAAGATACATTTTTTTTTCCAAAATTGTATTTTGTACAAATCATTTCCTGCAGGATTCCTGTTTTCTCAATTAACCCTCCCATAAATACTGGGTTGGTTTACTGGATTCCACTGAATGTGGTAAAGTTAACATCCACAAGGCTGGGAGACCAAGACAAACTGAGGGACCATGAAAGGGAAATTTGACTCCCTGGAATACAGATCTTGACCACTTCAGGGTAGCCCCACTACATTACAGACTGCCCTCTCTACTACACAAACTAAATTTGCTCCACCCCTTTACTCTGAGTCCATATTAGGAGGTTCTACTGTACAATGTTAAAAATTTATATCCTGCTTGAATTTCAAAGCCTTTATTAGGCGTTTTGAAATTTTTTTTGTTCATATTTCAATTAAATTCAAGACTGAAGTCAAAAAATCTTTTCATTTGACTGTGAGATGACTGTTGGTATTGGATCAAGCCTATTCTACCACTGCTTCAAGAAAATTATTTCAGTGAAAAGTTATCAATACCCTGGCGCTTTTGGTGTCATAGTAATAAAGACACAAGTATCCAAATTCAAGGTGGATCTGGCTTGCAATGCTCCTAAAGAAAAATGTGTAGATTTATTGAAATAAATAAATAGTTTATAAAATGTATCCACAAGTTAGTGCTCACTTATGTATCCTTAGAAAACTTAGCTTAACGTGGGAAACCCCACATACTACTATGTTTATACAACATAAGATGCTAAAGCCCTTGGCCTTGACATTATATTGTGTTGTTGGAAAGGGCAATTAACTCCCATAGAGCCTCTATCCACCCAGGGCCATAAATAGGAAAAAACAGTCTGTCAAGGAAATCTAAAAATGTTGGGAATTAGGTGACCATCAGTACAATGGTCTGGTACCCTACCCAGGGGGGAGTAACAATAATACTGTGTGCTGAAACCGACATTAGCTCTCACATGACAGACAGCCAACAAGAAGGGGTGGGAGCATAACATGGTGTATCTACTTATCCAAAACATCAATTTCCATGTTATATAGTATTAGTTACAAACTACCAGGAAGGCATCTTTTCAAAATTCTGAATCTATATGTTACAATTTCTTTGGTTTATGTACATATATCTCAAGTTAAAAGACACAAACGCTTTACTAATAAGAATATATGTACTTCATTGAACCTAAATATATAGTTACATCTATTCAGCACCTGCTTTGTTCTCCAGAAAGTAAGGTAGAGCTCTCTTGAACTGTAAAATGTTAAAAATAGACAGTCATGGACTGCATGTGGCAACTGGCATGGCACAATTTTAATAGCATCAAAATTAACTAGAGGTGGTATAATGATGCTAGAAGGTGGTGTTGCAGAGTATTTGTCTCACATGCAAAACAGAAAACCTGTTGCATCCCACATAGTATAAGCACCCTGTTCCACAAGAGAAAGATGATTCAAGAATACACTGTCTAATTGACATTCAACCAATAATAAAATGGTAACAAAAATAATTATGAGTTGATGGATCCCACTTTGAAATTATTTTGAGATGTTTATTGTCTTTTGTGTCACTTTTGTGTCACTTTTGTGTTACTTTTACATCATTTTCTACACAAAAAGAAAAACAGTTAAGAGGATCACCCAGAAAAACAGACAGATTAATTTAAAATTTTGTTTTTGGCTGAATTATACCTGTAATTTTTTTTTTGGAAAATGAGACCAAAATATTTGAGGCACATATTGGACTGTATTGTTAATCCTATCCACTCATACTGTGTCTCACTTTTTAGGAAAATAAAGAACTCCTTTTTACTATTCAATAAGTTTGAGAAAACTGTTGAGGGAAAATTAAAATAAAAGGAGAATTCTGTACAACAAACCTTTATTCATCAACATGAAAATCTTATTCTTCATGAAATCATTTCTTTCATTTGAGAGTTGTCTCTGTACTGCTAGACATCTCAAGGCCCACAGGGAAGCAGTCTAAAAAAAGTAGCAATGGGTAGAGACAGAATAAACACTTCAAATTAATGCCTTTAATGTACAACCTTCAAAGAATTCATCTTGAGGAAATTATGGCCACATAGAGCAAATGTAGTCACTTTGTTTTGGCGTATTCTATGAATGACATACCCTCAATGAATCAGACAAATGGCAAGGAATAAAATACTGACTAAAATACTGACTAAAATACTGGCCCCCATGCAATCTTTTGACTTCCCAAATGGACTACCATACAATAGACTGGACTAGCCCTTTGAGTCTTTTCCAAACTCTTGGTGCTACTTATACAGATGTTTACAGTAAATGGAACATCACGCAAACAAGACACCTTTCATCCCCACAAAAAGATAAGATATTCACCAAAGAGAATATGGATACATGTAAGCTTTTGTGCTGAAACCAGTTTGACTCCAATATCATCAGACTTAATTCAGTTAAATTTATCATGGGATAGTATCTGATGATACACTGAGTGACATCAAATTTTACCTGGCAGACAGTCAAAGACTCTTCAAAATCAACTAAGACTATCTTGGCAACCAACAGAAATAATAGACCTTCCATCAATGGATTATTAATGAACTGAAAAACCAAAGACAAATTGTTAGATTAACATAAAAACACTATAATCCTTAGCACATTATCTTTTGTCTCCAGATGTAGTCGCTTTCAATCTGGAGCACAGTGTCTCAACAGCATGCTGCTAGTCTTCTTTGGGTGATTTGGTCAATTGGAAACATGGTAATTTGAGAAACACTATGCTCTACAGTGGTGGGTTGCTTTTCAACAGCTGTGAGGGGTACATTTCAAAATATTTTTCCCATTACACAGCTCTCCCATTGTTGTGTTTGATCTTGGTCTTGGGCATGAATGTGAATTTCAGGAATTTCAATTCCACTACCCCAAGTACAGTAAAATGCTATGCGATTGGCCTTTTCCACTCTGCAATTGTCTAATAATAAATTCTTATCCACTGGATAAAGATTTATCCAGCAGATAATGTTATCCACCTTTTTGAAACAGCCAAGGTCAGGTCAATAGGTTGAAAGGTGCAAGGCACAAGGATACAGTTACCTCTCCATCCTTGCTCAGTCTTGTTACAATTTGTTGATTAGAACAATCATGAGGCAGAATGGAAGATGAAGGATGTACTGGGCCAGTCCAGTTACACTGGATGAAAAGGTCTAAACATGCCACACCTGTAAAAAGGACCAGTGCATGTCTGCAGAAAAATAGAGTTTAAAAAATAATGTGATCAGTCTTGAATTCCTTAGTTCATTACCTTTCAGGAAACTGAATATTTATTAGACTGTGATAGACAATAGGTACATACAGTAGATTAGACACTGTATGGTTGTAAACAGAATAAAAGAAAAAAACTGAAAGATTACTAGACTGAAATAAACACTGAGTAAATAGAGTAGACAATGTAAGGTTGTAAACAAAATAAAAGAAAAATCACGTGCATGTCGCGTTAAGTTTTGAATGACTGGTGGATTTATACAAAAATAATTAGATTACATAGAAGCTATATGATATATTATTCAAATACATTTTCCTCACAAGACACTACCTACAGAAAAATACACAAAAAGTTGATTACAATGGTATCTATTATACATTGGTGTCACTATCTCAATTTTTAATTGACTACAAACATGCAGCTATTTCTTACAGGCTCTGTTTTGTTATGTCTCACGTACTAACAATAGCTCTTGATACATGTTGACATTATGTTTCATTTAAAGACAATAGTTTAGACAATGCTGCAGTTGTATTTTGCTGTTATATTCCCCTCTGGTTAAGCAGCAAGTGTCAAAACCTAAAAGACAGTTTTTCTATTCCATTCCAATTGAGATAGACCTTTTGGGGCTCAAAATGATAAGAGAATAATAATTTGAAAACAGTGAAAATTTAAGTGTCATTTATCTGCAGTTCAATTATATGATATTCTTATATTCATAGCTGTTCATTCATCACTACACAGGTTTATTACAAACCAACAAAATGACCAGCTCCCAGTTGGCTAGTTAGCTCAATTGGTGGAGCACTGCACCAATATCGCAGAGGTGACATGAGTTCAACTCCCATAATTTTTTCCAAGTCTTATTTTCAAGTTCAAGACTGCAAATATCACCTTTATCTTCATTAAATAATACTTAAAAGATTCATCAAAAGCCCTCTTGGAACTAACTTGTCTGTTATATAGGAATTGATCTTGCCAGCAAATTACATATTAAATTACATATTAAATTAATTAAATTAAAAAAAAAAAAACTCAGACCAATTACCCTCTGGAATTGATATTTTGCTAATAGAAAGCAGGGATACATGAATCTCCTTCACCAAGTAAAGAATAGTTCAGGGTAGAAGTTTATATCACTTTAAATCCTTTATCCCCTTAGGGTGACAAGCTTCTCATTCCACCTTACAGTATCATCCTTGAATAAAATATACAGATCAGGGCCCAGTTGTTCGAAGGCCGATTGGTGCTACCCAAGATTCCCGGTTTCATTATTTCTTTCTGCAAAAGCCTTTTTGGGATAACATGTTCTCTCCTTTTAAGAATATCCAATCATCAAAATGTAGACAAGACTAATTATTCTAAAATTTTCTTTGGAGCTTTCAGATATGAAATCAAATTTCACACTTATCCTGGGTTATCATAATCCAGCTTTGAACAACCCGGCTCAGGAGAATAGAGGAAGCAATCACCAATTCAAAAAAATTTCTCCTAATCAGTACCACAGGAAATGTAAAGAGAACAGTGTGGAGAATATGAATACTGTTTAAGGTATAAAGGGTTAACTTAAGACCCAAAACAAAAATAGTGAAAAATTAATTGAAAACTTTCTGAACAACCACATAAAATGGTTGCCAGTCTGGCAAATTCTTTGAAAATTCAGTTTCCAGAATGTTTGCAAGTTGCCACAGCAACCATAACAGTTACAACTTAGAGAGCTGTAATAAACATCACTAACCTTGCTAGTGAGTCATCTTGTAAAAGAAGAGTGGTCTCCTGGATCAGCTGTTTATTTTCTGGTTGTAAAATAATAACAATGTTGTTGATTAGTCATTGCTTGCCAAATTTGAGCATTAATAGGACATTGTATGCATCATAATTAACAATTGGACAATGCATATCATGTGCACATGCTGTTGTCATACATTTTGCTGAGTTACCTTTTGTTTTTTCCCATGAAATGTAGGGATGGCTAGTATGTTTCTTAAATTTTGTCACAGTTTTGATTAATTGGTAACAGGACTTCCAGTTGTTGAATACTTCCTATAATCATACTCAAGATTCACAAATCCAACTCCTGCAATTTTATTATCACTCACATGATTACAGACCGAATTAGAATACACTCAGTCCTTCTAAAAATGCAAGGGTGCCATTTCTTTTAAAATCTTATTACAGCATCATTCACCAGAATACCATAACAAATCATTTATAAATACATGTATTGGGTAACACAGGACCATGTTTTAAGTTCTAATGACTCGCTTTCTTGATGAGATGGCGAGGTACATGTCTGGATTGCAGTAAGTGCCACAAAGATATTGTACCATGAAATTCCTCGTACTTTTCAGTTTCATATTTTTTTCCTAGAGTCCTCAAATAAACCCAACCACCAAGTCTAAATTGAATACAACATTTATTCAAAGATAGCATTTACAATTACTTTAAATTTTACTCCCATCTGTAGAATTGAATTTAAGACAGCCCTTATGCAAGAGCAGCACTAAATCAACTTGTTCAGGGCCTATTTACATGGAGATAGAGGACCCCAGGTAAATGGGGTAACCTGCTCAGCTGTGGGGGAGAAATAGCCTGTGTTTGTATATAATGTTAAAACCATGCAATTCCAGGTGAAGTTTCTCGAGGTTGTTGTTATGCCTGCAATTAGGGAGTATAAGATGTCACCACAGCAACATGGTAGCTGACAACTGCTGCTACCAAGTCTTTTTATCGGCTGCGAGTGATTCATGCTTATTGTTGTTTTGGAAATAGGCTTTTTATACTTCTTATGATGTTTTTAATGTTCACCTAGTTAGTGTGTTTGTGCATTTCTCTTAAGGGCACAGTTATTTGGAGCCTCACTCTATTGTGTGTCCTGCACCTTCGTCTCTCTTTCTCGTGACCTCTTCAAATTCATTTTTCCTCCTAGTCTTATTTTAACATTGTGATCATAGTGAAAGCAATTAAATAAATAAATAAATAAATGTGTTTAAACCATTTCTGACGACTTCACTTGGTGTTTTAATGTTTTCGTTCTGTACGTGATGGCTGAGAAATGTATGAAGTTTTAGTACACAAGTGTTTTACTATAATTTAGCTAATTTGACCTTTTGTCACATGAATGAAACCCTGGCTGGGCAGGTCACCCCACCTTGAGACATTTACATGGCAAATGGTAACCCCCGTTGACAGGTTACCCTATTCAGCAAACGGGGGAACCCACTTGAGCATATTACCCCCTATCATGTAAACATGACCATGATAAAGTAAGGGATTATATGGATAGGCGGATTACCTCATCTAGGCAGGTTACCTCACCTACCTGAGGTTCCCCGTCCCCATGTAAACAGGCCCTCAATGGGTCTGATTCAGTAATATGATGCTACTGGCATATAATTGAGGCAACATTCTGAGTTAGAAATCAAAGTCAAAAGTCTGAAATCTCTGAAAACATAATCAAATTAACTTACACCTAACAGAAGTCTTTCTGATGCAAAGAAAAAAGTGCTAGGTGTATAAGGAATCAGCTATCATTTGGAGAGGGTTGGTGCAAATGGAAGATAATCAAGTTAAAATTTTCTTAATTCTCCTTTGGAGAGAGACAATTATTTCTTACTCTCTCATCTTCTTCCTCCTAATGCTCATTCCATTATATAACTATTCATGTATGAATTTGTATCGCTTACTTACCTCCCTACATAAAGAGCATAGGCTCTCTGACTATATGCAGTAACTCCCTCCCGTTTAAATGAGGACCAATACGTAAATGGCAAAACAAAAAATTTTCATCTTGAAAACAAGGTTAATATCCATCTGCCGATCAACAACCAACCAAGTACTATGATTTACCTGTAGTAGCCGCTGCAGTGAGTAGTAGGCTTTGAGCAGTTTTCTGTTGCAAGGCCTTCAAATATTCTCCTCTACATATGCAAGCAACGATGACCCTCAACTCTTCCAAATCATCTGGAATATCATCAGCTTAAATAACAGGACATTCTTATGAACATAACAGATATTGCACATAAATAAAAGTATAAAGAAAAACTTCCCTTACGTTTGTTTTCGAAATCACAGAGGTGGTCAAATCGTTATCTCACCTAATTCAGTGATACTTTGCTCTAGAGAATCAATTAACGTAATTGTCTTCTCTTCGTTCCTTTCAAAGACTGCCTTTTCTAAACTGTGAAGAATCTCAATTGAATTCGTAGCCATTTCTCTGTAATTGTACAATTCACTTTTCACAAGCCGAGCACGTTTTCAAATCCTACTCAATACCTCCCCCTCCTTATCCCACCCCCCTCCCGGTGAGGGAGCGTCAAAGTTGTCTGTGATCGATTAGACCTACAGAGCAAAGACTGGGACTAGACCGGAAGGACGCCTAGAAGATCAAAGCAGTTGATGCTCAGGTGATGGCGAGCTCAATTGTGAAGATTTTGATTTCACGAAGAAATAATTTCCCTCCAATCGCCCGATACCTCACCGACAACTCTTCTACACGGTTTAAAGTTGGTGACGAGGTGAAAGTGCGTCGGTTTGTCACTGTGGAAGATGTAAACACATTTGCCCAACTGACGGGTGACACAAACCCTATCCACTTGGATGAGCATTTTGCGAAGAAAACCGAACTTGGGCAACTTGTTGTACATGGGGTAATTCTCAACGGGTATCGTAATCTCATAAATCTCAAATTTATTAATTTACACTATTAAAAATCTTTGGATTAAATTAAAAAATAAATTCGCCGTTTCCCCTAAGAGTGAAATTTAATATACTGGTAGAGTAAATAATTGGTTATCAGTGGCCCACACTTTGATCACACTTGTAAATGAGGACACTTCACAGGTTATACTGATGATCTAATGGCACAGTACCCATTGTTCATTTTCTACCAATGGGTGCTTTGTTCTCTGGTGATTATGATTACATGGTATCAAGACCCGCTGTCCTTCACTCCTGTCTGCTATTAAGCTCATGATTAACAAATCAAGGGATGAGGAAATGTACCACTTCTGTATTTCTTATTTTAAAGAATCACTTTTTTAAACTGGATAGCCTGCTGAAGGAGAGAATCTCAAGGTTGAACCTCCCCTCTCTGGTTTCTGTACTACTGACACCTTTACACATGCTGTCAAGAAATGTTAGGAAACAAATGTTCCCTTTTATTTTAGGATAGTTTCAGCTGTACATGGCACCAATCTCCCAGGTCCTGGATGTATGGTTGTGTCACAATCCCTCAAGTATCCAGCCCCTTGTGAGTAAGAGAAGTCTATTAAAAACTAATATAACTAATATAATCAATACATTCTCAGAGTCTGGTTTTTATGACAGCGACATCACAAATTTATCTTTTCAAAATACAAATAGAACAAACCCAGCACTTAACCCTTAACACCCTTACCTTTGTATTCATTTTCTCCTCACTGTTCTGTTTACATTTCTCCTGTTACTGAGAAGGAGAATTTTTTTGATAATCAGGAGTTTCTTAAATTAATGATCATTTCCTTTTTCCTTTTGACGTCCTCATCTGATTCAAGAGCAATAATGTAGGGTGAAATTGGAAGCCAGTCACTATTAGGGGTTTAAGGGTTAAATTTTTTTTAGGTATTCTCAATGTACTTGGAGAATTACATTGCCTAAAATTTCTGTTTCCATTCTTTTTAAAGGAAAGTACAAAAGAGTGTGTATTTTTTAACCTTTACATGGTTTCAGGGCTTTCATCTGGCTAACTTAGGTAAAGATTTAGCCACTACTTGAAAGCGTTATAGCATTATGGACTTCAGCCTCATTGTGATCACTATGTTTCCTAACCATGGATCACATTTAGCCCAATGTACATAACTAAGGATACATTTAAGTTTATGCAAGGGTATAGAAATCAAAGCTGTGGTATAATGGACCTCTGACTAAAATTTATTTTCCTAGTATTTCCAGGGGAAGAGGTTTTGACTCATATTCAGGTTACCAGATTGAGGCATGCTATCATGAGTTGTGATGTGACTTGCACAGCAGTTCATAGGGGGAAAGTAAGTGATCTCTGTTAAATTATGACTGCCACAGACCAACTGACCACACTGTTAGAGTACTTTAAAGCCCTTAATTATCATCATTACAATTTTCTCAAATGTGATTGGTGCATTAACTGCCCTATAATTTCCTAATGGTTTTTAGAGTTGTAATGAGACCATGTACTGGTAATCTAACAGTTAAAGCAGGCAATTTAACTATTTTTACTCAAATAATTCGACCAATCACAGAATTGATTACAATAACCATAGTAGCAACCACTTACTCTACAAAGCTGGAGAATTTCCAAAATGGAGGAACTTTTTCACATAGACAATGTCTCTTCCAGAGATATTTTCTCAAATAAAAGGTTTTTTCCTCAGAAATTGTAATGGTAATGAGTATTTGGTAAAAGATTTTTGCATTGTCTGATTTGGTTGGTAATCATACTCATGATTGACACATTTGACTCTCACTTAGCATCTGTCTAATTCTGTAATCACTCAAATGATTACAGACTAAATTGGACTCCTTGATCCTATTACCATGATATGATGACAACAAGGTTTTGATTTTAGTCTTTGACAGGTTATATTACCCAGTTAAAGTAGGTGAAGTTTTGCTTACAGTTTTCCAGTACCTAATAATAATTGTTCTTTTGGCTCTTGGCTCACCTTTATGATGAAAAAAAACAAAACAAAACAAAACACAAAAGCAGAGAAACAAATTAGCTGCATTGAACTTCAACTTTTTGTGGTGATTCTTTTTAAGAATTGACTTTTTAAGCTGAAGCAACAAACTTTTAAGTGCATCAGACTTGTTTTTGGTCATATGGAAGACTTTTATTAGTGGTTTCATGTGTGTCATTTTTGTTTGCGGCCAAGTTTTTAACCATGGTGCAATGCTGAGATATGACCCTGGGGTTAACTTTGCATTTCAAATACAACTGTGGAAGCCAAATTGCAAGAAAATGAAATAGTGGTGGAATTGAAATGGATCTCTTGTTTGATGGGTTCACACACTGTGCTAGCAGACATTTTGCTCATTGCTCATAATTTTCCTCCCCCAAGGCCCAAAGGGCTTGCAAGAATACAATGAAAAATAGTATCTGCAGGTATTATATGTGACACTATCTTTTAAGGTGTATGTTTTTTTTGCTGCTGTTTTATTTTGTGGAATTTGTACATTTCAGGTTGTGTTATGTGGTGAGACCAAGTTGTTACTTCCCAAGAAACCTGGCTGAGTCCATGTGTATGTGTTTTGTCCATTTCCAAGTAAATAAGATGTTCTCAGCTGGAAAAAATGGCATATGGGAACTTTTTTCCTAGTCCAGCAAATGTTACCCAATCACAAGCAAGCTTGTCAATTCACGGACAAAAAGACACTTGCAAGGATGATCAACTTCTTTCATGAAAGGTTCCATTTAACTGACAACAAATTTAACTTGGTAGCATATGCAAGGAATGTGCTGCACCATAGTCCAAAACACTGAATACAGAGGGATTACAGCTGGTCACCCAAGAGGAATGGCGGGGTGGCCGTTTCTTACATCATGCAGGTTATTACGGAATAGGGTTAAACACGATTAAAAAAAAGCCATCTCATGCCATAATTGCTCACTTAATGTACAGCTTATTAAAAAAACTCACTCAAAAATGCTTTGAATCTTCGCTAATAAACAACATCCACAAAATGGTGCCGTATCGGAAAAACGGAACGATAAAGCAGACTTAGTATTCGTGGTATACTGTTACTTAACAGTTGGAGCTCAAGGACAGAAATTAGAAAATGGCTAACGTGATGTTTTCGCGTAGTATTTGTCATAACAGTCCTATAACTTGCAAGAAGAAGTGAAATTGAAATCGTGCTTGTTATTTTGATTTCTGTAGTTTGCTTTCGCGAATGAAGTCGTTGACTGTGGTCAACGCCAAAGAAGGTTACTGGTGGGTGGCCGTTAAACTGTACTAACAGTTATTATGGGAAATAAACGTGGAAGAAATTTTACCTGAAAGATTATTCTTAAATTTATGTGAGTGGTTCCGCTTTATGTGACCGTTTAGTAAAGCTAAAGAAAATACAGAAAGGCCGTTGGAACCCAGCTAGTCAAGGGTGATCACTAAATAGATGACAATTAGATATTAGACGTGGATTGTTAGGTTAATATCTCGTGCGCTTTATGGTTCTCTTTGATCCGAGTCGACGTTAGTATCTCGGATACTTTTAAGATTAATGAATAAAGAGGGGTAAGTTTCTTTACGGAAACTGTGGTGCTACGTCGGTGGGAGAGTATAACGGAGTAATTTAATTTTATCAACAGAGTTGATAACTTAAATTGGCCACTAAAGAGATTAAAAGCTGACGTTTCGATTGTTAGCCCTTTGTCAGAGCGTTAGCCCTTCATCAATCGTCTCAATCGCTCTGATGAAGGGCTAACGCCCGGAACGTCAGCTTTTAAACTCTTTAAGGTGGCCAATTTACGTTATTAACTCAGTTGCAAAACTAAATTTCCCTTCTTTTAAGATTGCCTTCCATTGGATTGTTACGTTAGTACCTCGGGCGTTTTTACCTGACGATTCTCTTTCGTTCATAATCTCTTGCTTTTATTCGTAGATTGTTACATTTTGTTTCTGACGGACTTTCACGATTCTCTTTCATTGATTGTTACCTTATTAATATCTAGAGCACTTCTAGGATTCTCTTTCATAGAATCTCGCACATTTTGAAGATTTTCCTTTCAATTATTTCATTAGTATCTGAGGCCTTTCAGCATCCTCTTTATTGGATTGTTACGTTAGTTTATCATCCACTTCAATTAAGTATAAAGAACAATCATGGAGTGAGTCACGCAATATTCAGGCAGTTGGTTACTTTTGTACTTTAAAAACCCTGTTTAACCGGTTGGCTGCGTGTGCTACGCTTCTCTATCTGGTCAATTTTACCGTCTTATTAAGAAATGCGCTTAGAATGAAGCAGTTGGACATAAATGACTTGTTAGATGTTTTGGTGTGTTGTATCGCTGGGCATTTTTACTCGTTGTTTGTATTTTGACCCGCCCTGCAGGCTCGATCGTCAAAATACAACACAGCTCTTAAGACTACTCAGCGATACTACACACCAAAACGTTTAATGAGATAAATTTCTCGCGCACTGTAAGGATTTGCATTCTCTTTCAGTGAATTGTGATGTTGGTATCTCGCGCACTTTTAGAATTTTCTTTCAGTGGATTGTGACGTTGGTATCTCGCGCACTTTTAGGATTCTACTACATTGGACTGTTACGGACTGTTACGTTAGTATCTCGCGCAAGTTTAGGATTCTCTTTCGTTGGGTTATGACGTTGGTATTAGACGCACTTTAGGAATTCTCTTTCGTTCGGTTGTGACGTTAAGATCTTGGGATCATGTTTACTGAAGGTAGTGTCGGTCGACACTATCGGTCGATATATCTACCAGTACTCGGTCGATAAAATCCTATCGGCCGACATATGGACCGGTACTCGACCGATACTCGAACGGCACTCGACCGATAGTGCCGACCGACAGTGTCGACCGACACTACCTACAGTAAACATGAGTTCTCGTACACTTTTAAGATTCTCTCTCAATGGATTGTTACCGTAGTATCTTGTGCAACATTACGACCCTCCTTCATTCGATTCGACGCAAGTATCTCGTGCACGTTTAAGATTCTTTTCCACTGGATTGTAACGTTGATATATCACGCACTTTTAGGATTCTCGTCCAATGGATTACGACGTTAGTATCTCGCGCACTTTTACGATTATATGTCATTGGACTGTTACTAAAGTATCTCGTGCACGTGTAGGATTCTCTATAATTTGATTGTTACTTTAGTATCTGACGCACTTCTATGAATCTCTTTCTGCATTTGACTGTTACGTTAGTATCTCACAATAAATATCGACTAATTGAGGCTGGCTCCGCTATTAGGTCTATGTATCGACGTTATTTTTACGACGAATTGCGTCCTCTTATTACTAAATGGTTATATCTTATTTCAGTATAGCCTTGCTTCGTGCCCATTTCAACTTCTGTAATGTAATATATCAAGCACGAGTGGAACACACGAAATCCTTATTGACATTCACTTTTGCATGTTGAGTTCGACCTAAAAACAAAAAGTTCTGATTTTAACACTACTTTAACAGGTGTGAATTCGCTTATCCATAATGAGGAAAAAAAATGGATAGGAACTTTGCACTTTAACACGTTGAATCTCGACCCTATAAGGATTGGAACTAAAACAGACCCAGCGATTCCGCGGACATTTTGGTGCCAATTTGCAATAGCTACTGAGGTTAAGGAAAAAGTTTACCTGCGTGTGAAGTTGAGAATAATACATTTCAGTCAACGAGAAAAAAGTGTTTATTAAGCAGATGAGTAGCCTTCCATTTTCAAAGTTAAAGTTAGAATTATTTATTATATTTCATTTACAATGAGCAGATTATGGGCTATAGAGGGTTAAGTGTAAATAAGACAAATGTACCACAGAAGAACACACTTGAGAAAAAAACATATTGGGCAGGATTTTGCAAACTATTGAAGAATTGTAGTACCCCCTACATTTGCACGTTTTAAATCCTGTAGCCTATTGCTCTTCAGTTTTCCTTAACCCCCAAATTTTTCTCTACGTTTGCGGCAACTCAAATACCCCAGGGAAGCTACGGCAGTATTTCGATTAGCCCAATCGTCCCCCTTCCCACCCCCGCCTCCACCAGAGCGTAACGCAGAAGTAGACGGGGAAGCGTGTTGTCCCTCGTAATCAATGAAAAAGGTATGGTAAACCAAACTTGTAGTGTTCCATCCTTATTCTGTTTTATATTCTATAGACGAATGTTTACTGATTATTTGGAGATTGATTTCATTTTCATTTTTTTTTTTGATACCGAGTCTTCTTGTGACGTTACCGCGTAACGTATGGCTGCTACCTGATTGGTCAATAAGTTAGCCAACCAAGTCAACCCCGCGTCACACATTTCCTATGACATTTCAAGTTGTGAACGTAGGCCTCAGGTAACGAATTACTCAAGAAATATTTTTATCTTGTAAATTGTTGAATATAGATAATAAAAATAAAGATAGCACTTCTCTCTTGTTCTCACTTTCCAGTGGCGTTTTGCAATATGCTTATCATTGTACGTTCATCCGCTCATGTGGCTGTTCTGTTGTTTTGGTGTCAAAACACAATGTGGAACTTACTGTTTGACTGTCCATTCTAATCTGTTGTTTGCTTAATGCTGAAAAAATGACCCATATCAATGTTAATTCTTCAGCTTTACCTGATGTAGTAATTTCTGGAGAGCGTTTGATTCATTCATGATATCAGATATATGCGTGCTGGACTTTCACTGCGATGAATTTTGGCATCGTTAGCATATGTAAACTCCATCTTTTCTTGAAACAATAGGGATACAAAGAAGTGTCTGTTTCAGTTCAGAGAGTTTTTTTTTAAGTTTCAGATTTTTGTCCTTTTTGAATAGCACCGCCAAGAAAAATTTTAGGAAATTGTAAACGCGAGGATTTATTTTGCAGTTGTTGTTGCGCGATAGTCGATGTTACAAAGGTGTGGCTGTTTTACAAGGCCCTAACGGAGGAAACTGGTACTCGGCATCAGATATGTCTTCACAAGGAGTCTCTTCCAGTACGGGATGCCCAGTTTTTCTTCTACACCAATTGTAAAATGGTTCTAGTGATCCGGTGTTTCCCTCAGGGCCGAAAATACCCAGAACAGTTGTGAACAAAATGAGGGCGTAGATGATTGAGAGGCCAATGGTACAAAACATGAAAATGCCAAACTGAAAAAAAAAGAGAATTTTAGCAGCTACCATGAACACAGACGCACCCAGTGACGTGCTTGCTCCTGACAACACGGAAATTCCTACATGATCTAGTGTGTCTCTGACTTTTTCCCTGCGTGTAGGCTTCTGGGATCTCACGTAGCCATCAGCAAGGTGAACTACGTAATCGACAGCAAGTCCTACAACAAGAGTGAGATTCAGAGATTCAAGAACTCCAAGCTTCCATCCCGCTAACGGAATAACACCAACGACACCAACGGTAATACAAGCTATGATGGCTCCACAAAGCAAGCCTACTAGCCAGTTTGATGTCATCACAACAAGAAGCGATATCGCTAGACCCAGTCCAAGCAGGATGCCTCGCACGGCAGTTGATGCTAGCACCTACGGGAAAACAAGGAAATGGAATGGCCTTCGAACAAATAAATTTCATACACATTGTAAAGAGCTGTTTTCTTAAATACGCATCTTTCATTTTTGTTTTCTGAATCGCAACTAAATTTGATAAATTTTGTTATTTTTTGAAAACAGAGCAAGTACTAATGTCCTAAACTAGTGTTGCATGTTATATTCTCTAAAAAATTACCTTTTTGACCTTAAGCCAGTGCCAGGCGTTATGTCCATTAGGAGTTGCTTGAAAGGCGTTGTTACATGAAGTTGGCATCGTCTTTAACTAACAGAGAAGAGAGATCTGTGTTAGTCTAGTATGTACTAACACGAAAGATTTTGTAATTTTGTTTACATATACTTTGACAATATATTTGTGAATGTAAAAGTAGTTTTTGACCTTGAATGCGTTAGCAAGCAAAAGTGTCTCACCCAAGGTAAGCGATTTTTTCCCCCGCTTTAAACAGAACACAAAGTATATTTGCCGGTCTTCGCGATAGAAAACAAGATTGTTATTCGATTCAGTTCTACGTTGAAAGTTTGATAACAAATGAAATAGGTTGTAATGTAAGTCCATTTAAGATGGAGATAAATATGTATGTGGTGGAAATACGCGTTTTACACGTTGCTGTGCGTCTGTTCAGTAAGAGATGATGGACGTCAAAATGTGGTAAGAACATCGAGGACACACTCGACTGCGCTACTTTTTTGTTCTTACCACATTTTGACGTAATTTGCGATATATTTTTAAAAAAGCTCACGTGTTTCTGATTTTTCGAGTGTAAAACAGAGCTTATTTCGAATATTATAAGATTGAGACGCCTCGCGATTATATGTTTCCTGATCAAGCACTTTTGTTGCGACTTAATGTCGAAAGGAACAAGCTATTGAGCACACCACGCCCGGTGAAAGGCACCAAGGCTCTCCAGTTGTCTTTTTCTGCTTTCTTTAATAACTCAGTTTTTCAGAACACAATTCCACTTACATCCCAGTTTATTTCATTCTGAGTAACTTTGGTTAATCTCTTAGGCTCTCACACTCTGATTCTCACTGGATACTTCTTAACTGCGGAATTCAGGCTGTACTCTGCTGCACACTGCCGCACACTGCCGGTCTACATTCTTCTAGTCTTCTCTTCACTCTCCATCTCCTCTATTCGCTTTTCTCTCTCCTCCCCATTCTTTTTTACGTAGACTCTAAAGAACATGCTTATTTATTCACTGCTGACAGATATGGGAGGGCATGTCAGCTGGCTGACCCCGGAAGATCAAACATCCGTTGTTAGAACGCTAAACCAAACAATTTCAAGAGACTTTCGATCTGAACAGTGGAGTACTTAATCATAATGCTTTCGTTCAACTAAGTCAACCTCTGACTGTTTTAGTCAAAACAAGAACTTTCGTGTGGGTCTAAAGCAAGGTCAGTAAACAAATTAAGCACGTCCACTTGAGGAGGTTAGACAAGGCTGTCACAATTCGGAAACTAATCACGACAGCTCTAACCTAAATAACCTCGGAATTCGAATTCATACATTAAACACTTCTAAATACAAACGATAACTTATATCAGACCGAACTGACTAAAACTGACTTACTGGTTATAGAATAACTAAATGCTCTATAACACTATGTAATTTACTGAATTAAATACCATTTTACGGAAATAAAATTAACTGACATAAATTTTCAAAAACAACTTTGCTGGTACCAAAGACATAAGAACTGTTGTATTCCCGCCAAACACGTGGATTCACCTTTGATAGTGAAGGTTTCTTGATATTTTACAGCTGAATTATTTTATGCTGTATTGAGAATACCTTTTCCCTTACGAAGCCTTCCCAGTGATCGTACACTTTAAGTCCTTCAGTTTGCCCCGTCTTGCTAAGAACCATGGTTGTATTCACAGCCACAGAAGCAAACAGTAGTCTGTTTCCGTACTGGCCCCCTGAAATAAAAAGATTAATGATATTCATATGTTTGCAAGGGAAAAAGAAACTGTCGTCACATTTAGGCACTCAAACCAAGAAGGCACCTTTAACTTTTCATTTATAGCCTGCGTGAAATTCTTCGTAAGAAAAAAAGTACTGTAACCTGTCAGTTTAACTCTTAACAGAAAAAAATGAGAGTGGAAAAGTCTCATTTCTAAATTATCACTCCGACCAGTTTCTGTTCATTTCCAGACTGTAACCTGTCAGTTTAACTCCTCATGCTACAATGTTCTCGCCATAAGGTATTTTTGAACAAAACTGCAGACCTTGATAATTTGGAATAGAGGAAGAGTCAGTTGGATCCTTCGCTCCTCCCAACAATCCGCCGAACGTTTTGAAGTCAGATGACGTTACAGTCTGATTGGCATTGGTCAGCCAATAGCCAAGAACCACCTCAAAGTATCTGTCGTACATCTCACCCACTAACGTTACGTTAAACAGGTCAGGGTTTCGTGCCATTAACTGTCGCACGTCACTTTCACGTGATGGTATCGCAAACTCCGTGGTGTTAGAATACTTGGGCTTGTTAGCTTCATCCTGTACAGATGTAAAACAAGCCTTTATTGCGTTTGTATGATTGCGTTGAGCGATAGCTGGTTCTAAATAAGAAACTGTCTCATCAGAAGTTGGTACTTCGTATCGCATGTGCAATCCTAATGAAATAAAATATTTCTGCACTTCATATACTAGAATCATACTGAAACGTCTTAGACAATTTTCTTTCGTGCTAATATTCCTTATATTGAGTATTTCATTTTGTATCAAGTTGCGATTTAAACGAGTTTATTTTTTTGCATTTGAGGCCATGTTTAGCGGCACTTCATTATTGTGCTTATATTAAGTGTTTCTTACCTGCAGATAGTCATTCAATCTGTCTATGAAACATTGGATTTCTGGTTCACCCGTAATGGCGTTTCTCCTTATTCTCAAGTTTTGGATCTTATTTTCTGGCAAGTTTTTAATTTCTTTACAGAATTCCTTTAAAGAATTGGAAGAAAAAAGGAGCATATCAAAGTTGCTCTAGAATAAAAAATTCAATAATAACTGCAATAACTGTAAATATCTGTACTGCTTAATTTAATTTTTTTCCTAAGTTAAAAAATGAACCGTTAGATTGATGGAGAAGGAAACAAGAAATGACTTACTAACAAAGCCACCTGGCACTCTGATGGATTTAAATCAAAACTTGGATCAAACACAGTGTTCCCTTTGCATTTAAAGTCTGTAAAGTGACACGAACTACGATCTTGATTCTTCAGTCCCCAGATAATATGAACCTCAACTACGTGATCTTCCTGACTTGGTCGAAATGCCGAGCGCCGTAACCTCTTTATAATGTACCAATTGGTGCCCGGGCCCCATACGTCCACCTATCATGAATAGTGAAAGTAACATGTAACATCTATCAATAGAAAAATTCTTTGGCTTTAAATGACAAGGAATTGCATGTGATAGTGAAAAAGGGGCGCAGGTCGTCTACACAGGGAGCTTGGTAAATTAACATCTATTCAATGTTAAGTCTATTGCTTTGTACGTAATTTGCTTTAATTGACCATGTGAGCATTTATTTTTATTATAAAGTAAACCCTAACGTAAATCCAAACGTTCTTACTTGGTCTCGATTGTGCCATACGGTCCGTTTTGACGGAAACGGTCAGTAGCCTTGTATTTCTCATCACGAAAGCCGGCACATTCAAAATAAATAAGTTTGGTCCGAGTACCATAACCCACTTACTAGAATCACTTGCTCGAGCCGTACTTGGGTATATTTCCCCTCGGTCGTTTTTGTACTGCCACGACCTCAAGCCAAGATTTCTCAGTACGGACCTCACGTTTAGTAAGTAAGAGGTTAGCATCGCTATGCTGATAACGATGCAATGAATAGAAATAACCCTTATGAAATGGATCGTGAAAATCAAATTTAAGTGGAAGCGTTCATGTAATATGAGAAACCCGAAGTAATTTTTGCAATGAATCACTCAGTGCTGCAGAATTCAATGGAATTCAAGCGATTGTGACAGCAAAAGAAATGTTCCAAGAATTCTCAGTGAAAGAAATCGAAATCATTCATCGGTTTACTTTGACCAACATATCATCAGTCTAACGTAAGTCAACTCACACATCATTCAACGTAAAGTTACTCTCTCGTTTGCCAATCAAATTTTCGGATAGCCATTGTATTCTTTAAATTTTGATGGCTAATTAAAAGTGACCCGTTCAACACCGATGTCATCTGAGCAACTTTCATCTCCGTTGAAGCTACTGCACGACCTCAACTTTTTTTACTCATAGAACAGAAACGTTTCTCATTAATTATGAATTAGTGAATTTCCATGAAATTATAAATATCCATGCCTAATTGTTGTAGTTGTTTAGCTCAGCAGCTACATTTTTTAATTAGAGAGCCAAATAGCAAAGATTGATTCTATTTTAGTTTTTTGAGAAACATTTCCCCATAAATGGAGAATTAGAGAGACAGGTTTTTTGTTAAATTGAAGGCATGTTATTAATTCTGTTTTCCGAAAATTACAGGAAACCTTCGCACAACCAGGTTTGATATCCATAAAAGAGTAAGGAATAACCGCATTAAATGTAAATAGGCCTGAAATGTTGAACGAAATGCATCGAAAATCGCACGAAAATGAGAACTTCGATATCAGGAAAAAAATAATGTTGAGATATGTTCCGCAAACCGGCAGCGAATGAAACAAGCTTTAAACTGCTGCTCTCACTTTCTGTTCGCGGAACTGAAACAAATTAATTATGGAAAATGTTGTTCACATATTGTTGGAAATTAAGTCTAAAATCCATATGCAGCCAGGGCCACAAATACTCTCTCATTAATTAGCGTGATATGTGACAGTACTGATATTCATTCTCGGCCAGAAGTTTTTAATTTAGCCCCGCAGTGATGGCTTTGATTCCTCATGGTTGCCTTGGCATTGTCGCAAAAGTGTTTTCCTGAATTAATCTGAGCTTGTATGAAAACATTTACAAGAGGCAATTATATTTAGAGTCAGATGCCTACCTAATGTGACACTTAAATCATCTTACCACATTTACCGCGAATCGTCAATTTGTCTTCTAAAATTTTTTTAGAAAACCTGATACATAAGCTTTTTAGTAAGTACTGCGAAAAATGATTAATATTACTAGGAAACCGAATTGGTTGGCTAATTTATATTTGCCTTCTAACATTTTGCTTCATAAATTGCCAAGAGTCTAACGGGTGGTAAACCAAACCTGTGAACCGCATTTGGTTCCATAATTCATTCGGCAGTTTTTTATAAGTTATTCTTATCATTTTAATAATACTATTTACTAGAAACTGTTGAAAGAAAATTTGAAAATTTCGGAATATGCAGTTCTAAATTTGCTCCTAAAGAAACCATGCTAAATATTAAAACAAAACTACGTAACAACCACTGGCATAATAGTCACAATTATCACCTCGCCAAGTGATTATTTCAGCTCTCACTATTAGGGGCGGCATAGGTACCCCATCGTTACTATACAACATGCATACTTCATAAACTATTTCTGACATGAATCAAACACCTACCGGTTCCTCATCTGGGGTGAGCTGTGTCGCAAATCCAATAGAAACACACAGAAAAACCAAAAATACTCCTAGGATTATCCAACGAATTTTCTCGTGTGCAATAAAGTTTTTGAAAAACCTGTTTCCTAAGAAGTTACTGACAAGTTTACTTGGCTCAACGAACTTGTCTTCCCGTTGTTCCTGTCCTGATACCTCGCCTTGAACAACGTCTTCTCTGCGCGATTTTACAGCTTGCCACGCTTTCAAATCTCCAAAACAATGCCAACGATAGTTTTTCCAGTAAAACTCGTAAGTTATAATGACCGTGGGAAAGAAGATAACGACGGAGCAGAAATTTACAAAAACTAAGAGCGCTGAGAATATGCCAAATGTGGACACGCCCAACAAGGGAGAAAAGACGCTAGTTACAAAGGCTACAATTGTTGTAAACGATGTAGTAAACATGGCACTAGCCGCTCGCCGGTAAACAAAGGAGATCCTTGATGCCAAGTCGCGAAAGGTCTTTGACTCTGAAGCTTTCCATGTGTCGATAAATACAAACACATCATCGGCTCCAATACCAAGAATAATAAACACGGAGAGTACGTGAAAAATACCGATGTACCGGCAGTCCAATATCACCCGGTAGATAATGTTCGCGCCGAAGAAACACGTAAGTATGCTGAACACGGCCCAACCTGTTATCCAAATGGACTGAGTTTGAAACAGCATGAAGAGGAAAATAAATGTAAAGCTAGCACCAGCCAAAAGAAGATCATATATGACCTGCTGAGAAATGGCATTAAAAAATAACGCACGGAGATAGTAATAAAATTTCATCTCCCCAATTCCTTGTCTGAATTTCACATCTAAATGTTCGGCAAATGCGCCCTTAGAATATAACTGAGCTTGGTCCCACTGTTTGTCGACTCGGTCTTCAGTGTTATGGAATCCTTTAAGAGGATAACCAATGTAAAATAACGACCTTGTATATCGAGATTGAACTAGCATGTTCTCATTGGGATAAACCACGGCGTGTTTGTCCAAATGAAAATCCAGTATAGCCCGAGTTACGTTTATCGAGTTTGCCAAAGATAGGATTCTTGAAATGTTTTCAAAATCTGGATCAAACAAATCCGTATGAATTGATCTGTAACTCCCGTCAAAGAATCGAATTATAGATAGGGGAGGTTTACAAAGACCATTTTCCAGCATTTGACAAAGGCGTTGCTGATATATGGAATTGTTAAAGATTTCCATCTCAGCTTCTTGAATGAGTTCCAAATTTCGTTTTGTAAAAGTGTTTCCCTTTACAGCGTCGTACATCAATTCCAGAACGTCATATTGAATAGTTCTCTCGCTTTGAGTTCCCACGGAAGTGGGATTTATATTTACTCGGGAATCTTGCCGAGCGAATTTCCACGCATCTGCGCGAAGTTTTGTCACATCGTGTTCAAGATTCAATGGAACTTGGGTAAAATCGGCCGGCAAAATATCATAGCCGGAAAGATAGAGCGAACCCGTCACCAGAAGCAAGACGAAATGCGCTCCCAAAGTCAATCCTGTAAAAAAAAAAAAAATGAAACACATTACACCTGTGTACTACACGTCGTGAATTTCGATATTTTGTCGTGAACATGAGCTCTTCGAAACTACTTACCGAAACAAAATTTTGGCCTCTGAACAAGGAAGCGAAATACCCAGGCGGCCATGACCTAGATGAAGCAATTTAATCTTTCATTTTCGCGACAATCTGACGAAGAATACACGCATGTTTAAAAATACACCACCGATAACATTCTGTAAACTGCTTTTCGCCGTTCTTTTAATCTGGCGGCAACTAATTTGCATAATTCAAAAGCTTACGCGTCAGCGGTTATCCCTGCACGAGTCCCTTTCTCATGAAATAATGACATGTGGCTTTTTTTTCGGTGCTTTGAGTTTCCAAGAGGTGATCTTACGCTAAATAGCACGACCTTCTGAGTTGTTAATAAAAACTTAGAAAGTGTGATTACAGTCAGGACATCGTCACAACAGAATACATATATAGTTCGTGGCTGATACGCCTGAAAGAATCCGCGAAGATTGAATAGAATACTATCGAAAGAGAGAGTAAATCGACGTTAAGAATGAAAGATTTTTCGAAAGCGATGGCATAAACTGATCGACCTCAACATTGCTGTTACTCGCCTGATCTCCTTTTCTCAAGAAACTGTGGAAAGACGAAAGCGTATAGCAAATTCAAAATTATCAATTTGTTTTCAACAAAGTGAATTGTTTTTTGCATATATCAAGGTATCATTTATTGTGATTGTTGAATTTAAATGATCCTGAGATCTGAAAAAACAGAAATCAAATCATATTTTGGACAATTTTCTCCGCTGTCCATGTGGTCGTTTTGTCCCAACTTGCTATTTAGTGTTTGCAGATGGAAATTGTCTAGCTAGCAACACGTGTTTTGATAAAGATTCAATTCATACTACCGACACAGGTGTCCACACCACGTCTTAGTGCTGATAGGCTGAAGAAATAAGACCAAATCAAGAATGAATTGAAATGTATGCAAGGATAGATTTGAACGAAATTTTTAGATTCATGTTTGGTTGTTTATGTCTACGCATTTCTACACGCACGTCACGGACACTTGAAAGTACGAAATTCTTCAATCTATAACTACTCGCATCTTAAAACTACAGATGTCAGTTTATAGCAGTGAAAATAAATAGCTGTGTGAAAATAAGGTGAAACATTTATAGATGCAGAGGACAGTAAATAAATTTTGCTTTTGTGTAGCAAAATACTGCGGGGTGTTTTCTACCTTTTTATAAAAGCTTGGATCAATCTAAAATTTATTTTGACATAACATAATCAATGAAAATAGTAACTATACAAAGTCACGATGGCTATGATGTTCTCGGAATGCGCGCGCATTTAATACTCAGCAACGGAAAATATTATATGGATGTGTTCAAATGTACCTTACATTTACAATTAAACGTGTATATAAAGTTGCATCTTTAAGATGGGGTTAGTTTCTAAAGAAATTGTGGTGCTACGTCTGTGGGAAATTAAAGTTTATACTGTCATTCCCAATGACGAAAACCTCCAGGCTCTCGAACATTTTTCCGACCAACCTAATGTTAAGGAACCTAGCTCTGAAACACTACTCCGTCTAGCCGAACTAGTACTAACACTCAATTGTTTTTCATTCGGTGGCAACTAAAATGGGACCCAGCTACGCCAATTTTTTCATAGGTTTTATCAAACACCAATTTTTCAGTCAATCAATGGCTCCAAACCTGAACTCTACGGTCGCTACACTGACGACTGTATCGGCGCTACCTCTTCCACCAGAGAGGAACTCGCTCAATTTATAACCACCGTCAATTCTGTTCACCCGGTTTTGAAATATAGCTGGGAAATTTCCGACTCTCTTTTGACTTCTTTAGATTTTCTAAACATCAAAATTTCAACTGAAGGCAACGGTCTATGCGCCAGTGTTTACCACAAACCTACAGATTCTATAGTTGTTGCAACATCTTCGCGTCCATCACACGTCAAGAACTCCATACTTTTTTCACAATTTCTCAGACACTTCGTCGTTTATGTAGCGACGACCCTGATTTTCCCGACAAATCGAAGGCAATATGCCAGTTGTTCGACTAACGTGGCTATCCTGTTTCTGTCGTTCAAGCGGGCCACCACCGCGCCCAACAAATTGATCAACAGTCAACACTACAAACGGCACAGAAGGAAAATAGTGATCGCATTCCATTCACCCTCACAACCACGCAGTTTAATCTATCATTCTCAAAAACTTATATTACTTCAGAAAGATTCAGAGTCTGGTACTATCTTTTCGCAACCTCCACTGATTTCATTTAAACGCGACAGAAACATAGGCAACTTTTTGGTCAGAAGTTCATCTCTAACTAATGACCATCCTGGAACTTTAAAATGCGCTCGCTCAGGATGCAAAACTTGTCTTTCATTCACAACGCAGAGAAAATGTCGGGACCCAAGAGATTCATTAAGATCACTGATCACTTCATGTGCACCTCCGCCGATGTCATCTACTGCATAACTTACATTTAGTGCAAAGAGTTATAAATTGATGACACCTAAGTGTTAAGTGCACCAGTTCCATAAATTCCATGTACAAACTACGGAAATCATAAGTAAAACATCTAAATATTACTTCAATATTGAAGTTGAGATAAGACAGAGAACATTTGAAGATATGAAGAGAGCTTTTTTCATCCATAATATAGGGCGGTAAAAATAACGTAGAAAGACGTATTCACAGTGCAGAACGTGCACGTTCTTTATTTTGATTTTCCATGGGTAAAAACATTTGTTCTCACTATCCTTGATCATTATTATTAAAGTTTGTTTATCGCTCATCCTCGCACCCAAAGAAAAGGTTTTTTAGCTTGATGGAAATATTATTTGAAAATCATAAAAGTGATCCGGAGCTATCTAGAAAAAAGGGTTTTTAAGAATAGTTAATAGATAGCAAAAGGTGTTATCATCATATCTTAAACGTCGGCTACTCCTTTGCTTTTCCACAAAAGGTAGGTAAAAAGATTCTGGCCGCTAATGTAGCCGTTTGTCTCCCCCAGTCTCTGCTCTGTGGCTGGCTGGTGCTTTGTTCCTTTTTTTCTCCTCTCTCAGGATTCTTCATCTGGGACCCCAGTTTCGATTTGATTGCGGAATTATCCCAATTCGGCACATGTTTCAACGGTCGGCGGCATGACAGCGTGGAAAACCACTCTGATGAGACGTTTGAATTTCTAAAACTAAGGAGGCCGAAAACTGAGGGTTTACCTTCACTTTGATTTCCCTTACTTCGAACGAACTAACAGAGTGTGTAGATTGATTGTTACCAAGTTATTAACAAGTCATTAACGCACTTTTATGATATTCCAGATTCTTCTATTTTTATGCCTTCTTGTGTGACGAGGATTGTGAAATATTCCATGCACTCAGTTCAATATAGATTTTCTCAGCAACCACTATGGGAATATCGAAAAATTATCACATACTTTTGCAGCCCATCAACTGCTGATTTGCATCGTAATGTATTTCCAGCAATGCTACGAACACGAAGACAGGTACATGTAATTCATCGTTTATTTTCGGGTTTAAGGGCGTGTGCTCCCTTAAAATAATTTTGTCTAAGATTTTGTTTTATAATCTTTAAGGTGATAAATACTTTTCAGGGGTTTTATTGAAAGCGACGCGCGTACAGACCATTCTCGGAACACACTCGATCCCGAAGTTTCACAGTAACCTTAACGAGAATATATTGTAACATCAAAAAAATAAGAATATTCAGGCTAGGCGTAATTTTGCCACACTTCAGGTTTATACAATGTACAATATTCGTAGTAAAGGCATGCGAAGTGAAAACAGTCACACCTTTTTTTACAATACGCGCACTCAAATATATATCTCATAAACTACGTAAAGCTGTGGTTTGTAAAATTTGATAAATGGGATGTGGCCCCCAAAGAATGACGATTGAGCGAATTTCTTAATTTGTTTTGTTTTGTTTTTGTTTATTCAGCCAATGGGGTTGGGTAGTGAACTTGGTCACACAGCAAGATTTCTTGCCACTGTTAACAATTTTTATTTTATTAATTTAAAGCTATCAGAGTCTAGTTGGAAAGATAACCCTCACACAAATTTATCCGGGTTTTCATTTAGAGGAGGGAATCGCTTTAAAATTCGTAGAATGCAAGCAGTCAGTTAGCCACTGATTTGTTATTATGCTGAGAGCGCTTTGACAAAGGAATTTGCTCATGCGCTTATAGAGATACCCGCTTATAGAGAACATCCTTCGCACGATCCCTTCGCATTGTTCGGGGTAGCCTGATCCAGGTGTTTAGTTAGAAAAACGAAGCCCGGTAGTGAACTGCGCTTTAGCAGTAGCAAGGCGAGTAGCGGTGTCGGAGTGAAAATGTAAGGGAGGTTGGGTCGAGTCGTGTATACGACCCGACCCAAGCTTCCCTCGCTTTTTCACTCAGCTGCTCCGCTACTATGACGCTGATGACAAAGTTTAGCTTCGTTTTGCGAATTGAACTACTCGAAGCAGCTTGCTCCCTTCCTTAGCGACAGAGAACGATTACAGACGGTTGGGTGCCAACTAACTGAGTGGATATGCCTTACTGATGGATGAAACTTTCTACGTTCAAGAAATCAAAAATCTTATTAGTACTTACAAAGAATCTTGGCCAAGATCATGGCTAGATGTTTGTGTCAAGACTGAAGAATATCTCCAGTGAGTGAATCACACACATAGCTTTCTTGATTTCCACTCATTCACTTTTAATCTATTGTGAGAGTGGCAAAGTGTTTTTACGTGACGCGTGATTAAGTCCGGAATTATTATGTCACGCGTCAATTTTACCGAGAGGCATGCGTGATTCGTGAATTTAGCACAAGCACGAAGCGTGAGTTCCCTCCTTTGGAGTACTTATTGGTTAAGTAACTCCTTTCATTGCTCTAACTTAACTTTCAATGATTAGGATAGTATATTGACCATAAAGTAATTGTGATTAGTCATTTTACTTTTTACTCAGGAACGTAGACTTACAATACGATTGAGTGGAAAGTAATGTCCTTAAGTAACAACGTTATGTAACGCAATACAGTACACCTCTTGAAGCCAAAGTGACCCGTGAATATTTTCATTGCATTTCGTGAAAACCTCAAGATTTACCTGAAACTTTGCATACGAGAAGGTGTGAAGGTTCCCTTCTAAATTTGTGACATCTGAATCCTAAAGTTCGCGCGTGAAACGGGATCAGGACTCTGTTTTGCTATTCTCTATTGCTTTGGGAGTTTGTTTGTGGTCCAAACTGAGAAGATGTCAAGAATTCCACATAACCCAAATTTTATTTTGCATCCCTGATACAATTATTTAATAAAAGAAAAAATGGTGAAAACAGTACACAATGTAGTTTACCTTAAGGGGTCATGCTTTGTGTTGGTATAAAATGTGGTTTAATGAAATTGTTTCTTAGAGAAGATAATCGTTCTTCCTGATTTAGGGAACCCACGTTTAAGCAGAAACTGGCAATCCTAGATGTGGTGTCAAAACTGGTTTTTGTACAAACACATAAAGGTGACTTATCATCCGAAACCCAAGAACTGCTAAAACCACTCACAAGTATATGGTGTGGGATTTATTTTTGCTCCCTCAAGAATCTCAAACTTTGTCAGAAAGTAAAAAAGGTAAAACCAGCATATTCGTCTTTTTACATTTATTACTTGATAGTATCAATGATATTGTAAAATGTATTTAATTTAAAGTGTATTTGTGGTGTTTCTGTCACCTGCATGGCCCCTCAAATGCTTGTGTTGAAATACAGTTTGAAAAATCCATGTAGTAAAATGCTTATTCATTTGGTTAGGTTACTTCAGATTGGAAAGTATGTAGCTCTTGCCTAAAATACACTGTGGCTGTGCGCTAAATAATTTTTTATGTTGTAACTGAGTGGGAGGTCTGGATGGGAAAATGTTTCACTCAAAGGTCATTGGGCATGGACCCTGTTGTACTCAATCCATATGTGATGACCAAGATAAGTCAGTCAATTAGTAGTTATCATGTGGATATGGCTCTTTCTTTTCTTCCTTTTCTTCTTTCAGCCCACATTCTAGGGTTTCTTGTTGCTTTTTCCCATCCTGCTCATACCATCATGGATGAACCCCATACAGTGGATTTTGGTTTCCAGTCATGTCATACCCACAGAAATTTTGTACTCAGTCAATTCATGTTGAAATTCAGACAGTCTGTACCCAACTTGTGTTGCTTCAGACTGAAGCTGATGGCTGTTTCTTACCTTTTCCAACATTCAGTGACGATAAAAAAGAGTCAAGCGAGTAAGATGCAATTAAAGTTCTGCTGTGTATTCAGTTGTTTCTGACTATACTTTCAACAGACTTAACATGGAAAGCATGACAAAACTGACAGAGTATGATAAGTCCTAGCTTGTTACAAATCCACTGAGTATAAAACAGGTGTGAGTAGGAAATGACTGGTAACCAGGATTTTTGTCCAATGTTTTTCAATAACTGTATGGACGGAGCCTTATGTCTCATATGATAAATATGCGTATTGACTGAGTTGTAGGCCTGGATGCAGAAGTATTTGGCTTGAGGTCATGAAGTTTGGACTGAGGGAAGCGAGAGTAGTGGGGTCCATGTGTCATGACTGAGAGCCATATATTTTCTTGTCCAGCACAAATTAACTCTGTCAATCAGTGTTCTATAATAAGACCACTGTGTCTTAAAAATTGTGTTATTATATTTGAACTGAAACAGGTTGTGACCATTTTACAATAAAAACATTTACTTCATTGTTGTAAAAAAAAGATGAAACTCTCAATTAATTGAGAATGTAAAATATATCCTTATTTCCAATTTAGTTTAATGCGACATTTACAATAAGAATTCACATTCACGGAAAATGAAACTGAGAGGTGCAAGTGAGGGGCTGGACTGCTTTTTCTGGACTGGCTCACATCAATGTGTCTGCCTCTACACACTTTAGCTGTAATTATGGTTTTCTAAACATTCGCACAGGTGGTTAGGGCACATGACAATGTCATATATTTACAAAACTTTAACGATGTCATAGTACATTACTAAAAAAATTATAATTTCCCTTCCAGACATTTGAAATCCTTTGTGAGTTCAAGCACCATCATGCAAAATGTGAGATCAAAAGAAATATCCAGGAGCTTTTATTGTCTACTAGCAAAATTGTTTATCAAATTGAAGTTGGTAAGATACATTTTGTTTGTCTATGGATAACAGATGTGAATACATAGTAATTGACTATACCATCATGTACTTGTACTGTATATAAAGTTGTGTTTGATAGTTCTTATTTCAAGCATATTGTTGTAATGGATGTATGTGGGGAAGGTTTGCGTATAGGTGAGTTGCTGTAGTCTGCTGGACCTGAGACAGTGTTGGGCTGGCTTGCTGTTCTTTTAGGTCTTTTGTTTATCCTATTTAAATTCTTCATGATAGTTTTTCTCATTACAATTTCCTTATGGTGTTTTTGTTACTGGGTCCCTTAGCTTTTAAAGTTAAAATGTACTGTGTGTAAGGTTAATACTTACTGTATGTTTAACTATAGATATTTCAAGCTACAGAATTGCTCAGCAATATATACAGTTCATGGTGGATGCTATATTTCTAAATTATGGATGTTTTTTCTTATACAATGCAAAACAGTTTGTCAGCTCATTGATGCCTCTGCCTTTGGAAGGGAGTGTGTCGAAGAGCTCTTTGAAAACATTCTTACAACCATTTCACAATGCTTAGATTCCTTTTGTCAACAGGTAATAAAGAATGGACTAGTTACTGAGGCACTTGTAGCTTTTTGTAGTGGTAATGAATTTTAAGTAAGGCACTGTTTTGTAAATAAGTGATGTTTAATCCTTTCACTCACACATCTGTCCATACCCTTACCAAACCTGGTAATTTTCGAAATTTTCGAAAATTTCACCCACATGCCATGGTGCTGTCCTCAAGTTTTCCCTGCTTTGCTGAACTTCTTGAATCTCTATACATAACCAATTTGCTCTGGTGGTGCTTCACTTTCTCAATCAACATCCCATTAACCATTACATAATTACTAATGTTTGGAACTTCACACCCTGCATTCCTTGAAATAATATTGTAGTTTGTTCATTTGAATGTCATTTAGCAAGGATTCTGTCATGTTTCTCTTCCTAGTTGGCAGAAGATAGATAAACATTCCAGCCCACTTACTTCTGATCAACCCCAACCCTGGTCTTTTCCTGTAGAGATTTAGATTGCCAATCATTATTACAAACTGTTTGTCAAGATGCCCTTGCATACAACCAGCAAAGTTCATCCCTCATGATTAGAAAATAAGTAGTCTTACCAGTATAAAGTGAAGCACTAAAAGTTGTCTATTTGCCATCACCTATTACCAAGCTCTCCACCTTCATGTTCTTTGTGCCTCAAGAACACAAGCTGTGTAGGTTGCTCTGCAGCAACCCACATGGTATATCCCATCCTCTGCTCATTTGATATGATGCACCTTAGATTATCTTATTGGTTTCTGGTTAATAAAGAATACATGTAGTTTCAGAAACTAAAGAATAAAATGACAATCACTTTTAATTATTAATTTTATGTTACTTGACAGAATTGTGTAAAAAAACAATCCATCAATGTGGAATTGTCAGCTACCTGTAACTCAGGTATGACATGTCAAATCATTGTTAAGGTGAGTAGCAATTGAGGGGATACTTATCTCTTCAAGTAGACATTCTACTAATTGATTGTAACCATAATATTGAGTAAGGTTGAGAGTGATAAGAAGAATTATCTAGATCAAGACTTGTGTAATCTGCCAAAGATGCAGGCTAAAGTGGATAACACAAATTACATCTATTGCCCTTGTTTCAGTTCTTACTTTCATGTATACATCTATCTTCTGGTTTCTACACATTTCTCTCAATCCTGCTAAAAACATGGGTTTCCATTTCACCGAAAAGGGAAGTTGAGAAAAAAGTTATGTTTCCTGAAAAACTAAGCATAGTTGGGATTTCTCTGTAAGAATTTTTATTTCAGTTGATATTTATTTGTGGAACCATGTCAGTGTGTGATGTTTGAAAATGATGCCAGCAAAAATTAAGTTGCTTTCCTCTAATTAAAGTCAGTCAGAAATTGAGCTTGTGAGACTAAAGTTTATGTACTATGTGTGTGTTTATTGGTGTTATAGGCTGTTTTGAAGATGTTCCAATACTTCCCAATTAAAACTGGTTCCCTGCTTCATAGTTACAAGGCTACATCAAGTGAAGGTAAACAGAACTACAGTATTGTGTAAAAGTTATGCAAACTTTTGTAGCACAAAAGGGTCGAATACGTTACCATTTACCAAACACAACTCAATTAATTTACCAAAACACAAATCAATTCACCCAAACAAAAATCAATTTACCAAAACTCAACTTAATTTCTCAAAACAAAAACAATTTTCCCAAATATGATTCATATTCCCAGAAACAAACCAATTTTGCACAGCACAAACACAAATCAAATGACTGGGTGCCAGCACCATGAATATCAGAGAGAGTCTGAATTTTCCACAGCTAATGTGTTGGTTCCTTGGTGTTTTTGTCACAGGCTGTGGTGTGTGATAGGAGGTGATATTACAATTCAATATCTGGCCAATCCTCCTCTGATCATATCCATGGGTTTCAATATGTTTCAGGGTTTTCTCTCTCAAGAAAAATGTGAATGTTATTTTCTGCTTGTCTGAGGCAATAAATAAGAATGAGAGGTAATTCTTAAGGACACAATAGATCTTGCAGCTGTCCTTCATGAAAAATAATGCTACTGCATGATGTGGAGTGGTGTTGTCATGGGAGCTCCAGGAGTGATAGGAGACAGGAGATATGTTTCTTGGAAAACTATGTTCTCTTTAGAATCTTTCTCCATTTACATTCTAGGTTTTTATAACAGCAAAGATCATATGGTGCAACTAAAATGCGTGATTGAAATTCAAGAACCAAATCTCTTGATATGTTTTACAAGGCTTGTCACACATTGGGAGACTGCAGAATTTAGATTGACAAAATGTTTATGTAAACAACTCTCCCTCATTTCTATATTTTATTAAAATTTTTCTTGAAAACATTGTAGGCAAATTAAATATTGTGCAGATAAGTGTCTTAGTGTTTGTGTTTTAGTTTGGTAGAAAATAAACCTATACTTAATTAGCATCTGCTATCTGTGGGTTTAAGGAATATTTTGTTTGTTGAATATGAGAAAATAAGGTGTGAAAGTGGGTGAAAGTGTTTTGTTTAATTGGTTTGTGTTCTTGGAAAAACGGTTTTTGAGGAATTAATTTGTGTTTCAATAAATTGATTTGTGTTTTGGTCAACTGATTTGTGTTTTGCTAATTATTTTTTTGATTTGTGTTTGGTAAATTGATTTGTATTGGACCCTGTAAGGCCCATATAGAAACACCTGTGAAGGAATTCCAAAAAGTGTCCTAGCTTTTCAAGAAAGTTTGCACAAAGGAAAATTTTCACAAACTCTCCTTAATTTTCTACTGCTATCGGCACTTTATAATTCATGCAAACACAGTATTTGTGAAGCTAAACTACTCTACAACAAAAGACATGGAGTTTCCCACTTTGATCGAGTCTCCAAGTGAATTGCAACCTCAACAATCTTGTTATTTTTTTATCATCTCAATGCATTTCTTGATCCAACCATTTTCTCTCTACATTTAACTGCATTCATGCTAACAATTTCAAACTAAACAAGAAACTGCTCCTTCTTAAGCAAGGCCTTCATTGAGCTCCTGCTTAAGCAAGGCCTCCATTGAGCTAGAATATTTATGAGAACCATGGCAGCTGAGATTGGCTGATACCTGAGATGTAAATGAAATTTGTGCTTTTTGTTTGCATTACTTTTGAACAATACCGTATAGTTAACAAAAAACTCAGAGAGCTATGCACAACCCACAGAAATCATCAGCAGTTCATTTTACTTGTTTTCTGTCAGCTGTAATGTAGCATTATTACAATGATTATGATAATAAAAAGTATGTAATTATACTTAAGTAGAGTTTGTTTTGTCAGGATTAAATGTGCACACATGAATATTATCATGAAGAGCTGTATCTTCTTTAGGGGCCATAAACATTTGCATGTATGTGTTCTTTTTGTACTGTGGTGAAATATACATGTATCTACCATGCCACATTGAGGTTGTAAACATGATTGTTTTTACCCATGATTACTTTTGAAAATTCAAAATGATTTTAATGTAAGTTATTGTGATTTTGTCACAATTGATTGCTGATGGAAGTTTAAAAATGTATTGTTATGATGTCAGAATCTGAAGAATTACTTTACATGCACTGTGCTTGTACAGGTTATGGACAGTTATATGTTATTAGTACTCTCATTTCATTACATTATTTATTGCAGAGAAATCTCTCATGGAAGTTATCATCAGCAGCCTGTGGATGATATTATTTTGTGAGGTACATGTACTTGCATCCTAATAAGGATGAATGTACAGTTGTATGAGCTAGTCCTAATACATATGTAGTAATTTATTGAGTAGTTTATAATTGTTTAGGAATGTACAAATTTGGTTAACTTTCTGAATTTCTTAGCTCCTAACTCTCTGTGGTGGGTTGTGAAACTGGAATGACGTGGCGTTTTGTCTGGGCTAGGTGACTTGTCAGATACTTTTTGTAAATTTCAAGCAAATATGTTGAGCATTGGGCTCAATTTCCAGATTGGGAAGTCATGATGTTAGCAGTCTGACCCTCTATCCCAGAAGGATTCCCAACTGCACGTTCACAAGTAACAATATATACTATGAAAAATTTTCAAATACTTGTGAAATTATTAAGGTCACAAAAATTAAAGAACATAATTACCAACTAATGAAGCTGTTAATTGTTCAACACATTCTTCTAGTTAGCACCTTAAGGAATGTTTAGAGAACAGTAGGGAGAATATGCATACAGAAGTTAAGGTGTAACAGGTTAAGCAATTGGACAGTTTTAACTGGTGACACAATTTTAATGAATTTCATCATTTTTACCCTTTTAGCTTTGTTAACTTTTCTTTCTAGTTGGACAATTTTAAGTAGTTGGACCTCATTAGCTCATTTCTGCCTATTGCACCATTGTATGTGGTTAGACCATTTTAACCAATTGGGACATTTTACCCAGTAGGATCATTTTATCTATGAAGATCATTGTAAGGGGTTAGACTATTTTAGGCCATTTTTACCAACTGCATCACTGGACCAGTTGGCCAGTTGGACCGTTTTCCTAGGTTGAGCATTTTTTACCAGTTGGACCCTTTAAACTAGTTAAATAATTTTATTAGGTTGAAAAATTTTAATCAGTCAACCCATTTTCTTTACTTGGATCACTTTCACCAGTTGGACCATTTTTCTAGTTTGACCATTTTAACCAGCTGGATCAATTTTTACTGGTGAGACTATTATAAGCAGTTAGACCATTCATTTGACCAGCTGGAACTAGTTGGGCCATTTCTCCCATTTAGATTGGACCATTTTAATCAGTAGGACCATTTTATCTAGTAAAATCTTTGAAACTAGTTTGACCATTTTATCTAGTGTAACCATTTTTTGCAATTGAACTATTTTATCTAGCAGTTTGACCATTCCTTCTAGGTAGACCATGTCTTTAAGTTGGACCGTTTTCTCTAGCTGGACCGTTTGGAGCAGTTAGACCATTCTATCTAATAAGATAATTTTAAGCAATGGACCATTTTAACCAGTTGTCCCATTTTGTCTGGCTAGGCCATTTCTACCAGTTGTACAATTTTCTCTAGGTATACCATTTTAACCAAATGCATCATTTTAACCAGTTGAACCATTTTATCTAGTTAGACCATTTTAACCAATTGGACCATTAAGCAAAATTTTCCCTTTTAACCTTTTAAAATCCTTTTAAACATCTAACCTTTTTTACTGGTTGGATCATTTTAAGTAATTAGACCATTTAGTTAGATCAGTAGGACCTAGTAAGACCACCTCTGCTAGTTGACCATTTTACCAGGTGGACCATTTTAACCAATTAGACTATTTTAACCGTTTGGACCATTTTATCTAGCCAGACTATTTCTGCCAATTGGGACATTTTATCTACCAGTAAGACCATGTTAACAAACTTTACCCTTTGAACCTTTTAATCCCTTTTAATCATATTAACTTAAGTAGTTGGGCCATTTAGTTAGACCAGTTTGAGCTACTTAGAACATTTCTGCTGCGAATTGGACCATTTCATCTAGAGAGACCAGCTAAACCAATTGGACCATTTCATCTAGTTAGACAATTTTAAGCAGTTTTTAACCTTTTTAACCACTTTAATCATTTTAACCTCTTGGACCATTTTATATAGTTACACCCATTTAAACAATTTACCCCTTTTCAACCTTTTTACTGGCCGGACCATTTTCACCAAACTTTTTTAACTGTTTGAATCTTTTTACTTTTTGGACCATTTTATCTGTATTTTCACTTATTTGAAAAACGGATATGGCAAAATATGTTTGGTTAAGGTCTCCTGGAGATAAAATCGAGTTTTTATTTGCTTTCCCCTGTAAATTAAAAAAGTTAGTGCTGAAACACCAGATGCGAGGGCCCTACACTCAAGCTAGCAAAATATCATTTGCATCCATTTTTTTGGTCTCGTAGTACCATGGGAACGGGTGAGAGAGCGCATTACACAGTTTATTTCTGATTAAAATTGATCAGACAACAGTGACAACAGACCACAAAGTACCTGTGGAAGGGTCTGGTCCATTATATATATATATATATTTTTTTTAAAAGAATGTAGGAGAGACTAGTGTATTTCTTGAAAGTTTACTCTAACTCCATGGAAGGAACAAGAACAAACAAGAGAGCCCTTTAAGTGAGACATCAGTGGAAAAAAGGATTGCAAAAGGAAATGATTTCCATTGCTAGAAGTAGTACTGGTAGTACCAGTAGTTTTAAACACAGAATTAAAGTGGCCATGAGCCATTGTTCTCAGGACATCAGTTCTGACATATTATCTGTGCATCCTAGTTTTGTTGTTAAGCAAACCTCTTTTAAACATCCAACTATATTTATGATTTATGATGTTTTGGTTTCTTTTTTGAAATCCTTCTTTGCACCACTCAGATTTTCCTCTAATGAACAACAACTTGCAGTTATAGTCAGCTTGATTTACAGTGAGTTCTTCTGGGGGTGTGACTCCTTTATTAAAAGCACTTTTCTGTCACCGGCAGTACTTATAAGATATGACTGCTTTGTTGAATAATTACTTAAACTGGTTAATGCGATAAATCACATTAAGGACCTTTTTTTAACTGAAAAATTAAGTTTATCATATGAGGGTAATATACTGTAAAAAGTTTTTGAATACGGTACTATGCATGTAGTTCATTATGCAATGATATTGGTAGATTGCAGAAACAGAAGTAGTTTGATAAAATAAATACTGATATGTAAATGTACTGTAAAGTATAGGGCTACTTGATGAAAGAGATGAACGCTTTTTCTTGTCTGACAGGCAAATTGAGATTAAAGCACTAACCACAGGCTTCACAAGGCAATTGACAAGAAAGAAAACTATCCAAATTTGTTGCTAATTAATAAAAAAGGGTTTGTGTGATTACAGTCACATTTACTAAAGTAAGATGATGTTATTAAAAGTGGAATTAAAGCAACTAGCCCTTCTCTAAAAAGACAAATAGTTTTTGATTTATCATGCATAGATCTGTCATTACAGACTTGGAGTGTACACCAGAATGCTACATAACATAACAAAATAATTTCCATGTTCCTACTTAAAACAACACTGAAAATATTATACAGTGTTGTGCCAGTTGGGGTAACCATCTCAAAATGAATGAGAAGTGTTTGTTAATGCAGTTCATGTTTTATGCAAGTCCATATTCTGCACTCACTGACCATTTTCCATGCTTTGATTTATTACATTTTCAAGACCTTGCCGAAGGAATGTACATATTTATGTGGGACAGCAACTGGCCTATTCTTAAGCATAGCTGCTGATCAGAATATCTGTACCAAACAAACTATTTCACAGTTACTAATTGCATCAGGTAGGTACTCTGGTTGTGTAGGCATATGTTGAGTGAGGAGGCAGCATGCAGTTTGTATGCCAATGAAACTTGAATTGGAAAGCACTTGCAGGAACCTGTGTCTACAAGGTCCTGGGTTCTGGTAAATTTCTTGAATCCTGAAAATTCAAGTATGCTAAGCTTTCAGTCACAAGAAACATACACCATATTGTGTTTGTTGGTAGACTTCTCATATTATTATATGAATCTTTTATTTTGGCTGCTACAGTGGTGGATTGATTCAATTTAATTACTGCTACTAATTTATAAACATTAGCAAAGAAAAGCTTATTTATATTATGTTTAAACTTGATATTTGTGGTAAAACAGTTATCTGAAGCAGATAGGAATGAACTTTTTGCGTCTTATCCTCCACATCTGTATGTATTCTAATAAAATTTGAATTAGATTCCCAATGATTGGTATGAAATATCTGATGGCATGAAAAAATTCCATCAGTAAACAACTGTCCAAACATTTTTCTCATCAAAGACTTGGTACGAGAATATTGTTTGGAAACAATTTTTTTTACATGATGTGATCATAATTCACCTGTATTTGTTTTCTTAGCATGTTAAGATTTAAAGTATTGAAATATTTAATGCACCAGAGAACAGTTGCAAATTTGAGGAGAGAGCCAATACATGTATTGTACAGTGATTATGAAATTTAGAAGAGCCATAGGGAATGGGAGGTTATAGGCAAGTCCTTATGTATACTGTTGGGGCCAATATTATTTTCCAGAACAATACCAGGTCCATCATAGGTACAATATACAGCCTTTTAGGTATGATTAAGCTAAATTAATACTCTAATTCTTAACATTGTGGAAAAAAAATTTTGTAGCCTCTTACATGCAGATAATTATAGGTAAGTTTTATGTTACCTTGCTTCTTGGAAAGTCAAACTAGAGGCATGACAAAGCTATGATACAGGGCATGTCTGAAACTGTATTATTTATACAAGTTGGTAGGAAATTTAAGCAACACTAACCCCAACCCTGAACCCTGCCTGAACTGGAACCAAATGAAATGCTAAACATCCAATTGGATTTCACATATGCTTTTTTGAATAGGGGCATCTCTTGCAAAGAACCAAGCTGTACACGACCTTCACTCAGTGGTGATTGGATGTTTAAAAGTGAATCTACCATTACCTGAATACAGACCCATCGTGCAGCTAGCCATTGTAGTGGGAATCATTAAATCACAAAGAGAACAGATACTGCTTGAGGTGATGCACTAGATGGTTGCTATTTTTTTGTCTAAAAGGATATTTGAATTTTTTTCCTTTCTTTACACAAACTTCTTATTTGATAAACAATTCTTGTTAATAGTGATGGTAATCATAAATTTAAGGAATAAACTACACTTTCGATTGGTTTACCAACATAATAAATCACCCAGGATGTTGGGAGAACTTATTGTGCTTCTGATATTGGGTTATTTTCTCAATTATTCAAGTGCAATCCCTTGTTTCTTATTTGAGTGGTGAAAATGTTTTCAATCTATCCTAAGCAAAGATTTGAATGCTTTTATTTATACTTATAATATGGTGAAGAGGCATAATGGTGGAATAACAATGTAAATGTAGCTGAGAGGATGCTGGAGAAAAAGCAATATTTTGACAATTTCATCAACTTTATTACTACTGCAGCTAGTGTAAGTTGGAGGGGTCAACTACGAACCGCATTCTTCCACACTTTTTGGAAGCTTGGCTCAAACTTGAAGGAAAACTTAAATATCCGGTTTTCAGTTCATTCACTGTAATGTTACAGAATGTGATGAACAATCTGATAATGGTGCATTTTAATCACAAATACTTTACTGTTATAGTATAGTATAGTTACAAATTTGTTTTAAATACATTTTGTTGTATACCACAAGAAGGTCTCAACAAATTGAAAGTGATGGCCAATTTTGTTTCACCTGCAATCTTCCAACACATTGAAGAGTGTATTAGTTATGAAAAGAAAGTGGAAGGTTTACAGACTCTGTTTGTGAAGCCTGGAAATGAAATTTATGCCCATCATATCCTTGCCACAAGACACCAACAGCCTCATAAAAGACTAGACAAAACCCCTAAGTTCTAAAGATGCTCAGCCAGGATAGTAACTTCCAAAATGTAACACCTGCACAGTATTACAAAGTCCCCTTCAATCTGTCAGAGATTATTGGAGAATAATACACTTGAATTAAAAACCATGTTTGATTAAGCTTAGACTCTAAAATCAGCCGTGTGTAGTCCTGAATCGTAAAAGGTTCCTTCTTCATCTGTTAACCCAGCAATTCCACAGACCATTACTCATGCTTTGGAACAAGAACCAAATCCAAACACTTTGGCTGCAATAGGGACTGAAGGCTCTACTTGCTACTTCTATGGAAACAATAATGATCCTTGCTTTAAGAGTCTATCTCATGATACAATTTGCTCAAAATGTCATGAGAGAGTTCACTTTGCAAGGGCTTCCTTTGGACAGACTGCCAGTAAAAAAAACTTGTCTGCTGTAAAGTCATAAGGAACTAATGAAATTGATGGATTTCAAGTCAAAGCCTTGTTCGAAAAAAGGAGTTGTGAAAGTTTGATACATATAAATTTCGCAGACAAAGTTTCCCTGACAGTTTATCCTTTATCTGGTGTGGTATCCATGGCTACTCCTGCATCCAGCACAGTTAAGGTCAAGGGAACATGTTTGGGTAATCTTTCCTATCAAGGGCACAAGTACAGTGGTTTCAAGCTGTCTTTCCTGCCTGGCCTTTGTGCTTACCTCATACTGGGTCTCAATTTCCAGTCTTAGCACTTAAGCTTTGTGTTCCACCCCTGTCTTTCTGTGGTTTTAGGAAACTAAATGTTGAACCTCCTGAGCCACTAGGAAACATGTCAGCAGATTGCTATTTAATTACCACCAAGTCTCAATGATACAGCCAAGAAGATTCTGCCTTCATTGATGAGGAAGTGAAAAGGCTTTTTTGTGAATGTATAATAGAACCAAGTTGCTCACCATGGCGAGCTGTGGTAAATAAGGAAGAAAATCTCAAAAAGAATTTCGCAATTGATTATTTGTTGACCATCAATAGATTTACTCTCCCTTGATGCTTTTCCTTTGATGAAGATTAATGATATGGTAAATGAGATCGCCCAGTACCAGGTGTTTAGCACCATTGATCTCCAAGGAGTTTATCATCAAGTGCCACTTAAGGGTGAAGACATACCTTACACAGCCTTCAAAGCTCAGAACAACTTGTATCAGTTCACTTGTGTGCCATTTGGCATCACTAATGGTGTGGCTTGTTTCCAGAGAGAGATGTTGAAGTTTGTTGAAGAGAATGATCCTGAGGCAGGTCATAAACAGTAACAATGTCAATAGCTTCATGCACATGTATATACATGTCTACATACTGTAGTCATCCTTCTTAACCACCCATTTTGTTTTCCTTGTTACATGAAATTTCATGTCATTTCATTTCATTGAATTCATGACTCGAGCGTTTGACATTTAAGGATGTAAATCATTTTCAGCAAGACATAGAACCTTTTGTGTTGATTGTTTTCAGATAGAAGATCAAGAGGGTACTACTTTGATAGAAGGTCTCCTATTTCAGACAATATACAAGCTTTGCAAAGAGAGCAAATGCTCACCTGTTCATTATGTTGCTTTTGAAGGTACATAACTAATATTTCCAAATGTAGTACAAGATAGTTGTGAGTTAGCTTCTTTGATGTAGCATCTACAATGTAGATTAATCAATTTCCCTTAGACTGACTCTGAATATGACCTTGGTATGATATTTGGTTGAAACAACTAATTTGCTGATGAAAAACTTCAATAGTGGCAAATGAAAAGATTCAACAGATTGCTTGACATAGTAGTTTGGTAAAGTGCCTTCTGTCAACCCCCTCTTAAACTCTCTAACTGACTAAAAGCCATTAAAATTACTGGAAATATGTAAATCGTTAACAGAAAGAATATTGTGACCAAGTGGAAATGAATAATACAAACTTGAGGCTTAAACCTTACGGATAACCTTAATGTTTTCAAGTTGGTGGAGCATGTTGTTGATTTCATTATTGTCTTACTTCCTGGTTGTTTCAACTCTGTGGAAGGCAACTGTTTACGGCTTTTGTAAAAGTTTAAATGGGTTTTTCCTTAACTCTTATGTTACTTTTTTCTGAAGCTCTGAAAATTCTGGTGTCTTTTGCAAAGCACAGCAGTTATCTTTTTTCATAGTGCAGGTTCCTTGCAAGGTAAATCTACTGTAAATATCCTCTTATATTTTGGAAATATTTATCTTTTTAATTCCTTGCAGCCATGAAGCAGTGGCTTGTTTCCATTAAAGCTCTTTTAAAAAAGAAACAACTGTACAAAAGTGTCCACTGGAGGACAAAATTGGATTCAGACCATACTTGTAATCTCATTGGTCTTATCTGGGAGAACTTAGAAGATTTTGTAAGTTGTAGCTTCCCAAAGTTAAGGTTAACCTGAGAGAATCTTTAACAGCTTCTTAGAATGCTGAGTTCTGACTTAAAGAAGTCTATTGAAAACATCAGATCATATCTTTACTGTGACTACACCATATTTGAAAAGGTGCATTCTTAAAATGTTTTCCATTCACAGTAGTGCAGAAAGCTAACATTTTCAATTTGTTCTCATGATTGATTTCCTAATTACGCAGTTGTATTGGTCTGAATTATAGCTAGTAATTCTGAAAAGTAATTCCAGGCCTACCTTTTTGTTTCATATTTAAATTTTAGATAGAAGGTGTTCCAAGCTTGGCTGTGACATTGTTTGATCTATTTCTCCAATGGCACAAAGATGAAGAAATTGCAAGAAACTCACTGGATGAGCAAGTAATTAGGTCTTGACTGGGTGCAATGAAAAGTAACACAAAAAGCTTACTCTTTGAGGAGTTTTGGAAGTATTTAGTTTAATTTCAGGAATGTAAGCCTTTTATATTTGGCAATTTCTTCTTTTCTGTACCCTTTAAAAATCTAAAGCTAGCTCTCACTTAGTGGCACTGATGTAAAAATGAATTGAACAAATTTAAATTGTTGAGTGTGCTAAATTTTAAAATCATAGAAATAAGTTGGAATCAGGGAACTCTGTTTTTGGGAACTTCAGTGGTCTGAGTTTTTGAGACATCCAGAGGTTAGAGTTTTGCTAGGGTCTAATGTCTGAGTTATCAAGGTCTGAGTTTTGGTGACACCTGTCTCAACTGTATCTAATGTTAACCCTAGGATAAAATAAAGTACAAAAAGTGTTGTAACATTTTCAATGATAAAATCAAAATTATGTTGTTTATTTTTTTTCAGGTGTATAGGTCACTAACACTAAAGGTTCTAGGACTTCCCTGGCATGTGAAGGGAAGATATGGATTGCTCTGCTCCCTTGTCCACCATGTTGAGCTCCAGAATGTAAGGTCATCTATGCGAACCCTAAAGTATTGTGGGTGTAATTTACTGACCACCAAACCAAAACTTTAATGCTTTTGTGAACAATTTCATAGAAATGATAGTTAAAATCTCAAAAAAATAAAATAAAAAAATAAATGTATGGTTTTGAGTAAGTGATTTCAAACTGAAGGTGATGAATAACCAAAATAGATAATGCTGCAGGAGAAGTTTTGGCTGCATGGGCATCGTTTTCATATGTTCTTGCCTTTGATATTGTTACTATCCATGATAACATCACAAAAAGCAACTCTCTTTGACAATATTTATACCAACTACTTTCCACACAGATATCAAACAACTGGCTTAATATGAAAGAAATTCTATTTGTTCTGACTACATCCCCACAAGCATACCTGGATATAATTATGGTAGCTTTATTTAAAAAAATTTGGACATAATTTTTTTGCTCAAAAAATCAAAGGAAATCAATCAGCTTAGGATGCCCTGGTTATTCAGGAGTTCCTTTAAATCAGTAAAACATAAAAACTGTATATTAAGCAATAGCTCGGCTCTGTTCCTTCTCCTTAAAATACAGGATGGTATGAAAAATCTTGGAGAAAATTAAACCAATGTTTGGAAATTGCAAAAAGATTGTGTTATGACCAGATAAGAAACTAAACAAATCTATGAGCAACATGAGAGCTAAATGGAGGTTGCTCAATCTTAATTGAGGACTTCCTCCTTTAATTGTCACCAATGTCCTCCTACTAGGGAAGGCTTACACCAAGCAAAATGCCACTATTAGCCAAATTTCCATGTATTGTGTATGTGCTATGACCTTTTAAATGTATGTCAATCAAATCCACCTTTGGCTGCCTTGTACCGGTACCTTGTCCCAGCATGTGTCTGTAAACAACTTACATTTTGTAAATTTTATCACATATTCCAGGTGGAAGCCTACATTGGCAACAGCTAATGAAAGAGAGCACACTATAATATGCCCAAGAAAGCCTATGAAATATGACCCTTTTCTCTTTACTTGATGTATTTGCACTAATTTGAAGAATAGACATGGCAAAATTGGAGATAAATTGGAGTTTGAGTTTTGCTTTGATCTACACTAACATGTGTAGTATGGCAAGAAGGGGTGTCCAAGTGCCCCACCCAACCTGCCTTTTTCAAAAAATAGTCTTTGTATGGGTAAGCATTCCTATGTATTCTGCAGTGATATTGCTTACAGTGCACCACATTATACACTTTCAAGGTTTCTGTGAAGTTGTTCAGAACCCCTTTCTCCTGATTGAATGCCTGGCTACTTATGTACAAACAACCTAACCATTGAACTAAAAATTTCCCATTGCCTTTTTTGATAGAACTGTTATTTTAGTTTTGTAAAATTGTTTGTGTGTTTACTTTGTCTCTAGATTTTGGAGGCCCATCCTGCCATTTTGGATGACCTGATTCGCTGCTTGGGATTCAATCAGCTAACCTCTGCCTCCACCAGTGCTTTCAAGGCTTTTCTTGAAAAGGGGAGGTACATGATGCAATTTCTAACATTTTCAACATAGTCAAAAGATTAGATAATTTGTTTTTATTGCTTGAGTTGAAAATGTAAATGGGTCACCATAAAGAGTTTCTGAAGCTGATATTCAAAGAGTCAGCCTTCATCATTCACTCTGACAAAGGGCTGATGTTTAAAAAAAATTGTTTAAAAATAATGTTAGCCTCAGAAACTTTTATGTTTGCCAATTTACATAATCAACTCAATTAACAATTAATCAAGCTATCTTGTAATACCCCCAATGACGCAACACTACAGTTTCTCTTGAAATGTGCGCCTTCATTCAGAAAATGAGAATTCACAAGTATATGTAAGTACTTGGTAAAACAAGGCATCATTCAAATTTCCACTGAAGAAATGTTAAGATTGGTCTTTAGACCTTTTGTTCCAAGAAAAAATCTCAGACTTATATAGAACCCTGGAGGTTGAGAAATATGAAACTTCTTGAGCAAAATGGTAGTCACTTTGTGAAGTGCTACAGTGTTTTATATCATTATGTTTATAGTGGCAAATCCTTGGAAAAGCCGGTGGCTTTTTACATGGGACAGTTTCATTGATACAGTATCATGCTACTTAATGACCAGTTGCTTATAACGTTAATTTCTACAGAAACAGTTCAGGGAGTGAGCAGCTTGCTCAAAAGGTAGAGTTTCTCTTCTCCATATGTTATGCTTGTTGAGTGCAGCACACTAAAACTCTAAAGTAGCCTAGTGGGCAAGTGCAAAAATTGTTTGGCAAGGAGGTCTTTTTTTCTTTGAGAAGAACCAATTATTAGATATCTGTTTCATGATTGATATCTGGAAAGATAATTGAGATGGATAGGTTAAGAGATAGGGACAGCACAAGTAATTCTGGACCCTGCGTTAGAAATTCTTATTTCTCAATATTGTGGCTGTCTGTTTTTTTTTTGCTTGCTTTTGCCTCATGCTCATGTGCAGCTTAAGCATGTGTGACTTGGATAAAAGAAAATAGAAAGGCTTGCTGTATTCAGAATCTGGATGTTGATCTGATGTTAGTGAAGTAAGAGCCTTCCAGCCCCATTTTGATAAGTTATGTTGTTGCCTATAACCTTTCAGCTACAATTCTAAGCAGAATGAGGAAAAGACAGTCCCTAGTGTCAATAAAGAGTAAGAACAGTAAATTTTCAACTGCTATAAATTTGCCTCCTAAAGAACTGATTCACAATTTGTTTAATAAAGATAAAATCCATTCATGTGATCATTTGCATAGAAGACTTTTTTGCTGCACCTTAATTGAAATTTGGTAAAATTATTGCAAATATAAACTCAATCGTGTACATTATATTGTGTCAGAAGCATCCCAAATTCTGATTAGTTCCCTGACACTGCTTTAGTCCTTGCATTGTTCAGTGTCAGTTTGGTGTAATGGAGATATAACCATTTTTGGTCTGTGGCATCATACTTCTTCTTCAGTTATGTTCTCTGATATTTTCCAGGATGTGTCTGTGTTCATGCAAAATTGGGAGAAAAATTGGAAAGCAAAATTGTTTTTTGCCTTGAAAAGTAAAAACAGGTTTGTTTAAGTAAGACTGACATTCCAATAATAGTTTTATTCCCTTTCTTCACTATGTGTTATAAAAGGTAAGTAAACTTTTAAAATTGATGGACTTGCCACAATTATTTTGGTCACAATTATTCGTGTTTGATTGTAAGCAAGCACAAAGCTGGTGAGAATGAATTAACATATGAATAAGCCTAGTCATTGCACATGTAGAATTCAACTCAATGGATTGAAATATGACCCATTCAGAGAAATAATTTTCATATGCGTGTTGTTGAAAGGTATATAGTAACAATTAACATATGACTCTACTTTACTAAAATACTTGAGCAGCTGTTGTCATGTGTATGTGTGCAAGATTTATTTGATCAGCAGCGATGTTTCATTCAAATGGCATGTATCACTCTGATATGTGTCTCCCTTTAGGTGTTTTCATCAATATAAGCTGAGACTTTGTATTCTTTACTGTGTCAACAGATTGCTGCAGAAGAATGCATGCTTGTATTGGCTGCCATGTGTACTCAAGTTGTTTCCTGAATATGTAGCCTCACTGCTAAAGGAACTTAGAGATGCATGTCATAAAGCTGAGAACAGGACGACAGTTTTCCTGGGTTTTCTTTCAGTGTTGAAAGTTGGTCGTTCATTAGCTCTTTTACAAGTAGAGGACATAGTGAGTGATAGAATGTTACATCTAGAACAGTCCCTTTTACTGTTGGAGTATATTGAATGTGATGCATGCTTTCAACTTTGGCAAACTTAATCTCTATTTCTAAGAGAGTTTTTTATTTTCACTATTTATGTTCTTATTTATGAATGTTCCACATTTTTATTATTGCCTGGAAAAATAAGTACATTGTTGCCTCAGGGGTTCATTGATTTGATTTCTTGTGTACATGGTTTTTTTTCTTCACCAATCCTCTTAACAAATGAATTGACATGCTTACTTGGTTTTTAGTGAAGAACTTGTATAAACATTATGAGAATGACACAAATTCCTGGTTGCTTTTTTTTTTTTTAAACAAGATTGATTTTTACCCTCTACATCAATACACTCTTGCCCAAGCCCAACAACACAGATTGGCCACCATTTGGCAGATTTTCTCTCTGAAGCTTTTTATAAGAATTATAACTGCTTTTGGAACAGAATAAGACAAACAGGGCTTGATGACATTGTGAGCAAAATACTTTTACCTGCACCGGTTACTTGCAAAAATGAATTTTTGGATGATTTGAGATATGCAAAGAGTGGACAAAGTCTCATTTGATGGCTCTAAAATAGGTTTTAGTAAGATTGGCCGTACTTGATTTCCAATTAGAGCCTGCTATTGTATCCCCAGTTTTTAGGGAATAGGCTTTGATTCTAGTGCATCTCAAAGATACTTCAATGTTCTAGAGCTGTAACCAGCAACTTGGTCACAATTAGCTTTTGACATCATCCACATGTAACATAGTGTCTTGGAAATAAGATAGCAGTGATGGAAAGTTTTGTTCATATATTTTCTTTCTCCATTTTTAAACTTCCTTGACATGCCTCAGTTAGCGCACTGTATGGAAGGGACTTTCCTCCTTGCACACTATTAACCTTGTCCCATGTTGTAAGAAGTGATCCGTTAAAATTGGTAGAATGAGTTATTGATTGACTGTTTTTGGTTTCGTCAGGAAGAGAATTCTCTTAATGAGGGTCTGAGTCACTTACAAAACGACGTTAAAGCTACTGCACTGTCCGTGATCAGTTTCACACCAAAGACAGCAGGTACGTGTGAGATACACCTCAAACATATCAGGCAATGTAGTTTCTCTGATAATCCTTGATCACATTAGATGCAGCTTATACCAGAAACAACGTGAACAGTCAAGGAATTCTTCTGCCGAACAGCTTTTTATTGATTGTTTTTCTTTTATTGTAAAGTAGTGACACGTTTATGGAAAGGTGTTATTTGATTAATATAAAGGTGTTAAATAGACTCAATTTCCACTGCTTTATTAGGTGCGGACTTTATCCCTTTAAGCCTTTGATGTAGGATCTCAGGCTGGTCGTAATCAAACTAGACACCAGCCCACTGAAACAACTTACTTGAGTTGACTGCCTGTGGGTCATGTAGATGACCTTATCATTCTCTTACTGAGGCTGCTTGTTTCTCGTGGATGGGAGATAAAGGCTTAAAATTGTCTTTGAGTGATTAGTTAACAATTACGGACGAAAATGGGGGTGAATAGTGGTGGATATTTGCCTGACCACTTTCACCAACACTGAGGTAAATTATTGGTTTAGTTCATACCACACAGAAACTAAATTTTTATCTGTCAATATACGCAAAATGGTCGGAAATTTAATTCTCAACGAGCAATTTTGTAGAAGTGAAATAGTACTTTCTGTTCACTTCTGAGCCAGCCAATCAGCGCGTGAAAAGCACTATTCACTTGTATGGTATATTTTATTCTTGTTGTGCGTGGACTTATTTGAAAAGTTTTTCTTCTTACTACCCTCTTCCTAAGTCAGTTGTTGTTTGATTTCACATGTAGAGCCCCTTTCAACAATGGAACAAAGGCTTCTAAAGGATTTTCTTCCTAATAATTTGAATATAGCGTGTGCTCCATTCAGGCAAACACTTTTCGTGTCTATGAAGAAAGTACTTGGAAGAGTTAGGGATAGTTGGTCAGTATTGTTTTATGATTCAAATTTTCAAAAAATTTACCGTAATTTGAATTTTAGAGCATAAGGTCAATTGCTTATGTTTAATCCTGGTTATTTGTGACTGCAGCTTGATCTTGTTGAAGGACCATCATCAGGAAGACATGGACTCTCTTCTACCTCAGACAGTTGATGAAATGTTAAGTAAGTGCTGGTGGCATGTTACATATAACAACAAGTTTATTGGATTTTTCCTAGTTTTTTATTTGAAACAAGAAAGCCAGATATTGAAGCCTCTGATGTAAGATTCATCATATGTTTCAAATTCAGTGGGAATAAGGTCAGTAGTTTTCTTCAGTTTCGGTATTCTAGGGGAAGTAAACTTTTTTTTTGAATGAAGGGTGCGATATTTATGTTTGAGAGTGTGGCAGATTGTAACTGGGAATTATTGGATGAGATTGAGCAAGACCGCGTAAAATACCAATGTAGAGGTTCGTGTCAATCAGAATCTTGTTGGCTGATCAGAACTGATACAGTGATACCAATGTTTACTAGATTATGTATATCTTCTTCACTTATGTTGTTATACACCTTGTATCTACCTCTACCAAGGGTAGCGTTTATGAAATATCACTTCAATGAAATCGTTAACCAATACTGATTGTATCTTATACATAATGATGCATGTACAGTCATGTTATGAAAATCGAAATTTTTATAAAAATTTTTATCCGATTTGAATCCACGTTTTGCTATAGCTTCATGAACAGTGTATGTGATCACAACATCTGTTCTGTTCTGTTGCAGAGTTTGTAGATTGGTTATTTCAGCTTGCAATGGGATGCTTCTTTCCAGGAGCTTCGTACCAGAGACAGAAGACTGGTAAGCAGCTTGTTGTATGTAATTGTGGTGTAATGAAGGCTCAACAAAAATTTCTTGTGTTTTCCTTGGGAAAATAGCAGTTTGGCACATCCTGAATATTTCGGGAGGGAAGTAAGGGAAACTATGGATGAAGCCGCTGTTTTAATTTTTTGTCGATGTTTAATTGTTATTAAAGTAATGTTAAGGAGCGCTCTCTCCCCCGATCACACCTTCAATATTCGTACATTTTTTTAGCGAGAAACAGTTAAAAAAACTTTAGGACTAACGCGTTTGTTTTTGTCGTAATTCTGTCAGTTATCCTCATTTTGATATATACACTTTTTAACACTTGAAGCAATGCAACTTTTGGTGGCCATTTTCGATGTCTTCTCACTGAAATTGCAGCCAGACAAGAAAAAGGGTCAAGTGCCAGGTACATGTCTTTTTTCAAACAACTCTGAACAAATCTTACACCTTACATTTTAACTCCGAGCTACAGTACTCATGTGTGCGTGATCGTCAAGTAAGTACATGAATTGGTCATCGATAATAACAGACTTATTAAGCGAATGGGTGCGCATTACTTGTCACATGACAAGGATGGCGGGTCTTATGCCGATGTTAAAGGGTTTCCTGTTGAAATAGTTCGTCTAGAATTATCGTGCAAATTAGTTTTTTTTTCATTGAAAAAGATTCGATTCAAAGAATTGAGTTGCGAAACTGTACTGATTGTACATTTTAAGTACCAGTGTGCTGTATAATTGAATAGATACTGCATTTTGCATATTTTCCTTCAGCTTCATGTCACTTGCTTGTTTCCTTGGCCAATCGTCATGGATACTTTCAGTTTTTCTCCATCAGGTGAGATCCAGAGGCCTTGCTTGCTCATGATGAAATGTTTGAAATTCTGAGTAAATTTTTACAGAGGCACAATTTCCATTGTCATCATGTAGCAGCTTTCATGATCATTGAAATGATAATAATAATAATAATAATAATAATGGTTTATTGACAGATCCACCAGGTGGCTCTTCCCTGTTAAAATATTAAATTAAATAATAATAAAAAAAATCAAATTAAGTTATTTCACAAATTACGCAATATGCAATTAAAAGTAGAAGTAGGATTAACAGAATAGAAATTACAGTAAAACTAACTAATCACTCTGTACTCTATTACATAAAAAATTCCTTGAAAGTCTTAAAAAGGTTCTATAATCTTTACAGTTTCTAATAGATTCTGGTAAATTGTTAAATAGCTTCGACGCGTTATCTTAGAAAGTGCTGTTTTCGGTTAATTGAATTGCTTGAGTGCAGTTCCTTGCGGCATTCCTGTTTTATTATTTTAAGATAATCTGGCCAAGTCTCAGTGTTGTGCAGAGCTTTAAAGCATGATTTCAGGAGGTTCAAATCTCTTCTCTCATTGATTGGAAGCCATCCGATTTTAAGTACATCCCGAAAGTTCTTGACATAGTGACCGAGTACAAAACTTGCGGCACCAAATTGAACTCGTCGCAAACGGCGAAGTAAGAATTGTGGTAAAGGGTAAAAAACCAGATCGGCGTAGTCTAGTTTTGACAAAATCAATGTTTCTACCAGTTGCTTTCTAAGCTCATATTTGGCAAGGTATTTCAATTTTCTCAGTATCAATAGAGTGACGTAGCATCCAGATACCGTGTGCTTGATGTGATCATCCCACTTAAGATGCTCATTGATGTGAACTCCAAGCAGTTTGCAAGATTTAATACGTTCTAGTTTATAACCACTGACTACGATGTTAGGATCATACTCGTCAGGGTGATGTACTCTGGACATTTGCGGGGTGGATAGGATCATAACCTTGGTTTTGTCGATGTTAAAGGCGAGGGTACTCTGCTTAGACCAGGCACTTAATTTATTAATTGATTTAGAGATAGTGTTTCTACAGTTATTTAGGTCAGATATTTTAGCATGATCGTAGGTTGTTGTATCGTCCGCATATTGGAAGCTTTTGACATTTACGTTCTCCTGAAGATCAGCAACATAAATATTGAATAGCACCGGACCCAAGATGGAGCCTTGCGGAACCCCAAAATTCACGTTTTTAACCTCTGAGCACGTGTCATCAATCTGTATAAATTGTTTACGATGCGTAATATAATTGAGTGTCCATATCAGGAAGTCTCTAGGGAAACCTAGTTTACTCATCTTGGTGATAAGATTTGTGAAACAGATCGTATCGAATGCTTTGGAAAAGTCGGCTAAGATCATCATAGTTACCTCCGAACGTTTCATGGCTTTTACTATGTCGTCTCGTATAGCTTGAAGTAGAGTAGTAGTCGATTGTCCCTTTCGATAGGCAGAAATGTTATTGTTGAGAACATTGTTCTTATCAATAAAAACAGACAGCTGACGGAAAATCAGTCGTTCATAAACCTTTGAAAGTACTGGTAATATTGATATAGGTCGTAAGTCCTTCTCGGATTTTATTTGGCTCCCTTTAAGAATCGCGCAGATGCGCGCGAGCTTCCAAGCAGATAGAAAGTACAAGTTCTTGATACAGGTGTTGATGACATCAGTAAGCGGAGACCCCAGATAATCTGCAACCATTTTGATCATGTTTGCAGGGATGTTATCAAGACCAGTTGAACAGTCTGTTCGAATGTTGCGTAACTCATGAATGACCTCTTTAAGAGTAACGGTCCTGATTTGAAAACCATTATCAAAGTTTGCAGGGAGTGATTGAATCAAGTTTATAATTGAGGCGTAATCATCAACATGGTGGGCGTTGATGCCAATGGTGCGTTCGGCCGTGGATGCAAAGAAATTGTTAAGCTTGTCCGGTTGCATAGTTATTCGCTGCGGGCTCGGGTGTAGGATACGGTGAATTTCTTTCCAAACTTCTTTTGGTTTCTTAGATGACCACATTCTTTCCATGAAGTTTCTCTTGGTTGACTTAATCAATTCCTTAAGGCGATTACGGGCCGCACGGAACTTTTCCCAAATTTCTTTGTTGTTGTTACTCGTTCTTGCTGCAGATCGTAGGCGGTCTCTTTTTTCCTTGAGTTCTGCAATGGCTGGATCTTTAAGCCACGGTGCAGGTGGTCGAGTGACCTTCGTTAATTTTAATGGTGCATGCCTATCGATACATTCCTTGATCAATGAACTTAATATTTCGAGCTTTTCATCCGGATCGGAGACTCCAAAGGAGGCTGCAAATGGTAGTGTTTTAAAGTCTTCAATAAAGGAAGATTCATCAAAGTTAGGTTAGGTTAGCATTCTTTCCGAGCGATGCATTGTTCCTAAAAGAAGCTTGCTATGTTTATTTCTGCCTGGAAATTCAAGCCACAGATGTTCAAGGTCGAGTTCTTAAGCCTCGATGTCACTTCTACGTTTATAGGTCTTTGACCTATAAACGTAGAAGTGTACTATGACCTCCCGCCATATTAATTTCAGCTTAGCATTTCGAGACGTCTGTTTTTAGTAACGAATCAAAATGATCCGGAACAACCATATGATAAAGTAGTAGTTTAATTTTGTGAAAATATATATGGATCATACATAGCAACTAAGGCTTTATCTAGACGCTGACAAGGATAAGCTGCTCTCGTGACGGGTGGTGCTTTCAACTTGTACTGAGTATAACTTTTCACTCACAAAATAGAACATAGGGTAAGTATTTAGGATTACGCTAAATCACAAAGCAAACCGTTTGGAGAATTATCAGGAATTTTGTAAACCAGCTCTTAGTCGATGTGTAATGAAGCAGCACCGTCTGCTCCCAGATTTTGGATAGAATTGCAGAAGGCTTATTTCAGAGTCCTTCAACTTGGATTTGAATGATCAAATGTGACCTGTTTTCATTTCGTGATTTATGGGCACGTGTGATGTTATGAAAGATATATAATTGCACATGCCTCAGGCAATTATGATTTGAAAACTTTTCTAAACATCACGAGTGACCACAACTCACGAAATACACGAGCAGTTCAAGCGACTTTTATTTGCCATGTTCTCATCAAAGTCAGTTTTCCACGCTTACTCTGTTTTGATAATTTTGCGCTGAAATTGTGACCGAAAAACCAAGCTTGTTTTTTTTCGGTGGGGATCCACATGTTTGATTTATCTCTGGGAGCGTAAATTGCTAGAGAATGAAATTCGGAAATTCGTATTGCACTCGATATCTTTTTATTAACAAACATTGACCGATCGGGGTATTTTGTTTAAAGTATAATAATAGCGAAGGTAAAGCAGGTTACTTCATATTCTTATTCCAAGAACAGTTTGGCAATTTTGTTTACGTACATTTTTTCCCTACGCTAAAATTTCCTTATTATCATAGTTTATTTATTATTTATCTTTTAAGTTATTTTTTCATTTATCTCCTCAGGAGTGCTGTAATATTGTTGGGATGTGTGGAAAGCTGCTACGCTGATGTACGTGCTGAAGTTGCTTACTCATTGGTTAATTTTGTACGTTACATTTTTCTAAATTTTGAGAAATTGTAGATTTCACACTTTAAACGATCTTTGGTTGTAGATTCGTGATGCAGCTGTGATTATTCTCCAAGAACACTTTTCGTGGCCTTTAAAGGTTTTAGAGAATGATTCCACTGGTATAGCATCGGCACACATGCTGGTACAAAAGGCTGTGGTTCTCGCCAAAAGCCCAAAAGTTCAGGATTGTGAGAAAGGAGCTGTTCTGTTCCAGTTAATCCATAGCAGGTATTTAGTAATAGTTTTCACATTATAAAGTTGGTCTCGGGAGCATTCCTTGAGTCTGTAGACGACCTTCAAGCTGGAGCTGTACAAGGACCGATCGTCGTTCCTCTGAGATCGAACTTGCAAAATAAACCTTACTTTTTTGCATGTAACCTACAGGAACTGAAATTTTGAAAAGCTCAGTTAAGAGCGATAACAGCACCTTATAACTTTCCACTGATTTCTGATGATCAACAATCATGGGATGAACTTACTTTGTCATCGGAGTAAGGTTTTCGCTTCGAATGAAGTAAAAAGTGCAGTAGTTATGGAACTCTAGTGTTGCACGAGTCGGAATAATCTAACCATGAAATGAAGGGACTGTATTCCTGTGTATCTCCTGTATTCTACGTCGATCTCGTTGCAGGTTTTGTAACGGGGTGGAATGTGAGGACATCTTAACCTGTTTCAGTTGTTCAGTCATTAATCGAGGCGCGTTTGAAGTGCAAACTGAAAAAAGAAGGAAGTCGTGGAAAAAGTTGTGACCCTAACCAAACATCCCTTCTTTTCCCAGTCTGCGCCATGATCGTGCCCTTTGGCCGACTGATCGTCTTCGAAAGGGTTTAGAGACCCTGGGAACAAAGTTGGAAAATGGGCCACAATTTGTTCTGGTTTTTTCGGTCAGACATTGATGTAGAGGTTTCACAAGAACGGAAGCCAATTTGTGTTGATGATTGAGAAAAGCTCGGGTTATTTGGAAGTACCGGTGCCAATTATGTTAAGGATAAAACAATTTTTGAAATGAAAGAGGGATAGGCATAGTCAAGGTTGAAGGCAACCTGTGGTCCAAACCTACAGAGGTACATGCCTTCAGCCAGGAGCCCTCAGGTCCACAGGTTCGCACTTCTCTTTCCCGGGGCTGTTTCGGCGGATGGCGGCATAAAAGCCATTCCCAGGTTTAAAGTAGTTAATGATGGTTGAGGAAAAAACTTTGGGAACTATCACTTTTTCTACGCGACTGATAGATAACAACAAGCTTGCGTAGATTTTTATACATACCGTAGTTTTAATTTTTGCGCATTTTCTCGATTGAATTGGTGAGAGAAATCTATAGAGCATTCAGAAACCATTTCACTAACATCGTAAAAAGAACATCTTCGTCTCCAAAATAAAACGAATCCAGTTTTTTTTCAAGAGCTTGAAGGTGAATTGTAACTGGGCTAACCACCTCTGAGTTAGCCAATCAAAATTCGCGCACTTTTCACCTGCGTGGTATGTACCAGTGTATAGTACCATATTTATTTTTCTTTCAGGTATGTTTCAGTGTTAGGGTGGGAATTCAGTTTTTCAACACAAGAAATTAAAACTCCTACGTTGGGCAAGTTACCTAGCAGTGAGACGACCATTCACATGTTACAAGAAGTGTTGGCTGAACTTAAAGTGCATTTTGAAGCTGCTCGAAAGAATCTGAAACTTGCATCGCAAGATGAGCCAGGCCATGGTAGGTTTAGTTTTCTAAAAAGTGCGTGATAAAGCGCTATGGTGAAAACCAAAATTATCATCATTCGTGTTTTTCGTCTCGTCACAAGCGTGGAACGTAGAAAAAAATTCCGTATCTCTATGAGAAATCGAACCCCTGAGCTGCTGATCCGGTGGCCTGATACTCTGACGCAGAGCCGCATATAACACTATGGTGAGTTGGGCCATTAGAATAAGAAAGGTAATAAATCCTGACCTCGATATTGGGATTAAAACAGTTTCTTCCCCTCGTCATGAGTGTTGGTCAAATATAACAGAAATAAATTTCCGTTAGAAATCCTTTAAATGTTTTAATGTTTGATCAAATAAAGTTTTGTTGATTCCTTGACAATTACCCTAAGCGAAAGAAACCTCTTTGATCAACAAATATTTCTAATTTTAGTCAAAATATTCTTATTGTTGCAGGTATTTCTCTAGCTTTGGCACATTGCATTCAAGAATTAAGCTTAGGTGTTATCAGTAAAGATAATCAGATTGAGCTTCAGACTGTCATACAACACACCGTTGATATTGCTACTAACATCATAATCTACATGTTGGACTTGCTTTCTGGAGGCCACAATACTGATACAAGTACGACACCTCTGTAGCGCATTGTTAGTTGCAATTTAAATTTTGTGAGTCCTAAATGGATGTCAGAGACATTATTATTATTATTAATCATTATTATTATTATTATTATTGTTATTACTATTATCTACAGTAGAGACACATTGTGAGGGTAACATGAAAATTACCAAAAATCAAAATATGGTATTTTTTTGAAAATAGATCTTTTACCAGAAGTTTATGATTATAGCTTACAAAAGAGAGAATACAGACGGGTAGGACAAACGACGGAGCAGGTCGAAAACTAGTTTTTATCAATGCCAATCACTCGTCACTAGATCTTTTCATTTTAACCGTGCGATTCTTACCACCTATCACTCCTCGTCGAGATTTTCCTTTATATTGCAAACTTGGGGCCGGAATGCTTTCGAAGTAACCTTTATTTCTTGTGCTCCAATTTTGGTGTTCATTTGTTTATTGGACATTTTGCTACCTGAAATGTTTTTTTGTTCATCCGTCAGTTGGTGGAGCGTCGTTTGCCGATATCGGCGAAGCCTTGGATGAAATAGTCTCTTTGTCAATGACTCACGATGACGAGGGAATAAAAGAAATATTTCCTGTTCACACCCACAAAGATATGGTGATTTCTTGTTGCTGGCTTAATATTAAGGTATTTCATTCACTTATACGACTCTGTTGTGTTTAACGTATTAACATATGCTTGTATGGTGTTCAAGATTTTCCCTTTTTCACTTTATGGATTGATATCAATGCGATTCATACCCGTTCTTAATGAGGCATCTTCGAAGAATCACTAAACTTTTACAGGAGATAGCACGTTCATCCCAGTCTCATTTGTTTCAACAGTGTGCATGTCATTTGCTAGCAGTCATATTTGAAAAGACTACCACCCAACTCAAGCATTTACCAGCAATTCAGTTACTTCGCGAAGAAACTTTGAGGAAAGTCGCCGAGACAATTTGGAAAGTTATCATGCAGTGTAGGCACCAGGTATGTTTACTATTATTCCGCTAGCCCTTTAAGTCCTCTTTCGGTTTTGACTATAATCCATCGTCATCTGTTGTGGTGTCGCAAGTTCCATCTCTACTATATTTCTGTGAAATTCAGAGACCAGTTCACACCCGTAGTATTTTGATTATTTCATTGTGCACAGAAGAAGCAATTTACCCACGATGTAACCAAGCTATCAGCAATGACGCCCGCAAGTGTTAAGTTTGCGTGCTTCCCCTGATTTTGATTGGCTTATGATTTTTAGAGTTCCACAAAGACAAAATGGCGGCAAACAATGAGCTGAACGTGTTACACGAATTTGATAATATATGCACCGTTCTCGCACAGTCACCTTATTCCTTAATGTTTCCACGAAGGCTCGCTTATCCTTACCGTTTTGTTCTTATAGGGTGTTGTTCAGCACTGTAGGAGCAGTTTTTTGAAGATTTGCCGGTGTTTATTTCAATCATCACTACCATGTCTTCACTCTGTACCAAGGAAGTGGCTGGATGACATGTTGAACACAGTGTCTTTATCAAGCTCTCAAACCTCTATCACCAGACGCAGGTAACCGAAACCTATCAGCCACTGATTTGCAACGAACCCACGTATTAAAAAGGCTTGGTTTTCATTACAATGTTAGCACCAGCATAAGTATATTGGCTAGACGTGCACAGACGATCGTAAGCACGTGCGCATGCACAGTTAGATAATGTATCCTTATTTTTATGCATGTGCTTATAGCAGCGCGATCTTACTGGACATAAGCACGAGCATAAAATGTTTGTTCTGCTTGTACTAACGCCTGCGTTCGGCTCGTCCTGGGTTCTGTTTTTGCTTTTTGAATACTTCATTTTTTTTTTGCTTGATTATCAAACAAAAATGTAAATTGATCTTTCAGTGCAGGACTACCTGTGCTGTTTTCCAGTATTTTGGCATGTGCACCAAGTTCAAGTCAAAGATTGCTGTTGAAGCAGTGCATGAAGTGTCTACTGGACATTGTATCGCTACCTATTCCTGATGTCACAGACCAACACCTCGACCTGCCACAGGTATTGAGGGGAAATTTGTTTAATTCAAGCAAGGAGAAATTGACAGAACTGCACTGTATATTTCGGTAACAACTTTGATATTAATTAATGTTGCCTTTGAAAAGCTTCAACCCCACAAATAAAACTAAATACTCTGACTCTCTCTGCTGTGGCATTCAGGTTAATTTCTATGCTTTAAGTATCATCATCATCATAATTGCTTTTTATAGCATTAGTATAAGTATTTTTATTATTATCGTTATCTACATTATTATCATAAATACGATCATTTTTATCTTAAGTATTATTATTATTATTATCATCATTGTCGTTGTTACTATTTTCATTCAATAATATCGTTATTAAGAATGGTGACGACCAGATATATCTCAGTCATAAGTTTTGCTTCACATCCTGACCTCCGGATACCTCCCAGCCTTCAAATGTATTTTTATGCATAAACTGGAATCAGCGTTGATTTCTCAACAATTTTTTGCAATCGATGATGGTAGGTACATGCAATCAACATTTTGAAGCTACTTTACCAAGATACGTCTCTTGGTTGTGAAATTCTGCAGTACGCCTCACAGGGAACGATAATGGCCATAGGTGGATTTGCATCTTCATCATGGGCGGTTAGGAATGCTTCCATGCAACTGTTCGGTGAGAGACCTCTATAGTTGAGCATTTTAACTTGTGTTTCTTTTCAGATCTCACATCCGTTTTATGCCTTCTTGTGGATGAAGCAATAGTAGCCCTAAGCATATAAATGAAATTCGATTTTCTTAATTAGTCAAATACATTTGTCCTATGGTTACCTTTCCAGTGCCCCTTCCATCGAACGAACTTTTCCATCGTGGTCAGATGGGGACAGTTTGAAAAGGCACTGAGCTTCTTATAAATTTTAATCGAACAATTTTATTTATTCGCTCAAACCTCATCCTGATTTTACTTCAATCAGCTGAAGCAAAAAGTTTAGGTTCAATGAAAAGAACCCAGCCCAGACCACCCCGGCGATGGTCACCGTATATTTATAGATGGCATATTTTTCTATCGTTCTAGGTTCCTTAGTAAAGCGAATGCTTGGTCAGCGACGTACTGCAGATGACGACACTGAAATGAACACGATGAGCTCGTCGGACTTTTTCAACAGCTACCCTGCTCTACGCAAATTCTTCCTTTCTCATTTGCAAAATACACCGCGGTCAGCTTACAGTTCCTCTGCGCAGTTTTTTAATCTGTCCAAACCAGAACTGTTTCCCATTTTGACACTTCTGTCAAAGCTTTATTCGTACTCTAAATTTAACGAAAGGTGAGACAATCGTCGAGTTTTCATTGTGACTTAAATGCTCTGGAATTTAAGTATGACTGAGGCAATTAAACGTCCTTTTAAAATGTGTGTCCGAGGCTTTCAAACTTATGTGAGAATAGGTGGTCGCCGAAGGAATAATCTGGTTGAGTGTATTCGCAGTTAATCAAAATAGTACCCCTGGGTTGGCTTGCAGAGCAAGCGTAATTTTAAGGGTTTTTTTTTTTTGGGGTTAAAAATACTTCTTGACGTAAATTTTCTTTGTAAAGCAATTTTCAATTGAATTTCGAAAGTAATCAGGGGTTGAATTGGATTTACTTTACTTTGCCATCTGATTGCCTCAGAAAAATCATCCCCACCCAAATGCACAACCGAAACCAATCGTGACTTGGTCATTCGCGTACTCCTGCGCTTCAGACAGTTTTGGTTGTTTGAATTCTCATTGGCTCCTTGCTCTATTTCCTTTGTTCAAATTAGCCGTTGTAATAACCTTACGAAACTCAACTTACAGTGGTTGGTTGGTTCTATATATTCTCCCATAAAGAAATGTGTTTAAGGCGAATCCAGGTAGATGTGCGTCACCATCCACTTGAGCCATGTATCAATTTTTTTTTCTGGTTTATCAGTTCAGCGAGCCTTTTGCCGGAGTTTGTTCCTCACCTGATGTCGTTGACTTCAAGCCCATCGCACACAGAACGTGTTATTGCAGCAAAGGCTCTAGTTCCGTTTATTCCCCGTGAAAACCTGTTGAACAGGGTAGAGGAACTGGTCAGGCTTCTTCCAAGTCCAGAGTCGACTCAGGGTTTTTCGCAGAATGTTCTTCATGGGATTTTACTCCAAATTGGCGCCCTTCTTGAGGTTATTCCATGCTCTGCATTTGCAGAAAGGGCAAGTGGTCTTTTCAAGGAAATGTTGAAAAAGTCGTGGATATGTTCCTTCAGAAATCATTGTCCCTTAACGCGAGCTGCCTTCCTCAATATTGTGATGAAATATTTTTCTTCCTTCCTTAAAGACACCGAACGAGGTAAATGGCGTCGTTTGTATGCCTTGTTGATTTGAAATCATTGTCCCTTAACGCGAGCTGCCTTCCTCAATATTGTGATGAAATATTTTTTTTCCTTCATTAAAGACACCGAACAAGGTAAATGGTGTCGTTTGTATGCCATGTTGATTTGATTACACAGTAATAAGTACCAGGCAAGCTCAACAAGCCTGATTATCTTTTTCCAGACGTTAATTTACTGAAATCAGTGGCTTTGGAGAGTTTAAGAGAACCTACCGCTGAGGTTGTTCATCCATTGCTTTGTGAGGCACAATGGCAACGTGAAGTAGTCAGGGCGTGTATCCATTTTGAGTTTTATTACCCTCGGTCAGAAGGTAAGAGGAAAAAAGTTTTGCATCTTTGGCCTTATAATAAGAACAGTTTAGTTAAAAGGCGTGTTGGGCTGCCACTTCTTTCCTCATATTTCCGTATTCTGTCGTGCATGTCAAAACACCCATAGGGTGATACAGTTGTGCTACCATACTGACATTGAAATGCTGTAGCCGAATTTTAGAGCATGATTCTCAGGAAAGTGTGGAATATAGGACCCATTTTAGAGAAACACCTCTGTAATGATGTCGTCAGAAAATAATTTGTCATGAAATGCCTTAATGATGTTATGCACCATTCACGTTCTAGTCAAGTTAATGATAAAATCCCAAACACTTTTGTGTTTTTCTTTTGTCTTTGTCTCAAAGAACGAAAAAGTCAACTATCCCAACTCATTTTGTCAACAAACAAAGAACGGAGATTTGCTGCTTTGGAGTATTTACTCAACGAGTCATACAAAATTTCAGACTCAGTCCTTAGCGATCTTGTAACTCTTTTAATCCACGAAACGGACCATTTCTGTCTGGTGTCAGCTCTGGATCTCTTTGTGAAAGTTTGTGCCCAGTCCGATGTGTCCTCTCCGACCTACGCTAACGTAAAAGAACTTTGGAACAAGCTGACTTCACTAGCTAAGAAGTCAAGAGGGGTAACTTTGGCTGGTAAAGCAATTCCTGCATGCAGTCTGATTCTCAGGCAAACCATTAACATGAGTGTCTTACCAACCAATTCATTGGAGTTACGCGGAATGTTAAAGCAGTGGCGTGAGTTGATTCAAACAAACTGCGACTGGGAGCAAGAGGAACTATTAAGACAGGGCACAGTCCAGTCTCTGAAGCTATGCGGTGTTGCAATATTGAGCTTTGTGCTGACATGTAAAGGAGAAGCTGGCCTGCTCAAATATTTGTATGTAATTGAGACAGCCACAAGGTAAGGCCTTTTATTATTTTCAGTTTATTTTGTTTCATTTTAATATTGTGTTGGTTTCTCTTACAACATAAAGGAAAGTGGATATTTGTGCCTTTTCAGTGTGCTTAGTTCAACTCTGTGTTTGCTACAAGACGAAGACGAGGAAATAAGATTCAATGCAGCTGAGTTTGTTGCCATGATTGCTGAGCCTACGAAGAGCTTAACGTGCTCAGCGGCTATGGAACGTGTCTTTCAGTTTATGGCGGACCATGTTTGGTCCATTCCCGGATGTTGGATGATTATGGAAACCATGATAAGGGGATCAAAGTCCACTGCAGAAGTATTAAAAGATTACTTGGGAGCGAGGTACGATAACTTGAACATTTTCAATATTTATTACATCTATTTTTAAATCACTGTTGATCCTTGCCATCTGTATGGCTCTAATCCGTGCGGATTTATTCACGAATGGCATTATTTTTTCCCTTAATAATACACATGCAAAATTTAGCATGCTCATTGGCTGAGAACACGTCAATTAATCCAAACAGGGTAGAAAGTTGAAATTCAGTGCAGAAAGTTGAAATTAACTTGATTGACAGGTAAGTCGCGAAAGCACAACAAAGCCGTCGACCGATACACAACAGAGAAAGAATTAAAAAGTTCAATCATTCTCTAGAGAGGCTTTAAAATTTTGATGCCTGACTACTCCGGCAAAAACTGAGGAAAAGGCAAGTAATTGAGCTGGTGAGCCATAACACGAAATAAAGGCATCTAAAAAAGGGAAAAACAGAATGATATTTTGCTTGTATATCGTTAATTAGTAATCACATGATTTTTCTCGTACAATTTGGATTAAATTAGCACTCGTAACTTTTTAAAAGACTACAATGGCGCTTTTTAATTGAAAAATTGACTCGTACTGACATATATTGCGGTCGAAATCATGTGATTATCTATACAAATCGCATCTTTTTCTCAACGAACGAGAAAGCAAAACTAGCTTAAACAACCAATCAGATTTCAAGGCTTGTTTAGATTGACTAATTAAATTTCAGGAAAATAAAAGCCCAAAATGCCATCGTGTGGCCTAATCTTCACAATTCAGACATTCAACTACGTCATCCATATACTATGATGAAAATCGAATGGGATCATTGTCGAGTTTTAAGTAATTTTTGAAAGGGGCGATTGTGAAAGGCAGGAATAAAACAAATAAATACTTTTGTTCACTGTGGATGTTTACTATTCTTTTAAACACTTTACAACTTTTAAAACGTGGAGAATGGGGAGGGGGGAGGGGCGGCGGCTACATTAGCGGCTTGTGTCCTGTCTTAAAGCAGAAAGTACTACAGGAGCTAAAAAGTTTCGGTAACTTAAGCTGGATTCCCTTTTAGTATGAATCAAGCATAGATCGACGTGCACTAGCCTATGAAGGGATTTATGGAAAAAGTGTGACTACTTATGCGAATCTTTCATCAGTTTAAGGAAAAACTGTGATGCTCTCTAGAGAATTCCTAGAAATTGTAATTTCAATGTACTAGGTATATCTGTAAATAACCTGCTTTTGATCGCTATCTGTAGACTAATGCTGTTTGAGCAGGAGGACGCTAATTTATACGCAGAGCCAGTGATTTTGGCAACAATGGTGGTCAAATACTTCAAGGTAAAGAAAATATGTAAACACAGTCATCTTCCAAATAAATGCCCTCTAATTTTTTTTTATTTTTATAAACCTTACACTTTTTATCCATTACAATTCTGCGTATTAGTGCGATCGCAAGCCGTTTGAGAGTACATACAGATATTCTTTCGTAGTTTAAACCTCCTTCAACTCTTTTAGTTAGGTGCATTTCTTGTTCACAGCTTCAAAGTAATCAGCTAACTAAATAATATACAATTTGTGATTGGTATTTGATCTATTCGAGTATTGACCCACAAATAACTTCGTACAAAAATCTTCCTTCGACCATATGTTAACGAGTGCATATTATTCCGGATTTAGGGAATGTCAGCGCTGAAACGAAGTAGTTTCCAACCGCGAATAACAAGGTCTTTGCAAATCATTTCCTGGTTATTTTTTTTCAGCGTGTAATCAATAAGTTGCTTGGAACAAGAGAGATCGATTCAAATGAATATTTCCACAACTGGTTTATTGCGGGGTGTAACCAACTCACCAAAGACCTTCAGGAACTGAAAGATTCAGGTTTGTCAATACTCCTACTTCCCACTTATACACTCAGGTCAAAGACGGTAGTTTTCATTGAATTTCGATGAGACCTCTTTCAACCTCGTTACCTCTTCGAATGTTTTGTGTAATCATGAAATGATTTCCGTTGTATTTTTTGTTGCCGGCCTCCTTCTTGGACCGTCTTTGAATTTCCTCGTCGACTTTGATTGACTGACTTCCAAAGGTTTGTAACTATGCTAGTGTTTGGTCTTTTCACACTCGTCATTTTCCCTTATGGAATCAGGTTCCTACCGGAAAGTATCCTGTAATTCTCAGTTTCTTCTCGCTTGTGGCGTTGCAAAACTGTGCACTTTCGCGGTGTTTGTAATTTTCACAAAGGTTAAGCAAAATTTTATTGTTTTTCTAAATTTCATCGTTTCTTTCGTACGTCTTTAGACATGTCTCCATATTTTATCAAAATTCATCCCATTTAAGTCTATCCAATCTTGGTCCTCTAGCATGTCGCTCGATCCTGATGACTTGATTTTAAACAGGAAACAATATTGTTGTACATGTATAATGGCTAAGAAAGACATAACCTCAAGAAGAAATTCAGATGTTATTGTACGTCAATAGGTTCTTTGTGGCTAATTGGCAGGCTCGTCGCGATATGATATGTTATTCCTCGCTACTTGTTTGCCTCATTGAATGCTTCGGAGATTATCTCTTGTATTATCTACCTTTAATAGAGTATATTAGACTTTTGGTAAATCCTACACTTCCTTTCTTTCTCTCTTCACGTCGATGTAAACTGCATATGGCTTTGGAAGACCTTTTTGTGTCCTGTCGCAAGCTTGATGCTAGTGCTAGGAAAAAAAGTCTTGGTCGCACGAGGAAACGAACCTCAGACCTCCAGATTCCTCCGATGCTCGACTTCTAAACTACAAAAAAGTCTAATAACCCATTCACACCAAAGCTTAAATATGTTTTCAGGCGATTTCGTTAACCACGGTTGAAAATGGTTTTCTTCATAGGGGTTTTTTTGAGATAATTAAATATAGAGAAAGGTGGGGATATTTATTCTTTGTCTTTCAGTGGCGATAAGGCGGAAAACATCTTTCTCTGTTTTTTTTACCACTTTCAAATTTCTAAAACGAAGTTAGTAGCGGATTCGACGAAATAAGACCGATGTTGCACCACATTACTTCATTGGTCAAACGAGACTGAGCATGCTTCAGGAACTATTTAATTAATACCCGGGAACCCAGACGTTTATATGAAATTGTAACACTGACTACGTAAAGAGATCCTAAGAAAAAACCTGACTTTCCGAAAATTTTCCTCAAATGTGCTAAAACCCGGAAACAGAGGGCGCCCATATGCTTCGTAGCGAGCCATTTACTTGTGGCCAGTCTCGCTTCTCTTCAGTTCTTATCTTAGCGATCTGTTCTAAATAGTAGGAGCTACTCTAAAAGGCACCATTGCTTTCAAAACAAAAAAAGGATGAGCTCTAGTTGTTAGCGAATCACGCTATGTGGGTTGTGCTTGTGTAGTCAGGCTACTAAATTATTTTTTCAACATGGCGGCGTCCAAAGTTTAAACGGTAGTTTTATTGTTTGGATTGTTTGTTTGGTAATGTTATTGTTTGGATCATTGTTTGGATTTGGACGATGCCGTAAGTGGTGAATTCAAACTTTGTTTTGGTAGGGACTTTAATTGTTTCTATAGCATGCCTATCCTATGACGAACTTCTGTTTCATCAAGTATCAATTATTTTACTCCTAGGTATAAAGGAATGTGGCTCGCTCTCTAATCCCAAACCTTTTATAGTACGATTTCGTATGATGTGCATGGCTGAAGTGCTTTGGTTTGCTGTGAACAATGGTCTGAGGAGTGAGTGCTGCCTGTCTGTAATTAACGCTGTCGACGAACCTTTGGTGAATATGTTAGAGGAGATAATCCAGGTAACCTTAAGAAGTGATCAAAATAGTAGGGTGAAGGGAATTACAACTGAATGCTTAATTTAAACGTTGAGTGAGGTGTGCATCTCGCCAGAATGGAACTTCCGCGTTTAATTGTGTTTCCGTGGTGATGTCTCCTTCATGTCATTCCCTTGAGAACACACCAGGGCCAGACCTAGCCAGACTGTCTGAGAGTTAAACAGTCCCGAAAGATTTTAAAATCATTAACCAATCTACGCCAATCGTGATACATATTTTAATTTTAATTTTTTAGTATTTCAACTAAACTACCTTTCCACTCTCAGGACTAGAGTAATTGTATAAAGCAGATCTGTCTTTACTTCTGTAAATTTATACAAAATTACTTGGAATGCACATCAAAATAAGACTCATTCCGTGCCCTGTACACATCTTATATACAATTATTGGCACGCAATATGAGGTCGCATATTTGTCCTTGGACATTGTTTGTTTCGAGAGTTGAATAGTTTTCCTAGAGCTTCGCTTTCCGGAAGCTGTTCACTTCCCGGAACTGATAATGTCCAAGGGAAAAAATACGGGCGTCTTTTCGCGTCAAATGGAGGCTTCTGTGTTAAGTGTTCTCTGGTGCGACTTAAATATATTCCTTCTTCTTTAACAACAGCAAAAAACTCTGTTATTTTGAATTACATTTCAAATAAGACTTTAAATCATATTGGACGTAAAATTTGTCAATTCGGGAATATCACACAATATTTTTGTTTTTATGACTGCTTTTGTTTTGTTAGGTGAAGGATGCGGTTCACCCATGGCTCACAAAATGTGCCAGCGACTTGTTAATAATTGTACGAAAACCAATGGATAGTGACTTGTCATAGTAAATCTTATGTTACGGAACCGTTTTCATCCCATCGTTACTTTTCCTAACTTGAATTTTGGCTCGTAGTAAATCGTCGTTTTACCTGATAGCACTGTGTCCTCTGTTTCTATCTACAATACAAGTACGAGGCTTGGTGTGGAGTAGCGTTGCCCGATCACATTTCTTTCCAGTTACTGGCTGATCAGATTTTTCGCATTAAGATCAAGAAAGTAAATCCAGGCGATTCAATCCTTTAATGATCTCCGAAGATCAATTTCACTGAGTAATTTGGTTGTGACTGGCTCGAATGAGGGAAAAGTAAAGGAGCGTAGAGCAACGACGTCTATGGGAACTACTGCTTGGTAGAACAATTATTCAGAATCCTAATTTGTTTTGTAATTTCATCTCGTGTATGATTTCGATTTGTTATATCTTCTCAAAGGGATACAAACACGAGAGCCCGTAACCATGTCACCGCATCACTGTTTTTGGCGTTCTGTAGTTAGAGGATATTGAACATTCCGGATACAGTAGCAAATGGTAATCCTTACTAGTGGTATTTAGAAGATACAAAACGCTGCACTGTATATGACTCTCATCTACTTAAAGAACTGGTGTTGTAAAAAAAATAAATAAGAAGGGTCATTTTGATGCGTAAATCTAGAAGGGATTTGCAATTACTTGATTAGAACTCTGGATTGCCTTTATCCATTAAAAAGAAAAAATTAAAAGTGCCTATTAAAGAACAGTTATGCTCAGATTCCATTTCATGGGTGTGTATATCAAAAAAGAGTATGGATTCTATTGAACTGTTTGTCAGAGGGGTGCCTGCCCTATAACGGTTCAAAAATTGTCGATGCACAGGGATGTCTGCTTCAATTCTTGTCCACAAGATGATATCATTGGAGAGGTATCTTCATTTGCAAAGTGCTCTTTCGCAATATAATTCTTTGGTGTCACGTATTTCGGATGGTTGCTAAGTTGCTCAAACAAATACAATTGTTATATACCAAAACTTTCACTTAGCAAAATGAGCACTGTGATTGGTTGATTCTTGGTCGAGGAATGATCAATCCCTGATCAAATTCAAATGTATTCCAACCGGTATACAATTGTGCAGTTGTTGCCCGCGCGCCGAATACAACAGCATGTTTTTGCCACATGATTGTTTGAGGGAAAGTCTAAATATGTAACCAAGCACCCAATATATGGTCCCTCGGGAAACTAGTTAGTTTTGTTTTCCCTCGTATTCTGATATTTCCCGAGACGAAGTCTCGGGAAATATCAGGACTATCAGGAAGCAAAACTAGCTGTTTCCCTCGGGACACTAAAGCTCCATTTACAATAAAGAAATTCAGCACGGCTCGGCAAACGAAGTAGCACGGCTCAACTAAAAAGTAGCACGGGCCAAAGGCGTTTACATTTAACTTTTTATCCGTGCTCTTTTCTGTTTATCAAAGTAACTGGCACGGGTAACTTTAGTCCCATTTGTTGAGCCCTTGTGGGTCTTGGTCAGCGACAAAAAGATTTCAGAATGAACAATTTCCAACATGGCGACTGTCAGTGCCATGCTTGTCCTCTCGAGATTGCGCCGTGGTGAACAGGGCGAATTCGAGAGCTTAATAAAGAAACGTCAGATACCAAAAGGAAAACGCAAGAAATTGATGATGTTGATGATAGCATTGGCTATCGTTGTGAATCCTCCGAGAGATCGAACTCTTTGGGTCGGACCCAGAACTGATGCCTGGATTGCAATGGCTTAAAATGAGTTCTCAGAAAAGCAGTGGCATGAACACTTCCACTTGTCTAAAGGAACCGTTCTTTACATTGTAAATGAATTGGAAGATGATATTACTCGCACAGATTCGAAATTACAGAAAGCGATTCCCACATTTCAGCGAGTGGCTTTGACAATTTATTTCATGGCATCCACCGCAGAATACCGTTCCGTGGCTAATTTGTTTGGAGTATCACGATCCTTTGTTAGCCTTTGCGTAAAAGAGGTCTGCCAGGCCATCGTTAAAAGGTTAAAATCAAGATATATCACCATACCGAAAGGAGACGACTTGAAACAAGTGATGGCAACTTATAAAGAAAAATGGGGCTTCCCCATGTGTGCGGGAGCCATAGATGGAACTCATGTCCCGATAAAGGTCCCCTCACAAAACCACACGGACTACGTAAATCGAAAGTCTTATTACAGTATTATCATGCAGGCTTTAGTGGACTCACGGTATTTGTATAGGTAATCACATGATTTCGAGTGCAATTTGGAATAAATAAGCACGAGTAAATTTTTTTAAAGACTAACAAAATTGCACGAGCCCGTAGGGCGAGTGCAATTTGAGGTCTTTGAAAAAATTAACAAGTGCTTGTTTATTCCAAATTGCACGAGAAAAATCATGTGATTACGTGTTAATAATATACATGGAAAAATACGAGATGGCTTATCATAATTAAATATAAGCAAAGCGCGCGCATCAAGTGCAAAAAATAATTTATTCAAACCGTGCGTTCGGTCAAAACAACCGCGTAGGATCAAAATAATAATAGACAACGATATCTTCACATCTTTAAGGTGCAAGAAAGTTCAAAGTCCGACTAAACAGTTTAAGGAATAGTTCAGTCTGTGTCCGAAACACTTTCGATGAAATGGAATCGTCGTTCCCGAGGTTTAACTATGACTGTTTTTAATTTCGGCGTTGGATCGCTCGAGCAAAGTGTTAAGCTGGGTCGGCTCGTAATTTTCGATTTCCTTGGCAATTCCCTTCTCTAAACACCACTTTTTCCAAACTGACAACCAAAAAGCAGTGCTTTTTATAGTGTTTTCGTTGTTTAAGCTGTTTTTCAGCTGCGGTGGCGAAAGAAAACCTACTTAAAACGCCGGCCATTGTTTCGCTCGCAAATTTTCAAATTTTCAAATTTTGTTGCGCCATCCAAGGCTCGCATTTGATTGGCTATCTGTGAGTTTCTTTGATTATTGACCAATCAGAATGTCTGATTTGTTTCTTCTTTGCATTGAATTAACCCTCTTCTGCACTGAATTAACTCTCTTCTGCACTGCATTACCTGAAAACTGCATTTATCTTAACCAATCAGAACTGAGTAATTTTTCCATGATTATTATTAATTTAGGGACATTGTAGTTGGCTGGTCCGGAAGCGTGCATGACGCACGTGTGTTGTCGAATTCCGAAACATATAAACTGGGGAATGATGGTGCCCTCTTTCCTGATTTCAAAGAGACCATACTAGGCCAGGATATCCATCCATGTATACTTGGCGATCCAGCACATTCTTTGTTACCTTGGTTGCTGAAGCCATTTCTGGAAAATCAGAACACCCCAAGAAAGCATCGACGTCTCAATTGCCGCCTCAGTCGTCCCAGAATGACCGTTGAAGACACATTCGGACGTTGGAAAGGTCGTTTTCCTAGATTTTCAAAGCGCACTGACATGAAGGTTGAGGATGTTATTCATCTAGTGGCCGCCTCATGTATATTATAAATTTGAGCTGAGAAGAGATCCACTGCTCAACGAATGGTTTGAACAAGCTCAAGACAGGTCCTACCCTCAGCCAGAAGATGGAGATGTGCCATTCAGAATGAATGGCACAGAGAGAGGGCTGATGCATCAGATACCCGCAACATATTGGCCAACTTTTTTATGACAGAGGAAGGAAGACAAATCGGTTCAGGAGCTGATAGCAATTGAAAGTTAAAATATTTAATACCATCTAATGATTGTTTTTGTATGAACACTCTTTGAGTGTTACCACTCTTTGAGTGTTAAACACCAGTCTTTGAGTGTTTGTTGTGTTATTGTTTATTATACCTTGGCCAAATGTAAATTGAGACTGGATTATGAAACTGACTTTTGACAATCCTGTTGCTTTTTCATTAATAAAGTTTACCTGCATTGCTTACCATGCTCAGTAAAGTTCATAGACATAAGAACAACAACTACTTTTATTTCAGTGGCATAAGCAAGAAGACTACAGCCAGCATTATTTCGAAATATCAACAGTGTTCTTTGGGCTTACAACTGTAAGTAGCTTGGGGTTCATCAAAGCTGCCGCTGCTACTGCTAGTGTCAACACTAGACCTGTTACTGGGTGTAGAGAAGCCAAAACCATCATTTTGATAGCTCTAGCTAAAATTTTGACTGACAGGAAATGCCGCCATGGGAGCCTGCCAAGAGAGTAACTATAAAACTGACAACTCGTGTTGCCTTTCTTTTCGTCTTCGTTTCATTTCCAGTTGCCTTAACTTCCACTGAAATTCCATTTCTCTCTTATGGCGCTCTTCTTCAATCTTCTGCTGCTGTTTCATCTCCATTTCAGTTGCTTCCTTAAAGCTATCACACAACAGTTTAAGGGACTTTTCTAACTTAGTTTTCTTTGGCTTTCTTGAAGTACTCAAGGTTTCTGCATCTCTTTTAAGGGCCTTTTTCCCTTCTTGTCCTGGGTCTTTCTCAAGGTCTTTCAGGTCCACCTGTACCTTAGTGCTTTGACCTTCACTAGTCTGCTGTTCATCAACTATGCCACTTTCAAAGGTCGAATTGCTCCACAGATCTTACAAAAATAACAAACAACAGCATTATGGTTATTTAAAGATAATTGGTAAATAAGGTAGGGGAATTAAAAAAATACATGACCGACCGTCCAATGTTTCCATAACGGAAAACAAACCACACACTGACATTCTTACCAATTTCGCAACTTTCAGTATCATTAGTGGATTCACCCTCTGAATGATCAGAATGGTCATTATCCTTTGAGGATTCCAACAAAACTGTTGGTGTAATGTTGTCTCGATGCCCGCAAATGGCCTGCATATCGTCGAAATATCGCCATTTTTCCCTTCGACCAGTCCCACTTCTTGTGGATTTATCCACTTCTTTCTTGAACTGTTTCTTCATCTTCTTCCATTTGTTTATTATTGAATCCACATTGTACTTTATTCCTGAAATGAATAAAAATGAAAGTTTTTACTTCATACAGACATTTCTAACTTTATGAACAGCACAGCACCTATGACAACAACGATAACAACCACACCCTAATGAAGAAAATCTTACCTCTATTTTCAAGTTGCACTTGGACGACAGAGTACCCTGATCGTTTTTCTTTAGGTGTCTTCGCGTTGTCTAAGTTAAAAGCTATTGTTTCTTCGGACCAAGAAAGGTACGTTGTTCAACTCATGCGCAATGTAACAAATGTTTGGTAAAAATGGAGGCACGGCTCGGATACCTCTTTATATTGTACTGGAAATCCAAAATAATGGCTCGGTGACCTTTTTTACCCGTGCTCGGACTACCTACCGACTTGGTCCGAGAGTATTGGTCTCTTGATCCTGGTCTTGATATTCATCCGCTCTGCTCTAACTCAGGCCAGTTAAAAATAATGCATCGTAATACTCAGTCCATGGTTTCGACATTTAATTAGCTTTTACTCACTGTTAATTCATATCCACTGGACATTGTAGCATTGAGCGAAATCTGGCTTAGAGATCAACCGCAGTTATTAGACTATGTTTCTATCCCTGGCTTTGTTATGGAATTCCGGAACAGGGAAGGTATAAGGGGAGGTGGCGTCGGTGTTCATATTAAGGAAAATATCAATTATAAGCGCCGTCGTGACATTGAAAATGCCCACCCAGAACTTGAACACCTATGGATACAGGTGCCTGGCCGCAATAAGTATAGTAGGGCTCTTGTAGGTGTGATCTATAATTCCGAGCGCATGCTCAGTCCTTCTTTTGACACCGTATCCTTTAGCGCGACCATCGTGAAGTTCTACAAGATCGGTTTCTGAAAACCCTTTCTCAAGTGGCTCTTGAGCTATCTATCTGGCCGCTCCCAGTTCGTGCAGATCGACGATAGGAAGCCCTCGTACCAGTCATCTCAGTATGGCGTTCCACAGGGGTCCATCCTGGGACCGATGATTTTTAACTTATATGTATCAGATCTACACGAGGTGACCTTGTTTCGTGCCTATCACCTGACCATTGTTTGAGGCGATCACATTAGACCAAGCGTCCTTTCAAATATGGCGCGTGGTCCATTACAAAGCGAGACCACGTGTTCCTGAAGAAGAAAACTTGAAAGGACGCGTAAAATATCATTTTGACATTGTCTCCCGTGAAGTGCACATGCATCTGTTCTAGTGCATAGATAGTTCAAGGACGAGCCAGCAATAGGAACAAGATGAAATCTGTGTTACTGCCTCTCATAATTACATGCTTTGCTTCAGGTAAGTAAGGAGGTATAGCGGGTAGCAGGTATACTATTTCAGTCAATCTACTAGAAGACTATCACGTGTCTAAAGTTGATGCTGTTTTGAAAATGTAGATGGGTTATTATTCACAATGGCACGAATAAAGCTCTTTAAGGTGAGAGGCTTACGTATTTATCAGATCTTTTTATGTTACCGCACGGAGAAAAGATCAGTCTAAGTTTGACCCACCAGTCCCTCAGGAAGTAAAAGCAACATGTCGGTCTATAAGAGTGTCTATTGCGATAGACATAGACATAGAAATAGAATAATCCAATGAAACAATAGAACAATAGAACAATAGAACCTGCAGACGCTCCCTTTGACAAAGGATTTTTGAGAAATATTTCGAAACACGTTGCCAACACCCAACTGAGACCTTTACGCAAGGAATTAGCTTTTAGCATGATTTGAATTTATTTTTCAAGTAAGACTAACAGAGAGTGGAAAAAAATACATGAATGCATTTAAGGCATACGGTGACTAAGCACTGCACAATTACCTCATATTTTCTTCGCTTTAACTGTTGCACAGCCACACAAGACTGTTAAAGCAAACTTGAGTTCACCAGTGTGACCTAGCTTTCAAGATTTGACTCCTTGCGAATTTGAACCTCCCTCGAACTTTTTTCTTTCGCCTTAAATAACTCAGAATCATTCGCTGTTTCACTCACAGTTACTACACAGCTAAATCGAAGAGCTGACACTCAATTACAGAAAGAATTTCCCACACGGTGAATTATGAGTTCAACTGCAACAACGAACCATTTACCAACAAGGTTGCCATTTTCAAAGAAATTCATCTAATTGGTTGCGTTTTTCAGGTTCAGCATTATGAGATGTGCGACGGAAGTTTGATGTACGGTTCAGATTCTTATCTCTTCATACGTCAGCCACTTCGGAACATTCTCAGTATTTTGGAAAGTTCGGCCTCAAAATCAATTTAGCTCATTTCAATTCTGTGTAGCTCAGCTGGTCTTTGACTAAAACGATGCTAAACTCGGCGGCAAAACGAACTCGAAGCCTGCAATGACGAAGAGCGGCTTGTTCAACCTTTGTTGGTTGCCTATGGAAACTTCTCTTTTATTGGAAACATAACATTCTTCAATATGTTCTTTATCTCGTGGTTCTCAACCCAACATGCATGATGCCACGGGAGGATATAAGGATGATGATTAGTCATGATCGAGATCCGTCGCCATATAATAATAATATAATGGCATCCTCGTCTCGGAGAGGCGATGGTCAGCGCATCAGTGTTGGTGGGCTCTTGAGTGGCTCAAAAGCCCGATTCTTGAGTGGCAATCTTTGTTGCAGCTGGAACAGATGTAATTGGTGGCCTCTTGATCTGATCTTTGACGTTTCTTTCTCGTCCCCCTCTTGATAGTCGCCTCGGCCCTGGCCTTCATCTCAGCCCTGTGAGCCCCGTCCTTCACACCCCGACGCCAGGCTTCCCGGTCTGTCGCAAGGATCTCCCAGGTGTTGGGGATGATTTCAGTGAGTTGCAGGTCACGCTTGCAAACGTCCTTGAAGCGAAGGAGTGGTCGGCCCGTGCGTCGGACGCCCTCTCGCAGTACCCCATAAAGGATTTGTCTTGGCAAGCGACCGGGGTCCATACGGTGTACATGGCCAAGCCACCGTAAGCGTCTTTGGATGAGTAGTGTAGAGATGCTAGGCATGTCGGCTCGCCCAAGGACCTCGGTGTTGGGGACTCTGTCCTGCCATTTGATCAGGAGAAGACGCCGAAGGCAGCGGAGGTGGAACCCGTTGAGCCGCTTCTCTTGTCTGGCGTATGTGGGCCATGACTCGCTACCATAGAGGAGTGTGGAAAGGACACAAGATTGGTAGACTTGCAGTTTGGTCCTCACGCTCAGCAGGTCATTGTTCCACACTCTTTTGTTGAGTTTGGCCATTACTCCCGCTGCCTTGGCAATCCTTGAGCTGATCTCGACGTCTAGTGATGCCTTGTTTGATACTGTGGACCCTAGGTAAGTAAAAGAGTCCACCACCTCCAGTTCAGTATTGTCGATTGTAATGACGGGAGGTGTCAGTGCATCTTGGGCAAGGATGTTCGTCTTCTTTAGGCTGATGGTAAGGCCGAACTCTTTGCAGGCGTGAGACAGCTTATCGACTAAGCGTTGGAGGCCTGCCTCGCTGTGAGATGCCAGGGCAGCATCATCTGCGAACAGCAGCTCGCGGATGAGCACCTCAAAGGTCTTCGTTTTGGCGCGGAGCCTGGCAATGTTGAAGAGCTTGCCGTCTGCCCTTGTCCGAATGTATACACCGTCCGAGGAATCGGCAAAGGCATACTGGAGTAACATCGAGAAGAAAATCCCGAACAGAGTTGGTGCCAGAACACAGCCCTGTTTTACTCCACTTCTGACTGGGAAAGCATCCGAGGTGGCTCCATCAAAGCAGACGGTGCTCTGCATGTCCTCGTGGAAGGCGGCGATGATGGCAAGGAGTTTCGGTGGGCAGCCGATCTTCTGAAGGATCTGGAAGAGCCCGCTTCGACTTACCAAGTCAAAGGCTTTGGTCAGGTCCACGAAAGCGAGGAACAATGGTTGCTGCTGCTCACGACACTTCTCCTGTAGCTGGCGGAGGGAGAAGATCATGTCCACTGTGGACCTGGCGGCTCTGAACCCACATTGGGATTCTGGGTAAACTCGTGAAGCAAGACTCTGTAGACGACTTAGAGTGACACGCGCAAAGACTTTGCCTACAGTGCTGAGAAGCGAGATGCCGCGATAGTTATTACAATCGCTTCGGTCACCCTTGTTTTTGTAGATGGTGACTATACTTGCATCTCTCATGTCTTGTGGGATGTGCCCTTCTACCCAGCATTGGCAGAGGAGCTCGTGAAGCGGCTGGAGGATGAAAGGCTTGCCGTGCTTTAGGACTTCTGATGGTATGCTGTCTTTCCCTGGCGCCTTGCCGCAGGCAAGGTTGTCGAGGGCTTTGCTGAGCTCCTCCAGTGTGGGCATCTCGTCAAGCTTCTCCATGACTGGTAATCTGGGCAAGGCATCAAGGGCAGCGTCAGTCACGATGTTCTGGGTCGAGTAGAGCTCGAGATAGTGCTCGACCCAACGCTGCAGCTGCTTGCTCTGGTCGGTGATGACTTCACCAGACTTTGCTTTGAGCGGTGCTGTCTTGATGCTCGTAGGGCCAGTGGCTGTCTTGATCCCCTCATACATCCCTCTAATGTGACCACAGTCGGCAGCTGTCTGGATCTTGGCGCACAGGGTCTGCCAGTACTTGTTGGCACAGCGGCGGGCGGTCTGCTGGGCCTTGCTCTTAGCTGCTCTCAGAGCGTCGCGTGTGCTGTAAGAAACTTTGTGCAGCTCCTTGCACTTGAAGGATGATGCAGAGGCCACGATTGCAGCAGAGTTCAACAGTCTCTGCCCATTCTCATTTAACTTGCCAACACCGAAATCCGAGACAGGCGGGCCATCGCCAGTCGGAACCAGTCCGTTTTAAAACGTACAGCGGTTGAAAACCATAGTCCTTTTAAAAGTACAGCGTTGAAAAGTGAGGTAAAGGTGAGTTTTTTTCGCTTTGAAAAGGCAAAAGCAGCGCTCGCATGTGTTGTAACCAATGAAGAACAATCTAATGAGGTCTGATTGGCTTATATATTCATATTTCGATTATCCGGACCCTCGATTATTCGGACTATTTCGTCTTGTCCCAACGAGTCCGGATAATCGAGGTTCGACAGTACATCAAATCTCCACTCCAGCTCACCATCAAGTTTGAGTTAGTGTATCCAAAAATAGCTTAGACGTGATAGATTTCTCGTTGCACCTGTGAATTGCTTTATTGTCACTGATAGTTATCTTGACGTCACGGATGGCCTCTCTTGTTCACTCCATCTCCTTTATGAACGAGCCAATGGGGATGCAAGACAAACAATTTTGAAACAAAAGTGAAAATATACAAATGGCATACATTTCCCCTGTTGCACAGAAAAAAAATTTAGCGCGTGAAATTCGAATTACATCTCTCCGTCTTTAAAGTTAATGTTTTCCTTTGCATAGGTAAAGTGAAACGACCTTAAAACGTTGTTCTTAAATACGCTTATAAATGATTTAACGCACGTAAATTGTTCCACTTACCCTGAAGTTATTGAAAATGGAAATGCAGAGCAAAATCCATTGTACATCAACACTAAATACAAACCACTCTCCTTCCATCATCAGACATGTTCCAACATCAATAAGCTCAAGGACTTTAAACTTATCGCGTGATGCAAACAAATTCTACAAAGGAGCCAAATTATACGACGTCCAGTGGCCGGAGGATACAATAAGAACATAGAACACGTCAAAGTTCGAAACCAAAGAACGAAGAATAAGGATAGATCTGCAAACATTATTTGATTTCGTCTGCCATACAGCTAAAACTTTGCTCGTCATTTAAGATAAACCATATGGGATTTATTATTTCACTACTAGTTCATTCTCTAGCATTTTGGCTACAGCTTTCTCTGAGTATCGTATCGATCGCATAAGGCGTCGGCAAAAGATGACAAGAACACAAAGGAGACAATTTAGGTGTTCTTTATAACAAAAAAAAAATCCGATGGACTTAATGGTTCGTTGCTCAAAAAGACAAGCCTAAAAGACGAAAAATTATAAGTTTGGATCGTTCACTGAGGCTAGTTTGTTGCCCCGCTTTCTGTCTGTGTTTTTGCCCTGCTTCAAACTGTAATACCGTAGCATATTTTGCGCGTCCAGATGACTTAATATGGTAAAATGGCGTAAAAGTGGAACAACAAATACATATATAAACTCTGCTGCTATAATAATTCTGAAAGAGCTGGCGAGCAGTAAAAAGTTCTTGCCACTCAAATTTTAACCGATAGTTGATAAACAAGAATGCGTTCTTCAAAAGTTGATTAGAGCCTTAACATTGATTTTTTTTATTTACAGACTCGCTGTGCTTCCGTTGTTATCAGTGTTTTTCTCATTTGTCATGGGAGGACTGCAACAAACACGCCATAGAGACCGATGAGTGCAAACCTCCAAATGTTTGTTACATGGCTCACCGAATATTTCAACGGAAGGGGCAACAACGGCATAACTTTATCAAGGCTTGTTATAGCCCTAGATGGTGTCCACAAGAAAGGTGTAGACAGACCACGCAGACTTCTGTGGACGGTTCGTGGTGCGAGACAAAGTGCTGTAAAGAAAAAGATCTCTGTAACACTGGAATGACTCCCTCGTGGGAAAGGGCACATGTAGGGAAGGAGTCTGCCGTCAATCAAAATGTACCACATAAAGTTTGTTTTCTTATCACTGTATTGTTAGCAATGTTAACAGCGTGATTAGGATTTTTCAGCCTTTTTCAGCTTGATATGCAATAATGAGCGTAGTTGGACAATAGCATAAGTCAGTTTAAGTTAAACACTTTTAGGCCTGAACGGCTCATCAACGAAAAAGAAACTTAAAAATAGAAACGAAAGGTATGATAATGACGCTTGCTTTTAAAAAACGTAGTTTTATTTGAGGTATGCTTTAGTTTTAATTCTTAATAGTTTTAGGGTTTCAACATGGAAATCAATATCTAATTCAATAAAGCTAGTAATTTACCCCATAACTGACTCGCACTGTGGATCTCAATATCCCCACCCACCCCCCCTCCGTAAAATCAAGTTGATGTGAACACGACCTTTTAGCAATCTAAACTTCATAAAGAAAGCTTCAGATCACTTAACTGTGATCCATCCACAATCGAGTCAGATGTTTTTTTCCTCCACTGTTGTTTTCTGATAATGTCAAAGCAATTTGCCAGTATAATACCGTCTAAATTGAACAGGCCTAGCGTATAGTTTACGGAGAGCAACAACTATTAGATAGAGTAAAATCAGGTCCGTCTTCCATCATCAATAATTACCGCAAGTTTGCGACGCACTTTACGACGCTGTAGAAAAAATTCAACGTACGGCGTACCAAAACTGCGAGTCAAGTTACCCGGAGAGCGGCTTCTTCTTGACTAAGACAATGAGCAATTAATGACAAATGTACTCGGGTGTTTGTGAAAATATGGACATCTGGAGGCGTTAATCATTCTAATCCGCATTAGAAAACCCCGTTTTAACTTGACTTTTCCAGAAAGCTAGGCGAAGAACGTAAAGTCTCCTCATAAGAGGGTGGCGGGCTGTGTTCTGTTCCACCTGCAGTCATGAAATTACTTAAATTACCTTACTTAAATTAAGGTTCACCAGCACATCTTGTAATACAACAGACTTCAACTTCAATCGAGAAAGAATTAGGACCAAAATGATAGTTTCAAAACAACGTACGCTTAGGGGTACCCGGTTAGATCGCACCACGGTTAGATCGCTCCTATTTAGATCGCTCAACTCGAAAGTTAGATCGCTCCATCAAGTAAGTTACTTCGCTACCAAAATAAGTTACTCCGCTCCATGTTATTAAGTGAAGTATTATATACCAATGATCTTTAAAGTTTATAGGTGATGATGTGTCTTGCGACGATTCGAGTACATCGTATTCACTCAGTCCTTCAGATTAGTCACCGAGCTACCGATGTATGATGTATAGCGATGATGGAATAAATTATCGTGGAATAAATTATAACTTTATAATCTGATTAATAGAATTCTAAGAAGATACATGAAAAAATTACTCAGTTCTGATTGGTTAAGATAAATGTAGTTTTTAGGTAATTCAGTTCAGAAGAGGGTTAGTGCAGTGTAAAGAAGTAACAAACCAGACATTCTGATTCGTCAAAAATCAAAGAGACTCACAGATAGCGAATCAAATGCGAGCCTTGGATGTCGCAGCATTCAGATACGCTGAAAATTTGCGAGCGAAACAATGGCCGGCGTTTCAAGTAGGTTTTATTTTGCCACCAAAACAACAATACAGCAACTGAAAAACAGCTCCAACAACGAAAATACTGTAAAAAGCACTGCTTTTTGGTTGTCGGTTTGGAAAAAATGGTGTTCAGAGAAGGGAATTGTTAAGGAAATCGAGAATTACGAGCCGACTCAGCTTAACACTTTCCTCGAGCGATCCTACGCCGAAATTAAAAACATACATGGTTAAACCTCGGAAACGACGATTCCATTTCATCGAAAGTGACAGAGACTGAACAATTCCTTGAATTGTTTGACCGGACTTTGAAATTTTTTGCACCTCAAAGATGTGAAAATATCATTGTATATTTTTGTTTTGATCGTACACGGTTGTTTTGACCGAACGCACGGTTTGAACAAATTATTTTTGCACTTGATGCGCGCGCTTTGCTTCTGCATAATTATGATGAGCTATCTCGTATTTTTTCATTTATATTATTAATAAGTAATCACATGATTTTTCTCGTGCAATTCGGAATAAATAAGCACTTGTTAATTTTTTCAAAGACCACAAATTGCACGAGCCCGTGGGGCTCGTGTAAATTTGTTAGTCTTTAAAAATTTACTCGTGCTTATTTATTGCAAATTGCACTCGAAATCATCTGATTACCTATACAAAGATATGATAAGATATGCACGCCATTTAGTGAACTATCAATTTAGACTCGTTACATTTGCTACGTCTACCTTACATGGAGCGAAGTAACTTATGTTGGGAGCGAAGTCACTTATTTGATAGAGCGATCTAACTTTTGGTTGGAGCGATCTAACTATGGTGCGATCTAACCGTAATTCGCTTAGGGGCCTAATTCAGTAGAGAGGGTCTTGGTCATAATGTGAATAGTATAACTACAGCGTACACAGATAGCTTATAATGTTTTTAGATCATGGCTATGAGCGAATCCGATATGATGGCAAAGATCGTCTGATTTGATTTGCATTCGCTGTATTTGCGGTCTAAGAAAGTGAGATATCTTACCATGAACACTTAGATCGTGATAAGGCGAACCTGGGCCATACAAATCGGGGTAAATATGAGGCAGTGGTCCGGTGTAAGGACCTTGGTGGGGAGGCCGTGACACTGGAGGGGCTGTCGGCTCCACTGGCTCTGCAGTCTGAAATCATTTCACGTGCCAATATTAGAGCATACAGTATGATCTAGGAAAATTGATAAAGGGGTAAAGTTTCTGAAGAAACTGTAGTGCTGCGTCGGTGGGAGAGTATAAAAAGGTAATTCTGTATTATCAAATGAGGTGATAACGTTAATTGGTCACCATTAAGAGTTTCGAAGCTGACGTTTCGAGCGATAGCCCTTCGTCAGAGCGAATGGAGGAATTGTGGGTAGTGTGTGTTTATTCGTAGAATATGGAGCTACGCCATTGGTGGGAACATGGTAGAGAGAAAAACAAGAATAAATTGGTTGAATGAAAAGTATTTGTTGATACCGTGGGGATTAAGAAAGATAAATTTTCGTTCTAGAATGTTGCGGCTTTCCGAACCACTGAGATTTGGTGAAAGGCCGCTAACTGTCATATGCTACTTAGAATGATTAGGGAGATTAAAGTGTCTAGCGACTGATTTGGATGTGTTATTATCGTGTCTTTCTACGTCGCGAGGGTGTTCTCGGAATCGGTCACCTAGTCGTCTTCCTGTTTCACCATTGTACTCACTACTACTCAAGTAGTGTTCGTTACTGCGAAGATCGCTTTCATATTCACTTACGACTTCTTGCAGTAAGCGCAAGTTATGCAGTAGATGACATTGGCGTAGGTACACGTGATCAGTAATTTTGATGGATATCTTGGGTTGCGACATTTTCTTTACTTTATGAATGAAAGGACGGGTTTTGCATCCTGATGAAAACGCATAAGTTCCAGACTGGTCATTACTTTGAAATGGACTTCTGACCAAAAAGTTGCCTATGTTTTTTATCGCGTTTGAATGAAATTAGTGGAGGCTGCGAAAAGATATTTCCAGTCTCTGAATCGTTTAAAGTAATTTTTAGTTGATTATTCGCCGAAGTAATCCGCTTTTCAGTTGATCGGTGCCAGGTTGGCTCCTTATCGCCTTCTGATAATTCTCTCTTCTGCTTAAGAACCGACTTGACTGGAAGTAAGCCTCGATGGTTTCTTCTGCAAGTTAGGATCAAATGCGAGTCAGCTCACCACAAAAAAGTAGACACATGATTTTTCAAATCTGTCACGAAACAAAAGGCTCCGATTTCTCTTAGACCCTCAAAAGCCTCTTTCCACGATAAGAGCCTTCCCTCTTAATATATCTATTTTCCATTAACGAAAAAGAGAGAATTAAATTATCTCGAAACCAAAAGACTGGTAATTCTGTAGTATGACTTTAGCATGACATTGAGTACCGCAACTAACCTCTCGAAATTCTTTTGGTAGGGGCCAAAGAGACTAAAGTAGAGTGATGACACGTGGAGGAGTCTAAAAGCAATCACTCTTTTTTTTTTAAGGTCCGCAAAAATTTTTTCCCGCACCGTCCTTTGACTAAATAATTTAATATCGAATAAACACTCAGTAATTCATCAAAATTCCTGAAAGGTTGCCAGTACACATTCGATTTGGAGAGAGGTGCGAGACCACATCACAGCGAACCGGTCGGGGTTTGAAACTTGATCTATCAATCTGAAGTTCAGCGCCTACCAAACCACCGCGCCTCTAACAGGGATCAATCTCAAATTATCATATTTTTCGATTCGAGTGAAATCTGCCAAGCACACACTCACCTGCTGGCCTTGATTCTCTTTGTCCTCTTTTGTGCACTCAGTATGCTGTGGCATTAAAGCTGTCATCCAAGACCACATCTCCTCCTGATAAAAGTATCAACCATTAACTCAAAGTAGTTTAAGAGTATATGTTAGCTAAACATACCTAAGGTTGGGAGACATTACACAGGTACGAGAGGCACATACCCTAACATAGCAAGAACTAAAGCAAACACCACATCATCTCTAAAAAAATTAACAAAACTTCGACACTGTTATGTATTCTTAGCCTTACAATCTAAATAGTATCAAAATTAGAACAAAAACATGATAGAGATTATTTAAATTAAAACCTAAAATTATAACTTCGCTAGAACAAAGAGAAAATGATTCACGTTCCAGTTGATCTTTTTCTTAGAAAAGTTAACTGTCTAAGCTGCCATGGGTGTGTGAAAAATAATCCAAACTTTTATCAAGCGTTGGATGTTGTCCTTGAGTAGCATGGTATTATAAAGTCAGACGTGCCAGTGTAAATCAAGAGAGGCCAGGTTCCATCCAATCGCTCTGACGAAGGGTTAACGCTCGAAACGTCAGCTTTTTTATTCTTTACGGTGGCCAATTTACGTTTTCAACTCAGTTGTTAACAATAACATTACCTGCTCTACTCTCACACAGACGCCGCACCACAGTTTCTTTAGAAACTTACCGCCTTCATTCATGAGGCCAGGTATGCTACGAAAATTTAGTTTTCCTCAGGGAATGTGATGATGCCGTAGATCGGCGAAAGCTCGGCAAACTGAATCATGGTAGCATACCTGGCCTCACTTGATTTACACGTTTGACTTTAATCCAAACTAGCAGTTACCATTTTCCTAAGAGTCCTCAGAAGTTTAGGGGTTACACTTTTGCCTACTACTTACCCTCTTCACGCATATTAGAGAGCTATGTTTACGTTCAGTAATCTCTGCGTTCAATGCTTTTGAAATGTATTTTCGAACTGCCTTTGATTTAAATATATCACTAATGTTGATACAATAAACAGTCCATACGAATTTGTCTTCCAGTGGTGACAAAAAGTCACAAAACTTAAAGACACAATCTGATCCACATGTGGCCATTGATGCAAAATTTTCATAGCAGGAGATTTAAAGATATTTTATAATGACAATAATGATGGTGACAGTAATAACAATGAATGCCTACCGGTGTGGCACACTGAAGGTACCAAACTATCCCTGACTTTGTGTGAACCTCAAAAACATTTTTTTTGTCTGGAAATGAATCTGATAACTTTACTTTATCAATATCTCCTCTTGTAACTGTATTGACAGGGGTTGGAGCCTGTTGGGTGGAATCAACAAAGGTTGTGTTTAAGTCTCTCAGGAATACTGCTTGATGTAACGGGTTGGTGAATTATAAAGCTGATAAACACAGCCTCAAACTGCATCACAGAGCTCTATTCAAGGCAAATGGTATAATTTTTCAATACATAGCACAGATCTGAAAGCAATTTACGTAAAAATAAGACCCACTAAATATTCAACACTTAGAATTGAGGTTGTTTGAGATTGTTCAGCCGTCTCTCGTGTAGCCACTTTGATGACATGAAACGCAAGCAGTGCTGTCATCAGCATGACTGCCATTTAATTCTAAACAAAGTGTCTCTTGTCCCATCAAGGTAAGGGAACATTATTTTTCTGCCCACTAAATTGCCTGTCCCAAGAGTTCAGATAGTAAAACAGAGGGAAATTTGTTTCCATTTCATTATCATAACAATATCTCAAACTTCATGGGACCATAATGATGTCTTGACCGGTCTGCAGTTCAATTTCTAAATGAAACTGGATCAAGGGGTTTCAATCCTCACATTGGTAAACAAGTAAGTCAATCTTTCACCCAGTAAGCATATCAGAAAACTCACAAAAAAAGGAGATGCCTTTTTTGATTCAGTCTTCTCTGCCAAATTTCTCTTCTTTCCCTTTTCATTTTTATCATATTGCAAAAAATGAAGACGCTGATCTCTGAACTTTGATTTGCTGTTTTTGCTGCCATGAACCTTGCCAGAAACCTCTCCCCCTGTACCACCCTTATAAAAAGTAAAGATACTAATAAAATAATTGAAAAGAGCTCATTAATGCCAGAGAGAGGGAACAATAATAATGAGATTCTGCATCAAATATAGTTCTAGCACATAGATTGACCAAGCCCAGACATAAAAATTGGTAAAATTATTTGAAATTCAAGTGAAAATTCAAGCCCTCAATCACCTTTCAACAATTTGCAATTTTTAAAACTGTTGATTGACACTGTATTTAATAACAGATAAAATTAATATTCATAAAAAATAGTCAAAATTGATTTTTGTTCATTGGCCATACTGGGAAACAAACAATTCATTATCAACAATATAAAATTAACAACCAAAGGTTTCCATACCATAACAGAGAACTGAATAATTCAAGGTACTCACATATTTAGACTCAAAATAATGTAGATACATTCTTTCTAATTTAAAGTATCTTCTTCCCCAGCCAGACCATACATTCTTATATTTTCTGAGCTCTCCTTCTTTCTGCAAAGGTGAAAAATTACAAATTTTATGTAAATGGATTTGATATTTGAAAGTTGTGAATAGATCATTTAAACAACTTACAATCTTAATTGTGATGACTTAATCACTGTTATTAATAGCTAACAACAACAATTTTTTTGATGGAGGAAGTGCATGTTCTGGAGATCGCTTTGGTGGCATACTGCAGTATTGCTATTTTGTGTTTTAGAGACACATGGTGCGGTTTCAAACACCAAGATACCAAGAGCACATGTTCGCATATCAGCATTTCTTGTCGACTTGAAATATTACGATGGCAGTTTTCTTCATTGTCAACCATTCTAGATAAAAATTAAGGGATTCAGGTTTGAGTAAAATAATGTAATTTGTAAAATCTCTATAACATTTTCGGCTATCCCATCGAGGAAGCTTAAAGAGTTTCTTATGCTCACCGTTGGTTTTGACTCATTCATTTTTCCAAAGTGACTAAATCGTTCTACATCGTAGCCATTTTCTGCCAGTGGAGCTTCAGTAGACAGAGCGTAATGATGAAGTACTGGGCACTACAAAGATTCCTTTCCGAGGAGCTCACGACGTCACACAAGATCAACACCTCTTGAAGCAAACGAGTCTGTCATCTGTGATTTCCGATTCCCGCAATTTCTGAGGGACAAAGAAACTCGGATGTGGAGTGGAGCCCACCTTCAAAAACACTTAATGTAATTTTGATAGTGCAGTCGTTCTCCCGTCTGGTAGGACTCTTTGGAACGTCACGCAACACCCCGCAAGAAAAGCTGAGAAGATGCTGCGTGACTTTCTGAGGAGACAACATCTCCTTAGGAAGGGAATGTCCTCACTGAAGGAACGAGGTCGTCACGAGACACGGTCTTGCTTTTCACGTCTAAGTGAAAAAGTTTTTTGTTTCAGAGAGGAAATCTGGATTTTTGAACATACAAAAAAAAAAAACGTGTTTATAAATACAAGTTCTTGCTCATTAATAAAGCTGTAAATTATAACCTCGACTAACTGCAACGGGAGTTACTACATCACGGGTGACGAGCGGGGGATTAAGAAATGACCGAAATACGCGTGGTCAGCGGGAAAACAAATTTAATACTCAGACATAGTCTGATGCTACTCTGGTTGGCAGATTTAATGAATGTAACCGAAGAAGTTAAAATTCATAGACCCAACGTTTCGACACTCCTGTCTAGTGCCTTCATCAGGGGGTGATCTAAACGCTGCAACAAGAGGTCCTTTTATATGATCACTAATTAGCGGCCTTTTTTCTGACGAGACGTAAATAGGCGTCAGGAAGCAAACCGCCATCGTCACGATTTAAAGGAGCGTGCGCGGAGTTAATATGCCAAGCCTCCAAACAAAGGCGCTGGTGGTAACGCCGATTAGTGGTGATAATTTTAGAATTATCCCACCCAATTGTATGGTTAGTAAGGCATGTATGCTCCGATAAAGCTGAATTTTCCTTTTTGCAAAGGAAAATCGCTTTTTGGTGCTCTTTTAACCGTGTACCAAACTGACGTTTGGTCTGTCCGATGCACTCGTTGTCACAGTCATTGCAAGGAATAGAATAAATGGCGTCGGTTCGTTGTTCCTTCGTGACAGGATCCTTAGGTTTGGCGAAAATATGCCCCAAAGTCTGAAAAGGTTTTTGAGCAACTTTAACGTTGTGGCTATTCAAAATTCTCTTGATGGGTTCCGTACCACCCTGTATGTAAGGAATAACAGCAAAACGGTAGCCGGTTGTTTCGCTACAAAGTTGTTTCGCTACAAGTCGCTACAAGTCGTTTCGCTTCAACACGGATAACACGTGATTTCTGTAGCGAATAAGTCGTTAGAGTAGATAATTTTCGCTGGTTTCGTAGTTATGGTTAAATGTTTAAACAATAGATTTTTATTTGATAGTGAATATAACTAGCATAATTAATATAATTACTGTTGTAAATAAAAAATAGTCCTGAGTTACAAATAAACTTAAAGCTGGAAGTAAATGTTGTCTGTTCTTTACTGTCTGAATTTCCCGGGTTAGCCGAATAAAATTACCTACGTAATAATCAATAAAGATTTTCATCAGCGCGCGGGGGAACTGGGTAATATATATAATCCTATCGCTATCGGTCGAAGCGCAGCAACTTTACGTTTGAAAAGGACGCAACACTACAATATTCGCGAAAATTTCTTGAGTTTAAATGAGGTAGCGAAAGTGTAGCGAATCGACTTTTGGGCTTATGGAGTTTGAAGCGAAACGACCTAAGATGTGTAGCGAATCGACTCGTGTTGCAGCGAAACGACTTTGCAGCGAAACGACCTTGAACCCAGCAAAACCAGTTGCTGGTTCCCTTTCATCAAGAGCGTTACTATTTGTAACTGGTTTTTGGCAGTTACGGAGAAAAGTTTTTGTATAGCCATTTGCCTTTAGGACATTGGAAACATATTTCCTCTCCTCAGCCTTCGAATCGAGTGAAGATGGTAGACAGTCAGCCCTCCTAAGTAAAGTTTTGGCTACAGACGTTTTAGGGCAAATAGGGTGGTGAGAATCGAAGGCGAGATATTTGTCGGTGTGGGTAGGTTTACGGTAGACACTTGTCTCTAAATTGCCCTGAACCCCTCTGGACACATTTAAATCAAGAAAGGGCAGATGTCTATCCTTTTCATGCTTGTTGCAGCGTTTAGATCACCCCTGATGAAGGCACTAGACAGGAGTGTCGAAACGTTGGGTCTATGAATTGTAACTTCTTCGGTTACATTCATTAAATCTGCAAACCAGAGTAGCATCAAACTATGTCTGATTGTCCACCTGGTTGCCGTGTGAACTTTAATATATTTTATTTGCGAGAAAAGTATGGTCAAACTGTTATTACAAGGGTCAACCGGCTCGTGAACATCAGAGTCCGCATTGCTAAGTATCGCTGTCATTTGTATTTCAATCACCGTTGTAAAGAAAACCATGTGCTTCCATCGAGTTTGAGATTTCGGCCTCCTTTACGGAGTGCTAAAGGATACAAGCTCATGGTCCGTACTGGTTTTTCTTTTCTTAAGCTACGAATAGATGAATGTCACAGTTCCATACTGCGTCTACGTGCGTTATTCTCCCGTTCACTTAGTGAACTCTCTGCTTTGATTAACAACTCCGAAACTTCCTGGGTCGAGGAGTTCTGCAGTTCGAAAGAACTGCAGACGTTTACCAAACAGAGAGAGAAACATGACAGAAAACTCCGTTACTTGCTCAGTAAGAGGTCTCCTGTTAATTCAGGCTCATCTCTGAAAGATAAATGGGTCATGAAACTTTCCTCCAAGGAGTTATCCGCGCTGGAACGGAGTGGTTTAGAAAAGGGTCTGAAGTTTTGCTATTGCTCCTCGCAAAATACCGACTGCCGAAATTGTCGCCGCTGTTGAGGAGAGTATCTCTAAACTCAACGACGATCGTAAGCATCTGGTAAGAGCAGAAGTAAGTGGCATACTCAGGCGTGCTAAACCTCCTCCCAAAAACATTCAAAAGGATGTTTTCAATGCGCTTATAGCTCTCAAAAAGGATCCGGACAGGCTCGTATTATCTGCTGACAAGGGTAATTGTGTTGTGGTTATGGACAAACAGCAAGATCACGACAAAGCTTTGTCTCTGCTTAATGACAAGAGTACGTATGCTGTCTTAAACTCTGATCCTACCGGTAAAACTCAAAGAAAGTTAAACAAATATTGCTTGATTTGAAAAAAGCTGGTAAAATTAGTGACTACGTACAAAATGTTATACAGTTGTGACGGCTTATGTCCACGTCTTTATGGCTTACCTAAAATTCATAAACCGGGAATTCCTTTGGGACCCATTGTCTCTTTTGTTAATTCTCCGACTTATGCAATTTCTGGTTATCTTGCGAGAATTTTGTCGCCTGTTGTTGGGAATACTGATTACATTCCTGCGAATTTGCGGATTTCATAAGAGATAAAACTCTTAACGCTTGTGAAAAATTAGTATCTTTCGACGTTGTTTCGCTATTCACTAAAATCCCAGTTGATCTTGCCGTTAAGGTTGCGAAGGAGAGACTCAGAGAAGATTCTTCCCTGGGACAAAGAACTTCTTTGCCTGTGGAGGATATTATTCATCTGCTGTCTTTTTGCCTCAAAACCACGCAATTTACATATAACGGCACCTATTATCAACAAGTTTTTGGTACAGCGATGGGTTCGCCCGTCTCTGCTGTCATTGCTAACATGGTAATGGAAGACGTGGAACAAAGGGCCTTAGCCACTTCACCGGTTAAACCCTTTTTCTGGAAACGATATGTATCTTGACTTGTTTAAGGCGTAAATCACAGTCGGTTTGCTTTTCACTTGAATTTTGCAATCTCGACTTTCGATTCCGGAAAAATGAAGAGCTAAGCAACTCTAAAAAAATTTCGTTCTAGATTTCTATATTTTTAGAGTCAGCTGTAGTTCTTTAGCGTTTACTATATATATTCAATCGCCTTATTTCACGTGAAAAAGGCATGTAGGAAAACACTGAGCTTCGAGAAACAGCCAAGTTAATGCTAATGTGTTTACCATGCTTAAATATTAATAATTAGGGCCCCTCGTTTAGGAGACCTTTTTCCAGAAAATCCAGGCGTTAAAATAATTCTGTTTTCCGTTCGAAGTGTTTTTTTTCCTATTTTATTTAACAAATGAACTCGGGATGAATTTAATTTAATTCGAAGCGAACGGCAGGTGAAATGTTGTGTTGGTGTCTCTGTCCCCCCCACGTCTCTGCGAAAGGTACATCCAGACAACCTGCATGGAAAAACTGACCACAGCTATCGCATCAAATTTTAAAAAAAAACCTTTAAAACTAAACTGATGAGCAGCACTCTACGAACGGTAGTCGTAAAATTTCTTTATTCTCCGACGCGTTTCGTTTAACTGTCGTAGACTTCTTCGGGGAGTTTTACAATTTAACACTAAACAACTGTATTTATAAGCCATAGTTAGTGGCTATACGGGAGCCAATGACCATAAAGGCTTGGCCGGACCTACGAATAGGAAAAGGTGAAGTTGCGGAAAATTTGAAAATTTTTTGGGCAAGGTGGGAGAATTCATTAGGGGACCACGGTTTTGGTTTTCTGTTTCGTCACGCATCAAGTTACAAAACGTAAATATAATTCTTCTTAGTGCCTTTCCGGATGCCACTGATGCCTTTCCCCATGCCTCCATTGTTTAATACAGCAGTAAAAGATATATGTGCCATCAACACTTTTGAAAAATTGCTTCACATTTTATTTAGCGAAGTATACTGTTGATATTTCGGCTTAACAACACTATTGTTTTCCGCAATTATAACTGATATGTATCTATATGAGGTATTAAATTTGTTTCCCCGCTGACCACTCGTATTTCGCTCCTTTCTTCATCGGATCATCCCACTCCCGACTGCAACGAGGTGCTGTATGACGTGACCAAACGGCGTCGCTTTCGAGTCATGAGCCCTCTACTCCGTCGTGGTATCTTCTGTCGCAAACTCGCGATCTTAGTTATAAGTTCGTCAATCTCAATCATCAATGGCAAATGTCTTTTTTTTTTTTTTAATTTACGGTTTTCTCATATATGAATTTACATTTTTTCGTACCAAAGGCTGTCCATCGATGCTTTAACCTCGGAGATGACCTCAAAGGTGAGACAGGTTTGGAAAGAAGTGTAAAAAAATTCATTTAAGAAAAGAGGGCTGGGGTTCAAACTCCGTAGAAGATATGTGTTTAACTTGTTAAATAAACCACAACAATCGGTAAAGTAAAAAATCTGACACTACTTATAAAATTCCAAACAAAGAGGTAACAAATTTGCATGAACGAAGGCTCAATAAAAACTAACTGCACTCCGTCAAAACAAACACCAGAGGTACGCGAAAAATTTGTTACCCCCTTGTTTGGAATTTTAAGAAGTTTCGGTTTTTTATTTTTAGCCAACTGTTGTGGTTCATTCAGTTTGGACTCTAGCCTCTTCTTCGTAAATTAATTTTTCTTACATGAGGACTGTTAATGATTAACGAAACCTTGAGGAGACTGTAGAGGAGACTGGAACGGGCGTCACCTCTTGTGCGAACGTGTTACAGGTTGCTGATGCTAATCTGGATTTCAGGTAAGAATCTTTCTAGATCCTGTTTATGCACTCGTCGAGCGATTCACTAGTGCAGACTTCTGCGCATGTTGAGCTCCAAGCCTGGTATAGTCTGCATATGAGCAATAGGTCACTTAGTTCACCTCCCAAACAACATGGGTATGATCTAATATAAAAGAATTATTTTCAAATTAATAATTAAAGCTCAAGCTTGTCTCGTCGTTTTTTTGCCAACACGTTCTTCTAAACTTCCCATTAGTAGTTGATTCATATGATCGATATCAGAAGAATTGTTCAAAATCTTTGCATAACCTTGTATCTGCTGTGATGTTTACATTGATTCGGCGGCGTGGCCGATTAGTTCACAGAGTGCTGGAATTGCACTCTGGAAGGCTTAAGTTCGAACAACAGTTGTGAGGTTGTTCTTAGGGCATACGTGTACAGAAGTAAATTTGGAAAGTTTTTGTTCAATTTACATCCATGATCTTTAGGACTGAATGCACTTAAAAGTAACTTGTCACCCTCGAGGAAGCTCCATGGGGTCTTTGACCGTGTGAAAACTGGACGTGGACAAACCGCGAGTTTTTTAAATGTCAACAAACAAAACAAACATGGCGATCGCACGAACCTGAATCAAGCGGCATTGTATTAAGCGCTCTCCCTGTATTAACCAGTCGGTTTTCGAAGTCCCGAAATTTCCCCTCTTGATCACTGTAATTTTCACCTCTGTTGAACGGTTACCTGCGGTCACCTCTATTGTGCGGCCGCGGTCTTAAATCGTCGCACACTTGTGTAGAACGGTCCACTCAAATAAAACTAACAGTACTCCTTAAAACAAAATATATTCCCTGTTCAATTGTGGCATATAATGGTGTTTTTCATAGTCTATTATGATAACTCTGTTCTGTGGAACATGTATTACGGGATCACCCTCCCACTCTCTACACAGGTCCAACTGTATTAAAACGGGGTAAAACAATGCAGATTTTTCATAATAGAGTCTAGAATTTACAGTAACTATACCCATACTATGCCTGAAAAAGAGGTCAACAGAAAAGAAAATACTGGGGGAAAAATTGTGAAAAGGCAACAGATGCAAAAGTTAACGAATGTTCAGATATCGATCATGAGGAAGTGCTATTTTGTAACATGTTGAGGGCTAAACACTGATGCATATCATAGTCTGCCTAAAACTCTATGGAGTCCCTTTACTCAGGACTTATTTTTGCAACTCATTTTGACTCCACATTCTTGCTGTCATATATTTTGTTCACTGCAGTCTGCTGGTTGCAGTATACTGGACCAAGAAAGAGAAATGGATGCAGAAGATTTAATAGACATTAAGATCCCACCTATTGCTGATAGTGGAAGTGAAAATGAAGATGAGGATGACCTCAAAGATTCTTTATTGGGTGGGGAAGAGCGAAGAGGAAGTGATCCTGGAATTAAACCATCACCAATGCCTGCGGTGAATGTTGTCTCTAGATTTGTCACATTTTCGTAAGTGAAATCATAGATAATGTGTTCTTCCTCCATTCAGAGAATTATTCATAATAGTGTTATGAGTAAAGAGAAGGTTGTAAGACTAAGAACTTAAGAGGGGTGTTGTTGTTAATGTTGCATTCACTTGCTGGTGACAGGAACAAGTAGGCTCATGATCTGTCTAGTTTTTTTGAAGAATGCTGTTTTGATTTTTATTGGTTTCATGATACAAATGGAACATGCTGCATGAGATTACCACAAAACTCCAAAATACAGCATGAAATCGAGTAACACAGTAACATTGCAAATCTCTTTGTCCCCTCAAAATTGGAGTCCTTTCAAAGAAATCTTCATGTGCTATCTTTTTTTCTTATTTCTGTTAACAGGTGGCTTAATCCTCTCTTGTCCCAAGGAAGTAAAAAACCTCTTGAGGCAGAGGACCTGTATGGGCTTAGAACACAAGATTCTACTGGTGAACTTGGAGATAAGCTTCAAAGGTAAATCTCTAAATGTTTTATATTACATGTATGTTAACTGATTCTTAAGAGCTCCTCTCTAGTGTGAGACTGAGATAGCAAAATTTAATATACTGGTACATGTTTATTTAATTTCAAACTCCAGATATTACATTTCTAGTGTTCTGACAACTGGGGTTGTGACAAATCATATACCAATTCACTTGATAAATTATGGAAAATAATTCTACCAAGTATTGTCACACTGTAACCTGAATTACTTTTGGCAGGAAGCAATTACTTTTGCTAGGCACTAAACTATTGAATGGTACATATCTTTGAAGTTCCACTCAAAAATTTTGCTCTTGATATCAATTTTTTCATGAAAAAGTGTCACTAATGGCTTAATTAACTCTAACTCATTTTTATAAAATTTCTGATATTGTGCAGTTTCTCAACCAAAAAGCCTGCCAAAACAAACAGTTCAACTGCTCAAATATGTGGATCTCTTTTGGAATACATTACTGTTGCAAATTTAAAAGGTACCATGGGAAAAGTAATTGATGCAAATTTTTTTTCCCAAAACCATCAATATTCTAATGGTAGGACACTGAGTTTTTAGAGAAAGAAGGCTAAAGGAGTGATGTCATTCTTGACGCACATGAAACTTTTTTCTTCTGGTAAATTAAAAAATTCAGGTGTAAATGTCAAGGTACTCTTGGTAGTCTTCTAAATCTAAATACTGCATTCCACCTGCCTCCCTCTGGAAAAACATGGCCTTGATAGAAAAAACCATCAATGTTCTAATGGTAATGTAAACATAAGTTTGGGTTAAAAAGCCTTATTTATTACTGCAACATAAACAGGGCAGTTACATGTTCAAAAGGACCGAAGAAATATCCTGAATGCACATATCGTTATATAATCATTGGTGGTGGGCTCATTGTGATAAGTTCAATTGCATGTGCCTATGTTTGTTGCTTCTATATAGCCAGGTAATTTATGCTGTTATGCTTCTAACAGCATTTCGTCACAGTAAGACATTAAATTTTTAAGGGACAAAGACTAAAGGAGTGATGTCATTATTGATGCACATGATGCTGTGTTCTTCTTGTAAATTAAAAAATTCAGGTATAAATGTCAAGGTACTCTTGGCAGTCTTCTTAGTCTAAATACTGCATTCCACCTGCCTCCCTTTGAAAAAACATGGCCTTGGTAGATTATAGAGTTCAGGTACTCATCAACAAGGAACCTTTTCAACACTTGTTTGTTTGTATCTGAAGGGAGTGGAAGAAAGAGCGATATCTGGCAGAAGATAATGAGAAGACCCCCAGCTTATCTCGTGCCATTGTGAAGGCATTTGGAATGGGATACTTGCGTCTAAGTGTTTTTGCAATCATAATTGTGAGTACTCTTAATTTATTCCTGAATTCTCGTTTGGGATTTTAAAGCTACATTTATGATGCAGGTATGGATTTAAATATACACAATAGTATACCTGCAAAGATATATTTTTTCTCCAGCTAGGGCTCAGGACTAAACCACAATTGGTCATAGTGTCACACACTAGAATTAATTTTTTTATTTCTTAAATATTAGTATTGGCTCAGTAAATTTGAAACATTTCAGAGTCTGTATTGTTCCAAAAAGGCAGTTACATGTATATACCACAGACATTGAAGCTGGTGCTTTTTATTGCCTCTTTTTGTGAGTATATTTATTAGTTTAAAATATCTTTAGACTGAAATGATTGTAAACTGTAAGTTTAATTGTATTTTCCTCTCGACAAAGAACTACAGTATGTATTTTGAACAAAGAAAAAAAGATCCTTTGTAATATTTTCATCTGAAATTCATTTTAAGCTACAGCAAAAATTTGAGTGGTAATTTATTCTTTTGTAGGATGCTTTAAGAATCATTCAACCCATATTTCTTGGTCTACTCATTGGTTATTTCAATGAAGAAACCACAACAACACAGAAGGAAGCCTTTTTGTATGCTCTAGCAGTGTGTCTGTGCAGTGTCATGTCTAGCTTTCTCATGACCCCGTTCACATTTTTACGGCAGTGCTATGGTATGAGGGTTAGGATTGCCTGTACATCTCTTGTTTATGATAAGGTAATTAGGGTGTAAAACTCTGTTGCATCTAGGGACTATCTTTAACTACTGCTATTCATGTCAGGATCATATGAGTGTTACATTTTGGACAAAGTTTGTGAAATGAAGCTAGAAGTAATTACATGACAGTTTGCCTCACAAAAATTCTACTGACTGGAAAATTGTATGCTATGACTTACTTGAATTGAAATAAGATCACAGTTATGTTGATCTGCATTCCTGTGTTTTATCCCAGGTGCTTAAGCTCAGCAATGCAGCATTGGCTAGTACAACTACTGGAAATATTGTGAACTTGGTTTCATCAGACACTCAGAAGTTTGACTGGGTTTGTAGCATGTCTGTTATGTGGTGCTGAATGTTATTCATGATGTATTATGTGATGAGCACATTTCATTTTCCCTTGGAAGGCTTGTTTCTTTCTCCACTACCTGGTCCTTGGTCCTTTAGAAGCTGTTGCTGTACTTGGACTACTGTGGAGAGAGATTGGTGCATCATCATTGGCTGGGATGGGTCTCCTGTTTGTCATGGTACCCATGCAGATTAAAATGGGCGATGCTCTTATGTATTTCAGGTGGATATATTTCATAGCATGCCTGTTTTAAGTGGAATTCTGTTTCTGAAACATGCTTCTAGGATAGCACAATTATATAATTGAAATATTAATTATCTTTCTCTGTAATATTCCTTTTACCTTAACTGTGTCAGAAACAAAATGCTTACCTCTTCTTAGATCATCACAACCTTTATTTGTTCTGTAATTTGCCTTGGGCTATGCACATACTAGAACAATTTATTGCCTGACTACTCCCTAAATTGGATCCTTTGAATTCTTGTTACTATAATGTATCTTTGATAATAGTAACACCCCAATTTTTATATTCATAAGACGCCAAGCTTCAAGTTACATTGATGAGCGTGTTAAATTGATGAATGAGGCAATTAGTGGAATGCGAGTAATAAAGTTGTACACCTGGGAGGATTCCATTTCACAATGGATCAGGAAAATAAGAAAGTAAGAACACCTGCACACAGTAATAATTATTTTGGGGACCTTCTAGAAGGAAGTAGAGTTGACTTACTAGCAATCAGACACGAAACACATAGACCAAAGTACATGTATCTCATGGTCATAATTAAGTTATTTTTTTTGTTTTACCTTAAGGATGAATGAGCAATCTATCAAGTATTATTGAATGTCACTTAAGCAATTAACTTTAGCTTGTTAAGGATGCAAACATACAGTACCTTTGCACTGACAAAATTCATGTAAATAAGTGGAGAAAAAGTATTTATTATATTTACTGTCACTTTTTGTGTTGATTTAATCTTATTTTTTGAGTTTTTGGGATCATGCGCTGTACAATGTATTGGGGTAGAAGTGCATACACTTTGAGCTCAATATCATGTTGATGCTATTTGTTTTCTGGATTATCTCTGAATTTTGTTTTATTGAATGTAGGGTTTTCAGTAAAAGCTAGTTACCTATGGTCTCTTGCCACCTTTTTGAGACCTCTCATCACTGTCTGTTTAGCTTAGGAGCAGGTCTTCTGTTCGTATTTAACCTCAAAGCACCGCTGCCTATTACACCATTGGCAGCTGAGTATGAAAGAAATTGTTATGAAGCCCCTGAATGTTACTCTCTCCCATTATGAAATTATGGACTAGAGAGTAACTTGGTTCCTTAAGTGTCTTGTGGAATGATAATTTCTCTTTCCTTTTCAGCACTGAACTCTCCTGGTTTCGAAAGCTGGCCTTTGTGCGTGGCTCATTTTTGTCATTCTTCTTTAGTTCTTCAGTGCTAGTGACATTTGTAACATTCATGACGTATGTGTTGACTGGCCACATTTTAACTGCTCAGAAGGTCTTCACTTGCCTGTCTTTGTTCAATTCTGTTCGTATAGTAATGACGCTGTTTTTCCCTATCGCTATAACTCTTATGAATGAAGGAAGAGTTTCCATTGAAAGGATGCAGGTATGTCTAAGTTAGAAACTGTACTCTTCAGTATTATTAATTTCTTTTTAAGGAAAGCAGGGTCATATTAACGCAGATGCATAGAAATGGAGCCTTTTTCTAAAAGTAAACATAATCTAATAAATGTATCACCAAAATTTGAATGCTTCGCAGGATGAAAGAAAATTTCTTTTGAAATAACATAAACAACTTGCTTTGAATTTCCATTAGAATTTGATTCTTATAGGGAAGAGTGTAATACATGTAACATACTGGCTACCATATTGGATTTTATTTGAGGGAGACAAAACAGAGCTCTCATGTTTTTGTTTCTTCTATTGCATCATTGATCATTGATTTTGAGGATGAGAAGTGTGTTCTCATTATCTGTACCATGCAATGAACCTTTTAAAAAAAAGAGAACAAGGAAAGGTCAAAGACTAAGTCATATTTTTGGTAGATTTCTAGAAGTGTTCCAATGGTTGCAGTAACTCTGAATTTTGGTGATAACTTACAGTGTGGCCGTAGTTTTTTTTTTTAAGAAGACATACAATGTCATGTAGTCTTGCATATACGTTATCCTTGGTTTGCAAATTAGGTCATAAAAGTCCAAAATAACAAGGGCTAATACAGATTTTCCACTGAAGAACAAAAGACCTCCTGAACATTAACCTTTTGGTAAGGTTTCAGCGTCATGGGGTTCTCCATTTTAAAAAAAGGGCCATTAGAGAGTGACCAGGAAAGCTGATACGTTTGTAAATTGTAATTTTATCATCTGACATTTTGTTCCCTAGGCATTAAAAACATTAAAAAATATGTGAAGATGTGGATAACTAATCACTTTAGTTGCAAAACAACACTTCAAAATAGCCTCCCCATACTGAGCTCTATAAATTTTTGTCGGACATTTTGGCAAACAACTCAGCAGCAAAAAACCCTGCAGACCTGAAACTTGGGCAAATTGTTTAGTTATCAGTCAGCTACAATAGTTTGCCCTGCTAGCATCAGGCATTCAGTAATTAGATTTTGAATGCATGACAGTGCAAACCAAGGATGGTTTACTTAATGCTCACATACCTTAGTCTCTGCCCTTTTTGTATTGCGAATTACAAAACAGTAGTGCAAAATTGCAGCTTCAGTAAGAACAATGCAACTACTGTAACTGAATTTGTCAAAAGTTGTCATACTCCTTTGTTGAATCTTACTGTCAGAAAGAAAAATGATGCAGCTGCTTTTGTTTAATGATGTTATTTTCTGTGGAGTCTCACCATCCCAAAACTACAAGACACCAATAACATGCAATCCCAAAAATGCTTGAGATGGTATTTACAAGAGTAGAATGAAATCAAGGGTTCTTGTGAATAGCCACCGCCTTTTTTTTTTTTTTTTTTTTTTTTTTTTTTTTTTTTAGAGACTACTTCTCCTAGATGAGTTGCACTCTCATGGTTTGGTAACTTCAAATTTGAGACCAAAACCTGAAGATTGTGGTATTAAAGCTGAAAATGTGTATGCCAGTTGGAATAAGGTATGTTTTTCCACATGTCATAGAAAATTCTTACCATAGACTACATAAAATTATTGAACAACTAAAACTAGAGACAATTGAAGATAATCCCACAGCACTCTCATATTTACTTAAAATACATATTGTGTACATGTACCTTTTTGACTATACATGTGTTAAAGTTTCACATTCATTCTATATCTTTTTGGTAACAATAATTTCTGTTACGAATTTTACAGAATTTAGTAAAACCAACCCTCAGCAACCTTAACTTTGATGTATCTCAGGTGAGCACAAAGTTGGTCCCCTATTGTCTATTTTTATATTTCACCCTTTTATTTCATTTATTTTTAATCTGAAAGCATTAATTTTTTTCTCAAAGGGTGAACTTCTAGCAGTTATTGGAGCAGTAGGCTCTGGAAAGGTTAGTTTATTACTTTGTGAGTCTGATGAAGACTTTTATCCCAAAATATTATTATATGAATTGGTAGTTTCTGAGAAAAATCTGAAAATACATGCAATTGTTATTTTCCATTTACAGTCATCTCTCTTAATGTCCATTCTGGGAGAGCTCCCTTTGACTGAAGGTCAAATTACTGTGAGGGGAAAAATTGGCTATGCATCTCAACAGGCCTGGATTTACAATAGTTCTTTGCAACAGAATATTATATTTGGCAGTGAATACGATGAAAGCAGATACAGTGAAGTGATAAAGGCATGTGCCCTACAAAAGGTATGCATGCTCTTCATTCATAACAAATTTTTGTACCATTGTCTATTTTTAGTTGAGCCATGTTTTCATTTAAGACTTACAGAGTTGTATTCGCTTATTATGACACTGAGAATGAGTTCTTCCCAAATGGTTGAGAGTTCTGCACTGTCAGTGACTTTGCATAAACGTTTCTAGGACAACCCCAGTACTCCTTACAATCATTTATATGATAAATGAACAGCTTCAGGAGGGGGACTGGGTGTGAGTGTTTGTGGCCACAGGGGAAATTGTTGTGTTGTACAGTAGCTCAGCTTTCTCTTTTTTTTTCTCCCAAGGATATTGATCTGTTGGCAGATGGGGACATGACTCTTGTGGGTGAGCGAGGTGTTTCCTTAAGTGGAGGGCAAAGGGCAAGAGTTAATTTAGCAAGGTTGTTTTTAATGTTTGAGGAATCTGATTTTTTAGAATTTCTTTTAACTAGAGAGTATAATTTTGTTTTAACAGCAACCATTTGTCATTCAGAGCTACAATGTATGTATTCTTGTGTCTCAATACCTACAGAAAAATTTGTCCAATAAAGGGAATAAATTTAAAGTTTTCATTTGGAAGAACACAAAATGTTTACTTTATAAATTATTTAACAGTTGTTTACCAAAGTGAAGGTGAATAGTGGTTGCTATTTACCAAGCCACTAAACAGCAAGGTTAATATCCATTACTTTCTCTAACACTGAGGTGAATATTTGTTTTAATATACCGAAAAGTTAGTTTATTTCTTTGGATATACCAAAAAATGGTCAGAAATTAAATTGATGATGCATGTTTTTTTTCTCTATGGCAGCTTGAAGGTAGATAGTACTTGCTAATCATTTGCAAACCAGCCAATCAGTGCACTTGAAAAGTACTATTTACCTATGTGGTACATGTATATACTAACTTGGATAGTTACATCTTCCAGTTAATACATGGAAATGCTAGAATTGCTTTGTATCCCATTTTCATTCTCTATAGTTTGCTTTTTTCTCCTCATCAGTGTCATACTGTGAAAGCAAATGATTGTGTTGGCTCACTCTGTTATCAACTCTTACTTTGTATTCTCAGGGCTGTCTATGCTGATGCAGATATTTACATTATGGATGACCCTCTGAGTGCTGTGGATGCAGATGTTGGAAGACATTTGTTTGACAAGTAAATTTACTACATCTTTCTGTTTTCTAGTGCTGATATATAGCTGTGTAGAAAAGTTTTATTGATTTGAAAATGTTTGTAGTGAATACATGTAGTCTTCTTGTGAATAATACATACAATCATTCAACTCTCGCCTTGCAGACACCCTCTACTATGGACTTTCACCTTTACAGTATTTTGACCCATATTCTAAGAATTATAAATATCAAATGTGCGCTACAAAAGCGAAAAGAAGAGAATAGTGATAACAATACAAGAAATAAAAAAACTGGAAATTTCTGAGGAGTATACAACGAAACACTGGGTCATTTTAATAACCTGCCGCTATTGCGCGCATCAGTAGTGAGGCTTGATGTCTGCCGTAACCGAGCACGTAACTGTCTCCTTCATGTCCCTTTTAGTCTTGTATTTAATTTTGCCTTTTTGGGATAGTTCCATCACCTCTTTACAGTTTATGACGAAAAGGTGTTATAAGATAAAATTTACAAAATTCGTTTAATCAGTATCTTGACAGATGCAACCTACCAAAAACGTTCCCGATGTTTAGCTACTCGTAAGATTTCAAATGAGCTTCAAAACACCTTATTTTTTCCTAACTGAACTTTCAGCAAAGTTTCTAAAATAAAGTTTAAGAGGCTCAGAGTCATCTTTGATTATAATGCCTTTGCTCTATATTTTGCTTGTCTGTTTCTAGGTGTATTTGTGGACATTTGGCTCCGAAGCCTCGTATCTTAGTCACCCATCAGCTGCAGTACTTGAAGGAAGCTGATCAGCTGCTTGTTTTGTCAGATGTACGTATGTTATTCCATGTTCATGATTTATTTAAAAACTAATTAAAATAGTACACTATTCCATAGTCAAGGGAGTGTAACGGTAATTAGTAATTAGTCCTTATTTTAGTAATATCGAAAGTGATAGTATTGCGTTAACCTCATGATAGTAGGGGTATCAGCCGGTTTCGCTACTTGTCGAGTACGCTACCTTCGAGTTCGCGACATGTTCGCTACTTACATTCCGAATTCGCTACTTACTTCATTCTACTTCCACGATCTTTTAGAAACAACATCTTGTAGAACCAACATCTTGTTTCAAAGAAACCTGCCTCACTCAACCTGAAATGGGCGCCATGTTTTAGCATATTATCGTGGTTATCATCGAGCCCGCGCACCTTCCGTATTTTTGCCTTGCCGTGTTAAAGTGACATAATAGTTGAACAATTGCCAAATTGTTTACCGGGGCAGTGTCATCTTACCTTCTTCAGAGCTTAATTTGAAATAATAAATCTTGGTTGTTTTGCGGCCGTATTATTAATGAGCAGCCCATTTTAATTTGGAGTACTGTAAGTGACCATAACTCGAGGTTTCGTTAACATATCTGTATTTCACTTTTAGCTCCAAAACTTTTTTTACTTTCGTAAAAGTATCGTAATCTCTTCCTGCAATATTTGCAAGCAAATTACAAAAAGATGTAATGAAAGATTAGAAATGATTTTATCATCTGCTTTGGAAACAATAATTTTTTATCTTGAAGGGTGACTGCATCGGTCAGGGTAGTTACCAAGAACTTGCTAAATCTGGCTTTGATTTTATGGCATTACTGATTGAGGAAGAGGACGATGATTCTGCCATTGAATCTGAATCTGATGAACCAGGAGTAAAGCGGTCATTTAGCCGGCTCCAAAGTCAACATGGGTTCTCCTTGGGTCGCTCAGACAGTGTTCAATCACGGTCTTCTCACAGAACAAGCTTTATGCTGGAAAGCCAGTTATCAATCATGACATCTGAAACTGAAGTATCCATTTTCGTAAGTTTTGTTTGGATGAATTGCTACCTTCTAATTAATCCCAGAACACATTTCTCAGCAACTGTAAATTTGATATTTTCTTAAAGGACGAGAATATCCTTCCTAAAGAGACTAAGCAAGAAGGTGCGGTGACACGGGACACTTATGTTCAGTATTTCAAGTCATTACACAGCCTGAGTGCCTCTCTTTTTGTGGTGCTCCTGTTTGCAATAACACAGGTAAATCAGAGTGCGTTTCGCGTTTGTGAAGTTTTTAAGTGGTTCTCAGTGGAGTGCCATAATAGTAAGGTGAAGTTAATCACAACGACCTATGAGAAAAGAAATGAAATACCATGGGAAACCCGTGTAAATTCCAAGTAAGACCTTGTTAACGACCCTGCGCACGGGAATAACACAAGGGACCAATTTCGGGTATTTTTTTAAATTTGCTTCTGATTGGTGTAGAGGTTGAACAATCACAGTTAATCAGACTTATGCTTTCCCTGATTTTTTCTGCATTCTAGCAAAAACTGCTCTTACTAACACCAAGTGAAAAGTTATTCTCATATGCAAATAGCAGATTAACAAACCTTGTTTTCATGCCTTGTTTTCATCTTTTCTTATGAATTTTTAATTTTTTCACTCATTCGTAACTTGTTGCAATGTTAATAATATATGAAACTGAAACAATAAGTATTCATTTTAGTTTAGTTTTCAATCTATAACTTGAACAAAAGATTCACATTGCGGAAAGCCAGGATAAAATAAGTTATTTAATTTAAACCTCATTTCTTCCTCAGGTTGTCTTTATGTTGTCTGATGTATGGTTGTCTTATTGGTAAGATTTCCTTCTTCACCGTTGTTGATTAATACTCAGACTGCTCCACCGCATTACACGATGACAGTAAAAATGAGAAATTTTTGCCACTCCTGGAATTTCCAGAAGTGGCATTTTCCTGCGTTGCAACTTTGAAAATATTAATTAATGGAGCCAAAATGATGGTAATGCCCGTTTTGAACGATTAGGAATTAAAATTTTCATTTCTTTTTGGCTGTAGGTGTAATGAAGAGGAGAAGTACCTGTTGGCAACGTTTGATACACACAACACTTCCAGCTCCAGTCAAGGACAAGAACTCAACCGCGATTTGTATCTTGGCATTTACTCCGTGTTTGTGATTTGTCTACTTTTCTTTACGTTACTTAGGACTCAGCTCTTCTTCAAACTCACTATTGTGGCGTCAAGAAAACTCCACGAGAAGATGTTTAATGCTCTCTTGCGGGCGCCATCTTATTTTTTTGACACAAACTCAATAGGTGAGAGCAAGTGTGCCTGTGTGTGCACTTTTTACGTTATCACAATGTTATAGTTATTTTGACAAATTGTCAGTATGGACTGCTGTACTGCTTTGGTAACTCTACAGTTGTCCATATTCTGTTAAGTTATTTTAGAACACTTTTCATGCCCCAGCTTACTGAATTCCTTCAAGCAAATCTGTCATCTGTTCTTCTCTAAGGAGCAAGCAGTGTGGAAAAAGGCAAAATAAATACTTTTAATACATTGGGCACAGTTTTTGTGTACAAAATTTTATACAAAAGTCGTATTTAAATTTATTTGTGGGTCAAAATAGTGTTTACACTGAGGTAGTGTTGCTAACCAGATTATTATTGTCCTATTATTAAGGTCGCATTCTAAACAGATTTTCTAAAGACATGGGATTTGTTGATGACATGATGCCGTTCACTTACTGTGATTTTCTACAGGTAAAATATTTCTTAACTAAAAGTATGCAATGACTAATATCAAACTTTAGACAGTGACACCCAACTAACCACTAACTGGATAAGGAGGAAGCCAAAAGCAATAGCATTTGACAATGATATTCTTGGTCTCTGAAAAATTAAAAGTGTATATCTTAAAGTTTATTTTGATAGGGGCTATAGCACTAATTATGATCAATCAAAAATTTTCGCTGGCGAGTTATTGGTCTAAACGCATCGCGTGACCGAATATTCCCATTCTAAATCTGGGGGATATCGGAGAATATACCTTGAGTGATATTCCCTAACTTTCAATCCTTACGTCCAGTTCGGAAAGCTCTGCGTTTAAAAATTAATGAAAGATGAGGAAGCGTTGTGTGTTTGTTACTGTAGATGAAACGTGTTTTTTTCTTTTGCTCATAAAATCGTACCAGAGAACACTGAAAAGTGAACATCCCAAGCCGTAAACGGTAAGCTGTTCGTAAAGATTTTTCCTGCGCGTTGCGAAATATTTTAGGAATAGTAAACTCGATAGCCTCCCTTTGGCTCGGAGAAAATGCTCGTGTGTTTGTCCTTGGACATCATCTGTTGTTCGAAGCTCACAGTTTTCCTCGAGCTTCGTTCTCGGAAAACTGTTTCTATCTCAGAACAGATAGTGTCCGTGGGCAAATAGTCGTGCATATTTTCGCCCCAAATGGAAGCTATTGTTCATAATTATATACTTAAATCTTGTTTCTAAGATAGAAAAGAGGCAATCAATGTAATAATTATGGTGAATTTTTTCAGACTTTGTTCGTTGTTGTTGGGATTTTGGCGTTAGTAGCCAGTAACAATCCTGTTACATTTGCTGTTGTCATTCCCATCGTGGTTGTGTTCTGGTACCTAAGATCATACTACATGAAGACATCTCGGGAAGTGAAAAGAATCGAGGGAATAAGTAAGTAAATTTGTATATTTTGATCAACTCGTTTCCTTCATATAACTCAGGCGGCATGGAAAGCGAGCTGTATTCGTGATGATAAAGTGAGACTTCTACCATATTTCTTTCCTATCATTTCTCTATCCCCCACCTCTTGTGCCGGAGCTGATTAGGCATTAAGAAAGTGCGTATGAGTCAGTTTTTTTATATGGAGAAAATTAGTGCTTGAGTACAGGATGAGCCAAATGGTTTTTCGAGTACAAGTACACATTCCTGATTCTGATACAGCTCTATATTTCACCGCATGCATTATTCGGACAAAATTTTAATAAGGTTTCCATTGAAGTCAATGGGAATATATTCCACACTCATTAAATCAACAAAATGTGTTTGGTACCCTGTGTACCTTGTCTTCCATTGGCAGAGCATTTTGTTAGAAATTATGTGTGGATATTATGTGTGATAAAGTCGTCACCGATAATAATATCTGTGCGGTATGGTGATATCATTTTACTCCAGCAAGATATCACCTCGTGAGTCGAATTGTCCAATCAAAAATATATCTTCATTGGGTGGACTTATCGAATTCGCATGTTAAAATCTTTGTGGGAAACAATCAGATGGCTGACGTCTTAATAAATAACCTTCCTCTTCAACCAAAACGGTGCTCTTCCTATAAAGGTTTTAGAAAATTCATGAGATATTTTCGCTCTTGGTTGTTCAAATGTTCCTGTTAAAATCGGGGAATATTCAGCGATATTCCCTAAGTGATATCCCTCAATTTCAAACCTGGTTCCACAGCGTACAGATAATGTCTACAGACAAATGTCCCAGAATGTTTTCAAACTAAATGGAGGCTATTGTTTATAAATTGCCCTCTCAAGCACATAAAAAAATCATGTTATTACTTGTGTACAAGGCAGCGTTTTAGCGCTCCCTCGCGTGTAGACTCGCTCATTCTTGAACATGCGATTAAATATAATTGAATAAATACGACGTCATGTTACGTATCGTTGACCAAGACTCTGCTGTTATCTTGCAGGCCGTAGTCCACTATTCGGTCATTTTTCCACCACTCTGTTAGGTCTGGACACTATTCGTGCATTTGGCGTGGAGGAGGTATTTACGGATCAGATGAACTCCTATCAAGACGCACACACAAGGGCCTGGTTTACCTTCATCTCAACTTCAGCATGGCTCTCTTACAGGCTTGACGTACTCTGTGTTATTTTCATCAGTTTTGTGGCCTTAGTATCTCCTGCTCTGAAATCTTGTAAGTGTTACTTAGATTTTAGTTTCGTATATTACGTAAGCTCATTTGCGTGGTAAGCTAATATGGGAATTTTATAGAACAAAAGTCCTTCAGGACTGACTTGGACACTAACGTGGCTGTCATTCTGTTGTTTGGGTGACCGAGACGCTGCGATGTCATGTGAAAATAATCTATTGAGAATCACTACTTATGTATCTCCTTTAATTCAGTACAATCAAGGGAAAGGTTTTCCTCGGATTTTCCATAATAAGCATACATTGAGACGTAGATTCCCTTAGGTTTTATCGATATGCAGATCTGGTAATGAGCTCTTCTGTAAACACGACCTAGGTCAGGAAAAAGTGTAATATTTCTTTTAGGTCAGGGGAAAGTCAGGGAATTTCACTTTGAATCAGGGAAAATTTAAATATTTGAAAGAAGTCAGAAAAGAAAAAATTTCAAGTAAATATGAAGTCCAGGATTTGAGGATTTCTGCAAGTGGAGGTTGGAGGCCATTATCTTATCCATTATCAGGACTCTGTTTTAAATTTCAAAACCTAAGAATATGGCAGCCGTTATAAAGTGGATTTGTTGTACAAAGTTAATTAAGTTGAGCTAAACTGTTCTCCGACTATTTCACTCTTTAAGCAATATTGTCGTAACAGTACCAGGCTGAATATCATATCCATCTAAGAGCGGTTTGGAGAATGGCCCCTGTTTTGTGCACAATGGCTTAGTGTAATGTGTTACTATTAACTACGCATGAAACAGAACTCATTTGAATTTTGCAGCTTTGAGCGCTGGTGTGGTAGGTCTTACGCTAAGTTACGCCATTAAGATATCAGGTGTGTTCCAACAGTGCGTCAAACAAAGCGCCGAAGTTGAAAATTTGGTGAGTGCGACCAACTGGTTACTTTTCATTAATGATGCATTGTTTGATAGTTAATCAAGGGGTAAGCGCGTTTTAGGGTGCTTAGAATTTTGGTTTTGTTGTCTTCACATAGATGACGTCTGTTGAGCGTATCCTGGAATACTGTAACCTGGAATCCGAAGCCCCTAGAGAAACAGATACGAAACCTCCTGACGGCTGGCCACCTAAAGGAAAAATAGAATTCGAGAAAATGAGCTTTAGATATCACAAATCTTTACCCAGAGTGCTGCACAGCATATCGTGTTCTGTTCAACCAAGTGAAAAGGTAAACAACGCCCTTTGGACTCCTCTTTTCCTCTTTTCGTTTCTTTTATATAAAATATAAGAACTCATCTTTATTACATTTCGAGTTAAAAAAAAACGGCTGTGGAATAAGGCTGAGTTTTAAATTCATAAGTAAAATATATTAGGACAATAATGAAGCCATGCCCTTTTATGATCTGTATTTGATCTATTTGTCAACATTGTAACCATTAACCTGCACTTCACGTAATATCTCTCGTTAACTTAGCCGTTTAGCTTATTTTGCTACATTGTAAGTGCTCTTCAATGATGTTTTATGGCATGAATTTATTTGACTTTAGTCATGAACACCCCTGATTCAGTTTAATGTACACCAGTTCTCTCTATAAAGCCACTTAACCATACCCCCAGAATTTTGTTTGAGAAGAATAATTTTTACGACAAGAACAACAAGAGCAGCAGCAACAACAATATGGAAGGTATTAGCATTTTAGGTGCGGAGTGTTATTGTGACAAAAACCTTCTTGGTTCATGATTTTAGATAGGTGTGGTGGGGCGCACAGGTGCCGGAAAATCGTCCTTGCTATCCACCTTGTTCCGCCTGGCAGAGCCAACTGGTGTCATAAAAATTGATGGTATTAACATACAGGAAATTGGGCTGAAAGACCTGAGGAGTAAACTGTCCATCATACCGCAGGTTAGTGGCGCGGGAGAAGTGTTATGTAAGCGTGCATAGGCATACGAAGTCTCTCACTCACCTTTGACTCATCTTTGTCAGTCCAGAGGGAATTTTGAACTCTGATGTCTATATATTTTTTCACTGAATGTTTTGTTTCCTTTTTAGGAGCCTGTTCTTTTCAGCGGCACCATGAGAAGAAACATTGATCCGTTTAGAGAACACAGTGACTTAGATTTGTGGAGAGTATTAGAGGAGGTTTGCAAATCATGTACTAATAATTGCATCATCCTAGTTTGTTGTCCTTGTTTGTATTTTTTTATCACCCATAGAGACCGACTTCATGAAACAGAGAGCGGATTGTTAAATACAGTGAAAGAAACATTTTAAGATCATTTGTGCTTGATTACAGTGATGAACGTCACATAAAATTAAGACGAATACTCCAAATTCGTACAATTTTTACAAAAGGTTTCAGCCACAATTCTGCTTTAATTCTGCTGCCCACAACCTTATTTTCCTTTGTTATCTCGATTTACTTCGCACATTTTCACTATTAGGAAACAGCTACAAAAACTCCGATACCACAGACACCATGAAACACTCGAAGTAGCTAGTTTCATTTCTTTTAACCTTTACCTTTGAGGCACTTTTCTTAACACTGTATGTGTTGCGGTTTTTACTCTTTGAGTCCTTAGTGTCCCGACAAACATTGTTTCATGATGCAAGTTGCGTTAATTCCCCTGATTTTGAAATTTCAGCTGTTCTATCGTAATAAATCCCTATTAGAAGGTATTTTCCCCTTAGTTCAGGCCCATTCGTCAATTTGTTTTATAAAATAATTCAAATAGTACGCGCGCTCTGATTGGCCATAAAACCATTTTACATGAGCGTATGTAAACACGGTTTTCCTTCCTCTTCCATTGGTTATTTTATAAAAGAAATGTAAAATGGTTTCCGTGTTTACATAGCCTGATGTAAACACGCGGGAGATTGGGAGAACACTCGATAAGCTGGAAACCACTCCGCTTCGCGTCGTGGTTTCCTACACTTATCTCGTGTTCTCCCAACCTCCCGCGTGTTTACATCAGGCTATGTAAACACGGAAACCATTTTACATTTCTTCAATAACCAACGTACATTATTATGTCAATATTCATTTTCCAGTATTTTAAGCATTGTAGTTATATATCCCATTTTTTTAATACATTCTGCTAGTCATTTTATTGGGGATAAATAAGGCTTATTGTTTCTTTCTTACTAATTTAAATGTGGAACATCGACTGAAATTTTGAAAAGTATAATTTGAACCTTATTACTGTCCTTATATTACAACAAGAAGAGTTTCATTTGCTCGACTTGTTTCTCTTCAAGAGCTTAGACGAGGTGGTAAGATAACAGTACTAGAAATATTCTGCTAATGTTGTTAGGTGCAGTTAAAGGTTGCTGTTGAGAGCACCAAGGGAATGGATACAGAGTTTGCTGAGGCAGGGTCAAACTTCAGTGTTGGTCAGCGTCAACTAGTTTGTTTAGCTCGGGCCATTCTGAGGCAGAACAAGATTCTGGTGATTGACGAAGCCACGGCGAACGTGGACCCCAGGTTTGTGAATCACTGAATTGGATTACACCTATGTTCAGTTTATTTCTGTACATACTAACCTTTATTCTGCGGAAGAACACGTATTCTTACTTATGTTGTTACTGTTGGTGTCATTTCGATCGAATTGTCGCATGCTGATAATATATTATCATTGTATTGTTACTTATAACACTACGGTAGACCAACTTTCCTTTGCAAGCCATCTTATTCTTTGCTTCATTGTGAAATTATATGTAAAGGTGAAAACTAAGGTAAAGAAATTTTCATTTGAATGTTGAAAGCGAAACAGGGATTTCATCTGATTTATTTTGTGTCACTGAAGTTTGTGATTGGTCTAAAAAAGGTGCACTAATTTATAATAACTCAGGTGCAAATCTTAAAATTTATAGCAACTTAGTTATTAATAGCGACTAAGCGACTTAGTGTTGAATTTTTGTCGTTACTTTTAGGACAGATGCCTTGATCCAGGCCACCATCCGAGAAAAGTTTAAGCACTGCACAGTGTTGACGATCGCTCATCGTCTTCATACAATTATGGATTCAGACAGAGTTATGGTACTGACCCACTAAGAATGAATTCATCTTGAATTTAATGTCAGTGTCTGCGCACCTACCCTTCATTAACCCAACTTTAACGCTAGCTTGTCATCAGTTGACTGTCGATGCGTTAGGGGAGGAGTAGGTGCGCAGTTGATCAGATACTAACATTAATCCCATCAACTTTCCCTCTCTGCAGTCGAAGCATTTTCACTCGTGTTGACGAAAAGATTTAAACACGTGGCATGGCGATCGCCATTGATATGCTAACGTTATGGGAAAATCCCGTTTGACATTTTGGGAGAACAGTGTGGGAAAATCTTGTGTTTGTTTTTTCTTAACTTCACTATTTTGCCTTTTAGGGTAAGACCTTGCTGTTTAGTGAATCCGAACAAATGGGATATATCAGTTTCATAATGCTGCTTGTGCTAAGTTCATTGTTAACCTATCAGCTGCGTTATAATTTAGTTTGTAAATAGAGCTTTATGTTTTGGATCTAATACTGTACTATAGTTCAACGAATTAAGAATACTTTTTATCGTAATATTTCTCCGAGTGTAAGTCGAAATTTCAAATTTAATACACGACAATTTAAATGAAGGTTTTTGACATTGAGACGATGTAAATTGGCTTTAAAGGCCAAGAAATAGAAACCTTTTCTTTTTCAGTTTTTCGTCGGGCTCGAGCCGTGCAGTTGACAGTTTTTGTCTTTTTCGTTTGTTCTACGAATAACTCGTCTGTGTCTCTTTGATTGACGCGTGTGAACTAAAAATAGCAGTAACGGTAATCCATAAAACTACGCAAATTAACATAGCTGATAAATCGACTATGGCATAAGCAACATCATAATCTGACAACGATCGGAAATGCACTCAACAAATGGGCTTTTCCCCAGAAAACAATATCTTGAACTTGCTGGAAAAAATCATTGGATGATTTTTTGAGACCAGTCCCAAAAACTGTTTTAACGGGATTTCCCCTTTATCTAAGGGGTGATTGTAAGGCCACGCCCACTATTTGAACTCTTTTTCTTTGGTGAACACCAGCGAAAATCGTTTGATTGCGAAGAAGGAAAGTAGGATTTCTGGCGCTCTAAATATCACTGGCCGTGACCGAGTAAGACTCTTTCAAGTTCTCTTCAGACTGAGATATTAAATGTTTCTTTCATCTTATTCTTTCAGGTTTTAGATGAAGGGAGGCTGAAAGAATTTGATGCTCCATATACGCTTCTAAAGAACCCCAAAACAACTTTTGCTCAGTTAGTGTCTCAGACAGGACCAACAGAGGCAGGACGATTGTTCGAGATAGCTCGGCAAAAGTTTTACTCAAAGAAATCCATACCAGAAGTGGCGGAAGAGGAGATAGACGGGCAACGGAAAGATTTTTTGGATGAGTTTTCCTCGTCGAATACCTTGACTGCTATTGTTCCTAACGGAAATGGCATCGAGTCTCAACTCCAGTTTGAGTCCACTATATAGTTATTTAGTATCTTTTTACACATCACACGTACACTGAAATGATCTTTATAAACACTGTCAGAGCTTTGATTACGTTGTGAAAGGTTTCTATTTTTTATATCGTATATAAATTATTATAATTACATATTATAATTATTTTTACGATAATGTAGAGTCAATATTAGTTTTCGGTGGCAAACTTTCCTTTCGGCGATGACGATGTAGGGCTGGACCTTCGGACACGGTCACCAGTCCGTACGCTTGTCGCCCACTTTAGAATGCTTTTAGTTCACAAATTCTAATAATTAGGCTAATTTGACTTTCAAAAGATTTCCTTTCGTTAATTTAATTTCAAAATAGATTTGATGGAGAGTTATGGATTTTTATTTCTTATTTTATTTCTATTTTTTTTTTTGAAAAAATAAACTGGGTAAGTCTTTCCTAGAGTATTGAGTGGTATGTTGCTCACACCAATCAGATCGCTGCATCGAGGTATGTATCTCGCAACGACCAAGTCACGGCATCGAGGCATTTTTGCACCAATCGGAGTATCAGGGCACTGTCCCTCATATCAGTCATGTCGTGGAATTAGGGTCTCGTTACGCAGTAGGGATGGAGAGAGAGAGAGCGTCGCGTGATGAGACCAAAAAACGGCTGCGAAGGAGACTACAGTAAGCGTGACACTAATGCAGTTAATTTCTCCTTTTAAAAAGCTATTCCCACAACAGCAACAACAGACCTTAAACTGCCTTTGCGTAAGCTTATTTCATATAAATTGGAATGATTTTTTTTACTGTTTGATCAAGCAGCGTGTTACCAAATCGAAAATGGACTTTTGACCTCAAGTGCTTCAGATGTAGATTTATCATAAAGCAAGTAGTGTCATGATGTTCTAAACAAAGAAAACTGTTTGGTACAGTAATTATTTCTTTACTATGTTACTTAATGCAGTTATATTAGATATATAGTTTCGATATTTTTCAAAGATTTCCTGTAGCATATATTGACAGCCTGAAAAGTTGAAAGAAATGTAGTTCATGCGACTAAGTTGAAGTCAACAAATAATATTCTCCATGAAAGAAAAATTTTACGATTTTGTAATTAAATTGAGACACTGATACTCTACTATACTTTTGATCTATAACTAAAAGATGAGTGTGGTGTTGCAGCATGTTAATTGAGTTGGCCCTAATTAAATGCCTTTTCGATCAATTTCCAATTTTCAAGGAAACATGTCAATCCTCATAACACGTCGCAAATTCAAGATGCAAGCGGTCGTGGGTGGTATAACAGTAGATGCGCGGTGGGGGAGAGGTGGGGCAGATTATCAACATCTTGGATTTGTGAGTGGGACATCGAGCGTTATGCTCCATGACTTCGCTGGCGAATTCCGAAAAATATCTCATAAGTCTCTATGCGGAGACGAAACGCTGCATCATACCAGCAACGAAATATTTTTCATGAATAAATTTCAGCATGCTCTACTTATCAGAGAAATTTCATTGAATAATGTTGAATCTAAGAACTTTACCGTTCAAAAAATGAAGACAACAACTAAACCAAAAATGACACAGGCATACTCGAAGAAAAAGAACTCCGACCAGAGTGCTCCTAATGGAGTCTAACCTACGACCTTTCGGGTAGTGCTTGAGCTTATGTTATGGTGGTTTTTTCTTTTATCAGAAATGATAATCATGATAAAAGAAAAAACCAACAACCCTGTGTTACGAAGTAGTCCTTTCTGTACGAGCGTCCCAACAAAGACTAAAAGTAAAAATACCATATGACACAATTTGATGAAAGTCAATGGTTCCATGACCTAGCTCAAGAAGTGTATGTTGTACTTTTGTGTGATATCAAGCACTTTATGAGGATAATTCACGGTCATCTTTTCGCCAATACTCTGTCAATCGGAGAGATTTTCATGTGGGTAGGAGTGGCTTTACTGAAGCTATTTGCCAGCTGGTTAGAGAAAAACTGTCCTTAAAGTGCCAATGACACGGAATTTTACTCTTATATGTCGTCGGCCTTATGCTCCGTACCGACTCCGAAGACGGCTGTTACGAACTCATACCACTATTCAAATCAGGGGAAGATAACCATTGAATTCAGCTAAAAAGAAAGCTGATTAAGGGGCCTGTTCCCACACGGCTGACATTTCTCAAGCGAAGAATGGCGACTTCCTTAATGTTATTTATTTCACGTGTTTGAAATGTACTTATACTCTTTGTCTTTCCACATGACTACGTTTGCACTTTTCTTTTCGCATGAAAATCCTACAAATTGTATCCTACTATCGTATTTTAATAACAGGAATACGTCATTTGTAATAAAGTTCAAGCCCTTTCCTGAGCCGACCGATATCCTGTTGCGTGAACAGTCCGAAACCTCTGGCGGATACTGGTATAAACGCACGCTCGAAGGGGCCGTGTATTCTCCTAACGTAGGTTTCCGAAAATCCATCCCACGAGGCATCGATTCTCTCCTGCCCTCAAGAAACTAAAAGTAGAAACAGAAGCAATGTCACTGTGATAACAGCACTGCAACGAGGTAAATAAAGAAACAAATTTTATTGAATTAGATGGTAGCGAATCCAAGTGCTGTGAGAAAGTCGATACGTACGAAATATTCATTTACGATACTGATGTCAGTTATTTGCCTTTGAGCGGAATGGTAGTATGGCAAAGCTGTACTTAAACTAAATAAGATTTTCACTATCAAAGTCCCTGTTTGAGAGTAACTTGAATCAGATGACTATAAACTCACTCGGTTTGATCGGCTCGACGATCGCGACGATAGCCTCGGCTTTTGCGATCTCTAAGGAAAGGAGTAACTTACAGTGAAACTGCTAGATGACTTCTCGGCGAAAAATCATCGTGCCTCGTGATACAGCTGATTCTTTCGTCAAAAGTTGGGTTTTGGTTTGAAGGTAGCAAAGCTTGTCTTGACTCATGTGTGACTTTTTAAGGAGGCCGTTAAGAAATCCTAAAGTTTGACATTTTTGGATACGTAGCCGTTTTATCTAGTTTTATCGCAATTTGCTTTCCCTTGCGTTTTTTTTTCTTAATGTCACTAAGCTCACCCTTTATGAGAGCGAATGTGGTTACTTGAAGAGTGAAAGAGCTTTTGTCTTTCTGCAAATCAACAATACATACCTCGGGATATTTCCTCGCTGAAGTAGTTGTTGTATGGCAATAAATAATTTAGTTAAGTTTGACCACGCGGCAAAATTTGACTGGAATTTGACTTTTAAGTGACTTTTTAAGTTGTTTATGTTGTCCTAACTTAGAGGTCTATCCATATCAAAATTTTAAACTCGCAGTTGTGTTGCTAGGGATTTCATATTTCCTATTTCAAAGTTAGATAGGCCAAAGCATGACGAGATCCACACATAGTTAATTTGGTCAAATCCCCCATTATCTTATTTTAACAAATATTCAGGTATCAAACACTGGCAAAAGCCGAGCTTATTTCAAGCGCTTAATCGTTATGCAGGCTGAACATCTCCGCCTGGAGGAACAAGTTTGTTTACTGCCTTCAAAATGCTAAAACCGTCTTTTCTAATAATCTAACATGCAGCGGTTTGATTTTGGAAATCGCTGGGGTTTTATTTCTTAATCTACGTGGTATACTCACGCTGATCACGCTGTCCACCAAGGTAAAAGTGCCTTGTAAAACAAGTTTTGATAAAAAATTTCAAGCAACTTTAAATCAAAAGTTAATTTGTGTTTGTTGCGTTCAAATACAATCCAATGTTTTCGCAAGATTTCTTTACTCGAGAAGATTATGACCCTCTTCAAGTGGAGCAACATCATCGAAGAACAACGGCTGGATAGCGTCGTTTCTTTTCGATAGAATGATTTAAAAATAGTGAATAATGCTGAAGGAGCCAGTTAACGATCACATTGAATGCTACTGAACTGCTCCATTCAGTCCACAAGTAAATCTATTCTAATGGCTAACCAAGTTAATCACGTTTGAAGCAAGTTAGGCACAAAAGAAATAGTGCTTCGATGCAGATTTAACACGTTTATCAGCATCAATTAAATGCGGCCTTCAGTTGGGTCAATTGGAGCGACCTCTGCGGGCGGGTTTGAATAAATACGATACACAGACTGAATTATCATCTTCCCTTTTGTCAATACTCCTTTGGGCAAAGATGAACCTTGGACGGATGACGTCGATCTATTTCGATGGAGTGACCTTAACACAATACACGATCCTGAAGGAGCTGTGGCCACAGGAAATAACGCGGGAAGTGTTTTTGTGAGAATCCAAAGCTACTGCATAGAGCAAATTGAACCCTGAGTACCCATTGAATAGAATGACGAGTTATTCTGGTAAGCTTAAATAGTATCTAATCGGGTGAGAGTGTAATGCAATATTCTGTAAAAGGTACGATGGAGTGCCTGGTACATCATTGCTCAACTTGATCTCGGCGCGATGTTTTGTTTCGCTTTAATTGTCTTTGTCAAATTCAATTTGACACCTTAAATCAGAAGTCCGTTGGTCATTCTTGAAGCAAGCGAAGGTAACTAACAACTCTCGTTCTCATCTTATTTCAAAGGCGTTGTAGTAGTTCTGAAAGAGGACTAAGGGATCATTCATTCGTTGATTCGAGTTACGTACTATGTTCGAACCAGTCGAATAAGGCTTGTTTCAAACGCCGTGCGGTTACCATCTCGTGCTTGACTTATTGCATTCCTGGCTTATCGACGGCAAATTATTGGAAGCCTCAAATTAAGTTTAAGATGGTAGAACTGTAAAACACGCTTTTAGTACCCGACACTCTGCAAATAAGACCTGAATATCGACCCGCTGAGAAACCTGCTCAGTTCAGGGAAACTTATTTTGATCAACTTTCCGTCATAAAGCAGACACACACAGTTGAAAGTTGTCCCATTCTTGTATTTTGAAGCTGAAACGGGCTTGTCTTACCACACATCCTTTTTTATCGACTTTTCAACGATTCCGTGAAATGTGCGGCGAGCGTTATTCTGGATGGGTAGTATGTACGTTGATATAGCTAAATATATTTGTACGTCATCCAGTTGTCTCTGTAAATTTTAATTTGAAGGTCAGCTATTGAGGTGGGTAGTTTTGGATAATCAAACAAATAGCCTTGTTCAAAGGTAGCAAATGATACGATTCAGTATCTTCTATTTCGCGACTTAGATTACTATATAATCAATCGACATGTTATGTCATGTTAAGCTTCAATTTCACTTATTGTTCGCTTAGTTGTTGAATCTATTTTTAGCTTTGTGGGCTGCTTATAGAAGTTCCTGTTTTACCAGGTAAAGGTGAAAAATTAAGTAAATTTTCGGTTAACAAGATCTAAGGCAAATTTGTTTAATTTAACGAGACTTTATGCCTATTGAAGCACTTTCAGTTTCACACCTCATTTGTCAGCGTTAACTTATCCATTACAAAACTGCTCCAGGCTCATGTCGTCAGTAGACCATGGTAACTATTAGATTAGCATAGTTATCTCCTCTTGAGCAGGGTCCTTGATCAGTTGTGGGTTAGTTATTAGTTACATAAATATTGAATTTAATAGTGATGTGGGCCCCCTTAGGACCGGTTTAATGAAGAACTTTGGATGGATATTGATCAACTTAATGATTATCTCTAATAGTTTCTGATAGTTATCCATGGAGTGTCTGGTGTAGTCTTGCATTCTCTGATGGTTATCCTCAGGGTGATGTCACGAGTTATGTGACAAAACGTCACGTAAGAGTATCACGTAAGTTACGTAAGGTGTTATTTTGGTGGGAGAAAGAAAAAAAATCAACAGATTTTTCAAAAAAAAAATTTTAATATTAAAAAAACCTTAAATGACAAGCGGGACGTGTACTCTTCCCTTATGGAGAGTGCCCAGCTGTGAACATATTTTACCCACACAGAGTTAAGCATCATTTTAGCCGAGGAGCGCTACCCAGGGTTCTAAGCTAACGATCTTGGAAGGGTCGAGATCGATACCTTCACGGGCTTTGTAGGCAATCGTCGCCCACTTTCGCTTGCCATCCGCTAGCCTCCTCTTTGATTTTAAACCAAGTGTTCTCATAATCTCGGAAGAGACCTTCAAGAGTTTCAGGAAAATACCAGACTTCGAGAAGAGTAACGATGACGTATGCCTACTTCATTGCTTTCTCTAACTCTCGTCCATATGTCTCTTTCAACAGATT